AGGTGCATACTATACTTTTTCTACGACAAATACTTGTTTAGAGCGCCATCTATAAAACAATAGGTGAATCTGTGTCACCGTCAAATGTCAAATTTGTATGTGTTATAACTTATAACTTATAAACACAGATTATAAAGGTTATAAATCGAAATGTATTCCTTGAAAATGGATTAACAACAAAGTGAAAGTAAAGAAAATGTTTCAGCCCGAGATAGAGTTATAGTTTACTGCCGGTACGTGAAATTAAAAATTCAGTACAATGTTCATTTAAACTTTTCAAATATTGGCGTTGAGAAACTATTTAATACTTTTGTAGGGTGAATTGTCCAGTGATTGAACGTATACCAGTGAATGAACAAAACACCGATGTTTTGGCTAAAATAAGAATTATGTTGCTCTAAACCAACGTTAGCTTCCTCTAAGGGCGGGCTGACATGCGCACAATGTTTTTAAATCACTGAGATACAATCATGTTGGTATCCATGCGGCGGGAAAAATATCAACAATTGGTCACGAGTCTTCAACGAATAGTGGCGGCCATTTTGATAACAGCAAGCAACAAGCACCTTTCGCTAAATGGGTACTTCTTCCTGAAGTTGTTTGTTTAAGTGATATTACAAGTGTTAAAAGGGAAAAAACACAAAGGTAGGAACTGATTGTTATTTATACATTCACTTTTCTATGTTGTTTAACGAACAAATAATTAAGTTCGATCATTGGCTTAAAAAAATCCCTAAAAACCAGTGAATGAACCGAGCGTTCATTCACTGGTTTTTTTGAGGTTAACGCGAAAACACGCAAAATTCGACCCTAAGCTCGTCTCATCATAAGGTTGACGTTTAGTAATAGAATATTTGGAATAAATTGATGGTAACCAGTAAATGAACGTATTGTTTTCATTCTAATAGCGCGTTCATTCACTGGAAAATCGTGTACATTCATTGGGAGATACAAATCTACACTCAATTTTTCATGGTTTTGTATTTATATTTATCAATTATTACAGATGAACCAAGTACGGGTGTTTAAAAAATACGCTAGATTTCGATATACGGAAGAGGATTTGGCTACGGCACTTGAAGACATCCAAAAAGGTACTGAAAATATCACAACAGCCTCAGTAAAATATGGCATTCCAAAATCGACTCTTCACAATAAACGAACAGGAAAAACACCTAATATTAGAAAAATGGGCCCTCAGCCAGTGCTAAACGAAAATGAGGAGAAACGCATAGAACACTGGATTGACGCTAAAGCAAAATTAGGGTTCCCTATGCATCCGACTGAAGTTAAAGACGCCGTTCAAAAGATCTTGACAGACAGTGGTCGGCCGAACCCATTTAAAGACAGCCGGCCTGGCGATAAGTGGATGACATTGTTTTTACAAAGACACCCTAATATTGGTAAACGTAATACGGAAATTATTTCTAAATCGCGTGCGGCAGTTACTGAAAAAGCGATCAGAACCTGGTTTAACGATCTTATCACCTTTTTAACCGAAAGAGATCTACTCGATATGATGGAAGAACCTTCAAGAATCTACAATGCGGACGAAACAGGGGTCAGAACATGCGTTAAATCAGGGTTAGTGTTAGGTCCAATTTCAAAGCATTTTAAAAATTTGTATGAAGTTTCCTCTGGTAACGAAAAAGAATCACTAACGGTTTTGTGCAACTACAGCGCCTCCGGGCTCGCAGTACCACCTATGGTCGTTTTTCCGTATAAAAGAATACCAAAAGATCTGGCTCGATCTGTGCCAGATGAATGGGGAATTGGACGGTCAGATACGGGGTGGATGACAGGAGCAACATTTTTTGAATATGTTGCAAACGTATTTTACAATTGGCTTCTACGTAAAGGAATTAAATTTCCAGTTATCTTGTTCATCGACGGGCATAAGAGTCATTATAGCATCGAACTTTATGAATTTTGCACTGAAAAAAACATAATTCTATATTGCCTCTATCCCAATTCGACACATATTCTCCAACCGTGCGATGTTGCTATATTCAGACCTTTGAAAGTTGAATGGAAAAAGAGTTGCCACGCTCAAAAACAAAAATCTGGTGCTTGTATAACTCGTTATAATTTTTGTCCTTTATTTAAAGAGGCATTTGATAACGCGACGACCCCTGCTACTATAATCAGGGGATTTAAATCCTGTGGTCTCTACCCATTGAATCAAAACAACGTAGATTATTCTAAGTGTATACAAACCAGAAGAGAGGAGCTTTTTTCAAAACCAGAATTGGGTGCTGAAAACGTTACCTTAACTCCCCAGGACTATAGTTCCTGTTTAAAAGTGATTAAGCATGTCGTGGGAGCAGAAACCATTTCGCAATACGAAGCCACAAACGCTACTAAAAATGATGATGACATCTATGTATTGTGGAATTTTTGTAAAACTCGAGAGGAAAGTGTCCAAAAAGATTCTGATGAAAATGAGAAAGAAACTAACCATGACATAGATAAAACAGAAATGTATGCCGAGTATTCAGAATCCTTTCTAGATGATTTACCTCTGGAGATAAATGGAATTGTATATCCCGCAATGAGTGCCGACGATACATTCTCAGTACCTGAGATTGCAAGCCTATCCGATGAATATTTTAATCAGTCAACCTTATTGGCATGTGATTTACAAGCTGTTGATGACCTAATCAATACACCTGCTTTGGAAAATAAGGAATCGTTCGAAATAGAGTCTTTTATATTTGGACTTGTAGAGAAAATTCTAGACTGCGTTTTCACAACAGTTGAAAATCTATTAGCCTTGACTACTGATATCCGTATTATTACGACTGTTGCCGAGACAAATGAAGGTGACTTTGAGACTGCAAAGAAGATCCAGATTCATTCGAATATTGTTATTCAAGAGAAAAAATGTTCGGATGACTTATTTTCCAAACATTTACACTGGCCCGATCAGGATTTATTAAAAAATGTTAAAAAACGTAAGATTGGAACAAAAATGCCATACGCCATAACGTCGGAGAAATGGAAAGATTACTATGATCAGATAGAAAAAGCAAAATTGGAAAAGGAAGAAGAAAAGACGGTTAGAAAAAGAAAAAGGGAAGAGAAGGCAGGTCAAACAAAAAAAGAGGAGAAACAAAAACAACGCGAAAATAAAGCAAAGAAGATCACTAGCGACAACAGTGTCGGCAAATCCCGATCGAAGAGGCTGAGGAAGAAAAAGTCGAACATAACGGAGAAAAAGGAAGAAACTGATAGTGATGTGGACCAATTGACTGAGAAAGGAAGAGAAAAACCAGACAACAAGCAAGTCAGTGCGGATAAAAACAAAGTGATAAAGAAAGATGAAACCTCTGATACTGACGATTGTGACTCAACGGATGTAGAAGAGAAAACTGAAAATGAAGAATCGGCCTTGGAGACAATAGCAACTTGTAGTAAGACTTGGAGCCAATCGCGTGCGAAAAGAATGACGAAAAGTGGGACCAAATCGAAGCGAACAGAAGAAAATGATAGGGACGCTGATCATTTAGAAATTGGGGATTACGTTATAGTGGAGTATGACCATATGTTTTATCCGGGCCTAATCAAATCTATTGGGAAAAAAGACTATAAAGTGAAAGTGATGGAAAAAGTTTCCGAAAAAAAAATGGAAATGGCCTAAAGTGGAGGATCAAATTTGGTAAACAAGAAACCAAATCGTTAAAAAAATTGGGAAACCATCCAAAACTCTTGGCTTTTACAGAATTAAGATGGACATTTAGGTGTTTTTTAATCAATATTTTTAAAATCTTGTTAATGTTTTAACTAGTACATAATAAAACGTGGAAAAACTATTTCTTTAATATTAGGGTTCTTTGCCCCCTACGAGCTTTGCTCATTAACCCCCACCTGTAATCACATCACATCTGTAATCTGCCATATGTCATATCATCTTAGGCGTCAAATAATTTTTTTTTCTCACCTATCATCTGTCACTTGTCAAAAAAATAAATTAGGCGTAATATAAAACTTTTTTATACAATAGAGAGATTTTTTTACATTTCAACAAAAAAGTTAATTCAGTTCATTCACTGGGTAGGTGTGGTTCATTAACTAGATTTTTTTGTTCATTCACTGGATTTTGGTACTTTATATGATAAATAATTCCTACAAAGAAGCTGGCGGTTCTAAATCATATTTTGCTTAAAAATGCTTGGATAACCGAGAAAAAATTCGCACCGCGTTGTAATTAGTTTCCTAAGGGCAAAATTGAATTTTAAAGTTGAAGCGGTCCTTAATTGTTCATTCACTGGACGATTCACCCTATTTAGATAATAAAATAATTTTCACATTTAGTATTATTTAAAAAAAGGCACTTTATTTTAACGATTGTATGACATTTGACAACTGTCAACTAAATTAATACCAACTTCAGCCCGTGAATAAAAACCTGTTGCCAACTTCAGCCCGTGACCCGTTTTAAAGGTGGGAGTAGAAAAAAGAATATATAGGTATACCTACATTGTTTTTAGTCAAAACAGTTAATTTAGTTAATTATTAAATACCATGATCAAAACAAACACAAAACCATAGAACAAATACCTACGTTTTGCTTGTAAAAACCGATAGGGCTCAGGTGTGGACGATGCGCCGGTCAGTCGCGCGGCCCGTCTTGTCGCCGATATTCGTCAATTGTTGACGTTAAAACAGCACTACTATCCCGAAGGAGGCTGGGGATGGGTGGTGCTGGTTGCCGGGGTGTTAGTGCACCTTTTGAGCCATGGAATGATCACTTCTGCCGGACTTTTTTATATAGAAATACTGAGGAAATTCGGACCTACGCATGCCGAACAAGCAGGTACCTAAATACTAATGACATAAAAACGGAAGACGTTTTATTTCCTCTTCCAACTTTTTATAGGTTTTGCCTTTACTTGCTTCGATAAGACAATCACTTTATTATTTATTTGTTAATTTTGTTTTTTCTTTGTAAATCCATCTCGTAGCTATTTTAATTAATTTATTTTTTCTTTTGGTTTCAGGATGGCTGGGAGCGATGTCTACGGGAGTAGCGCTGCTTATTTCGCCCGTCACGATCGCGTTTTGTCGCAGGAAATCGACGAGGGTGACGGCTGTCATGGGTGGCCTTATTACGGCCCTAGGCTGTCTCTTCACTTCCTTCGCCACCCAGTTTCATCAGCTGTTTTTCAGGTGACTTTATCCTTAATTTGATTTATCGACAAACAAAAAATATTTAATTAATTTAAGGGTGGTTTAGTCTTTAGTGGGTAGGATTTATACTTTGAGCAAACAACACAATAACAAGAAATATAACAATAATTTTACACAAAAAAACATTAGATAAATAGTGATTTATTTTTGACAAATAATATTTTTTATTCAGTTATGGAACAGTGGTGGGAATAGGAGTTGGTATAACGAGGGACTGTTCAACTCTAATGGTAGCTCAATATTTCAAAAGAAGACGCGAGTTTGTTGAAATATTTATTGTTTCTGGTAGCGGCTTGGGAATTGCTACCATGTCCGTCATTATTAAAAGCACAATTGGGTAAGTATTTTATTATTTATTTTTATAAGTTTATCGATAGAATGTGAGGAATTGTTATAACTAGAGATGGGATTTTAGGTTGCCAAATTTATAAAAAATAGGTACCTACCTAATTTAGGTAACATTAATTGATAAAGATGTTTTTTGTTTTAGGCAAAAAAATTATTAAATTATATACTTAAATTACGAAAATAAGTAGAAAGCAACTTTTAGGTGGTAATAGTATCAAGTTTGATAAACGCCATTTTATACACGAATACGTATACTTTTTTTACGACAAATTCTTATTATTATCTTAAAATGATTTAAATCAAATATTGGCGTTGAGAAACTATTTAATTTATAAACACAGATTATAAATTGAAATGTATTTCTTGAAAATGGACAGTTTTTTACAGTGAAAGTAAAGAAAATGTTTTATGAGGCGAAATTAAAAGTACAATGTTCATATAAACTTTTCAAATATTGGCGTTGAGAAACTATTTAATTTATAAACACAGATTATAAATTGAAATGTATTTCTTGAAAATGGACAGTTTTTTACAGTGAAAGTAAAGAAAATGTTTTATGAGGCGAAATTAAAAGTACAATGTTCATATAAACTTTTCAAATATTGGCGTTGAGAAACTATTTAATACTTTTGTATTTTTGTATTGAGATAATAAAATAATTTTCACATTTAGTATTATTTTACAAGAAAGGCACTTTATTTTAACGATTGTATGACATTTGACAACTGTCAACTAACTTAAAACTAACTTCAGCACATGACTAAAACGCCGTAAAGCCACAACTTGTCAATGTGTATTTAAAAGGTCAATTAGTGTCATGGAAACATGTACGATAATGGTCGTTTTAAAGGTTGGAGTAGAAAAAATAATTTAATTTATTATTGTATGAAGTGGAACAAGATTTTTATGATTTAATAAATTTAAAAATAACGGACGAATATATATACAGTATGTCTCAGTATCTTGGAATCATATGGAAAACTTTTTTATTATTAATTTTAGGAAAAAAGTTATTCCTCATAAAAAGTTCTGCATGGTGTAAAACTTAAAATGCAACCCACAAATATTAATTTTTTTTAGTCGTATACGGGGTATGTCAAAAAATATGAATTTGGCTCAAGAGTAAAGTACCTTTATATTTGACAATATCGAAAATTGTTATAAAGAAAAGTTAATCAGAACTAAAAACTACGTTAAAATATGCAATTACATCCATTTACATTAAAAAAAATATTTTTTCTTTTTTGTCTACAATATCAATGCAAATTTAACTGTAACATGTAATCTAGGATGCACTGATAAACAAATGATTTGTTGATATTCTAATACTTTTTGGCCTGCTAGATCCCCTGACTTAACTTAAGGTTTCATGTTTTTTCTAATCATAACAGATAAATGTTCATTTAAAATAAATAAATAAAAATTAACAAAACCTAATTTTTTAATGTAATTGTATGAAATTGCATATTTAAACGTAGTTTTTAGTTCTGATTAACTTTTCTTTATAACAATTTTCGATATTGTCAAATATAAAGGTACTTTACTCTTGCGCCAAATTCATATTTTTTGACATACCCCGTATACGACTAAAAAAAATTAATATTTGTGGGTTGCATTTTAAGTTTTACACCATGCAGAACTTTTTATGAAGAATAACTTTTTTCCTAAAATTAATAATAAAAAAGTTTTCCATATGATTCCAAGATACTGAGACATACTGTATATTTCTGTTTAATGCGGCGGCACATTCAAAACGTTTTTGTTGATAAGCATACAACTGCTGAAAATAACAAATTTACATTTATTAGGATAGAAATGTTTAAAAAAATACTTTCTAATAAAATAGCACAAATTTGCTAAAATTTGTAAAAATACATGAGATTTTTAAATAAAACATAATACCATGAGAAAAACTTGAAATCTCAAGAAAAAGCATGAGACCTGGCAACATTGCACATCAATGTCATATTCGCGTCGTTGTTCGCGATTCCCAGTACCACACTCCCAACCAACCCACATTACCAATCCTGTGCAACAAAAATAACTACATGGTGCATAAGAATTATGTCACCCGAATTCGCCAACCCCAATACTACAAAAAGCATGTTTTCGAAGGTAAAATTTCAAAAATTGGTTTATTTCTGTTGAAAATAAAAATTTAGATTAAATAAAGTTCATTTTTTTTATCTGGACTGCGGCAACGTTGCAAATTTAGGGTTTTGGTTGGTAAATAAAGAACCAAAATTGGTCGCATTGATTAAAACAAAATAAGCTAGTTATAAATCTTATTGTGGTTATGTATAAATTATTGTAGGTTACATTGTGCAGTTATCAAGTTGAGTTGTCGAAATTCGTAGTTAAAAATGCAATTAATTTGGCTTTGGTGGTGCTTGGATGAGTAAAATGATATAAAAAAGTAGTTAAATATAGGTTGCTTTACGGCCCAGAAGAGAAAGTATTCCTAGCGGATAATAATCTTTGCTTTGAAAAGAATTTATATAAGACATTTTTTGTGAACGTAAATGTTGTCCAATGGTGAATAGGTATTTTGTTAAAGCCAATAAGAATTATAATGTATACCCTGATGTGTGATGTAATATTTATAAAACCAAATTCGTTACTTTTTTTACTCCAAAAATGTCCATAAGGCGATGCACCTTTTTTCCATTGTGGCATTTGGCATAATTTTATCAAAATGAAGTTTTGGCCCCAAAGGGGTTTTACATTTGAATTCGTTACTATTTTTTTTGGCATAATTATCTTTTTATTTATAATTGACAAGTACATTATCGACTATAATTACACAAGAGCTTATTTTTAGCCGGATAAATTTTTGTTTTCCTTAAAAGTTTGTTACCTAGCAATTTGAAAAGAAAAAATGTCATCAATCAAAATTGCGAGACAGTAGGTCGAGCGATTTTGTCAGATGACATTTTTTCGAGTCAAATTGCTAAAAGGTAACAAGTTTGAAAGTTAGAAAACATAAATTTATCCTGCCAGAAAAAAAGCTCGAGTGTAATTCGACGAGATAATTTTGTGATTAATTTTTTTCATATTGCATGCCCAATTAAGCAAAATATTTGCTAAATCTTGCTGTGATATTGAGTCGAGTAGTTTGTAATTTCTCGCATTACAAAATGCCAAATATTGTCGCCAAATTGACGCTTTATTATTAAAGAATTATTTGGGATACTTTTTACAATTTGTTCTTTATTGTTTTTCGCCGGAAATGACACCAAAACGATTCATTTTAAAAGATTTTTTGACACCTGCTTTTAAAAAATAATTATTTGCAAGGTTGTCAAGGAAATGAAATGACACGAGGTAAATAAATAATTATCCACTTGCAAAAGTTACCTTCCTTTTTATCCGTTATCAAAGTGACTTAAATGCCATTCAACTACGACGTTTTCATGTAAGAATCAAATTATCAATAATAAATATTATTGTCAATTTGACAGTGTCAAAATATTTAATTAAATTCTTTAGCAGAAGTACCATTTTTAAATACCAAAAATACTAAGTCAAACTGGCATAAGCCACGAGTCCAGATAAAAAAAATGAACTGTAGGTAAAATAACACTATTATAGGTTTCTCTATGTGTAGGTAGTAAAATGTAAAATTAGGTCAATTTCTCTTAAAAATGAAAATTTAGGTAAAATAGGTAAAATAAAAATTATTTTCTTTAAAACAGATTTTATTCCATTGCACCTAAAGTTATAATTAACCCGTTGAGTGAAACAAATAGGTAATAACACTAAAATCCCATCTCTAGTTATAACAAATCCGTCACATGCTATTAGGTAGCACTTCTATAAAAGTGTGACAAAGGTGAAGGTCAAAATTTATGGACGCTGCCTTAGAATCTGTTAATTTGCTGCTTAATTCTGATATCCTAAGTAAATACTGAAAAAGGTTTATTTAGAATGAATTATGCGTACAGCTCCCGATTCGCACAATCCTAAATTACGAAATCGTAAATCTAAGACTTATCGTGAATGTCTTCAGCTTAACGTTATTTATTCTGTACTAATCATTGGAATCCATAATCTTTAAACGTTATTTGTCAGCTTAACGAAAGTTTAAGATTTCTTAAAAATTCTTAATTGGTTATTACCTTATTATCAAAATAAAGAATTTAATGAGTTTAAAAAATGGCGAATGCGCCGGGAATACATTTTACATAAAAAAGCAGTTGCATTTGGGAATTACATGCAGAATTTATTTGTATATGCTTAAAAAAAGTAAATATTTAAAAGACAAAATAAAAATTAAACTCGATAATTTTAATAAGTGTACCTTTTCAAACGCTTTCTCGGTTGCTTTACAAAAGTAATAAAAATATTTAATGATAAAATGTATTAAAAGCGTAAATTCTGATTAAGGAAAAATCTAATAAAATAAAAAATATTTAAAGTGAGTAATAAAAAACAAATTATGGTGAACGTACCAAACATGGTGAATGAGAATACTGTCTATTTAGCTCATTATTATTACCATGGAAATAATACTATTATTTCTATGATTATTACACTGGTCGACAGCAATTTTGCCACAGGGGGGTCAACAACCTTTCTGGGCTAATTTGGGTGGAAAAATTGGAAAAATTGCCTTTTGCATTTTTTTCGTTTATTCAGAAGGTTATGCAAAAAAATGCAATTTTTCTAAAAATTTACAAATTTGTACGGATAATATCCGTAAGATATCTTGTAGGTAACATAGTAATAGGTTTTCGGGATGTATATTTCGCTGAATATAGTAATAAGGCCTTCAAGTTTTTCTGGAGGTGTAATGCTCTTTTAGTCATATTAAATATGTGAAAAGGACCATGTTTGCACGTAGGCTTGGTTTTGATGTAAAACCACGTTGGGGCATACACTTTCATGATAAAAGTAGCCAATTCTTTTAGGTTTACCGATGGATATTAGCACACGGCAGCCATATGGAATGTGCTAGCTTTTCTGGATCTTTGTTAGCTATAGCTAACAAAGATCCTTATAAGGAAGTGGGATTGTACAAATTTGTTTGATCCGTACTCAATAAACTAGCATCTCGAGCAATTTTACTTCGATTACTTCAAAATCCACTACTTCATAGTTCAGGCCTTCTCCAGTTCTTTACCAATAACACCTGAAAAACTTTTCGGCCCTGTTGTTGTACCATCGAGGTATTTGAAGTAAACACACAAACCACTGTAGAGGGCGACCAAGTTATTTTTCCAGTAAAACGATGACAAACGATGTCCTCTATTTACCGCGGTACCATCACATTCTATTGCAACCAAATTTTAAAAGCACATTTGCACGAATTCTTTGAATCGCATTTACAAGTAGCAATATCAAATAGTTTTTTGGACTCGTCGCAGTATAACTTCTTTTTTACATCATGATGCATTGCATTGCGAAGTTTTTCACGCCCTTGTACTTGTTGTAATATGAAATCAACCTCGCCACAACTTGTTGATGGCTAACAATATGAATCGAAGTTTTATTTATTCCATATTTTCTCAATGACACAGGAAATAATTTCACACACATCTTTGATAGCATGGACTTTCTCACCATTTAATTCAAGCAAATCATTTCCGACCAACAAATAATATTTAATTATAACATTATATGTCGGCAACATGTTTTCAGAAATGTGGTTCACCTAATACAGGACATCACCAATCTCGAGTTTCAGGCATTTTGCAACCGCTCGATTATTAAGTCGGTATACAAAAATTATTTATTGATTGATAGGGACGCGGTAAGCGCCTCTATAGGATGGGAGTATAACTAATACTAAACCATGGACATGACAAAAAGATCAATATTGGTTTTAATCTATTGACATAATAATTATCAGTATATTGATAAAAATCCGCGCCTAAAACAGAATTTGTTTTTTTTCTTGCTGCGTGCGCCAACTAAAGATAAAGTCCTAGAGTCAAAATTGTTTGCATAGTTAATGTACTCATATGTGGTCAACAATAAATAATACAGGAAATAAGAAATACGAATTAAAAATTTTTTTCGACCTTTTGACTCCACCCTACTGCGCATCCGCCATTTTTGACAATTTTGAAAAATGTACATATAGCTGATCAATGATTGGCAATTGGAGATTGCCGAAAGGGTATATATTATATGAGTACTGCAGAATCCAACCATGAAACCATTGATGCGCAGAACTACTTATAGTTCCTGGTAGTACCTACTCATTGATGTGACAAAAGTAACTATTACTGCACTCAGAGAAATATCATGCCATGAAAAGCATATAAAATTATATTAATTTAAATAATCGGGTAAATTTGATTCAAATAGAAAATTTTGTAGTTTTATATTCATTTACCAACAGTTTTACAATACTTTTAAACACTTTTAAAGGGTACCCTCTTTAAAATATATATACAAAAAGAAATCTATTTATTTCATTGCCTTTCTCAACGTTGTTTCAAAGAGATATGTATTATAAAATTGTTAATTTAATGGGACACACCAATGACGCCAAAACATATTTGAATCCCTTTGAATTATTATCGTTTTGAATGATTCTACAACATTTTTTCTCTCAGTGTGTTGTCAAAGTTATCTGTGAGGTTTTATTGAAAATTGTATGATTTTGAACAATAAATTAAAATACTATTCTGCGCATCAATGGATACTACGTGCTACGTACACGGTCCGCTTTTAATTCTATATATCACTTGAATGGACTAGACATGAAATTATTTTTGTACCTAATGTTCATTGTAACATAAATCCTTTATGCACCCAACCAAGAACACTCTGGAGAGTGTTATTGCATCCAACAATGCAGCCAGTCAATTAACATAAAAATCATAAAATCCACCATGACTTGTACTCTTTTCGAAATTCCCAAATCATTTCTTTTGTATTTTTTAGTGCTCTTGGATGGAGACTGGGTCTACAAGTAGTTACAGGAGCGATTTCCGTAACATTCATCCTGGGCACCTTCTACAGATCGGCCTCCTTGTACCATCCTCAACGTCGCGCAATCCTGCACATTAAAAACCAAAAACGCAAGATCAAAGACAAAAACAAAATCGAAGACAAAGTGCCGTTTTTCGACTTCTCGACCCTCAAAAGCAAAACCGTCCGAATTTTACTCATTTCGACCGGCATTAGTGCATTCGGGATCAACACACCTTTGTTTTACCTGGCCTATCAAGCCGAGGTCGAGGGTTTGGGCGACTCGACGGTGTTCTTGCAGATGTACTTGGGGATGGCGTGGACGGTGGGTTGCGTGGTATTCAGCACGCTGGTGCTCCACAATTCCACGGAATGCAGGATTGCCAGGCAGTATTTGTGCCAAACTGCTGTCTTCATGTGCGGACTGTCCATTTTGGCTTTTACTGCGGTTAGCGGAAACTATCATGCCTATGTTATGTTTGCTTGGATATATGGTAAGAATTGTACTTGTTTGATAAAATTTTATATAAAAATCATTTATTTTTTGTAAAATAACATAAATATAGTTTATTTGGTCATCAAAAATATGTTAAAAGAGAAAGATGGCTTTTATTTTTTTTAAATAATGATTATGAGGCTTACGAGCTGCCTGCTGCGCCAACGAAACACTTAAGTGTTATAATTATTATTTTTTTTACTATAAATTGAGAGATTTTGGTTCGTTTCATGTTTTCAAACTTTTAGTACTACTAGTGCCTAATTACTAACTTAGTTTCAACATAAACCAAAGTAGCGCCAGATTTATACATTTGATGCATTTTTAGCTGTGTAAGTATCTGGGCCTCCGAGTTTGTTTTCTGAGTCTCATAATCCTCTCACGGGGAATTAGTTTTTGTGTTTTTATTGACAAAAGTATATAAGTTATTTCTCGGGGATTAATGCACAAGAGGTCATTTTTTACCGGATAATTTTGGTTTACGAAAATCTTTTTGCCCTTAAAATAATTCATAATTCAAGAGTAATGTTTTAATGTCAAAAAGTTTTGAGATAATTAAGAAGGTTATAGGTTAAAAATTGACCTCAAAGATAAATATACAGTGCTTGCAAATCCAAGTCCGACCGCACTGGAAAGGACGGCTGTTCAATACCCGCGTGAAAAGAACAAGGATAGAACGCCAAATAGAATTTGATTGGCCAGAGCCGGCAGGCTACGACAACGCATACCCATCGCGCACCTTGCAGCGTGCTTGCCTCGAGTCGAGGATATCAGAACGAGAACTGCAGTGGTGCCAGCAAGAGGTAGTAATTTTAGTAAAAAAGATTATTTAATTAAAAAATGTACACGTTGGAACAAAAAGTTCAGATTTTAATCTGGCACTTTGCTGGTAATTCTGAACGAGAAATTCAAAGATTATTTGCGGGAATGTTCGAGGCCAGACCAAACAGAGAAACAATTCGACGAAACGTTAATAATTTTTGTTGTTGCCCTAGTTCTCATGGAAAAAAATCAATTTTTTATTTTTAGGATTCGGGTATAAAATATTTAAAAAGAAAATTAAAATGTGCATCTACACTCTAACGCAGTTTGCTTAACACTAAATCATTTAGTCTAAATGCAGCCAGACTGAGAGTTGACCTCGCTTACAATTCGCACGCATCCGGGGCTCTGGCCAATCAAATTCTATTTGGCGTTCTATCCTTGTTCTTTTCACGCGGGTATTGAACAGCCGTCCTTTCCAGTGCGGTCGGACTTGGATTTGCAAGCACTGTATATATATAGATGTGTTCAGAAAATAACGGGAATTGTTAAATTTCGCGGGTTCGAAGGGGCCGGTTGTCATAAAATTTTCTTTATTATGCTGGTATACATGCCCTCGAAGTATGATAAAAACTTTAGCTGTTTTCATTGTTTACTTTGTCTGTGGCAGCCGCTAAGGTTAGACGTGTTTTATGAGTTCGGAGAGTTTTCGTTCGTTAAAAGAAATGGATCAATGAATTTGTATCCAATTTTGCTTAAAAAATGAAATAAATTCTGTGAAATGTTAACAAAGGCCTATAGTGAGTCTGCTATAAGTAAAACAAGTGTTTACAAGTGGTATAAGAATTCCAAGATGGTCATGAAGACGTTGAAGATGACGAACGCCCCGAACGCACAAGCACATTAACAACCGATAAAAACATGGAAAAAGTGGAAGAAATGGTTATAAACCATCAGAGAAGTCGCTGATGATGTTGGTATATCGATTGGCTCATCCCATGAAATTTTTTCGAATGTTTTGGGTATGAAACGCGTGGCAGAAAAATTTGTTCTAAAATTGTTAAATTTTGAACAAAATTTTTGTCCAAAAACAATTCTGTAATGATGCCCCAGCCTCCATATTCGCCAGACATGCCTCTGTCTGACTTTTTCCTATTCCCAAAAATAAAGAGAACCTTAAAGGGCCGTCGTTTTGCAAGCATAGATGACATTAAAAGCGCATCGCTGAAAGAACTAAAGGCTATCCCAAAGATCGAGTTTTAGAAGTGTTTCGAGTATTGGAAGAAGAGCTAGCACATGTGCATAAAATCCAATGGGGACTATTTTGAAGGCGACAACATTAATGTAGACGAATAAATAAATATTTGTTTCAAAAAACGAACATTTCCGATATTTTCTGAACACACCTCGTATATACATATATATATATATATATATATATATGTATCTTAAAGAAGGTTCTCCAAATATCTTGGAACACACTGACACAGATTTTAAAGGTTGCAATCTGACACTCAAAAAACTGTCTCTTACAGGCTTTTGTGTTTATTTATGTGGTTACATACAGGGTGTTTCTTTTAACTTGAGACAGCTCAATATCTCGAGAAATACGCATTTTACGGGAAAATGTCTTAGATAAAAGGTTAATGTGACGAAAGGGAACATTATTTGGTGCTACCGCTAGCCACCCCTACCCCTCCTTAAGGGTACAAGGAAACCCATTTTTTTTAAATTTTGAATTACAGCGCTATCTGTTGATAAATTGAAAAAATTTTCAAATAAAAGTTATTCATTTTTATATGTACTACCAAAATCTGCAAAAAATCGGGTCATCCCATTTGACTTTTCAAAGTTACCCCCCGTTTCACCCTTAAGGAGGGGTAGGGGGTGGCTAACGGTAGCACCAAATAATGTCCCCTTTGGTCACATTGACCTTTCATTTAAGACATTTTTCCGTGAAATGCGTATTTCTCGAGATATTGAGTTGTATCAAGTTAAAAGAAACATACCAAGTCTTTTATCTATTTAATCCAACTTTTAAGATCCATTTTTATCACTTTTAAAGAATTTTATTGTTCGAAATTTCTGAAATCCGTCGTTTTGATTGCTTAGTATATAAAAAATGTATTATTATTATTGTGTTTTTTAAATCCAAAAAAATATTTAGGGGTAAAAACAAACTGTCAAATTTGAATTACTTAATTAATGCTTAAGCAAAAAATGTGTTTATATTAATTTTCTAGTATACCTACGTAGGTATAGTACTATATGTACATATAAATTATATTAAAACTATATGAAAAATATAGAATATGTGAGTTCTTACTAGAAGTGGAATATATTTTTACACATTATGTCATGATTTATTATTAAAGTACAGGTCATTGCGGATAAATATGCATTTATGCATATTAAAGATAAGTAGGATTAAAATAGTGCAAAATAAACTATAATATATCATACCTAAAGTTTAGATAAAATACATCATGTATAATACATGGTGTTTTGTATAACATATTTTGATAATTTCCTACAAAAAATGACGGCATCGTCTTTGTCGTCGTCAGACGTGTCTAATTTTTAAAGGGACGAAAAAAAAACGGTAAAATTGGCGAAAAAACTAGGCCTTGGAAAATTTGTCTTTTTCTGGAAAAATTGTTTTTTTTTGGGAAATATACACATTTAAAAAAAAGTAGCAAACAACATCTTAACATTATTTTAATTTAAAAAAAAATATCCTTTATTACAAAAAAAACTTATTTGAATTAAATTGATTAGAGAAAATATAACTAAACGTTGAATATACTGTCGGTTGGGTCTTTTTGCAAAAAGTCCATTGAAAATATCCAATTACAAAATAATGAAATTAAAATATTATAATTTTATAAGTTGAAGTGTCAACTAAAACGAAAGTAATGTTAATACAGCACCAAATATGTTCTTTTTGAAACCCGGTATAAAAAAATAATAGAATCTTAATGAATTAAAAATAAAAGGAATAATTATTATATTCTTCATAATATTATAGGTACATATGATTATAATCAGCGTCGGAAATTACAAATAAAAATTATGAAATTTTCAGAAAATTTGACTTGCATTACCTTTTGAAAAAAATGTAAAAAAATGCAAAAGTCAATGTTTCCAAGTTTTTCCGAAAAAAAACCGGTTTGTTTCCCCCCGCTCAATTTTTCCGGAAATTTTAAAACCCCAGACTTGTCGTCAATTTATTTTAAGTACCAAATTATTTAACTTAAAATTTCTTGCAAATAATGCGCATAACCTCAAGTGTAATACTATATTTTATCTTATTATTGTATTAATACAATAATGCAGTGGCGGCTGGTGGATTTTGGGCACACCCATATATCTAATTAGATATGGGACCCAAATTAAATTTATATGAGTTTACAATGACATTATATAGACAAGTTCTGCGCAAGCAGAATTTAAAGAATTTAAGTTTGCGAAAAAAAGTTAGTTTTTAAGTGTGCCTCCCAGCCTCCTGCCCCCCAAATTAAGATAATTCAAATTAAAGTAGTACAATATTTAATTGACTGAAGTTTATCGACAAATTTTAAATTTTATTAAAAAATTTCAAGAATTACAGGTTTTATACCATTTTAAATTTTTATTATTTCTTTTACTAAATTTAAAAAAAAATAGAAATGGTATAAAATCTATAATACTTAATAAACTTCAGTGAATTAAATATCGTACCACTTTAATTTGAATTATCTTAATTTGGGGGGGCAGGAGGCTGGGGGGGACACTTAAAAACTAGCTTTTTTTCGTAAACTTCAATTTCAATTCTGCTTGCGCAGAACCCATGTCTAATAACTGAGATATGGGTGTGCCCAAAATCCACCAGCCGCCACTGCAATAATGAATAACTTCTAAGGGCAACTTTACGTCTAATAATATTAATATTAAATTATGTTAGAAGATATATCTTTTATAAAATAATTTTTCTTATCTGGCCACACTGTGCGCTGCTTTTTATTTTTTAAATTTTCCCAAATAAAATGTTTAATTGAGGTGACTATTATGTAAAAATCTGATTGGTCAAACTTTTTAGTAAGATACATGCCTCGGTGGCGCAGCAGGCAGCGCGTAAGTCTCATAATCTTAAGGTCGTGAGTTCGATCCTCACCCGGGGCATTACTTTTTGAAAAAGTCTGTTATTTTGATGACTAAACTTACTTTTTAAATTCTTTTAGGTATATTTTGTGGGGGATACCATTATTCCTTAAAAATGTACACGTACGAAAGAGTAAGGGCAAGAAACTTTGCAAGGACATGGGGTTTTGTGCAGTGCTCACAAGCCATTCCAATAGTAATCGGAGTTCCTTTTTCAGGTAAATAGATAACCAATTTAACATCCATATTACTAAGAAAACTTTTTTTTAGGATACATGAACGAAAAATGCGGCGACAGAGCCGGCTACTACTTCAGCTCAACCTGCGTGTTAGTTGGAAGTTTAACCTTGTTCCTCATCGATCTGCACCGCAGAAAAATTTCCCGCCACAAGCACACGCGCGAAAACGGCACCCGTCACCTCTGCGTGTCTGAGACTTGCCCGCAAAGAAGGAAACTCTCCTTCTCGCAGGAACCAGAAAACGACGGCGGAGTAACGGCGGGCGCCGCGGCGGCAGCACTTGTTTTGGGCGCCGACATCGCGCCCAACAACTCCGGCGGCCTATTGGACAACATAGTGATCTCCAACGATAAGGCGGAGTTGACTTGCATTTCCGAGGAGGGCATAGCCGACATGGACCTTCCCGATAACTTATTGGACGATTTAGATTACATAGGAGACTGCATAACGTCGTGTAACAAAGTAGAAAATTATTTAATGCTTAGCGAATTCGAGAATAATCTTATAGCGGAAATGCCTGTGATATTGGACAGGAAGGGGAGAAGGTGGTCGTTGGCCAGACCGAAAGTTGCTCAGAACACGGAAGACAATGCGATCGACGAGGAGAACGGCTTAACCAAAAACGGCAAGTGGAAGGTGTTTCCGAACCGCGTTATTACTGTCATAGATGAATCTTCGGTGTAAAACGATTTCATAAATCTGCGTTCGTTCAATACCGCACACGCGTTTTTAGAGAATTTTCTTTAGATATGTAGATTAGACTGGGCCAAAAAATCAACTATTTTTTTTTGAAAAGTATATCGAAAATATGGTTTGGGGCGACAAAAAAATTATTTTGAAAGTTTGAGTCCATAATATTAAGAGGTCTATCAACGCAAGTTTAATTTTTTTTCCCTCATCAAGTTTTTGTCTCAGAACTCCCAACCATTGAGATATTTTTTTAAGAAAATTAAATTCTCTACAAAAAAGGTTGAATAAAATTTTTCGTCAGATGAACCGTTTCCTTAAAATCATGCCCTAAACATTGGTATAGTTTTACATTTTGATCTTTTAACTTTGGAATTTTGTAATTCATGTGTAAAAATCAGTACCCAGAAAAAAACCGATGAATATTCTTATGGGAAATCAAATGCTCTACAAAAAAAGTCTTCTAACATTTTTGGCTAAATTCACTCCATCCAAAGTTATTCAAGGTTAAATTTGACAAGAATTTCGTTTCGACTTCAACTTTAACCTTGAATAACTTTTGATTGAGCGAATTTAGCCAAAAATGTTAAGAGGCTTTTTTTGTAAAGCATTTGATTTCACATAAGAATATTTATTGGTTTTTTTATGGGTACTGATTTTTACATGAATTTCAAAATTCCAGTTAAAAGATCAAAATGTAAAACTATACCAATGTTTAGGGCATGATTTTAAGGAAACGGTTCATCTGACGAAAAATTTCATTTAATCTTTTTTGTAGAGAATTTAATTTTCTTAAAAAAATATTTTCAAGTAAATTTTGTTAAACTCAATGGTTTGGGAGTTCTCAGACAAAAACTTGATGAGGGAAGAAAAAAATAAAATTGCGATGATAGACCTCTTAATATTAATATTATGGACTCAAACTTTCACAATAATTTTTTTTTGTCGCCCCAAACCATAGTTGATTTTTTTGGCCCAGTCTAATGTAGATTTATAAAATTGGTCCAACATCTACAAACACATATACTGCCGTTAGATGTAAGACTCTACCTCATATAAGCCGTCGTTAAAAACTGAGTACGTAAGTGGAGAGTACAATAAATTGGATTTGTTAATTTATGTAGCTAATATATTGAATAATGTACCTATTCTTAAAATGTAGTAATTTATATAATAAAAATATATTATCCAACAACAACGTAGTTTTATTTTTTGGGACTATAAATAAAATATATTATAAAAATGTATTACAAATTTATTTATTTGTACACAACTATAATCGTAAAATTATAATTACATTATCAATTAAATCAAAAGAATACCTATATACATACAATCAAACCTTTAAAACTTTTACAATACCGGATACTAAGTTTACAATAAACATAATTGTATTCATAAAAAAAAATGCTTTTGTGATATAAATGGTAATAACTGTACATTGCACAATACTTGAGATCATAGGCATAGTACAAAATTTGTACAGTAAATAATTTTGTTAAATACTAAATTTATTGTTAGTAATTTGTTCAATTTGGAGATCACGAAAACATTCACAAGTTAAAATAATATAAGGTTGGGTTAAAAAAAAATGAGAAAATGAGATCAAAATATAGAATTAAAAAACAGGGAATTTTAGTTCAAGCATATTAGGGTGGGCCGATTTTTCATGTAATTTCTAAATTTTAATAATAGGAATTTAAAAATAGGAAAATAAACATTTTTTGACAATTTTTTTTTATATCTTTATGTTTTGAACTGCTTCCAAACATTATAAAGTAATTTAAAAAACAATAAATTTTGCATAAGCGAAAAAGTTGTGAAACAGAAAAGGAAACTATTTTTCTGACATCTGAGAACTGTCAAGCGGTTTTAACCTCACTTTCCCAATGCACCAGCGCATTAAGTAAATAAATAAGTGCTGCCGCAAGTATAGTTTGGTTTTTCGGCAGTTCAAATGATTTAAAAAAACTATTATATTTTCCTTGCCTTATTAATGCACAACTTTACCACCATTGCACATTTCAATAATTGAAAAATAGTTGAATCGGCCCACCTCAATGCATCTACATATTAATAGAAAAATATAAAATTCAAAAATGCTTGTACAGTAAAATGTTTTAAAATAATAATAAAATATATTTAAAAAAAATAAAATATATAAATATTCTAGTGTATTTTTATAAAACTGTACTTTAAAATGATAATTAAGTACATTTGGTGCAATTTGCACAATTATATGTTAGATAATTAGAATTTTAAATAGTAACACTTTTTAAACAATTCTATAAAAATAGTGATTATGGTTTCGAACAGAGCATGTTTCGATTCTTTAAATAGTTAATTATAAAAATGATAACCTACTATTTAAAAAAAAAATTGCATGATCTATTTAAAGCCAATGTATAGAAATATTTATCTAGATTTGGATCACATTTTCTCAATATCATATGTAAATATTACACAATCAAATATAAAAAAGAATCACCTACAACTAAATAATCTTCAAGATTAAAAATTAAATATTTCTACGTCATAATATATTTCTTGTCGAATATATAAAATAAATTATAGGATTTAAACACTCCTCAAAAAAAATCTATCTATCTGTACAACAAACAGACACATTGAAAGATGATTAATTGTACTTGAATGCGCTCTCTTTTTAATATTAACTAAATACGTTTGTTATGTCATAACTAGTCATCTTTGAATGCTCACCCAAAAAAAGATTAAATCTAAAAAATTTTTGGCACGAGTATATTTTTTACCTTCAGGCAATACCGGTCCCAGGCGGCTCCGTACTTCTGTTGGCACCTTGAATTGTCTCTTGCCGATTTGTAAATCAAATTCAGCACTATGCCGAGGATTCCAAGTGCCAAAGGCACTGACAAGACGAAGGCGCCCAATGAAAGATTCATCAAAATGTCGCCTAGGTAATTCGGGTGACGCACGATGCCCCAGAAACCAGAAGCCAAGAGTTTGTTGCCTTGCGCAGTTGGAATTGTGTCGAAATCTGAAATAATTTATTGGGATAATAAAATTTCTTAAAAATTAATATTGTAATTAAAATGTTTTATTTAATATTTAGTATGAAAGGTTAAATAAATGTTGGTGTTTATTAAAACAACTTAAAATGTAAAAACTTTGAATGTGAAGTTTTAATTAAGATCAATGGAAATTATTACAAAGTACGACAAAATTTTTCCTGACCATGAAAAGTTACTACAGATTTTGAAAATATACTAAAAAATGATGAACCGTGTCTCGGCGTTTTTTCAGGTTAAGTCAATTTTTTTAAGTGCGAAAAAAAAAAATGTTACTCACGGTATTTGGGACATAATACATAACAGCTAGTCTGTATAGTTAAAAAAATGTATTCATTGAATGGATAGACAATCATTAGAGCTACATTATAAAATTATTTTAATTTCATACAGGGTGTAGCACATTTACCAAATATATCAAGTGGTGTTTAGTTCAGTTGTAATAAAGCCAATAAAGCCGAGACTAGAGCTTTAAATGTATCGGTAAATTTCCGATTTGTTCATGCATTGTGACTGGAGAAAAGTGTAAATTTAAGAACATTGAAATTTCGTTGTCAAATTAACAAGATTTGTCGGCACCATCTATGGTCGGCACTATGCAGGAATAAAGGGTCAATTTACCGATTTAATAGATCAATTCTGCGCACATCTGTAAGCATCTATAAGCAAATCTGTAACTTTCTATAAGCTTATAGACAATTTGCAATTCTGCGCTTCCTGTAGCTTACAGAAAATCTTATAGAATCGTAAATTTTTACGATCGGGTGTTTCCCAATCGTTGCTAGTTACAGATGGTTTTTGTTAGGTTATGTCAAGCTATTTTAAAAATTAAAAACATGAATATTTTTAATTATGTCAATTTGGATATGATAATGGTAATATTTATCAATTGGGACAAGCAGCCTGGGCCAACTACAAAAGAAATAATTTTAATTTTGACTAAATAAAACAATAATTGTATTAATACAAAGAATTATTGTATTAATATAAAAAAATAAACCACAGCCTACTCGGTCAAAAAAGAAATAAACACAAAATAAATAAATATTCTAATTAGTCAAAAATTAATGGGAAAAATATCAAAATTTGGATTTAAAAATTTAATTTTTTTCATTTCAAATCCTAATTGTTCTTCTTTCAGCTTTATATAATTTTCTAAATAGTTTTTAATAAGCTCAAAATGTTTTTTTTTATTTTCTGCTCCTTGTTCAAATTTATTAAGTTCCTGCCATCTTTCGCCCAATGCATAATCTTCATCCATTGCATCCATATACAGTGTGTATTAAAACGAATAGATACACTTAAATAAAACAAGTGCCAAACCCCGCCCACTGTGGTAGGAATTGAAAAAGTTATTTTCGTTATTTTAGAATTATTTTTGTTTGAGAATTTATAGGTTTTATTTTTATAGAATTCGTTTGTTTTGTTTTAATGCATTTCTGCAAATAAAAACTAAGTATTGTTTAATAGTATATTATGTATCAAGTTTTATAAACGCTATTTTAGTTACGAGTTTAATTAAGCACGAGCGAAGCTTGCGAGCGAGTGTTTAATAAAAACGAGTGTCTAGAGAAGTTTATAAACGAGCTGCATACTATACTTTATCTACGACGAACACAAAACAGAATTTAAAGCCAATTTTATTTGTTAAAATTTTGACATCTGTCAACTGTCACCCGAGTTTAACCTCACTTTTTCCCAATTTATAATAAAGCTAACTTCAGCCCGTGACGTAAAATGTCGAAAAGCCACTGTTGTAAACTTCAGCCCGTCAATAAAACGCCATAAAGTCACAGCTCGTCAATGTAGGAGTAGATAAATTCCATTAAATTCCAGTTAATGGCGAAAATGTATTTCTTAAAAACTATACACATTTGCCTATGACAGCGTCAGAGCTACTGAACAAAGTAGATCAAACTGCATGCCCTTGTATCTGGCTGCATGCCGCGCTGTTGCCATATGCTATTATTGTTTCCTAAAAGGGTTGTTTTTCTTATTTTTTAATATTAAAAGTAAGAAAATTAACTAAATCAAATTATTTTTGACATATTGTTAATTTTTTTGTTATTTTTAAAGTTTCAAACAAATAAAATTAAACTATTTATTAAATAATTATAATCGTTCTCTTCTGATTTAAAACAACCTGGCAACTATGGTTCGTAATTACGAATGGCTTGGTTTAAACCACGCCCAATTAAAGTTTGTTTCTTTTTCTTTAATCAGAATATAATTTGTGATCCTTGTCTCCAGCCTTACTTACTTGATTCTATACAGTCTGTATAGTTCAACAGTTAAGGAGTGGTGTTTTTTTTTCTTTTTCTCTTTGTTGCTTTTGCGTTACCACTAACCATTGATTGACTTCTTCACTCAACGCACTAACAATTTTATTCATTATATTATATGTTCTTTTAAATGTAAAATTATCTTACCTCATTTTATTCCTCAACCAGTTTAAATTTCTTTACTTTTTGTATTATATTATATGCTGGTACATAAATGAAAACCGATAAACTGGATAAACCAAAGAATACATATAAAAATATAGGTTATGTTTGATCGTAAGTAAATAGGCGTGAAGTTGCAGTAGTTCGTTTATACTACTTTAAAATGGACATTTACAGATAACATCCCAGACTTGCCACTTTTACGATTCTAAAAGCATTATAGTTACATATCATGTAAGCTATACAGGGTGTTATGTAATTAATGTTATATATTAAAATGGGTTGTTCCTTAGGGTCCATAAAGAAGCACCTGAAACTTTTTTTTTTCTAAATTCCAAAGTCTAAAAATAATTTATAATAACCTTTATCCTACCAAAAAGTACGCCACTGATCGACTAGGAACTTTAGGTTAATCTGGTGGATTTATTATGTTATGGTTGGTAACAGTGTTTAAATTTAGCTTAATTACAAAAATGACAAAATTAACAATGCAAGTTGTCAATTTGGCGTTTTTATTAATTATTGGTTATTTCATTTTTGTACTGAAGGTAAATTCAAACAAAATCTGCCAACTTTTATGACAGAATCTAGTGCATTTCTTTTAAATTTTAGGTTATGTTTTCAAATTGTAAATATCTTAACTAAGGGAAGTGCTTTTGGATTTATTTACACAAATTAAATGTTTAAAGTTTAACCTGTGAACTGGTCCCAATTTCATCTGAGTAAACAGAGAAAAAAACTGATGAAATTAATTTTGTGGTTATGGATTTCAAATTTCAAAGGTACTAAACTTTCTAATCATTGCTTAAGCTAATAGCTGGATCAGTAAATAAATACAGAAGGGTATTAGAGCTTTAAGGGCATAAAACTTTTGTATTTATTGAGTTTTTATTTATTTTTTGCAAGAAAAATTTTTAGTAACAATTTTTTACATCTGGCAACGCATAGCTACTTTGTTGGTTGGTATCTATGTACTCACAAAATACAGGTGTGCAGAGATAAACAAGTGTGTAACCAGTGGCGTATCACAAAAAATATAAAAAACTTCTAATGCATATTTTTTCTTTATCTTTGGAAAAATGTTTTTTTAAATATTTTTCCTTTATTCCTTATATCAAAAGGTATTCAGTATTTTAATATATAACATTAATTACATAACACCCTGTAGATTTACGAATTTACAGAAATTTTACGAGAGAACCCAGAATTGACCTATTAATTTAAATCTCTATTATTGAGGCCACAATACACACAAAAAGCTTAATTTACCATAACCCACAAATTTAAATTTTACAGAATAAAGTTTGTTTTTTACAAAAGAGTAAAATGGTTTTCTTAGCATTCATTTAAGGCTTACAAGAGCCTATGTAAAAAACAAACGTTTAAAACAATTTTTAATCTGTATAAACAGCACACTCAAAGCAGAAGAATTGCAAACCACATAAAAATGGCCGCCGCGGCGCCGCTAGATTCTGTGCATTGTTGCAGTGATTTTTAGCATGCACGAAACGAGATAGAACAGATTAAGGTAATCTTGTTACTTAATAAACACTGTGTATACTTTTTTTGGTTATGTTGGTTTGACAGAAAGTCAATTAGTCAAGGAAACAAAGGTTGTAGAAGGAAAACTCGATGGTAGTCGGGTTTTATTTTTTTTATGTAGAGTCAGGGGTGCTGATAATGAATCAATAATATTCTCCAAAAATTTCTTTCCGCGTCCCCTAATTTCATCCCCCGAAAGGGGAATTTTTTTGCTTTTTGGCTCATAACTCGCTAACCGTGAATTTGTTTAGAATTTGACCTCTAATACTTTTGATTATGTACTAAATAAAGCACACGTTAAACCCCATTGCGCACCTATATGATGCCTTTTTGCTATGCGCAGTGTCCAAAGTTTAGCGTTGCTTTAAAAATCACTTTTTTGTTTTTTTTTTATTATAGCCCAATTTTAAAAGTAATCGATCCCAAACCTTACGGTAATCAAACATAACCGAATGGACGATTTTTTGAGGTACTTTCTTAAAAAATTACTGCTTTTCAATGTACAGGGGATTCTTTTTTCAAAAAACCCATTTTTTATTTCCCAAACGGCTTTAATGAGCCAGTTCGTTCTACCCTAGATTTTTAGGTACACTTATCCTCGTAACGAATCCGTAGTTTTTTAAATTATTTTCATTGCAAGTGCCCCACAAAAATTAAAGTTTTGAAAAAAGAACCCCCTGTACATTGAAAAGCAGTAACTTTTGAAAAAAGTCTAGTACCTACCTCAAAAAAATCGTTCATTCGTTTCTGTTTGATTACCGTAAGGTTTGGGTTCGATTACTTTTAAAATTGGGATATAATAAAAAAAAACAAAAAAGTGATTTTGAAAGCAACGCTCAACTTTGCAAACTGCGCATAGCAAAAGGGCACATCATATAGGTGCGCAATGGGGTTTAACGTGTGCCTTATTTAGTACATAATCAAAAGTATTAGAGGTCAAATTCTGAAAAAATGCACGGTAAGCGAGTTATGAGCCAAAAAGCAAAAAAACTCCCCTTTCGGGGAATGAAATTAGGGGACGCGGAAAGGAATTTTTGGGGGAATATTCTTGATTCATTATCAGCACCTCCGACTCTACATAAAAAAAATAAAACCCGACTACCATCGAGATTTCCTTCTACAATCTTTATTTCCGGCCATTTCAAGCGCGCGAAACGCTCAAATTACAAAACTGTTATTATTAAAAAAAATTGTAGGTTATTTATTATATAATATTTTGGCATCAAAATTATCGAAAATATTCTTCTTTTATTAGGTTATACATGAAATTAAAAAAAAATCAAGAAATATTTTATAAAAGTAGAGATAGTTTTACGCTTGAAATGGCCGATATGTCACTTAATAAACATAGCAACGGCTTGGCAACTCAACAATCAAAATCAATATAAAAAATTTATCCCGAAATTTATCGATTAATCGTTTTTTTTATTTTTCTATGATTTTTGGGAAACAACAAAGCCCACAACTACAAGGAAATTGTACAGCTACAAGGAAATTGTTGCAATACATTTTCTTCATGTCTATTCAAACAATTTTTCACCAAATTTAGCGAATTGGCGAACGTTTTTACTAAGGCATTGTAACAATAATTGTTGAGAAACGCTTTAAAGCAAAAGATATCAGGCATTTGCTGGGTGAATATTGCTGGTAAATTGTTCAAGATTCCAAAGCAACAACATATTGAACATGAAGATAAATTCAAGTCTACTGTGTTTTCGAAAAAAAAATCAATATTTTTAAAAAAATTTAAAAATTCAGTTTAAGTTTGGATTATGTAAAAACATCAATTATTTGAATTATTTATAACAAAGTAGACAATTAAAAAGCTGTATAAGTAAAATAATAAGACTGGCTGCATAAAAAATGCTTAATAGCGTTTTTTTAATCTCTACTTTCAAAATCTGTTCAAATTTTTCATGAGAGGGAAATCGTGTTGAACCGTGTTATGCTTCATGTATGTTAATGCAAGTAGCAAAAAAACATTTTATTTATTAACTCTCCTAACATTGCAGCAATTTAGGTTTATTTTCCGTAAGTAGTAATGCACCTTCTTTATTTATGTAGGAACAATAAACTAATTAAAAAAATCAAATAAATAATGCAAAAAGGACTTACGTGCAACAGCTGGACTGTAGGGATTCTTCTTGAACGCGTGCTTCTGGTTGTTTGACACCCTGTAGAAAATGTAGCCGATCAGGAAAACCAAAGAAATAGTCGACAAAACCCACACGTTGTGTTTCACGTTAAGGTAGACGATGTGACGTATAACGGGAGCGAACACGAACGGATAGAGCAAGGATCCGATGGCGGCGGCGTATCCGAATCCGCTGTGGTGGATTTTGTACGAACTGATGGAAGTTTGTTCGGCAAACAGGTAGTCCAGCAAGTAGACGGTGGTGAGTGCGAAATAAACGAGAACCGTCGGGTCGTAGTTGAGGGATTTTATGTCGAACGCTTGCTGGGTTCCGTTTTCGTTTTTAGGTAGTGGGCTCAAAACGCCCAGGCTTTTGCATAGGTAAGCAGTGTTAATTAACAACTGTAAAAAATAAGATGCAGATTTTAGAAATAACAAAAAACGTATTTTATTTATATACTCGCCAAGCCCTCAAAAATCCATGTTTTTAAAATCCACTACTTTTTTTGACTAGCACCAGTTACACTGCGTGCCGAAAATCGCCAACGTGTCACAATAATGGCAAATTAGGCTAACTTAAAATGTCTTTTTTAGTTTAAATGTAACACCCGGTATGTTTGTGTTATTGGTTAAAGGTTTTAATATTTTGTACAAATTATACAAAAAATAGCTTGTTGGTCAAAAATGAAAGATTGCAGTAAAAGGGTCGCTAACTTTAATGGAAAAGAATGTTGGCTATTCCTTTGAATGGGTAGTTGAAAAATATAAAAACATTGTAGAATGCAAAATGAAGCCGTTACCAAAAATCGTAAAGTTAATTCAATCATTTGCCTAAAAGAAAGCGCTTATTTTGTATTAGTTCTTAAAGAAATTATTGCTGATATTTCTTTATTTCAAAAATATAATAATATTTTTTGAAAGACGATATCTGTTTCTGTATTCTTCTATGTTTAAATCTATAAAATATTCAGGTCTTGCACGAAAGTTACGGTTTTATAGGAAAATTAACATTTTCTACTAATTTAAAAAAATCTTCATCCGTTAAATGTTCTACCATTTTAATGCTAACCACAGATAAATACCAATAAAAAAATACACAGTGACTAGAGGCACGCTAACGTACCGCGTTTGAAAATATTAAAGGCACGTTGGTTACGTCATAATTATAATCCGCTTTTGTTCACCGACCGTTTAATATTTGACAACAAGCTAGATGGCTTATATGGTAGGGCGTTCGCTTGGCATGCGAGAGGTCCCGGGTTCGATACTAAGAAGTTGTCGAATTTTTTTTATTTTTTTATTTCATAAATTTGTTGTTTCTTTGTTAAACAGTGTTCGGTTGGGTTGGGTTGGTTGGTTTGTTTTAGTTTTATCGTAACATAAAATCTACTAGAAGTTGTCGAACTTTTTTTATTTCATAAATTTGTTGTTGCTTTGTTAAAAAGTGTTTTATTTTTATCGTAACATAAATTTGCCCATTTTAGTTGGGTTTTTTGTTCAATGGGGCGGGGGGGCCAATGGGGCGGGGTCGGTTGGGTTGTGTTGTTGAGTTTGGGATGGTTTGAGTTTATGACGTAACTAACGTGCCTTTAACATTTCAAATCGCGGCACGTTAACGTGCCTCTAGTCACAGCGAAAAAAATAATGAAAATTTTTAAACGTTGACATTTATAAGGTTATGTGTGTTCTAGCCCGGCGTTAACCACACAAAATTCACGGATTTGTTAATTGTATGTTGATCACTTAATTAAATTTTAATCAAGTTTTATACAACTTGAAAGTTAGCTTAATCATTACATAATTATTATCAAAAGTTAACCAGCTGTTTACCAACTGTTATACAACTGGGCCTTAGTATTGGTACCAGTATAGTATATTTACTATATTTAACTATTTCTAAAATTTTAAATATTATTTTGTATCAAGAAACCTGTGACGGGTGAGTTGACGGTATCTATGGTTACCACGTAATCTGTCAGTGTTGAAAGTTGAAAGGCGTCAATTTTTCAGTTTATTATAAACAATTTGTTAACTAAGTGTTTTGTAATAGTACATTCTGTAACAAGTTTGGAATACAGCATATTCCGCTCGAGTGAAGAGTTTGTCACACGAGCCGAAGGCGAGTTTGAGGGTTTCACGAGAGCGGAATATGCAATTCCAAACGTGTTTCAGACTATACTTTTTCTACGTTTCTAAAAAATACCATAGAAGAGTCATTTGATTGGAAGAAAGTGAGGTTGGATCGGTCTAAAATTTGTTAGATATTAAAAACAGAGATGTCGCCACGAGTGTTTATTCTGACATAGGATGATAGAATATTTCATTCTGTAACACTTTACGGAATATATGTCATTCCATAGATAAAAGTGGTAATAGAACGGTCAAATTGCGAAATAGGAGTAGAAAAACAATATTATTGATAAAAAATAATATTTAAAATGTTAGAAATTGTTAAATATCTCTGAAATTATTAACTTTAGGTATAGGGAATAGTAACATCAATTGAAAGGTTTTTTAATTTACTATTTGATTATGTAAAAACTTACCGGGTGTTACATTAAAAATAAAAAAGTTAACCTTTCAAGTTGGCCTAATTTTCCTTCATTTTTTTTCAGGTAATTTGTTAAAAAATGTTAAAGAATTGACATGAATTCTTTTAAACAATGTTTTAAGATTCTAAAAATTCCAACCCTATATTTGCAAACCTGATAACAAAAACGTTATAGGCTATTTTTGATTGACGCGTATTTCTTAAAATTTAACAAATTAACTCGAAAAGAATTCACTTTAGGTATAGGACATGGTATAGTAATTTTACTAAGAATTTGATGTTGAATTTAAAAATGTAAAAATATATGGGGTGTTTCATTTAAAATAACCGGTTAAACCGGAAGTGGCATTTTGTTCAAAATATTTTAGAAAAATAGACTTGGATTATTGGATTATAAACGCTTTTAAAATTTTAAATCGATATCTTTTTTCTTTCCCCAGAAACTTCTAACGGACCACGAATGTGAAACACCCTGTATATAATAAATAAAATAGGGTGGGCCAAAAAAACTTTTAATTTTTTTTCTTTAGTTACCATGAAAATATCGTCCAAGATGACGAAGAAAAAATTCTGATAAAGTTTGAGCTTAATATTAAGTGGATTTTTTATTTTCCATTTAAATAACACGGGAAAAATACATTTTTTGTTTGGAATTTTATTGCGTTTTAATGAATCAGTAAGTTGTAGAAATCAATACATATTCTTGTAGGGAATTAAACGATCTACAAAAAAGATCTGATATGATTTTTTGCTTAGTCAGCTCGTTTAAAAGTTATTTGAGGCTAAAGTTCAACCTCAAATAGTAAATGATGATTTTTATAATTTTTCATACTCTATTACGAAATATTGGCTCAAAAACATGAAAACAATACAATTTTTAAGAAATATCAATAATCGCGAAAAACCTGTTTTTTTCTATATTTAATTTTTAAATGGAAAATAAAAAATCGCGATGAGCCACCTCTTAATATTAATGTTAAGAGCTCAAACTTTATCAGAATTTTTTTTTCATCATCTTGAACGATATTTTTATGGTAGCTAAAGAAAAGAAAATTAAGTTTTTTTTGGCCCACCCTAAAATACAATTTCTTTATTTATAAATATGCGCCTATTTATTAAAGAAGAGATAATGGTTTTACTTGATGGATAAAAACTTAAAAATACTCACAGTTCCAATGACCGAAATCCTGGTGACATAGAGCTTCAAATCGATGATTCCAAAAATCCGGGGACTAGTTTCTTTTCCAACGAAAAAACTGTACAGTCTACTCCTACCAACGCTGTTGATGTTAAGGGCCGAAACGGATACGTAAAAACTCCGTATATAAGCGTACAACGAAATCACCAAAGCGCTTGCAATGCTCGCAATCAAAAAGTGGAATGTGTGATCGATTATGTAGTTCAACACCGGAATATTTCTAAGCTGCAAGCCGATTTCTATGGATAAGACAATGGCGAATGTGAAGAGAGAGTTGATGTTGTAATCCAGTTTTCCTTGTTTGTTCGGCAGGCCGCTGATGCGTTTCCCGCCAAAAGGCAGAGCGGTGAGCACAGCCATTACGGTTAAAAATGCGACGTATACGAGCGAAGCTTTAAGATCAAACCAGGTGATCAAAAACTTAAGTTTGTCCATGGCGGGCGTTCTCTTGAAAGAGCACGAGATACCCTCACAGGAGTTCAAGAGAACAACAGCGGCAGGTATCAGTAAAACAAAAGCCAGGGCGCCAAGTGCGCCGCTAAAATCTCTGGACTTTTTACCGCCGCTGATGTTTAAAAGATCGCTGGCCTTCTTGATGTCGCTCACGTCGTCTTCGTCGGAAAACTCGCCCAATTTTTTCGACACCGCCTCGAAGTGTTTTAAGTGCACGACGCGTTCGACGTCCCTGTTTTGAGAACGCGTCACTCTCTTCGCGCTGCTGCTGCTGCTGACGAAGCTGGTGGTCTCGTCGTCCGAGCCGAGATCCTTAATCGAATCAAACTAAAGGGAAACGTTAGTTAGTTTCTTTGTTGACTTATTGTAACTTACAATTTTTACTGGTTCAATTTCGATGTCAATCCTTCTCGTCCTTCCTCTGACGGTTGCCTTGGGTTTTTCTTTTACTTCTTTTGTTGGTTCAACATAGTCCGAGTCCTCCTCACTATCGATTACGATTTGTTTTCTACGAGATACTGAAATAAAAACACATTTTAACATGTACAGAGCTTCTGGTATCTGGTGGTCAAAATCTTTTATTACATTTTGAAGTCAATGTTTAAATTTTCATTTATTCAACATTTTCGCCAAATTTATTCTATTTTTGAAGACGGACGACGTTGATTCTAGGGCTCGATTATTGATTATCTAAAATAATCGATTTTTTCGATTAATCGATTATTTGATTAATCGATTATTAATTAATCGATATTTTGATAAATCGATTACACTGTAGGGAGGTCAAAATATCACAGCTAAACGCTCGGACACATAAACTTAATTTTTGGTCGTAGATTACAAATCCGTGCTTGGTTTAGCTGTATCAGGTCAAAATTCAAAGATATTGGAAACACTGTATAAATTTTAAACCATTTGGCGAGAACCCAGTGGCGGCTGGTGGATTTTGGCACACCCATATCTCAGTTATTAGACATGGGACCCACATCAAATCTATTTGAGTTTATAATAACATTATATAGACAAGTTCTGCGCAAGCAGAATTTAAATTAAAGTTTGCGAAAAAAAGTTAGTTTTTAAGTGCAACCCCCAGCCTCCTGCCCCTCCAAATTAAGATAATTCAAATTAAAGTGGTACAATATTTAATTCACTGAAGTTTATCGACAAATTTCAAATTTTATTAAAAAAAATCAAGTATTACAGATTTTATACCATTTCAAATTTTTTTAAATTTAGTAAAAGAAATAATAAAAATTATAAATGGTATAAAACCTGTAATTCTTGAATTTTTTTAATAAAATATGAAATTTGTCGATAAACTTCAGTGAATTAAATATTGTACCACTTTAATTTGAATTATCTTAATTTGGAGGGTAGGAGGCTGGGGGTTGCACTTAAAAACTAACTTTTTTTCGCAAACTTTAATTTAAATTTTGCTTACGCAGAACTTGTCTATATAATGTCATTATAAACTCATATAAATTTGATGTGGGTCCCATGTCTAATAACTGAGATATGGGTGTGCCCAAAATCCACCAGCCGCCACTGCGAGAACCACAAAATCATCTCGATTACTGTTACTTTTTTAGTCAACATAAACGGCATAAACGCTAAAAATCGAGCTAAATGGCAGTACCCAAGTACTACTTCTGTTCAGCGTCCAGTGCAACATTCACCTGACTCTTTAGTGCCTAAAAATATATCTGAGCCCTTAGTACAAGACAATAAAGAATCAAGCTCATCAGAAAATGATACTGATTTTAAAGATTTATTAAACAAGTCAAAACGCTTTTCACAAAACGAGTTAGATGATCTTGTAAGAGATTTGAGTCTTCCTAAACAAGCTTCAGAATTGTTGGCATCAAGACTGAAAGAAAAAAAATCAATTTCTCCAGGCACTAAAATTACTTTTTATCGTGAAAGAGAAAAAAATTACGTAGTTATTTCTTCAAAGAAGTTTGATAAACGCCATTTTAGTCACGAATTTAAAATAGGCACGAGCGAGCTTGGAAGCGAGTTTTAATTAAATGAGTGTAGAAATTTCATTACTGAGTTGCATACTATACTTTTTCTACGACAAATACTTTTTATTACCTAAAAATGACTTAAATTAAATAATTGTATATATCAATACCAAAAAAGTAAGCATACGCGTAATTATGGGAATCTGTATTAAGTACCAAAATTTTCTACAAACTTGAGTTTTTTTAAATGGATTTAAAATCTGCAAAAAACACTCAATAAAAAACAAACATTTACAAAAAAGAATTCTCTTAATTATTTTTGTTTTTGCATAATTTTGTATAATAATTTTTTGAAAAAAAATAAAATTTTTATTTCTTTAAATTGTGTGTCCGGATGGTGCACCCATATCATACCAGGTTAAAAAGAAAATTACAAAAAATATTAGTTATAAGGGTTAAAATATTTTATTTTATTTTTATTTTTAAGAACATTTAGGTCATTACAATGTCCGTATGCACCGTAAGGACTTAGGCTCAATTAAGAGTTTAATCTCGCTTAGTTCGAAAGTTTGTCATGCACCGCGCGAAAAATGTAGTTTAAGTGTTCGATTACGAGATCCACCGGCGAGGTAGGTTTAATCGCAGGATTAACTGATTTTCTAACCAAATTGATTAGTTTGGTTAGGGTTGGGCTTTTGTTGTAGTGGATTTCAAGGACTATTATAATTAAATCATGTATTTAAAAGAAGAACTATTTGTAGAAGATGATCAAGATATTCTGGATATAATTAATTTTGGATTTCCGCGACGAAATTATGAAAGGAGCGAATATTTTGACACCATGGACAATTTTTCATTTTTTCGATTGACTAAACCCACCGTTCTAAACTTTCTTAATGAAATTGAATATTGAAGTCCAGTTCTGTTAGTATTTTTGTCTTCCAATATTTTAGAATCCTCATAACAATCATCATTAGATTTTCTTTTTCCGCTAGTGAAAAGTTAGGAATTCTGGTCTCCCATTTTATAGACAGACAAAGGATGATCCAAAAAAATTTTCTATATAAAAACTATATATTAGGCATATAACAAAAAAAATTAAGTTTTAGTTTGTCAACATGTTTCTCTATAGTTGTCATTCGATTTGAATTTACGATTGACAGTTTTTTGTGGTTTTTTGACAAATAAAACAGCTTTGCCAAATCGCCAATCCAGATTGCACAATCCGCGTACGGTGCATTATGATGGAGAAAGATTAACATAATCGCGATTTGCTAAAACGGTGCAAACGGGCATAAAAGGATTAAATTATGTTTCTATAATAAAAAAATATATTTTTATTTATTTATTTCAAGTTTGGGTTTTCTGTCAGATGCTGTCAGAAAATACATGTGTCAACTTTGTTAACTTCATATAGGTTGTTTTTCCAAAAACTCTTCTTAGTGTGATAATATTATACTGTAAGTATTATACTGTATATCATATACAGCACAGTAAAAACCCAGCATTTCCAAGTTATTTAAATGCTTAATATTAATCGATATTAATTTACTTGTTTACTCAAAAACTGCTTTAACAATAAAAAAATTATATTTTTTCATATTTTTAATAACCCCCCTCCCACCAAAAACCTTACCATAGTGCTCCAATTTTTGAAAAACCCTGAATAAAAATAAATACGTTTTTGTCACAAACAAATTTGTTCTTCGTATTTTTTTAAATAAAGTGATAAAATTACCAAATTACACACTCAAAGATGAATCCATTTAAAATGTCACTAAAAGAGAGACCTTGCAAAAAAATGTCCATCAAACCTAAACATTTTAATGTGATGGAACCATTGATTCACAAAACTCACCAGGAGACAACACCAAGGAAAAACAATCCAGAAAAGTCACTGTATATTTTAGAGCATATTTTTTTTAAATTACAATTTCTTGTGTAATGATATAGGTATAAAATACGCAATATGTATGCATAACTAAATAAAACAATACCTATATTTTGTTTAGGGATGCACCGGATCTGGTATTTTGCCGATCCGGCCGGAACCGGAATTTCGGCCGCTGGCCGGACCGGATCGCCGGAATTCCGGCCGGATCGGGACCTAAATTTAAAATGTATGTTCATGCCTATTTTTATACGTAAAACATTAAAAATATTGAGGCTGACTTATTTTTACTTTTTTTTAAACTAGCTACAGTATGCAGAGTGTTTATTACTATGAATTTTACCTAGATAGAAATTACTGTTTATTTAAATATTAATTTTTAATTAGCGTTAACAAAATTAAAACAATTCTACTCATTCAATTGGAGAATAGCAGCCACCTGCCAATAATAAAAAATTAAAAAGAAGTTGGGGAACCACAGCCGCCGGTCTATCATAGGCAAGGAAACACGCACATCCTTTACTGTTGACAAAATTTTTGTTTATTAAAAAGTTATTAAAAATATGAAATGTGTAAAACCAAATCGAAAATGAAAACCTGTAGAACATAACTCCATATGAAAAAAGATTTATTTTTATTTTTTAATTTAATTTGAATCCTAATTCGGGAAAATTATGTTTTAAATTTAAAAAAATGTTTGATCATTAAATAAAATTCTCATAAATAAATCTTATTAAAAAACATTTAAAATTGTATTACAAACATAATAAATTGGAACAACCTGTAGAATTGAGAAAATCTAAAAAAATAAATAAGCAAAAACACAGTGCATCAAGTTTTTAAGTAAGTTTACATAGATAATTATAAAATATACAACAATGCACAAAAAAATGATATAATGCAGATGATATGAAAATTTAACCCAGCTATTTTGTAAAGATTTACATTATTTTAAATAAATTTTAATAATTTAACATTGTTTATACTATCTTTATAAAATGTAAAAGAAAAATTGAGATTATAGAAAGAAAGATTACGTACAAAACAATTAAATGTACTTACCACTTTTGGGCTCTTCTTGACTTTTTGAAGATTGTCTAGCCGGTGACCTTCGAGAAGGACTGCTTCTGCTAGGACTCTCAGCTTTTTTAACTCTTCCTGGACTTCTGTTTCTTGCAGGGCTCTTGTTAATCACAGGACTCTTCTTCTCGGCTCGACTGGGGCTCTTGGTGCGACTTGGGCTTTTTCTGCCTGGGCTTCTACCCCTCTTCTTTACCTCCACATCCGCCGTTTCCACTTTTTCCGACGCAGTTTTCAACGGTATTTTTGTTTTACCCACCATAGTCAAGTCGATGAATCTGATAGTACCTATGTCAAAACTTATTAATAGGTACTACTTAATAAATTTATTTTGATGTATTATTTAAAATTAAATTTATATTTTATAAGAGGAAAAAAGATTATTATCTGGATATATTCAAAACAAAAAATTAAACATGATATGCTAACAAGTCACTTTCAAAAACCATCATTTGGTAACATGATCCAATTTTTAATTTCTAGGTTTATGTTTGAGGAAGGTACTATAATTATGCAGCACAAATTAACATTAACATTAATTTAACCAATAGGAGGGTATAATGGACTTAATGTTAATGTGTTGCATAAATGCTTCCATAGTATTACATTCATTTTAACTTTTTAATGTTAATCTTAATGTTAATGTTAATTTGTTCTGCATACATCCACCAATAGTGTTATTATTAAATAAAAAGCTTCACAATATTCTTTAAACAATCTTGGTTTTACCACAGCAAGCTTCAAATAGAGATGCTTCACCAACTTTTAAAATTGCCCTGTGCTTATATCTATGAAATTTAATTTTACTCCTGCCTAAAGGAATTTTTAAGAGTTAGGAAAAACTCACGAAGCAATGCTTTATAATCTGTGATGCTTCGGAAGCATAACCATAGAACAAACCACACACCGATTTAAAAAAAGGTAAACACCGAGGTCAACAGTTTATTTCAGGTTATCTGGACGTTCGCGCCAAAAATAAAATCCTGAATGATTATGTGACGAAATAATTGATGCCAGAAAGATATGATAACTTATTGTTTTAGTTTATATTACCTTATTTATTTCACTGAAATTAGTATTTATAGAATAATTCCACGCACTCAAAGCGACGCCGTCAACAACAATCCGACGCTTGGGAGGGGATAAATACTGGTCGGTGATTGTTGTTTGAAAATTACGATCTGTGATTGGTTCAAGCCCTACAAGCAGAGTTGCCAGATTAGTTTCGCGGCCAGGAAGTAGACTTACGAAAAAACTGTTGATATTTAATAATTAAAATGTTAAAATAGTGTCTAAAACCACGTAGGTAAATTATTAATTTTATGAGGCTCCTAGAAGCCAATGAATACTAGTGATATTAAAAAAAAAGCTACAGAAATAGATAACAAAAGGCATAATTAAAATAAATGCCTGGTAAAAAGTATATTTTACCACAATAATTGAATTATTCACACAACAAGGTCTGTTTTATCTCGTTTCGCGCGAACTAAAATTCACTGCAACCCTGCACAGAATCTTTCAGCGGCAATTTTTATGTTGTTTACAATTCTTGTGCTTTGGGTTTGTGCTGTTTATACAGATTAATAATAGTTTTAAACGTGTTTCTCACAAAGGCACATGAGGCCTTAAAGTGCCAAAGACAACCAATTTACTCCTCTTTTGTAAAAAAAATAAACCTTATTCTATCAGGGCTGTCATCAAACTGTCAAATGTCAATTTTAAGGTTAATTTGTGGGTTATAAATTAACCTTAAAATTTTAATTTGACAGTTTGATGAGAGCCTTGATAAAATAAGGTTTATTTTTTACAAAAGAGGAGTAAACTGGTTCTTCTTAGGACTTTATATATCACATAACTAAATTCTAAGCTAGTAAAATTTCGTGTAAAGCTTTAAAACAGTCATTAAACAATTTTGACTTCAAATTATAATTACAAAAATATATTTTTGTACGAGTTTAAGAATAATTTTAGTAAATTCATTTTTTAAATTAAAAGTTTTTTTAGTTTGGTTAGCATCATTTACCTTTCAGGCCAAAATCGTTGAGTGAAGAAGTCAATGCCAAAATAATAGACCTGGCAACACTGCGTACAACCCTAATCAAATGAGTGTATTTAATTATTGTCCTTCAGTTTTTTATTTAACAGTAAGGTTTTGACATTTTTTATTAATCTAAAAATAATTTAATAATATAAAAAATACAATATAACTAACAATAATATTTACAATCCGTAAAGAATTTTACGAGTAGAGTTGAGACACTGATTTGGCAAGGACAGAGTGTAAAAATAACAAATACAAAAATGTCTCTAATCTTTAGGTAATTACGGGTAATTATATGTATATAAATTTAAGAAATCCTCTAATTAGATGATATTTTTAATATTCTCGTAGTTTAACAAAGTATAAATCATGATTATGATTTATCTTGTTATGTAATCCTTTTAGGTTAGCTGGACGTCAAGCTTGCAACCAATTCCTTAAAAATGAAAAAACAGGGCTACTAAATTTCATTAGGCCTGTAACACTCCAAGCCAAACCCGCTCAGCCCCCAGTAAAAGAAGGTCATGATGAACGTAACATGAGACTTAAAAGGCCACAGTCTCCCCATCTAACAATCTATGCCCCTCAACTCACCAGCATGTTGTCAATTTCTCACAGGGCTACAGGTAAATGATTGCCAAATATTTTGTCAAAAACAAATTATTTTTACAGGGTGTAATTTAAATTAGTACTGAAATAACTTGAAAAGTTTATAATAGAGTCAAGCCACATCAAGTGGGACCAGAAAATTTCAAGAAATCCCCGATTTTGAAAATAATCACATTATTGTGACACAATAATTGTGTAGTAGGCATGAATCATATGTCACAGTAAAAAAATGTTTTAAAATTCGTTTTTTTGGTAATGTTATTAAGGTTGACAATTTTGTCAAACTTAAGAGCACGTTAAAATTAAAAAAAATAGGATCTCTGGGACCACACACTGGGAAAAATATTTATTTAGGTTTTCGTCTTATTTTGACTTGCTCAATCTTTACCTAAATTTATGCCAATAAGTTTAGGGACACCTTGTATAATGATGAGTTTCTTGTTCAGGAGCCTTTGGTGACTTAAAAATGATATTTACCAAAATCCTAGCTGCTCCTCTTTTCGAAATTTTTTGAAAAATCTTTTTTATTTTTGTCTAACCCTGTATAAATCTAATGATGTGCTCAGTATTAAAACAGTTTCTCTCGTTTACAATATCGGTGTACAAATGTGTACTCTGGCAAAGGTAGACTTTTTACAAATTTAAAAAAAAACATTTTTGGCTAAATTTATTCAATCAAAAGTTATTCAAGGTTAAAATTGAAGTCAAAACGAAATTCTTGTCAAAATAACTTTTGATGCAGTGAATTTAGCCAAAAATTTTAAGAGGCTCTTTTGTAAAGCATTTGAGTTCACATAACAATATTTATCGGTTTTTTTATGGGTACTGATTTTTACATGAATTTTAAAATTCCAAAGTTAAAAGATCAAAATGTAAAACTATACCAATGTTTAGGGCATGATTTTAAGGAAACAGTTCATCTGACGAAAAATTTTATTTAACCTTTTTTGTAGAGCATTTAATTTTCTTAAAAAAATATTTTTAAGTAAATTTTGTTAAACTCAATGGTTTGGGAGTTCTGTGACAAAAACTTGATGAGGGAAAAAAAAATAAAATTGCGATGATAGATCTCTTAATATTAATATTATGGACTCAAACTTTCACAATAATTTTTTTTGTCGCCCCAAACCATATTTTTGATATACTTTTCAAAAAAATAAATAGTTGATTTTTTTGGCCCAGTCTAGTGAACAGTATTAAAAAGTATTCTCTAAGTCTCCTAAATAATATACTCCAATTTTATAAAAATCGGTGTGCAAATGTGTACTATGTCAAAGGTACAAAATTTAAAAAAAAATCATGAATTTTCGAACAATTTTGAAAAGAGGAGCAGCTAGAACTTTGGTAAATATCATTTTTAAGTCACCAAAGGGTCCCGAACTAGAAATTACAATCAATTTTTGACGGCATTTTTATGTGACTTAAACTTCGTTTAGGCACACCGTTAAAACGTTAGAACGGACGAGCTAGCAACGAAGCGTGCCGCGTACTGATCAAGCGCACAGCGGGACAAAAAATTTAATATCTCTGGAATGACATATGAAGGACAAATTTTTGAGTACATTTTATTAAACGGGAACATTTGCCGCATATTATGACACAAGATTATTTTTTTTAGCGTGAAGAACACATACAAAATTTCAATTGTTTATAATAAATGTATGCAAATTCTTTTATTTAAACAAATTAACCTTAATTAAATGATCATTATACAGGGTGAGTTTTAAGTTGACGCGTTCCTTTTAACAGTGTGTAGAAATCAGCTAGACAAATAAATATTTTAAGTAACTTTTTTATCAAAACTCAAAAATAAAACAGTTATAGCCCATCAAAGTTTAATTAAATTTTAAGCCGGTCCTGGTTTCACCCGAATATATATATATATAATTTAGGAAAAAGAATAGGCTTTTTTTTAATACTACTTATTTTTAAAAAATCAAAATGGTCCCATTTTTATATCAATTTTTCTTGGCCAAAAAATTTTGTTTCGCTTTTGAAACCACCTCTATCTTAAAGCATGAAAAAAAAGGTATAGGATATATTATTTGTCGATTTAAAAAAAAAAGTCATTTATATTTTTTTTATCGACCAAAAAACTCTCACAAAAGAAAAAGAATAATGTCAAGCCCCTGTATATCTGCAACCCGTCAGTCTTTTCCGCTGCCCTTTTGCTTAAGTAAAGTAGTATAGTCCGATAGGACAATGATTTAGTAAAGTTTCATCAAAATCGGAAACAACTTAAGTTTTTAGTGGGAACACTGCGTGTTTTTCCCCCTATGTGAATTTTAACGCTTACTTAAAAAAATGCTATAAAATTTTAATAATGAAAAAAAAAATGTTTTAGGTATGGTTTTGGGAGCATACGCTGTAGGTTTAGGCATGGGAGCCCTTGTGTTCCCAGATGATATTCCATGCTGGGTTGAAGCATTAGAATGCTATAACCCTGCCCTGCTAACTTCAGTTAAATTTATGCTTAGTTTCCCTTTGACATATCATTTCTGGAATGGAATTCGTCATTTAATCTGGGATACTGGTAAATTTTTAACAATTAAAGAAGTTTATCTCACTGGTTATGCTATGTTGGCCCTTGCTATTTCGACCAGTATTGCACTTACAGTAATGTAACAATTCTCCTCATTTATTATTATGTAAATATACCCACTTAATTTATAATAAAAAGAAACGTGTATTATTTTATGATTTTATTTAAATAAACTTTAAAGGTTTTTAATTTGTATTATTCCTATTATTTGTTAACATCTCCACGTTGTAGAACCCCTTTTAAAGATTTTTATCAAAAATATACCTAACAGCGATTTGGCACATACTTCCACAGTGTGTGAGCAGGCGAGAACTTTTCGTTATTTATGTGCAAGCAAGTTTTACAACCGTTTTAGATGCTTCTGGCCGTAACTAAGCACTCAGTGATCGGCAAATTTCGGTGTTTTTTATATTTGGTGATATTTCTAGTACTATATTGTAGAAGAGTAAACTACCTTTATTTTTCATTTTGGAGCATAGTGACAAATAAAAAAAAAGTATTTCAATCCTACCCAAAGACATTGTGAAATTTCAACTCAGTATTGGATATTATATATTTTTTTATTTTTGGCATTTTGAAAATATTTTTTAATACGAAATTTTTCCATTATTAGCTGGCCATACACAGACGTTATTTCGCGCGGTTTATCGTGGCGTGTTGGGATGTAGCGGTTAGTATGCACGAAAGAACGGCATGGCAAAAAAAGCGTCATGTACCTACATTCCATACACTTGATAAAGTATTCAAATGATTTAGCAAGTGATTGCGCGTGGGTATATCAGTTTTAAAGGAAAAATCATGTGAGTGGGCAAAAAGTGTTATTTATCGAGTCGTTTGAAACTGCATGTGATCATGTACAAATTTTTAACGTGAAATTTCGCCAATCGAAGGTAAACCGTGACGCGGAATGTGGCGTGTGGACACTGCTGAAAATTTCAGCCTGAAATGATGTACGCCACACTCCATTGCGCGAGGCCGCCTCGCCGAGGCGATACCCACTCACGTACATGATTTTCCATATATTTTTGCAGATATCTGGATATATACAATTTTTTACAGTATATTGCCTTACTTAGTAATTCTAAAGCATAAAAAATTTAAAAAACTGAAAAAAATAATTACGTTAAACCACTTTTTTTCATATTCCTGCTGAATAAAAAGGGGGCGGCAAAACACATCGGGCCGGCCCTGCCTACATCAAAATGTGCGTAATTGAAAAAAAAAACGATTTTTTTTTTTAAAATACAGTAAATTTTTAAATGAATTTGTTCCATACTTTTGCCGGTCACTGTATATTATATCTCTGAGAACACCGAATAAACTTTTTTTCTTTCAAGATTTTTACCCATAGTGCACTTAGTACCAATTTTTTCCGTTGAAGAGCACTGCTAATGTGACAGATATCTGAATTACCGACAAGCAGCATTGCCGTTTGCAGGTATTTTACCAGAAAATGGGGTATTTTCGCAATGCTTGCGGGTAAAATATTAAAGCGTGTAGGTATTTCAAAATTTTTGATCCAAATTCCAACTAAAGAAATTTTTAGTAGGTACATACATATACAAATATGTAAATTTACATAATTATTTTGTTCTCTGATATCATATTTATATAGAATTTCTATCCCGTCACGATTCTTTTTAATTACTTCAAAATTAAATTCATTTTTCAAAATACAGCGAATGCGCTAAAAATTATAAAGATAATAACTAATTTTTTACTATTGCAGGAGTAAACCGCATGCGGGTATTTTTGGTAGGGAACTTTCATGAAATTCATCCGGCAACACTGCCGGCAAGTCAAACGCAAATTTTAGATGTCACAAACTGTCAAAAATGTGAATTGAATATAAATAAGCTATATTAGAACCTTTTTAAAAGGCGTAATTTCTTCCGATGCATATGTCTTACAGCAATAAGGTAAATAAAACAAATACTATAATTTTTTGCTTAAAACCTAGGTCAAACTTTTATGTGTATTACAACATAATGCTTTTACTTCTAACTTACATTAAATAGGTCATTTAATTCGTCTATATTTAGACTAAATCATTTTGTTTTATTGCAAAGCCGCTAAAAGTAAAAATACTATGTATTGCTATAAATAATATATGCTACGAGTCTATCTTAGTTGAGTCAATGAAAGTGTTTAGGTACTTCTTTAATCCTTTAAAACAGCTAACATTTGTTCTTTGTTATGTATTATTTTTAATCCGAAAAACAAAAAATGCAGCTGTTTTTAAGTATCAAAAAGGTTAAACAAATTTTTAGATTAATTTATTTAAAATTTGTCTCTTTTAGGTTTCTATTCTAAAACAAGATGCCTTTTAAGCTAAAGCTTAAAAAATCAAGGCACTACAGTGTAGTGTCAAAGTCATTGTTTGTTATATCAGTGGAAATACTTGATGGAACAATAGTGGAATGTACACTATCTTCGGAAAGTACAGGCCAGGATTGCCTCGATGTGGTCTCTCAAAAATTAAATTTAAACCAGCCCTATTTTTTTGGCTTACAATATATAAGTCGAAATTGTGAAAATTCTTGCTGGCTAGAACTGGATAGGCCTCTAAAGAAACAATTAGATAAATATGCAAGGGGCCTAAATGTATTTCTAAAAGTTATGTACTATGTCATATCTGGGGTCAGACTTATCAATGATGAAATTACAAGGTAAATTAATTTTCATGTTATCTCAGGTATACAATTTCATACCTGTGTTATCTCTGGTTTACTGTTTCAGAAAATTGTACACTCATAACATATGAGTCATGTCATTTTAAGTGGAAATAATAATAATAATAAAAACAGTTTATTCAGGGTTCCCGTTTGTCATAAAATTTTTAAATATCATAAAATTGGTTAAATTGTCCTAAAATGTCATAAAATTCACATTTTGTCATAAAATTTCATTATTTTTTAACAATTTTCTTACCTTTGATCTTTTTTATAAAATGGAAATTTTGTTAAATAAAATTTAAAGCCGGTCCTGTAGAATAAAACGCAATAAAATGTTTTAAATATGGCCTTGGTTGTTGACGTATGAACTTTATACTATGAAGGAAAAAGGAGTTAGGTTAGGAAATGAATTTTAAATTTGAAATAAATAATCAGAAAGGTAAATTTATTTTTATACTATATTACTTTACTAAGGAAGGCACAAAGAAGGACTTGAAGAAATTGTTTGAGCCTCCAATATTTCAGATTTGTATACCTTTGTGGTTTTATTTATCGATGTGGCTCCCGTCCCGAGGCGGGACTTAACTTCGATCCCGACAGACGTCACACACTGTAAATCCGTTTTTATTCCCTGAGCTTTTATAATTGGTGTCAAGCTGGATGGCTTAGATGGTAGGGCGGTCGCTTGGCATGCGAGAGGTACCGGGTTCGATTCCACTAGAAGTTGTCAAACTTTTTTTATTTTATAAATTTGTTGTTTCTTTGTTAAAAAGTGTTTTATTTTTATCGTAACATAAATTTGCCCATTTTAGTTGGGTTTTTTGCTCACTGGGGCGGGGGGGGGGCCCAATGGGGCGGGGTCGGTTGGGTTATGTTGTTGAGTTTGGGTTGGTTTGGTTTTATGACGTAACTAACGTGCCCTTAACATGTATACAAGTACAATTTATTATTATTATTATTTTATTATAACATAACAAATCTTAAAATTATGACGTCAATCGGGACTGAACTTAAGTCCCGCCTCGGGAGGGAGCGACAGCGTTTATTTATTTTGAGATTATAATACCTATTATAATAAAATACTAAAGTAACATATATTAAGAATATTATAGCAGAAATATTTATTTTGATGCGAGAAAAAATATTTATTTTTATATAATAAACCGTTAAAAATTACATTTATTTTATTAAATAACTTTAGAAATAATAAATTCTTGTCATAAAAAATCCTAGGTAAAAAATGTCATAAAATTTGAAAAATTTGTCATAAAATCATAAAAAAAAGTACAAAACAATGCTGGGAACCCTGTTTATTCCTCTCAAAAAACTAAAAGGTTTACAGAGAGACACCTCTAAATAGTTTGAACAATACATTACATATCACAATAACATGTGGAGTGGTTTTAAAGTAATTAATTAATTTATAATTGTGTGATTATTGATAATATGTAGGTATTAAATTTCACCACCCAGTTAATCCATGTTTTAATATGTTTTAAAAATAATGTGTATATACAGGGTGTTTCTTTTAACTTGAGACAGCTCAATATCTCGAGAAATACGCATTTCACGGAAAAATGTCTTGAATAAAAGGTTAATGTGACTAAAGGGGACATTATTTGGTGCTACCGCTAGCCACCCCCCTACCCCTCCTTAAGGGTGAAACGGGGGGTAACTTTGGAAAGTCAAATGGAATGACCCGATTTTTTTCACAGAGTTTGGTAGTACATAAAAAAATAAATAACTTTTATTTAAAACTTTTTTCAATTTATCAACAGATGGCGCTGTAATTCAAAATTTAAGAAAAATGAGTTTCCTTGTAAAATGTATTATTTGAAACGTTTGAAAAACAAAAATTAACATTAACAACAATAGTCGGCTATGAAAACAATTTATAACAAATGTTCAAAATGTCGTCATTCCATTTCAACACATTTTTGAATGCGGGTAATGAATTCTGGCACACAACGCGCCAATATGTCGGGCGGTATCGCCGCACAGGCGTTCCTGATCCGCTCCACCATGTCCTCCCAAGTTGTAGGAATTGCAGCGTAAACTTTTTCTTTCAAGTAACCCCACTGGAAGAAGTCTGGTGGCGTAAGATCAGGTGATCGAGCAGGCCAAATTACTGGACCACGTCTACCGATCCACCGCGGTGCACCGGCCATTGAACTCCCGATCCAACACCTCTCGAGCAATTGTTGAATAATGTGCAGGACAACCATCTTGCTGGTACCACATGTTTTGGAGCCGTGCTAGTAGTACATCCTCCAAAAGGTCCGTCAGATCGTTTTCTAGAAAATTCCGGTACTTTTCGCCATTTAATGCAGCTTCAATAAAGAAGGGTCCGATTAATCGTTCGCTTAAGGTACCGCACCAAACGTTTACCGACCGGGACGCTGGTGTCGAAATGGAAGGACGACATTTCGAACATTTGTTATAAATTGTTTTCAGAGCCGACTATTGTTGATTTAATGTAAATTTTTGTTTTTCAAACGTTTCAAATAATACATTTTACAAGGAAACCCCTTTTTCTTAAATTTTGAATTACAGCGCCATCTGTTGATAAATTGAAAAAAGTTTTAAATAAAAGTTATTTATTTTTTTATGTACTGCCAAACTCTGTGAAAAAAATCGGGTCATTCCATTTGACTTTCCAAAGTTACCCCCCGTTTCACCCTTAAGGAGGGGTAGGGGGTGGCTAGCGGTAGCACCAAATAATGTCCCCTTTGGTCACATTAACCTTTTATTTAAGACATTTTTCCGTGAAATGCGTATTTCTCGAGATATTGAGCTGTCTCAAGTTAAAAGAAACACCCTGTACACTCATTCAAATTTATTGTAAAATAAATTGAATTAACCACATTCTCTAATATACCTTTAAACTAGTGATGCAACGGTTTCGGGTTTTACGGTTACGGTTACGGTTACGGTTAGCTCTACGGTTACGAATAAATTCACGGTTATTCAAAAAAATTTACAGAATTACGAAAAGTAAAGTTTATTGTTCAAAATGAAATTAATACACACGTTCAGTAAAGGTTAAATAATAATTTATGTAAAACAAAAACAGAATTTCTAATAAAACCATAAAATAAAAGGAACTGAGTAACATTTTAAACCTAAAAACAGTAAAGTAAAACCTAAGTAGGTACCTGAATAATATATTTAAAAAAAATAAAAGTTTATATTTAAAATTTACGAGTCAAATTTTTATTTAAAAAACATAACATCTGCAAATTCTGCGGAATCAACCTGTTCCTATTTTTTGTTTGCACAAGACCTGCAGTCGAAAACAACCTCTCCGAAGTCACTGACAATGGTTTTTATGAAACGTGTAACACGTTTTCCAGAATGTAAACGGATTTGACGTATGTGGTATATTTGGTAACGTTAAAAACTCTTCAATCTTCTTTTTACATGCATTCACAAAGTAGCATGAAAAACCGTAAATGCCGTATACGGTTACGGTTAACCGTATAATATCGAAAACCGTGAATTAACCGTAACCGTAACCGTTGCAACACTACTTTAAACTTGGAACAAATAAAACTAAAAATCAAAATAAACAAATAAAACTGGGTATAATAATAATATTCTTTATTGGTGCTATAACAATATTTACATATTTTACAAATAAATTAAATAAATTATAAAAATACAACATTAAATAATAAAAATAATATATTAAATAAATAAAACTACTAAAAAAGAAAACTATATACTGAAAAATAACTTTTGTTTTTTTTAAACATGTTTTTTTAGAAACTAAAAAATCATTTTGTTTTTTAGATTTTTTTTAGAAATATTGTTTGCCTTACTTAATATAGATTTTCTACACATCAATATACAATCAATCTGTTACTTACTAAGACAAGGTTACTTAGGTTACTTATTATACTTGGGTATTTGTAAGAAAAGGGTATTTCCCGGAAATAGTTGCGGCAGATGACGACAGAAGATGCTAGTTTGCTTTCTCGTGCGTTTTAAATTCATCACTTGGGAGAAAATATCATTTTGTTTCACAAAATTCCGTATTTTCTGAAAATTAACAGTACTAAAAACTAGAACTGTGCAGATATGCTGCCGAACGACGATTTTTAATAGAAATCTCCCATTTTTCTTGTATCACGAACTATTTTTGTCTAACCTTGGAGTTTGTATGCTACTATGGTCTCTTTAAGACATTCTGGATGGTGACACTTGTCCTTTTCATATATTGTTTTTATAATTTGAAAAAAAAAACTTGTTTTTTATACTTTTTTTCAAATTTGATCACTATTTTTATAATTAGAATATAAAAACAATTTTCTCACAGGCTTCAACTACTGATAATAGAAATTTCTGTAAAATGCATTTTTTATCAAAAAAGTTTTTATGGTTTTCTTAAATTCCTGTGAAAATTTCTCACATCTATAGAAATTTTATTCCAAAAGATTGGATCATGGAAGGAGGTGGAATTTAAAACTAATAGGGACCTACTCACCTAGGTTTATTTATTTTAAAATTGAAATGGAGAACTAAATCATTTTTTAAAGTCATAAATTAATTCAGCCTTTTACTTTTGGGTCAGTCCATGTCAACTCAACACACCCATTTTACCACACCACCTCAGATTTTCTTAAAATTTGGTATACTTATACTATGTACTAAGACTAAGAAAAATACCAATTTTTAAATTTTTATCTCACACCGTTTCCGATATATGGCTATGTAAAGTTTTTAAAAACTCGCGAAAAAAGTGTGAACGTGTATTTTTTAAATTGCTCTGGAAGCTGTCCTAATTCAGCTAGAAAGCTGGGAGAGGTGTCATTTTGCAGCATTTTAAATGTTCTTTCAAATGACATACGAACGCCAAGGGTATTAATGAAAAGATTTTGTTCAAAATCCATATATATATTTTGATTCAATTTTTTTTCGAAAAGTACATAATTTAAAATTCTCAAAATATTTGTATAAATACTTAGTACTGTTTTAATATAGTAAAATATAAATGTGGGGTCTTAATGGGTTCATGTTAAAAAAAATGATTTGTTTTTTTCATTGGATTATAACACTGCACTCTTACAATAGTAGGCTCCATGTTGACACCAAAATCACTTTAAACACACCTCATTTATAGTTTTATTTTTAAATAAACTACGAATATATACAGGGTCCGATAAAAGTTCCCTGAATTTTTTTTTAAGCGAGTTTAAAATTTATCAATAAGGTTTTCGCGGAAATTGTTTGCTCGAGCAGGTTCCTAGAACCCTTTCATTTCTGAAAATATTCATTTTATGTTGTTCTGTTTAAAATTTAGTTCAATATGAATCCCCAAAAAAAGCGTATCACAGTAATTGAATTAAAAAAGTCGGGAATGTAGGCAGCCGATATTATTAGGGTTCTTAGAACCCTTATATTTTTGAAAATATTCATTTTATGTTGTTTTGTTTAAAATTTAGTTCAATATGAATCGCCAAAACAAGCGTATCACAGTAATTAAATTACACAAGTCGGAAATGATGACAGCCGACATTATAAAAAAAAATACAATTGTCAGGCTTAAGCCTGATAAACGTTGAATAATGTCAAAATTAGTTAAAAGTGAAAAACCAGCATCAGAAATATTTTTTTTAACAATGAACCCATTAAGACCCCACATTAATATTTTATTATATGATTCAGAACACTACCAAGTATTTATACAAACATTTTGAGAATTTTAAATTATGTACTTTTAAAAAAAAATTGAATCAAAATATATATATGGATTTTGAACAAAATCTTTTCATTAATACCCTTGGCAGTCGTATGTCATTTGAAAGAGCATTTAAAATGCTGCAAAATGACACCTCTCCTAGCTTTCTAACTAAATTAGGACAGCTTCCAGCGCAATTTAAAAAATAAACGTTCACACTTTTTTCGCGAGTTTTTAAAAACTTTACATAGCCATATATCGGAAACGGTGTGAGATAAAAATTTAAAAATTGGTATTTTTCTTAGTCTTAGTACATAGTATAAGTATACCAAATTTTAGGAAAATCTGAAATGGTGAGGAAAAATTTCTTTTTAAAGTGTGTTGATTTGGCATGGAATGGCTCTTTTAATTTAATTAAATAATAGCAGTGGCGTAGTTGAAGAAATTAGGGTTCCCCGCAAAAAAATTATTTTGGACATCATGTGGCAATGAGTAGTTAAAATGGTATAGAAAATAATTAACAAGGTACCTTACTCAACTTTTGTAGCTGTTCCTAACATCAAACACTTAAATTTTAAAAAATTATTTTTTTATGTAGATAGAAATTGTTAAAAAATCGAGAAGCGTCAGGGTATACATGATTTTTTTCTTTTTGTAAAAAATAAAAGAGCAGATTACATTTTATAAAATTTTCACTGCCTAGAAGGTATAAATTATTGAAAATGTTTAAAATAATTGTTATTAAAAAACAAGGTTTTTGCATATATTATTTTTTTTAAATATTCATTGTGAAAAGAAAGCATATAACAACTGTAAAAAATTCCATCGAATGATTGGAAATGAGTAGTTAGTTATCAATTTTTATTTTAATTGTATAATTCTTTGGTACTAAAAATAATAAAAACGTTGCGGAATTTAGAAAATGATGAAACAATTTTTTTGTTAAGTTATTATCTTCATATTTTTTCAATTATCGTTATTTTTAAAAAAATCAACAAAATTTGCAACGTTGCCGAAGTCCAGATAAAAAAAATGAACGTGTTCCCATTGTATCAAATTTATTTAATCTTTAACGCCGTTTGTTTTGCTCCGAACTAATCATTTTAATATCGCGAACACCAAATTTTAAAATGCGTATGCCTAGTATGTCCAAACTAATTAGTGATTTACACCGCAAAAACACCTATTATATGCTTTAGTGTTGTAATAAAACACGTTTTTTAATAGGTTTAATGCAACTAATAATAAATATGTATTATTCCTTCGTGACTTAATATACTTCTTAATTCTTAAGTCTTGACACGCTTGTTACACGCACATTAAGAGAGAAAACCACGATTTCTCTCATGACAACGTATTAGAGTATAGAATATACATAGCGCGTTGCAGCTTTGCCGAGTATTTTGTACTTGAGTATTTTGTACTTGAATACTCGCAAACTACCGCGTGGTGGTTTCGTGACCCATTTTAATGGCTAAATTTTAAAAATTGGGAAAGAAAAGATCTTAGAATTAGTTTACTGTTTGGCATTTAATTAATTTAAAAAATCTGAATTAATTAAAAAGTTTAATTTTTTTTATAAAAGTCATGATTTTTTCCAACCCTAATTAATATATATTTTTTTTATTATACAATTAAAGAGAATGGACGCGTAACGCCTATCCCACACAGGCATGCGAAGTGTGCCGAAAGTGAACATAAAAAAGGCGTCTCCTCTTTTCTGTTGTTTTGTCCCTTCGACATAACCTACAAATGCGCTTGAATTTTTTAATTCGGAGCCATTTTTGCTTCACTTTTGGATCATTTTCAACGTTTTGATTACGCGTTTCCTCTTTTCTTTACTCGAAGATATTATGCAACGACTTTTATAAACAGCATTTTAGTCACGAGTTTTAATTAGGCACAAGCGAAGCTTAACAAGCCTTTCATAAGAAAGACTAACACGCACAAAGTCAATGTGTATTTGAAAGATCACTTATCGTCATGAAACCATAATTTGTATATGTATATTTAGAGATGCGACTTGAAAAAAACAGTCCGTTTTCCGTTTTTCAAATGGTTTTTTCTCATATTTTAGGTTTTTTTTTATATTTTAGTTTTTTTTCAAGATTAATCCCTTTTGCCTAATTTTTTATGCTTCCAGTCCAGTTCGTGGACTAAAATTAGCCACTAAATGACATTTAGTAAATGTAAATACAGTCTCGCGCTATGCACGTGCCACCACCACCGAATTGACCAATAAGGGCCGCGCTTGTTTTGATTTGGTCCTAAAAAAAGTAACTACCTATAATATTTTTGATTCAGCCCTTGATTTTTCAAAAAGCTACCAAAAGCACTTTTTTCATGAGTTTTCAAATTCATCTAGAGTATGGAATTTTTTTTCAAAAAAACAATAGCAAATTCTTTTTGAACATTTATTCATTGGTGGTTAAGTCAGAACATTATTACGGTATTCGTTAGGATTGAGCGTTGCACGTTTTTCATCTAAAAATCTCAAAACTATAGTTTCAAATTGCTTTTTTTACGGCTCCAATACGACCATTTTTAACGAAGATACAGCTATCCGAAAAATCGCAAAAAATTTGGAACTTTTTTTATCCTTTAATTTTTTCTATTAGTTTAGAAGTTTTACATTGCCATTGGTTTCTTATGTGGAAACTACCAAATAATAATAAATCAGATTTTTTAGTCTTGGTCAATATTTTCAATAATGAAAAATGTAATATATTCTACATTTCACTTTATTATTAATATACATTTTACTCAAAATTTCATTTTGAAAAATTACTCCATTTTTTAAGATGTATGTTATTTATTGACAGAATATGCTTTATTGTAGCGGATTTGAAAAAAAAACCGTTTTATTTCTATTTTTTTTTAAGTTTTTTTTCACATCTGAAAAAATGTATATTATTCTATAATGTGTGTTTTAAATATGGAAGTATAAAAAAATAATAACAAAATTTTAAAATAATATCTAAAATTATTAATTTTAGATATCATTACTTCCTCCAACTGAAAATGGACGTGATCGAGGGTCGAATATCTTGCAGCCCTCAGCAGGCTGTGGAACTGGCGAGCTACTCGATGCAGGCCGAGTTCGGAAACTTCGACGCCGAACGGCACACCGCCCACTACCTCAAAGACTTTCAACTGTTTCCGAAAACGTTTAACGATTCCGCGATCCTGGAGCAGCTGACCGAAGCTGCGAGTAGGCAACACGCGGCGCTTCACAGCCTGCCGCAAGGCACCGCAGAGGAGTACTACATAAGCGCTTGTCAGAAGTTGAACGGTTACGGGCAAGAATATTATTCCGTTAAGGATAAGTCTGGAGAATCGGCAATGATCGGGGTGTCGCTAGTTGGGGTTACGGTCAAGTATGTAAATACTAAGGAATTGCGACACTATGGGTGAGTCCACATAATAATGGTAACTAGGTTAAATATATCTATTTTTAAAATTTTTTAATAAACAGTTTTGTATACTGGGTGTTTATTTACAAGAGATGCGCCAATTATAAATTGTTGGTACAATTGACAAAATTTTAGTTCAATCTGTTTTAATTTTACCAGCCTTTGTGTCAAGATACTTTTGCATTAAAAAAAATAAAAGCACTGCTATTTGATGGGAAAGTAAACTAGTGGATTCAAAGTCATTAAGAGGACCACCGTATTTAATCATCAAAAACTGCTTTGCTCAATTTCGTCATGGACGGCCAAATGAGGCATCAACATCACAGGAATCAAATTTTAAAAACTACTAAACAAACATATTTATTTAAATTTTCATCCAATTTGTAATTTTTTTCCCTATTAGATTTTGGTTACCTCCACCATTTTTTGTTGTTCCTATGGCCGCCATATTGGAATTTTACATGGTTAGATAGAAAATAAATCAAGGAAGCCAACAATTTATCAAACCATTATAAAAACAAAAGATGGTGATGGTAACTCAAAATATAGTAGCAAAGAAATTGGATGAAAACGTGTTGTTTACATGTTATATTATTTTCGAAATTCCCAGGAATAACGAAGTTTTTAGTTTATTTCAAATATTTTTTTGTTTATATATTTCATTTTAATAAGCTTGTTATTCTGCAACTTTTCTCTAATTTAACCGACCTTGTAGCTTTTCCAATAAAAAATTCCCATAAAAGTAGACACAAAGACTTGGTCCCGAATACACATATTTTTTTATTTTTTAAATTTTATTCAACGATATTTTGAAAAAAAAATACAAAATACCCAAAGAGTTATTAGGAACTTTTAACTAAAGTTGTGGTATTTATTTTTCTAATGCCCAGTATTTTTTAACAGCCTTTTAACATCTTAAATATTTTTCCGCTGAAAATTGGATTTTTATAAGTAAACAAAATTTTTACACTAAAATCGTTTTGTTAATAATATTTTAGGAACTCAATAACAAGATATTTTAATTATTGTAGGTGGTCAGATATAAGTAATGTAATAAATCATAAACGAGATTTCACAATCGAATCAGTGGGTGGGGTGGAGAAAGTAGAGTTTCAGTTTCCGGACGTGGAAAGTGCCAAGAATGGATGGAGATTTTGCGTTTTGCAACACATGTTTTTTAGACAATATGAAATGAATAACTTCGATCAAATCGACAACAAAGGTGTATCGCAAGCCCCACTTTTCCAGCAAGCAAATTCAGAGGTAAAAATCTTACTAAATTAATGAGCACTTTTTGTGCATTTAAAAGCATTTTTATAATCCTGATGTTAAGTTTTGGCGGGAAATTCAAATAAAAAGCAAAATGCTCTTTATAAGCATTTTATTAAATTATGGTTAGTCTCTATAAATAAATAAACCTTTTGTCAATATCTTAATTAAAGTCATTAAAATATAAAAAGTTCATTTAAATTAAACAGATCAGATCAGATCATAGAAGATAAACTACACTCACAGGCAAAATAATCGATCCAAACAAATTTTCGATGAATTTCAATCGCAAATAACTTTTTTATTTGATATTGGATATAAACAAATATTAAAGAATATTGTAGATAAATTAATGGAGAATCGCTCACATTTAAAAAATTTACTATAAAATAGACGTACGTTTATAATATACAGGTTTAAAAAAAAAGATGTTTTTTACCATAAGTTTAAGACACTCTGTAGAGTGGCAAAACCGTATATTGTTCTAAATTAAGTTTTTATTATCAAGTCCCATCTATTCTTAACAATTTTGTTTTTGGTTCACCTCGATATATTTATTTTTGTGGAAAATATGGATTTTCTAAAAAAACATTGCAATTTCCAATGTTTTTTCTGTATGAAGAACTAAGGTTGCTATGATTCATCCATAGCCTATGGGTGATGACTAGGGATGGGATATTTAGGTACTAAAAACTGAAAAATAGGTAACTAAAAAGGTACTAAAAAAGCATTTTAGGTTAAAAAAACAGCATTTTAGGTAAAAAAAACATTAAAAGTTCAAGTTTCTTTTATAATTTTGTTTAGCCGCATACCCAAACACACAATAAACTATTTCTATGCAATAAACTGTTTTTCACTGAGTGACACTCACTACACAGAAATTCTATGACAGAACATAAGTTCAATACAAAGAAATACTGTAAAGACTGTTACAGTCTGTGACCCATAGAAATAATTTAGAATAATAGAATAATTTCTATGCTGTGACCATAAGAAAAAATTCTATACCGTTGAGTTGCACGCCCTGGATAAAATATTGGCGGAAAATTTAAAAAGAACACAAAAAAATAAAATAAGTAAAAATAGGTAAAAATAGATAACAAATATGCGAAAATAAACTGACAAATTAAAAAATATGTAACAAAAGTATAAAAAAGGTAGTTTAAAGCAAAAACCTCCAAAAAAGGTAAAAAAGGTGAAAAGAAGTTAGGTTCATATAAAAGAAAATATTTTAAAACACATTTTGGCATTATTGGTTTTCAAATAGTTACATCGGTTGAAAAAAGGTAAAATCCCTAGTGATGACAGTGACAGTTTTGTTGAGTAATCCCATATATTTTTTTTAATTAATGTGTTACTTTTGAGGTGTTTTCTTACTTTTAAAAAGGGATATGTCTCCGACTGATGTTGCCAGAGCCATTGCTTTAATCCAGGATAGACAGTCACACTATTACGTAGCAAGTGTTTTAAACGTCAGAAGTACAAAGAGCTGTAAATCGGTTTAATAAGCATGGCGAGTACAGTAGGAGTCAATGTGGTAGGAAGAATGAACGGGATGATCGCTTTAAAAGCGGATTGGAGGACGTACGACAGGTCCAAGTAAGCGAGAAAACGATAAGTAGAAGGTTATCTGACATTGAATTATACACCCTAACGGAGCCTCCTCCATAGGCGAAAAATGGTTTTGCTCACGTTCTCCTGTTCTCCCATAGATTCTTTGAAGACCGTCTGGTGATTTTAAACGAGCTTCGATGGTAAATAGGATATTTTTCCACTCATCATTGCCCCAATTTTGATGTTCCCTAGCAAATCTAAGGCGTTCAACCCTGTGGTTTCTTATCAACTCTGGTGCGGTTGCAAGTCTTCTTGCGTGTAATCCAGTCAAATAACCTTCTTCTTATCGTTATTCGCTTACTTGGACCTGTCGTACATTCTCCATTCCGTTTTTTACCTCCACAGAAGTTATTCTTCGATCACATAAAACATTAAGTCGAATAAAGCGATCATCTCGTTTATTAGTACACCTATTTCTACCACATTGACTCCTTCTACTGTACTCACCATGCTGATTAAATCGATTTACAGCCCTTTGTACCTTACTTCTTGTGGCGTTTAAAACACTTGCCAGGTAATACTGAGACTGTCCATCCTGGATTAAAGCAATGGCTCTGAAAACATCAGTCGGAGACATATCCATTTTTAAAAGTAAGAAAACACTTTAAAAGTAACACATTAATTTATAAAAAAAATGTCCAAGTATGGGATGATTCAACAAAACTGTCACTGTCATCCTCCATAGGCTATGGGTGGACCATAGCAACCTTAGTTCTTCGTACAAAAAAATATTGGAAAATACAATGTTTTTTTTTAAAAAATCCACATTTTCCACAAAAATAAATATATCGGGGTGAACCAAAAACAAAACTGTGACTTGATAATTAAAACAATATACGGTTTTGCCCGAGGGGTCAACCACTAGCCAGATATTTGTACACGTATTGCCGAACTGCCTATACTGCCAATTACTGCCTTTACTGCCTACTTACTGCTTATACTGCCTACTTATTGCTCTTACTGCCTATACTGCCTAGTTACTTTCAACATTGCTTTTACTGCCCACACACGGTCCATAGTTTTACATATATGTATATTATGTGAATTTTAAATGTATGTTTATAAAAAAAACATCCGAATTTTAAGAATTTAATTTATTGTTCCTTTTTTTACACTTTAAAGCCTTAAAATATTTAAAGTTATTATATATTCTAATTGTTTACAATACTTACCAAACAACCACACACAGTTAAACTAATAAGCACAAACACACAAATAAGTTTGCAAAATTAAAACTGAGATACCTCGGAACGAGCATCGGAAGATACCAGAACGTATTCTCTTAAAATTTTACTATTTGAATTAGTACCAGCATTTTTCACTAATAAAATAGTCGTTTTCACTTTTAAATAGTTATTTTTTACTACGTAAAAAGTTACTAATTTGACTATTTTATTCAGTATAATTTGACTAATTATTAGTGACTGCTTTTTCGCTATGACAATTTGTCAAATATAACTTATAATTAGTTATTTTTGACTGATTCATTTTCAGAGAGTACGTTAGGTGAGACTTAAATGCTGAATATTACCGAATTACTGCCGATACTGCCCATGTACTGCAGTGGCGGCTGGTGGATTTTGGGTATACCAGTATCTCAGTTATTAGACATGGGACCCACACCAAATGTATATGAGTTTATAATGACATTAAATAGACAAGTTCGGCGCAAACAGAATTTAAATTGAAGTTTGCGAAAAAAAGTTAGTTTTTCCTGTCGCCTCACCCGCCTCCAGGCCCCCCTTTTTAAGATAATTCGAATTAAAGTGGTGCAATTTATTATCCACTATAATTTATCGACAAATTTAAAATTTTATTTAAGAAATCCAAATATTACAGATTTTATTCGATTTTAAATTTTTATTATTTATTTTATTAAAATAAAAAAATATTTAAAATGGTATAAAACCTGTAATATTTGGATTTTTTCAATAAAATTTTAAATTTTTTGATAAATTATAGTAGATAATAAATTGCACCACTTTAATTTAAATTATCTCAAATAGGGGGGCCTGGAGGCGGGTGAGGCGACTGGAAAAACTAACTTTTTTTCGCAAACTTCAATTTAAATTCTGTTTGCGCCGAACTTGTTTATTTAATGTCATTATAAACTATTATAAATTTGGTGTGGGTCCCATGTCTAATAACTGATATATTGGTATACATAAAATCCACCAGCCGTCACTGATATACTGCCGAAGTACTGCATGTAGTGCCGAAGTACTGCTCCCGTACTGCCTATATTGCCTATTTATAGCTGCATACTGCCGATACTGTCGAAGTATTGCCGTCACTGCCTTTGTACTGCATAAAATTTGTGCACGTATTGCCGACAGTGGTTGACCCCTCGGTTTTGCCACTCTACAGAGTCTCTTAAACTTATGGTAAAAAACATCTTTTTGTTTAAACCTGTATATTATAAACGTTAGTCTATTTTTAGTAAATTTTTAAAATGTAAGCGATTCTTCATTAATTTATCTACAATATTCTTTAATATTCGTTTAAATCCGAAATCAAATAAGAAAATTTGCGTGGATCGATTATTTTGCCTGTGAGTGTACTTATGTAATAATTTTCAGAAAAATAAGATCAAATTGTAATGCAAATGAAATTAAATGAGTGAATCCAAATGATTCCAAAAAACTATCAGACTATATAGTAGTAGCAATACCAATAGTATGCATGTTAAAAAATAAAAACTGAATCATTTTAGTTCTATAATCGTTCTTTTGACATGACTTTTCAGGATAAATTACGTCAAATCGATAGTTATGAAGACATAACAAACTCTTCTCATCAATGGGACCGACCCGTCTCATCAACGCAAAGTTTAAACCACAGGGCACAGTCCACGTCTTGTCTGGACTTAAATAAGTCAACGTCCGACATGGAAACGTTACGTAATTTGTTGCCTTCCTACAGACCGGCTCCGGATTACGAGACGGCCGTGCAGCAAAAATATCGCAATTCTTCGGGTGCGATAGCGGCCCGCGAACCCTTACGCAACGCCCACCCCATACTGTACAGTTCGCAACCCGAAATACACCAGGCCGACACGTTCGCCGCCCACCTGTGTTATCCGGACGTGACGCATAATAACATCGAGCAGAAGAATTTGCTGTACAATTCCGCTTTCACGCAGTCGCAAATATTGGCGAATACAACGCACGCTCGCAACGTCGTAGATGTGGCCGACAACGTCGGTATGCTGCATCTGTATAAACCGCCTCCTCCGTATCCGTGCAATCGAATAAGCTCGAACTCCACTCCGGATTTGGCGGGCACGACGCAGCACATCAAACCGCAAAGTCATTTTACCATCAACAATTTGGTTAGCGGCTCGAGTCCCGACCTGGTGTCCACCGGCAACTTTTATTTAAAACCCGTGTACGCGAATCCGGCGCATCCGATACACAGGTCGCAAAGTTATCTTCCGCCGCAACACGGCACCTACGAAAATTTGGCTTCCATTTTCAACAACAACATGCTGGGCAGGCCGCAGGCCGTCATAGTCGAGAACCCGGAAATCACGAAGCACATCAAGAAGGTGTACGACGAGCACGGCAACGTGATCTATTGCATGCCGGCCAATATGAAGCAAATCCTGCAGGAAAATCAACTGCCCAGCACCGGTTTCGTGGTCACTCGCAACCAGAACGCCTTGGTGGCTCACGACGCTCACCTCAATAACTCTTCCGAGCCCATATACGAAAACATACCGCTTCCTTGGCAAAACGACACCACGGAAATCAGGGCTCGCACGCAGAGCATTCATTCTGCACCAGAAATCAGCCATACGGTAAGTCTTAATAATAAATAATAATACATACTATTAAAAGTGTCACTTTTATATTTGCAATGTAACCTTAGCGTCGGAGAACAAAAAAAAAGAAAAAACACTTGACAAAATTAGGGATGCACCGGAGTTACTGCTCACCTACTGCCTCCGGCCGATCCGGCCTATGCGGCAGCATATCCGGCTCCGGCCAAATTTTTAAACTGATCCGGCAACAAGGGCCGGATTGTGGCCGGATTTTTTAAATTAAAAATAAAATATTTTTTCAAATGTTTATTATAAAAAAAATATATATTCTTTTACAAGTAACAAACAATTTTTTTAGAAATAATTTAAAAATAGATTAAGGATTAAACTTCATGATTTAAGCGAACATAAGATAACGAAGTCCTTAAGTTATAGTGCAAAAATTCGAGTTGTTCACCTTTCTCGGGAAGAAATCGGCTATGCGCAGTTAATAGGTGATCGTATCTATGCGCACTAAGTAACAGACGCCGCACGTATGCGCAGTGGTTTTCAGATGGTTGTATTATACCTATTATAATTATTGTACCTATGTTTTTTAATTGTTATAACTTTTAGATTAGGTATAATAATAAATATTATTTATTTATTTTTATGTTACCTATTTATTATTTTTTTAAACGTTTTATAAAGATATACTTTTTAATATATTATTGGTTTTAAAAACTTTTATTTATTGATAAATATATATGTTTTTGTTTTTCCCCTAAAATAGCTATTTAACGAACTCATTTGAGTCTTTTTTTGTACTAGGTCTGTCAATTTTTCTCCTTGTTTTAAAAGATAAATGTTAATTTACTTTACATGTATTGTTGGTTGCCTGTTTGGGAACAGGATCCCCACATACCACATCAACACGTAATTGGTAACTAAGTGCAAGATTTGCATAATACTGAAACAGAAACTGCAACTGCCTGTTTAAAAACACTGTAAGATCCGGCCGACTCCGGCGAAATCCGACAAAATCCGGCCGATGAAGCCGAATTACTACATCCGGTAATCCGGCCAAAATCAAATCCGGTGCATCCCTAGACAAAATCATTGTTATTATTTTTAAATATATGAATTTACCTTGGGTTTTATCTCAGTTTTTTGATTAAATAAAGACTTTTTTCCTCCAGTGCCTTGTGTTAAGAATTACGTAAAACCTTTTTTGTAATTCTGAACGTAGGCAAAATGTCTATTTTTTAATAATTATATTTTAAAATAATATTAAAATAAAAACACATACTTTACTTTAAATTATTAACAAGGCAAACATTCAGCATATTTAATAAACTTAATCATAAAATTCCACAATATAACTGAACCAAACAATCTACCACATTTTAAAATTATACATCATTTCTAAGTGCCAAACATTGATAAACAAATATTTTAAAGAAAAACTAGTCATAGAGTCAAAATTCGTGAAGTGAGCATGGGGTTTTTACGTGGTAAAAATCGGTTTTACATTAAGTACTAGGTCGCCTCATAATAATCCACAAATATTGCATTAACAATTTAATTCCTATTTAAACAGGGTATAATAGAAAAATGTAATACGAATTGAATTTTTAATACAATATTTGTGGAATTTGTGGGTGTACCTATACCCCATAACTTAATTTAAATAAGTTTTTACTGATTTTTATTACCTAACATGGTAAAAACCCCATGCTTACTTCACAAAATTTGACTATAAATACCTATATGAGAGCAACTTTTTCAAATCGCATTTAATTTAAATTAAATTTTACGGGTATTTTTTAAGGGTAAAAAATGGTTTATCTCGATTTCCGGCAAAACTACAAGTCCTATGGAAAAAAGTTAAATGGCAAAGTTTTAGGTAATAAAAGGATCTACAACTTTTGTATTTACAATTTTTTCACATAACCTCAAAATTTTTGTGTAAAATTCAAAAAACCAAGTTTTTGGTTTTTTATTTTTATCTTAAAAAAAAAAAAAAAAAATTCCACGAAATTTGGTGAAAACTTACCTTTTTATGTCCCAAATACACTGTAATTTATTTGATTTGAAATATTTATTATTATATCAAAAAAGCACCCTACTTTTCAATCGAAAATTCTCGCGTCAAAATATCAGCTTTTTTCAAAAAGTCGGTGTGCTTTTTGTTCGATGAACTCTCTCCTTTCTGATGGTTTAAAAAAAATATACATTACTATGCTAAATGTTCTCAGAAAATACAAAAAATATTATAATGAATAACGTAATCAGAATGAAGTATCTAAATTCAATAGTATGATTTACATGTATTTTTATATTTTATGAGATTTTCTGACATAAATGTTATTAGAATTTAATAAATAAATTTTTTAACTAAAAAAATTGCAACAATCCCATTTTTTTGATGAAATTGTACATAATGATTAAAATAAATTTTCGTATTCGAGTTTTTTTCGTTATTCATTTCGTTTGTTTTATTTATAACAAAAGAGCAAAATAAAATAAAAATCATTTTTCCATGTATTTTTATCAACATTAGCTTGTTTATTTTGTAAAAATGTCAGCTTCATAAAAAAATTTTTAACTGCCCAGGACGATATGTAAATTTTCGACCTCAATTTTTGCCATAAAAACGAATTTTTTAAGTCATTAAAATCGCTATACTTATCCGATATCAAAAGTATGTAAAAGAAAGTTTTAGAGGGCTCAAATACCTTCAATTTAAGGGCTTGTTTGACCAAATCGATCAATAATTGATAATAATTATTATATTTCAAATTATTATATTTCAAGCTATACTCAAAAACGTCAAAACACCTCCGATAATTGAAAATTCATATTTTAAAAACGCTTCCATAAAAAATAAATTGAGTGTGATTTTCGTGTTTAGTGGGTGAAAATACATGGAAAAATTATAATGGGATATGGTGGGCAGAATTTTTTTTTCGATTTTGTAAACCATAATAATTTTAAAAAATTCTGCCCATTTAAAATTTTAATAATTTTTACTGCGCAGCCCAACGCAGCTAATGCAGCGGTAAATGCCCTCCAAACGCAACTAAAGAAAATGAACTTGGGCAGCAACCGCGGCAGCAAAGAGAACCTCTACGCCAACATAAACCACAACGCGAGCAGCGCGAAATCGTCAAAGACTGAATTGAACGTCCCGCCGACGCCGTCCACCAACCTCGACGACTCCACCGGTGCCTTGAACAAGTCTTCCCAGAACCTGAACGCCTCCAATTTTTCCAGCAGCACCAAAATCACCCTCAACGACTCGCCCAGCGCCATATCGAGAGTCAGCAACTTCGCACTGACCAAGACGTCGTCGATAAACACGACCGGCACCGCGAGTTCCTTCGGCGAGAACAGTCAAATGTCGAACGAGACGTTCAACGATGCCAGTTCCGCTTCCAACGCGAGCTCCAACAAGTCCAAGAAGAAGAGATGGGGCATACTGATGGGGCGAAGCAAATCCAGCGACAAAGTCAAGAGTGCAACGCTGGGAAGGGAGAAAGAGAAGAAGGACAAAATACAGAGCAACAACAAGCACAGGTGGTCCACAGGGCTTCCCAGGTTCAATCCGCTTCCGCCATCCATCAGCAAAGAAACCATGGTAAGTTTATGCCTTATCTCCACTTTAGATTATCGGCGAATTTTCGTTAAATGTACATTTTGTATATATATTTTGTCCAGGCAGGTCAATTTGATCGATTTTTTTTCCTTTGTGATAGAACAGTGTAATATACTGCAAAAAAATTCTATAAGTTTATAAATAACAAAAATAAACTTTAAAGAAATAAAACTTATAGGGTTAATCTGAAATAGGAAAGGAACACAAGGAAGAAATGAAACATTGTCCTCCTCCTAACGCATCTTCCTAAACGTTTTATGACACATTACTTTTGACTTTTTCAAACGTTATTTTTCAGAAATACTGTTAAATGTAAATATCTTTCGGCATTTCTTTGGAATTTCTACTATGCTATAATACAAAATGTAAATAAAAAAGTTCTAAAACAAGAGTTGTATGTAGCGTTTTGAAAAAGACCCCAAAAGTGTACGCAAAAAAATCTTACCTTTAAAATATTTACAAAAAAATTCACACACTTTACACGTGCTCACTTGTTGTTGCCGAACTATCAAACATGTATGCCCTCTAGAAATAACACGATAGTATCTCTATCTCGTGTCTTTATTTCGAAGCAGTCGGCATAGAAGAGGACGTTAGGAAAAAGACAAGATTTTTGAATGTCAACTTTAATATTTTTTTCTGTTTAAACTACTTTGTAAAAAACTATTTTATTTTTATATACGAATAAAAGAACTTTCCATTGTTCAAAAATAATTTATTTTTTCCTCGATTTTTTCAGAAGAAAGCTGCAAAGAAGAAGAATATAATAATTTAAATTAAAAAATCGCCTCTGGGGACAGTTAGGTTACAGGACATTTTACCTAGTTTTTCTGCCATATATAGAAACATAAAAAAATAAAAAAAAAATACGATGGGTCCTAACAGGATATTTAAATATAATAAATACAAAACTTATCAACAAAGGTCAAAAATAAAAATAAAATTAGCTGGGGACAGCAAATGTACATTTAACGAAAATTTGCCCTTATATCAAGAATCTAAGCGAAATTTCTTAATAAAACAACATTTTTATTTAATTTTTAATGCGGTCCAAACCAGAACTTCAAAATCACATCGGGTTTTTGAAAAAGTCTAACCCAAAAGTGGAAAACATTTTTAGTTTTCTTTAATATTTAAAATTATTTTACATCATAAGGTTGAGGTACAAAAAAATTCAATTAGTAAATATGAAGAATTTTTTAAATGCACTTAGATATCAGAAAAACAAAAAAGTAGAGTTGGCAAATGACCGGTCCCATTGTTTTTGTCACATTGCGAATGTGACCGTCACTTATAAAAACGTAACAACATTACTTTAAACAATAGCTTGTGTTGAGAGATTTTCATTGATACCAAATACTTGTATTTTTTTTATTAAATTGGTTAAGTTATTAATAAAAATATGATTCTTTAAATTTTAAACTAAAATTATAGTTTTTAGGTACTTTTCAAATGCAAATTTTAAAAGCAATCAATTCTTGTGGGTTTTGAATGCATTTAATTCCTATTCATGTACCAAAAATACTTTGGAGTGTGCCTCATTATTATTTAATATTTTTAAACTAACAATCTTAATATTTTTTATAGTTTTGTGTAGCTATGCCTGGCAAAAAATCTTGCTTGAAGATTTATAAATTAAATTTAATTGCCTCAGCAATTAAATTATTTACCTAACTCTTGAAATTTAAACAATTGATTTTCCTATTAAAACCTGTATTCTTATGCAGTTTTTATTCATTATTTGAATATCCCATCAAAAGTTTGTACTAAAAATTTAGGTATTTTAAAATAGGAAGCATTAAAATTAAAATAATTTGTAAATTTACTATTTACCTTATTTATAAATAATTTTTTTTGAGATCACATTTGCTATACTTAAATAAAACTTAAAAAACATTAAACATTTTTAAATAAAACATTAAAGAATAAAATATGAAAGTTAATTATTTTATGGCAAAATTTGTGTTATAAAATTGTGTTGGCATCCAGGTTATCATCAAGTTTTTTAATTTCAAATGAATCAGTTTTTTAATGTTATCTGGACATTTTTTTTACAGATTTTTAAATGTTTATTCATTCTGGTTGCAAGGATTACATATTCAACTTTACAAAACACATTTGTCCACTTTTTTACCATTTTATCGAAATAATTCCAAACTATTGCTTACCCTTTTTTTTAAATTAACAATAAAGTTTATTAAATAATCCCGATTAACAAATTCAGACAATTTTTACTAACGTTTTAAGGTTAGTTTACAAGTTAAATTCTTTCGCGATTTACCCGCGAAATTTAAAATCGGTCACTTTTAAAAATTGGTCGGTCACTTATGAATGTGACGGTCACTTATGGTCACATATCGGTCATTTATATAAGTGACGGCCAACTCTACAAAAAAGCATAAAAAACATTAATTAATTAAAAACATTTTCCATTTTATGTTTTTTTTTTCTGATAACGGATTCTAAATGCCCATACAATATTTGTTCATTGAAACTTTTTGTAGGGTCATTATTATCATGGTGTAATATTGGTGCTGAACTTATTAGGTAACATGGTTGATTTTTTAAGCCTGTATTGACAATCCAATTTCTTAAAAAATACCTAACTTTACTTTTATATTTTCTCAAAATATATAATATTATTTTAGGATTCGTTAAAAAAATTATAAATTAATTCTTGTATTTGTTAGAAGTACTAAAAATATAATAAATTACAATTAGTAATTAATTTCAAATATTAAGGTTGATTTTATTTATAACTTCTATATAAACTTACCTGCATAAAATTATCGTTATATTTTATTTAACACAGATATACTACACAAATATATAAATAATTTTTAGTTTAATACATTAAATTAAAATAAATGTACTGTAATTAATTAATCTTTTACAAACACTTCAACAAAATTTCTTTGTTATTTTCAGAGGCTTTAAGCCGTAATTTTCGTTTTTAATACCTTCTAATGCAAATTTACTTATAACAGAACACATTGCAAACTGCGAACATATTTTGTCAATAATAAGGTTTAGTCAGTTATAAATGTATGTATGTGTATATTTAATAATACATTTTAAAAATATATTTCTCTTATAAAATAAACACATAAGTATATGTAAGATAACCTACAAATCTTTACTGTCATTTAAAATTTGCCAAATTGGTTCAAACTTCAATCAGTGGATATGCGTAAATCAGTTGATATAAATAAATCAACGTTTCTAAGTATTGCTAAAAATATTTTGTACCAATACACAAGTAATAATTTATTTAAAATATTGGTATTTGTTTTTTAACAATTTTTTTTATTTTTACAATACCAGCTCATTGTTAGAATTTATTTTTCAATAGTGTTACCAAAAAAAGTCATCAGTTGTTGCTTAAATTTTATTTAATTTTTGCATTAGTGAACACATTTATTTTTATTCACTTTCTTTGTTTAAATTATTTTTGCAATTCTGTTGACAACGTAAAACTACAAATGCAATAGATTATAATTTATAAGCAAATAGAGTTATTGCATCAAAAATGAAAATCCCTAAAAACCTTTTTAATGTAATCTAGAGGTAAAAACACATTGCAAAAATATTTTTTTATATTCCAAAAGTTCAACCCGGCCCCAAAATATCAAATTAAAAAAAAGGTACTTTTCAAACGTTCCGAACTCCCGCCAAATTGCGTGACGTCATAAGCTCCAACTGTCAGAAATCAAGATGTCAACAAATAATAAACACCGATAAAGTTTATGTTTAACATGGACCAAAAATTGGTTGTAAATATTGTTTTGTGCCTTGTTGTACAAACACAACCTGGAAAACTCCTGGGAAAGTTGTCCCTTCAATTATCAAAAGCAAAGTTTATGACCCTACACTGAGAGTAGTTACGGCTCAGCCGTATTTTCTTGGGTTTATTAATATTTAACATACCTATTCAAACCATATACCTAGTAAACGACATTTTATTTTACTTACATTAAAATGATCCTTAAAATGATCAATAAAATGTTGACTGCGGTGACGATGTTTTGATATCGCGCCGAGCTATTTTAATCCACTTTATCCTTATTTTCCCTTTTGGCACGGTGATAAACCTTTTCCCAGGAGTTTTCCAGGTTGTATTTGTACAAGGCACAAAACAATATTTACAACCAATTTTTGGTTTCGCGTTTTCCATGTTAAACTTTATCGGTGTTTATTATTTGTTGACATCTTGATTTCTGACAGTTGGAGCTTATGACGTCATGCAATTTGGCGGGAGTTCGGAACGTTTGAAAAGTACCTTTTTTTCAATTTGATATTTTGGGCCCGGGTTGAACTTTTGGAATATAAAAAAATATTTTCGCAATGTGTTTTTACCTCTAGATTACAATAAAAAGGTTTTTAGGGATTTTCATTTTTGATGCAATTACTCTATTGTGCCTACAGTTCATTTTTTTTTATCCGGACTCGTGTTTTTCTGTTAGGTTGGTGGCTTATGCCAGTTTGACTTAGTATTTTTAGTATTTAAAAATGGTACTTCTGCTAAAGAATTTAATTAAATACTTTGACACTGTCAAATTGACAATAATATTTATTATTGATAATTTTCTTGTCAATTATAAATAAAAAGATAATTATGCCAAAAATAATAGCAACGAATTCGAATGTAAAAGCCCTTTTAAGAGCAAAACTTCATTTTGATGAAATTATGCCAAATGCCACAATGGAAGAAAAAGTACATCGCCTTATGGACATTTTTGGAGTAAAAAAGTAACGAATTTGGTTTTATAAATATTACATCACACATTATTTTCAAATTATTTACCATTGGACAACATTTACGTTCACAAAAAAATTTATTTTATTTTATATACCTAAATTCTTTTCAAAGCGAAGATTATTTTCCGCTAGGAATACTTTCTCTTCTGGGCCGTAAAGCAACCTATATTTAACTACTTTTTTTAAATGATTTTACTCATCCAAGCACCACCAATGCCAAATTAATTGCATTTTTAACTACGAATTTCAACAACTCAACTTGACAACTGCACAATGTATCCTACAATAATTTATACATAACCACAATTAGATTTATAACTTTGTTTTAATCAATGCGACCAACTTGACAACTGTATTTACCAACCAAAACCCTAAACTTGCAACGTTGCCGCAGTCCAGATAAAAAAAAGAACTTTAGGTACCGTAAACACGGGTGACTTTGCACCCCGCGGGTGACTTTAGCCCTTTTATGAAAAAAATTTTGGCGCTCGATAAAATTAACATTTATAATTTGTTGGTCTAAACCTGTCAATTGAGCGATTCTATTGAGTTTATATTACAGGAAAATCAGTGTTTTAAAAAAATAAATGGGATTTATTACACTTCTAAGTTATATATTGCATTAGTGCAAAACTCTTAAAAATACACGAGTTTCAATTTCTTTATTATGCGCAATTCTTTGGAATGATGATCCCTGGTTAACTACAGGTCGATTTTTTATTATTTTTATCGGTAATCCCTTGCAATTGCTATATGTCGCTGCATATGTCTAATAAAAATAAAATAAAATATTGAGTTAATTTTATACGGAAAATACACCGTGAGACAAAGTAACCCGCAACCAGGGGGTAACTTTGCACACCCAGTTTTTAATTTTTATTTTTGAAACTCAGCCCTATGTAAGATTATAACATTATGAAAGAGCAACTCAAGACTCAAATTTTGGTATATAATACTTAATGTGTATGATTGTTAAAACTACAAAAATGTTAATATTTTGAAGTTTGAAAGTGAGCTAAAGCCACCCGTGTTTACGGTATTGTTATTATTCCTGCATTATTATCAATTGTAAAATTTGATGAAAAATCCTACTTTAAATTGCTATTAATTTAAACAGTTCCTACTTTAAATTGAACTAACAGTGTAATATTATTAAATAGTAATTTGGCGCGTGTTTTAAATACGCCATGTTACTTTTTATTAAATCAATATGCTAGTTATATTAAATTGTAAAACGGCGCACCATATTTTTGTATATTATTATTTATGTCTTGCACAAATTTCTTTGTCGCCAGTAAAAATTTAAATAAATAAATTATAAATCTAACACGGTGATGTTTTATTATGTAGCATTAATATTATAGTGTCAACTTTTGGAAAACAAACTGGCAGACAATCAGCTGTTCTTCGAATTTGACAAAATTCCGAAAAAGAAACAGAACGCCGATTTCACCACCGCCCTGCTACCCGACAACGCAGTATTTAATCGCTTTAAAGATGTCTTTCCATATGAAGACAACAGATTAAGGCTCACGCCCAGTAAACATAACAAATATGGATACATCAACGCGTCACATATTACGGTAACTTTTCGATTTTGTGTGTTATTATTTAATAAGTGTAATTCGGATGATTTTTTCAGGCTACAGTTGGCAGTAAGCAAAGATTTTACATAGCAGCTCAAGGTCCAACTAGAGGAACGCTTCCGTACTTTTGGCAAGCAGTTTGGGAGGCAGAAGTTTATCTTATGGTTCAATTAAGTGATCCATCTGAAGATATAACATATTTACCAGACGCTGGAGATCGCTGCATTGATATTGATCAGGTAATCAACACTTTAAAATTAAATTGTTAATTTTTTTTATTAACTACACTGCGCGTCAAAATTAACGCATAAAAAGTAAATAAAAACCAACTCTAAAACGCCTTTACCAATCTTTATAAAATTTTGGATAAAAATACTTTAAACTTATATCTGATTTTACGTGTTCAAGAGTTTTTCGAGAAAAAATCCTTAAAGCCCTTTTATTTAATAATAAAAAACCCTAAAAAAAAACTTTTATAGGTTTTGAAACACTTCAAAGTCGTCAAAAATGACCACTTTTCAGCAAAATAATCAAAAAGGGGTCATTTTTAGAGACTTTGAAGCGCTGTATCTTCGTTACTGTTCGTTTGATTTGTACAAAATGTTCAGGGTATACCCTAAACCAAACCAATAGATGATAAAGAGTATATAGTTTGGAGCCAAATGAAGCGCCCTCTCTGAACTTGGCTAAAAATTAAATTACGTGTTTACAGGCAACTGTTGCCAACATAGCTTTTAATTGGTGGAAAATCAACGTATTTGATTGGTTACTTCAATGGCGCTATATTTAAAATCTAACTTGTGGCTAGATTTTAAATGTAATTAGTAACGAAAACAATAACTTTGTTTTCTACCATGTATTTAAGGTACTTCTGTGGTTATGCTGTTTAGTAATTCTCAAGCAACTTTTATAAACTAAAGAAATTCGCAGATTTATGGAAAAGCAATGAGGAAAACAAATGTATGTAAATGTAAAACAAGTGTATTTAGTAGTAATTTGTAAAACTCGTTAAATCATTATCATACTTATTCCCAAAAGTTCCATTCATATATGGTAAGAAACATTGTTTTTGTTATTTATGATTGTCTACCAAAAGTAACTGTCTCATTAATCATTATTTTGAAATTAAAGAATACTGTTAAATCCATAAATTTTATTAAACAATACATGCCTACCATCTGAAAGATTATGATTCGGACAAAATGTTGTTTATAAATTATTATTATAATACAAACCTTAGAAACAATACACAATAAAAACACACAAAATCTTACAAAAATGCGATAACTACGGATATAATTGAACGTCAATAAGGTCAAAAACGTCAAAAAATTATAAAATCCGCGCCCTCTCTTGGCTTGGCTAAATATTATAATACTGTCCTGACATTCGACATAAGATATTTATCTATTGGTTTGGTCTAGGGGGTATACTAACAAAAATACGGTTTTTAACAGCATATTTTTTATTTACTTAAAAAATTCCCTAAAAGTTATTTTTTGAACGTTTTTTTATTATTAAATAAAGGGGCTTTAAAAATATTTTCTCGAAAGACCTATCTATTGGTTTGGTCTAGGGGGTATACTAACAAAAATACGGTCTTTAACAGCATATTTTTTATTTACTTAAAAAAAATTCCCTAAAAGTTATTTTTTGAACGTTTTTTTATTATTAAATAAAGGGGCTTTAAAAATATTTTCTCGAAAGACCCTCGAACACGTAGTGTTGAAGTATTTTTATACAAAATTTCATAAAGATTGGTAAAGGCGAATTTTTTTTACTTATTATGCGTTAATTTTGACGGGCAGTGTATTTAAAAAAATCAAGATATTCTTATTTTTTCTATCGCCTTTTGGCTTTGTTTCTACCCTTATTCAGTGTGTCGCAAAAAAAAGATTTTTCATAAAAGGGTTAAAGTCACCCGCGGGGTGCAAAGCCACCCGTGTGTACGGAACCCTTAAATATGAAAAATTGTAGGACAAATTTCCAAAATTGTACAAATTTTCATAATTTTTAAATTGTTCAAAAACATTTTTGTTTGTTTTAAGGACTACCAGGTATGGTGGGAGTTCTCCCAAACAACCGGTCATTGCGTGACAAGCAAAGTGAGATTGTGCCACGTAGCTTCGCGCAGATACAGAACGATATGGCATCTGCATTACACGGACTGGGGCGACCAGGGCTGTCCCAAGTCGGTGGCGCATTTTCTCGGTTTCCTCGAGGAAATGCAGTCGGTGCACCAGCACTCGATGGGCGAGATTCCGCCCGGACACAACAAAAATCCTCCCATTCTGGTGCACTGCACGGCCGGCGTGGGCCGCACAGGATTGACGATACTAAGCGACTTGCTGTTGTACACAGTGGATCATAACCAAGTAAGTAAAATATTTTTTAAATGGGTCTCACTATGAGAACGACGCATTTTAACATATCAATGTATAAACTAGGGTGTGTCATTTTTAAGCAACTTTTTTTTTCAACTAAAAAACAGGCTAAAAACTTTCAGGAAGGTGAAAAAAGAAACCTCTAAAAATTTGAGCTCTTAATATTAACATTAAGTGGTGCCTGTCCCTAACTTTCCATTTTCCATTTAAATAACATGGACATTTTTTTTTCTTTTTTCTTATTTTTGTAGCTTGACATTTGAGCATTGTAAAAACGAACTGAAAAATTATTTTGGTAGGAAATTGAATGCTCTACAAAAAAGTTTCAATATATTTTTTTTATAGAGTGAACCGTTCTGAAGGTATTCAAACTTAAAGTTGCCTTTAACATTTCGAATCGTGGCACGTTAGCGTGCCTCTAGTCAGTGTAATCCGAACGGTAATATACCGACTGAGCCGATATAATCTTTTATCAGAGTTAAAAGTCATAATTTCATACATTTGCAAGTTTGAATACCTTCAGAACGGCTTACTCTATGAAAAAATAAATTAGAACTTTTTTGTAGAGCGTTCAATTTCCTACCAAAATAATTTTTCAGTTCGTTTTTACAATGCTTAAATGTCAAGATACAAAAATAAGAAAAAATAAAAAAAAATGTCCATGTTATTTAAATGAAAAATGGAAAGTTATGAACAGGCACCACTTAATGTTATTATTATGAGCTCAAATTTTTAGAGGCTTCTTTTTTCACCTTCCTAAAAGTTTTTAGCCTGTTTTTTAGTTGAAAAAAAAAAGTTGCTCAAAAATGACACCCTAGTATAAACAATGTATTTGTGTTTCAAAAGTTCAAATGTTTTTGCTCTTAATATTAACATTCTATTTCACTGAGAACAAAGCATTTTTGACTTTTCAATGTATAAACAATTTATTACCTAAGCTGTTTCAAAAGTTCAAATGTTTTTGCTCTTAATATTAACATTCTATTTCCCATTTTTTTTTAATTTTAAACTAATGTGCAAATTTGTACTATATTTTTAAATTGTTCTTCTCAGATTGAACAGAAAATTAATGTAATAAAAACCCAAGAAAAAAAAATTACCCCGAAAAAATTAGCTACAGAACATTTTTGTTTGTTTTTGAACTTTATAAATAATAGAAGTTTTTTAATTAATTGTTATAATTCCCCCACCAAGAGAAAAATAAATAAAAAAGTATTACATAAGCACCAAAGAGTTTTTGCTTGACTGCTTACGTAATACTTAAATGGCCCCATAGTTAAAATTTTAAAACCAACACAAGTCCAGTAGAAAAAATCATTGAGGGTCAGGAAACCAAAAAGAAAACTGCTAGCGTGGAAAAAAATCAGGGAAGGTCAGGGAATTCCTGTAAAAGTCAGGGAATTTGGTTTAGACAAATCGTTGGCAACCCTGTATTATGTGCAGAATACCGTGGATAACATTTTATTGGATCGCACTTAAAAAAAAAATCAACTTTTTAAAGACTATTTTTAAAATCTATAGAAATTTTTCATGGGAGGGCAGGTGGGTGTAATTATTAAGTTTCAAAAAATGGATTTCTACTTAGGTGGCTATAGTCCATATTGTGCTACACAACCCGGCACCGACAGACAGCCTGGTGCGGTCTAATTAGAACTCATCATTGCCGGATAGCCGTGGTGTGTAAGCACGAGTTTTGTCCATACCTGGAGCTAATTTGTATAAAGTCTAAATTATGAACGTTTCTGGTGTTGTTGCCATGTATTTGATTTCTAAACGTTACTTTTAGATTAGAATGTTTTTTATTATTTACGTATAAAGGAACAAACTTGATATTTATAGATATTGTCCAAAGGCATAATGCTAAAGTTTCTATACAAATCCTCGAAATGATACCTAATGGGCAAGTAATAAAGATTTTTGATTGATTTATTTTGAAGTGTCTTGATTGGTATTAAAATTTAGTATTTTTTCATGTGTTGAGTACCATATGGCCGCCAAATATTGAAGGTGGGAGTGAATCAATGCATAGTAGACTGATCTTAAATACCTCTTAGGGAGTGAACCATTTAATCTGTGTAAAATACCTATTGGGCCAGATATTTTTTGTCTTATTTTTTTAACGTGATCGGAGAATGTTAATGTTTCATCAATTATAAGACCTAAAAACTTTATATTTGAGCTATACTTTAAAACACCACCCTCAATATATTAAAAGCTTTTGGTTCCGTAATTTTTTCTTCGTTTTGCAAACCTGACTGATACGCGTTTCTTTTTATAACTAAACCTATTTCGCCAAACGCAACCTTTCCGTGTGTAGTAGCAAAAAGTTCCATACCGCATCGACTTCAAAATCTTGTTTATTATAGAGCAAATTGAGAAAGTTTATGTCGATAAAAGAAAACTCTTTTGTATGTTTTGCTTGCCAAAGTTTTTTATAATAAACGAAATTAATTTAAAATTAAACAAGGCATCTATGTGCTAGATAAAGTTAATATGGTTGACATGCATTTTCAGACAGTTTTTTGTTAAAAAATATAAACTTTAAATCATCATATTTTTTTAAACCATATAGATATATAACCAATATAATTAACACATTTTTTTAAATTATTTTTGAACAATAGGTATTATTAAAAAAATATTGAAATGAAATTCCTTACATGAATAAAATGCATTAATAAAATGCTATTTTTTTCTTTGGGATACCTTCATTGAATATTTTGAGGGAAAAGGGAAAAGCGCGCAGCATATTATAAACCATATTATTCTCATCTTATCTTGGCAGTTTTGAAAGCTAGAAAAAAGATTTTGGCAGATTGAAGTATGATTGGATCTGTTTTTTCAGCATAGCAACTATGTATCTCTTGATACCCATGCTTTGCCTCGAAAAACGGACTGTATTTGGATTAAACACAAACACAAGTTTGGGAGGATTTAAAGTTTTTTGACCATGTTAACTTTCTACAGCTTCTAGATGCCTTATTTTTTGTTGTGTGATGCGGCGAAGATTTTTAAAATCATAAAAAATTGTTTAACCTAATTTATTTTAAGTAACTAAACCCCTAGGCGTTAGTAAGCCATTTTGCGGATAATATATATTATATTTATTATAGACTGTATAATTTAGAGGGTTTTTCAATAAAAGTGTATTGTCCATTTTAATGACTATTTATATTTTATTGAATAAATGTTTTGTAAATAAATGTTATTTACACATATTTCTTTTCTTTTATAGGAGGTTTGCATACCAAGAGTTGTAGGATTACTTCGCCATCAAAGGGCCTACATTCTACAGACAGTAGCTCAGTATAGATTTGTATATTCTTTGTTAATACATTACTTAAAACAAACAAGACTTATTTAGTAGTTTTTTTAGGTATTAAGTATTTTGCTTTAAAAATTGACAATAATTATTTGAATCTCTGTGTTATGAGTTTTTATTGGTGATGTGGCGGATTGTCCAAAGTTAACTTGGAGCAATCAAAAATAAAATTTAATCATGAGACAAAATTTGTTAGGTTTTTTACCTAACAATTTGTTGTGGTATTTCAAGAAAAAATAAACTAAACGGATACGGATATTCGCCACATCACATTATTAAGAACTATTGTTATTTATTTGGCCAGTTTTATTGTTATAAAACATAAAATTATCTTAAGGGTTTTCCTTAGAATAATTGTGTGAAAGTTTCATTTCATTAAACCATTGTGCCAAACACTAACAATTTTTATTATACAGGGGGTCCAAAAATACATGTACAACAAATCTTTAAAGCCCTGTATGGGCTAAGCAAAGCATTTTTAAATATAGGAATAAAACCATATAAGCAACATAGTATTATGCTCTACAAGTATTTTCAGGGCTCCCTGTATAATGTTAACTACTTACATTACTTATCATTCTTTAAGTTTTGAATTTTAAATATATTTGATTGTGTTATATAATTTAAAGATTAAATATAAAGGTGTGTATTTAATCTTAATTTTAACTGGAAGTGCACTTTATTGATATTTATTAAGTTATAAAAATTTATACAATTAATTAATTGACTTTGTAATTTTAGATAAATTACGGCGCTATGAGACACTTTAAAAGCGGCTAAATTATCAGTATTTTTGTTATGATTTTAAATAAAGTCTGATTAAATAAGAAAAATTGTACAAATTGTTTAATACTATTATACCATTTGTTAATTATATTTATACAGGATAAATTTAAATAGTTGGATTTTGAAATTATTGGACATTTTGTTAGAAAACAACCAAAATGTATTAAGTAATTATACAAGGCTGTGTATATAATTTATATTTTAACATTTTTAATTTTTGATAGCAATTATTGTGATTGAAATCAGTGCCTTAATAGTGTATAACAGTTATTTAAGTAATGTATAACTATATTTCAAAATAAAGTTTTAAAGACATGTATTTTTTTCTTTTATTAAAATAATACATTTGCATTTAACCTTATTTTTATAAATAATTTATAATATAATATTAGAACTCTTTAATATACTATATACTATATTCTTTGATATCATTAAGTAGCTTAGCGTTTTTTTGTGCCCTTTCCATTAGTTTGGCAGTGGCTATATTAAATGATTTCATTGTATTTATCTTTACTCTCTAAAAAAATCATATAAATAACTGAATATTTTAAAATTACTAGCTTACATCACATTCTTTTATTGTTGCAACCACTTGTTTTTGAAATGCTACCAGATCAACTACCATATTTTGTCCATATAAATTTAATTCACTTAAACACTGCATATTCCTAAAAAATAATAAATTTAAAATTTATAAATCCAATGCCACATGAAAATGTTTGACATAACAGTTTGGCCCTAAACTAAGAATACAAGTTTAAGAGGTTCCTCATTAAGTTTAAAATTGTCCACTGAAATACTACTGGAAAATGTTTCTTTCAATATTTCTTTCTGTAACATATGTAGCAGTTTTTCATATAAGAAGCATTAAATTATCTACAAAAAAATTATTTATTTGAGCATGTCGCGGTAATATTTAACTTAATTAACGTAATAAATAGTATATTGTGCAACTAGTTGGGGACAGAAAAGTTTCCTCGAGCGTGCTGCTACAGCTACGTTTAAACAAAGTTGTTGGAAAACGTTATTTTCTACCAGGGAAGTTAACTGTAGAAAAAAGCCATAAGAGGTATTTCACTTTTAAGGAAATACTTTATGTTTAATGGTATATTACACTACAAAGAGCCCACTGGGAAAGAAACCTTACAAAATATTGCTGCAATGTTCGCCGACTTTACAAATAAAATATTTCTTGTGCTACTTGCATTAACATAAATGAAATGTTACATTTGAAATATTGCATATAATAATTTCCAACAACCTTAAATTTAAAACATTATTTAAAGATTCACATGGAAAGTTTTTACAATGTTATATTTGTAACATTTAGTATAAAATGTTGCATAAAAGTTTTTAAACATTACAATTATAATATTGCAGACATAACTTTTTTTCAATGTTTCAATTGAAATATTAACACAAGTTTCAAATGAAAAATGTTTGCAACTTTACTTTAAATATACAATAGAAACATTTATTTTGGAATGTTTGGGAATATTTTTGAAACATTGCAATTATAATATTACATTGATAAGTTTTGGGCAATGTTTCATCCGAAATATTACATTAAGATGATTTTTAAAATGTTGCTTAATATAAACAATATAAACATTTAATTTGCAAGATTTTTGGAACATTGTAACTATAATATTACGTAATGTACATTTATAATTATAACTTTAGTTTTGGACATCCGAAATATTGCATTAAGATAATTTTTGCAATGTTGTTTGCAGACTGACTTGCCGATGCATCTCGCCGCTGTCTTGGTCATTTATATCTTTATAAGTGAACATTGCCGAGCTTGATGCGTGTCTCCCGTCACCGACTGCCTGACACTCATGAGACCAAACAGGTCAAAACAGTCTGTTATGTATATATCGGTATATATATATATATCGGTATATATAATAGGCCTATAGCTTACGGATAAATAATTATAATTAATTATTATAATAATAATTCATATTAATTAAATTGCAATGTTCCTGTAATGTTGAAGGATCCTTTCATTAACAAAAATAACATTTAGTAACATTGCAAATAATACATTTAAGCAACATTTTATTTGTAAATGTAATGTTTCTGAACCATAAGGCTTTGTTGCAATGTTCCTGCAACATTGCAACAAGGTTTTTTGTAACATTACACCTAACAAATGTAATGTTGCAGGAACCTTACATTAACAAAAATAACATTTAGTAACATTGCAATTAATACATTTAAGCAACATTTTATTTGTAAATGTAATGTTCCTGAGCCGGACATAAGGCTTTGTTGCAATGTTCCTGCAACATTGCCACAAGGATTTTTGTAACATTACATCTAACAAATGTAACGTTCAGTAACATTGTAGAAATATTATTTTTCCCAGTGGAAGGGTAAGTAGATTATACCATTCGAGAACGAGTTTGCACCCGAGCGTGCGAGAGCTGAGAATAGAGTCCGAGACTGGTCAAAACTTTCCTCCTGCATAGTGTATAACGTTTCATCTGCTCACACAGCTTTCATGTAATAAAAATTCTGTTTTCTACAACCAAGCGCAAAGTACAAATTTGCGCTTCCAAAAGAAAGCGCAAAATTGCACTTTTTCGAAGAGCAAGCGTTTTTTTAATTTGTCGTTCGCCGAGCGACAAAGTTACTTTATCGCTCGCTGAGTTACCATGGAAACCATAATAAAGAAACGTTTCCGACTTTTGACACAAACGTGAGGTTATCAATTATTATTAATTTTTACCAAACATTCTTATAGAAATACCGGTTGTAGAAAAAATCCTGTGTGTAATTCGAGCCCAAAGTGACATTGCCGCAATCACTTTGCGCTCTTAATACACAAATAGCTATTTTTGATAAATTAATTTTGACACTGACACTAGGTAATTTTTTGACATTAAAGGATGTCACGTAGTCTGCTATGATTTTGTCGTTATTAAGACGTTTTTTACCCATGGGAGGTAAGTAGCTCACTTATCTCCCGTCGTCAAAAGCAATCAGCCTTTCAGGGTAAATTCAACTTAACTGCTATAAAACAATGTAAGAATAGTTTCCATAGTGGAAGCATATAATACTTTATTATTATATGAGAGATAATGCACATAATCTCGAGTGTACTGTACTATATCTAATGCCTAACAACTTGAATAATGAGTTCATTATTTCCGTTTTTATTCAGTGAATTTATAATGTTTATCATTATATACAGAAAAACCCAATATTATGCAATGCTAGTAAATAAAATATTTTATCTATTTTGCGTCCATAATGACTTCATTATAACACCGCTTTCGGTGCTTCCCCACCCAAAATTTTGATTTTATAGCTTAGCTATACCTTAAACCTTAAACCTTTTGCATATTGGTTATAATATCTTTATGATTTTTCTAGTACTTACAGACTTTTCTGGCAATAAATTTGAAAATCCTATTTTTCTTCTTTAACATAAACAGCCGCTTATTGTAAATAAGTAAATTAAGGACGGCATGGCAAATCGATTTTGACATTAACTGTCAAACCAATGACTGTGATACCAACTATCTAAAGTAAAATTCGACCAAATTAAATTAATAAATTAATAAGATATAAAATTAATTTTTTTATAGAATTTTGCAAAATAGATAAAATAGAATAAAGAACTCATGTCGACTTTTGTCGCACTCGTCCATTACAAAACTCGCTCCTTCGTCGCTCGTTTTATAAATTATCCGCGTGCGACAAAATGACGTCTTATGACATTAGTTCTTTAATATACTATTATTTTATTGGAAAGGTTGAGCTTGTTTTCTTAAAAATAAGACTTGATAAGCATATAACTTTTTAACTAGTTATGATTAAATGTACCTCTGTGTTAAAAACAATTTTGTAGGGAATTTAATGTACTACAAATTTGATAATTATCATTAATAGTTTAGTTTCTAGACAATAAAACGCGTAATTTAAAAAAAATCAATTACTATGTGAAATATTAGTAATAGATACTGTAGAGAATTTATATGAAAAATGGGTACATAAGTTGCAGGAAGAAATAATTAAAACAATCATTTGCCTATGTTATATTAATAGGACATTTTTAAACTCAATAAATAACCTATGTAAATTAAAAGATGATTTTTGCTGAATTTTTATTTCAGAATAGTCTAAAGACTTTATGCTGGATTGAAAAAAAGATATCGGTATTTTTTTAAGCATTGTATTATAAATATGTCTTACCTTTCTTTTAAGTCCTTACAATATTCATCCAGTTTTAGCAATTTTTTATTAAATGACAATAGTTTGATTTTTTCAATAAGGGAAGTCATTTCAGATTGTATTCGTTCTATGCACTAAAATAAACACACATTTAAAAGACGTCATTACAAAATAAATGCCCATGTCAAAATCACTTAGGTGGTAGATTTGGTTTAAATTTAATTTTTTATGTTTAAATATTTGTGCACTAAGTATTATCCTTCTATAATATATATTATATTTATGGGTATATTTCTTATTTTAATAGCAACAGGGTCGGTTAAGTCGGAAAAGTTGCCTAATTAAGTATCTATATTAAAATGAAATTTGAAAATTGAAAAAAACAGCGGTTTTTAAAATATTTGAAAAAAAACTGAAAACCTGTCAAAACAAAAAATCATTATAACGTTCTATCTAGTTAAGCGCATACTAAAAAACACGAATTTGGGCAACCCACTGCACAGACTTTAACGGCGCCATTTTTATATTATTTACAATTCTTGTGTATATTCCGTAAACACATTCCCACGGAAAACTTGAAAGACTTTACTTTTTGTTAAAAAAATGCATAATTATTGTAATGTGTTCAAATTTTAAAAAACTTAAAAAAAGCGATTAAGGACATGAACTTTTCTTTTTTAAATGTTCCTTACATCCATTTAACAGTTAAAAAAGTCTTGGAAGGGACAAACATTGTAATAACTACTTTTTAATCAAATAGCAATCACCACCTTGGTGATTTTAAACTTATAGAAATGCATAGAAATGTTCTCTTTGTTAGGTAGGATAAAATAAAATTGGTTTTACCAGTCTGGCTTCACTTTCCTTCACCAAAATGTTTTCCTTCAACTCAGATATCTTGGCTAATAATGCGTTTTTAGCATTTGTTTCTTCAGAAATTTTTAATATAATATTCTCCTTGGCTATTAGTTCCAATTCAATTTTTTTTCGGACTTCCACTATGTAAGAATTAAACATTGTTTGTAATTTCCTTGATTTTTCAGTAATTGTTTGTATGTCTTCAATGAAACTGTCATCGTTAAAACCCTTTTCTCGTAAAAGCAACACTTTTGTTTCCGGTTTACTTATTATAATTTTAATTAAACTGGTATTCCATTGGTGAACCCACTGTTCAATCTAAATCAATAAAAGTTATATTAGATTTTACTTGATGTTCAATTTGATGGTGACATTTACCTTATTGATTTGATTACGCATATTTAAATCAAAATCATCATTAACCTTTTGGAGTTCATCAATGTTTTCCTTTTTAAAATGTATAAGCTTTCTAGCTTGTTCGATTTTTTGTTTAAGTAATTTAGACTGCTTTTTGGAACATGGTTGGGTTTCTATTGTTTCTTTTAGCATTACACGATTTTTCCTTTCTTCTACTAATTTTTGTTCTAAAAAAATGACAATAAAATTAAAGATAGAAGTCAGCTCATAAGAAGCAGTCCAAAACTAAATCTTAAGTAAATCGATTTACTTTATTTGGTATAGAAGTGGGTAAATTAAATATTTTAAGTCTAACTCTTGTCCGCTGGAGGGATTTAAAATCCTAAATTAAAGTGCTATTAAGTTCAAGTGCAAAAAAAATTAAGCAGAATAAAGTTGTAGCTTATTGGTACTTTTAATTCAATTAGGATCAATTATTGATCCTAAACACAGTAGGAGAGCTAACGTGTTTATAAAACGCCATATTGTTTTTTTATGTAACATACAAATTCCTTAGATTATGCTAATATAAAAGTTAAGTAAAAATCCCAACTCTTAATTTCAATTTTTTGAGTTTTCACACCGAGTTGAAAAATTGGAAGTGTATACGCGTTCATCGGACGTGGCTATAATGTTTTATAATAATTATAATACATATACCTGGACAACAATCGGGATTTCCTGGTGAAGTCATGATGATATCACAACGTGATTTTTTTTATCACGCTGTGATATCCTGAGTGCATACACATGCTTCATCACAGTGATATCATGTAGAACTCACGGTGTGATATTTGCAAAACTTGCGCATGCGTATGAGCCCTGCGAACTGCGAATTTAAAACCTAGTTTGTTATTCACATTACACCGTTATAATTTATAAATCGTTGTTTGAATATCACATCGAACATCGATGTATGATCCGTATGATATCAGTATGAATAAAATTTGTGAAAATCACAACATGATCATGTTGTGATTTTCACAAATTTTATTCATACTGATATCATACGGAACTCACCGCGTGATAAATGAAAATCATAAGAACGTCACGTCGTGATTTTCACAAATTTTATTCATACGGACATCATCCGGATGTCATGTGATTTTTTATGCCATCGCTGTTTGGATGATCATTTTTGCGACACATTCGTACATTGAAAGAAAAAGTATGTTAACAATTGAATCAACAGTTTAACATTCAATATGTTCTTGGATTTAAATTAACTATATATAGTTAATTTAAATCCAAGAAAATATTGAATGTATTTAACCACAAAAACTGTTGATTCAATATATATGTAGGTATACTTTTTCTCTCAATGTACGAATGTGGCGCAAAAATAAATATCCAATGGCATAAAAAACCACGACATGATTTTTTATGCCATCGGTGTTTGGATATTCAATTTTGCGACACATTCGTATATTGAAAGAAAAAGTATGTTAACAATTGAATCAACAGTTTAACATTCAATATTTTCTTGGATTTAAATTAACTATATATAGTTAATTTAAATCCAAGAAAATATTAAATTTATTTATTTAACCGCAAAAACTGTTTATTTAACATAATTTTTCTCTTGGTTACGAACGTGGCGCAAAAATGATTATCCAAACACCGTTGGCATAAAAAATCACGACATGATTTTTTGTGCCATCGGTCAATCGCAAACAGCCATGGCATAAAAAATCACGACATGATTTTTATTTCTCACGCAGTGACATCCGGATGATGTCCGTATGAATAAAATTTGTGAAAATCACGACGTGACGTTCGTATGATTATCATTTATCACGCGGTGAATTCCGTATGATATCAGTATGAATAAAATTTGTGAAAATCACGACATGATGTTCGTATGAATATCACGAATGTTGTCCGGGTAGTTGCGGCCAAATCTGTATGGGTGCAATATAATGACGTCAGCATTACCAACTTGTAATTGTACAGTTACTGCCGTTAAATTGTATTTTTAAGGCGTAATTATAATGTGTTATAAAAAAATAGCATTCATTTGCGCATTGTTTACCAAGAACTGCAACAACTTTACTGTTTTAAATTTTTTTTTTTTAGGAAATTATTAAAATAAAACCATTTACTTAGTAAATTTTGTGTGTGCCAGTTGCTAATAGCTTAAGGCTGGCGCGCACCATTCAATATTATGGATGTGTCACCGTCATTTTATTTATATTTGACATTTCGTCCGTACGCATCGTGCAGATTTTTATAAATACTTTTATGCATTGTTTTTATCATATTATACCACTGGATTGTGCAAAAAATGTTACAAAGCTTAAGCCAACAATTGTTAGATTGCAAAGACTTTTGGCCCTTAATAATAAATATGGTGAAATAATTAGACTCCAAGTCTGACCTGGTTCGCACTGGCGACAAAGACGACTGGTAATTTAGTATTTTTTTGTTATGTACGAGGTGTGTTCAGAAAATAACGGGAATTGTTAAATTTCGCGGGTTCGGAGGGTCCGGTTGTCATAAAATTTTCTTTATTATGTTGGTATACATGCCCCCGAAGTATGATAAAAAGTTTAGCTGTTTTCATTGTTTACTTTGTCTGTGGCAGTCACTAAGGTTAGACGTGTTTTATGAGCTCGGCGATTTTTCGTTCGTTAAAAGAAATGGATCAAAGAATTTGTATCCAATTTTGCTTAAAAAATGAAATAAATTCTGCGAAATGTTAACAAAGGCCTATAGTGAGTCTGCTATAAGTAAAACAAGAGTTTACAAGTGGTATAAGAGTTTCCAAGATGGCCGTGAAGACGTTGAAGATGACGAACGCCCCGAACGCACAAGCGCATTAACAAACGATAAAAACATGGAAAAGTGGAAGAAATGGTTATAATGCATCAGTCGCTGATGATGTTGGTAGAGATGTAAAAATACATTTTTTTTTTCAGATGTGAAAAAAAAACATTTTTCTTTTTTTTTTTTAATGAAATTTTGAGTAAAATATATATTAATAATAAAGTGAGATGTAGAATATATTAAATTTTTCATTATTAAAAAATCTGATTTCTTATTATTTGGTAGTTTCCACATTAGAAACCAGTAGCAATGTAAAACTTCTACACTAATACAAAAAATTAAAGGATAAAAAAATTGTTTTGCGATTCTTTGTTAAAAATGGTCGTATTGGAGCCGTAAAAAAAGCAATTTGAAGCTTAAAGTTTCTAGTTTTGAGATTTTTAGATGAAAAATGTGCAACGCTCAATCCTAACGAATACCGTAATAAAAAATCGATTTTTTTGGCTTTCTGGTCCACGGAATGTTCTGACTTAACCACCAATGAATAAATGTTCTACAAGAATTTGCTATTGTTTTTTTGAAAAAAAAAATTCCATACTCCACATGAATTTGAAAAATCATGAAAAAAGTGCTTTTGGTAGCTTTTTGAAAAATCAAGCGCTGAATCAAAAATATTATATGTAGTTACTTTTTTTAGGACCAAATTAAAACAAGCGCGTGCATAGCGCGAGACTGTATTTACATTTACTAATTGTCATTTAGTGGCTAATTTTAATCCATGAAACCTAAAAAATTAGGCTTAAGGGACTAATCTTGAAAAAAAACCTAAAATGTGAAAAAAAAACCATTTGAAAAAAAAGCAAAAAAAACGTACCGTTTTTTTTTCAAGTCGCATCTCTAGATGTTTGTATATCGATTGGCTCATCCCATGAAATTGTTTCGAATGTTTTGGGTATGAAACGCGTGGCAGCAAAATTTGTACTAAAATTGTTAAATTTTGAACAACATTTTTGGCCAAAAACAATACTGTAATGATGCCCCAGCCTCCATATTCGCCAGACATGCCTCTGTCTGACTTATTCCTATTCCCAAAAATAAAGAGAACCTTAAAGGGCAGTCGTTTTGCAAGCATAGATGACATTAAAAGCGCATCGCTAAAAGAACTAAAGGCTATCCCAAAGATCGAGTTTTAGAAGTGTTTCGAGTATTGTAAGAAGAGCTGGCACATGTGCCAATGGGGACTATTTTGAAGGCGAAAACATTAATGTAGATGAATAAATAAATATTTGTTTCAAAAAACGAAAATTCCCGATATTTTCTGAACACACCTCGTACATTTGTAATAATCTCCGTTTGTTTCCTCTCTAAACACATTTAATCAGAATTTGCCCGTAACAAACTCCTAATCAGTTAGTGTAGAAGATTATAACAATGATGTTATAATTCCATCTTAATAAACAGCTCCCGCCGCTATAAACAGTTATAATACTATAATACACGAGCGTTATATTGTGTCTGGGCACGTATAAATAGATCTTAACGCTGACGTCATATGCCATTGATGACCTGCACCCATACAGATTTGGCCGCGACTATACAAATACAAACACTTTAAAAGGGTTTAAGATTCAGCTAAGTTAGTCTTCCATCCTTCCCAAGGGAATCACTTAAGCATGTAGCAACAACAAAGCAATGCTACCGCATATAATTTTTGTTACATTCAAGGTTTGGGAAAAGTTCCGAAAACTTTTCCAAAACTGGTTTACCCAATTTAGTAATACCTAATATAATATATTATATATAGAAGATATTTTAATTGTATCATGGTAAATTTGGTTATTTTAATGTAATTGTCACTTATTTTACAAGATTAATAACAAAATAAACAGGGTATCATCATTCACAAAATTTTAAAATCGGTTTGGAGATGTTTTTACCATGAAATCAAAATTTATTAAAATCCAATTAAAATAAATCTTAACTTTTTGGATTACAAAATATTTAAATTTACCTAAAATTTGCTTATTCTTTCTACATTCAACCAACTGATATTCCAAATCATCAATAATTTGTTGGTCTTTGCTTTTGAAATTTTTATTATACTCAAGCTTTTGTGCCATTTCCTGTTTAATTGACTAAAACATTTAAAATTAATAATATTTAATAACTCATAAATAATTCAACAAAATACCTCTACTTCTTCTTCGTTTGCAGATAATTTATTGCTTATAACTTGTAGTTCTTGCTCATATTTGTTAAGATAATATTTCTCTTTTTCAAAAGTCTCAATATCCAGTCCAATAGCTTGATCTAAATAAAAAATTAAACGTTAAAGATGTAATTAGTTTAATAATCATCGTCACTACCTATTTCAGGGCGAAATGTATCATTTATTTCGGTAATGTTACCCCAATCCTGTGTATACAACAAGGTAAAGAAATACTTCAAGACAACCTATTAAAAATTATTATTAATTGGACACATGTACGAAAAATTTTATACAGATTTAAGCAGACAACAAAATATCAAAGATTTTATTTATATTCACCCCTATAAGGGATCATTGGGAACATTGCCACCAATTAATTTTGGACCTTGAACATTTTGCTCAATCAGCTCCCGTTTTCGCGATATTTCGAAAAAAACGTTTATTTAGATGCGAACATTTTAAATTCGAATATAAAGTTTATTTTTTTATCTGGACTGCGGCAACGTTGCAAATTTAGGGTTTTGGTTGGTAAATACAGTTGTCAAGTTGATTAAAACAAACAAAGCTAGTTATAAATCTAATTGTGGTTATGTATAAATTATTGTAGGTTTCATTGTGCAGTTGTCAAGTTAAGTTGTCGAAATTCGTAGTTATATATATATATATATAAGGTTGCTTTACGGCCCAGAAAAGAAAGTATTCCTAGCGGATAATAATCTTCGCTTTGAAAAGAATTTAAATAAAAGGAATTAAAATTTTTTGTGAACTTAAATGTTGTCCAATGGTGAATAATGTGAAAATAATGTGTGATGTAATATTTATAAAACCAAATTCGTTACTTTTTTACTCCAAAAATGTCCATAAGGCGATGTACTTTTTCTTGGCATTTGGCATAATTTCATCAAAAGTTTAGCGTTTAAAAGGGCTTTTACATTCGAATTCGTTGCTATTATTTTTGGCATACTTATCTTTTTATTTATAATTGACAAGTAAATTATCAATAATAAATAATATTGTCAATTTGACAGTGTCAAAGTATTTAATTAAATTCTTTAGCAGAAGTACCATTTTTAAATACTAAAAATACTAAGTTAAACTGGCATAAGCCACCAACCGAGGGGTCACCCACACCTGGGAATCCCTGGACATTTTAGAGGGGGAATACCATAGGAATACATAGGAATACAATAAAATATAATGCGAATACATGGGAATCCCTGGACGTTTTCCCTTTGGCCACCAACCTAACAAAAAAACACGAGTCCAGATAAAAAAAATGAACTGTATATATACAGTTCATTTTTTTTATCTTTATATATATATTTTAAAGAAAATACTTTTAACGAGGATCAATAATAATCGAGTTAATATAAATAAAAAGTCATACTATGCTCCACACATTTCATTTCATTTAAGGCGTTTTTTCGCGTAATTACCACGAAATACTTTAGTTAAATAAGTTATGACGTCACGGTTAATTCGTTTAATCCCGGTTATTGATTGACATTTCAAATGTCCACCTTGGAAATTCTGATTAAAATTTTTGACATAACACTTGTAGCCAATCACGCCTGATATAAAAAAGTGTGGTTACCTGTTTAAATATTTTTTGACATCAAAACAACATTTTTGACAGATTAAAATAAAGAAATATACACATTAGAAAGAGATAGACTATTAACCAGATTGAATAACCAGCTTGCCGAGGTAGTTTTATGGTCTAGTAAATGTGACGTCATAGTTAAGATTTTGGAACGCACTCTAAACGCGAAAATACATTAACCATTAACTAAGGTTAATTTTAATAACCATACAATTTCATAGCATTTACGCGAAAAAATGCCTAAAGTATTTAAGCGAAAAAATGCCTTTAATTTTTTATTTGTAGTCCCACCATGTGACTGGTTAATTGTTTGTCAGTGTCAAGTTAATTGCATCTTATTTACTTTGAACTGAAATTTGATTTTTTCGTTAAAAATAATATACATTTTTTGATACAATTGCTGTGTGCAGTCTCGGTTGCATAGTATGTACCCTCGTATGTACCGATTGCGGCAAAGGCCACGTCGCACTATGTCGTAAACAGAGTGATTAGGTGACCAAAAATATTTTTGTTGAAAAACATATTGAAAATGCTTTTTTGTTATACAAAAAGATAATTTTTAATAAATTTAACCATTAGTTAGGATTAAAAGAAGCTAAGTACAGGGTGAACCACGTAAGATAACCCATATGCCTATCTCAGAAACAACTGTAGTCATGAAAAATTTGTAGGGAACAAAAATATTTGAATTAATACATATTTTTTAATGTTGTAACTTAATTTATACAGGGTGTTCAATTTTTTCTGGGACGATACCAATTTTATTATTTTCGATCTTTACAACTTTTTATTCTACGTACTTTTTTATGTTTTAATGGCCTTTTGCAGAGATAAAAGGGATTCCGCACTTGTACTCTTATCCTGTTAAAGTTTTCTGTTTAGATACCTCATCTGCCATTCATTTTTCTCAAATCCGTTAGATTGCTAAATTTGGGTATTTGAAATGGATGTTGTTAGCAAGAAAGTTAAGAAGTTATTTTTATAGCCAATTGGCTATAAAAATTGGTTTTAAATTAATATATATTTATTATTTTTATGTTTTTAATTAATTTTAAGGCGCCAGATTTAAAAAAAACTCGGAAAATAAAGACAAAAGTTTAAAAAAATGAGCTCTAATACACATTTTTTGACATAAAATCAAGTGTAGCCAAGTTTCTCAACATTTCCCGTCAAAATCCTTAATAACGACCATTATTCATATATTAACAAACACTTCCACACACAAAAGAAATTGGGGCAACCTGGGGCACCATTACTATTTGCAAAAAGTTTGCTTGAATGCACGTTAAAAAAATGACAAAATTTGGCCGGCTATTACTATATATAAAATAAAATATTTTTTTAATTTTTAACGTTATACCTTAAAAGACATTTATTTTAAAGCAATCTACCAAATATAACTCCTGTTAATTATAATTTATAGTTTTAATCGCATATTTACCAAGCGCGAGTTATTTATATAAAAAAATGTGTTTGTGCATTGTTTTAAAATTTTATACGTCACGGTCCTTATTAATATTTTATAAATAAACAAATGGTTGTACATTGTCAAGAAAAGCATAATGATCAATTTTATGTATATTTTTTGCTGTAAGGGCAACTTCAGAAATCGACTTTTGGTCACCTATACAGGTCAAATACGACACAGTGCGTCGTTTTACGGTGTGGATCACCTGATGTTCTTACATCTCGCCTCTGTTGGCTTACCAACCGAGCATATAAGCTCAGGGAGTTGTTTTGAATGTAGAGTTGTGTTGAATGTGTTCTACTACACCAAGTTGCCCGACACTGATGAGATCCAATATAGGTCGAAACAGCTGTTTGTCGGTATTTAAAGTTGGTGGAACGCACTCAAAACAAAAACTTTGGCGAGGTGTAGGTTCAATTTCTTTTCTATACATTTTTTGTTTTTTGAATATTATTACATGGATACAATTATATTATGATTAATATTTTTGTCGTCTGCTTGGCGTAAAATGATATAATACTTACTGCATGCATCATAGGTTCTCCACAATCTTTAGCAGTGTTGATTAGTTTTATTAACCAAGCAAACATGGATATTACTTGAGGGAAGGCATGCATTGAATTAACTGAAAGTAAATTTTAAAACCAATTTTAAAAAGATTTATTTAATTTTAACTTACCAAGCCTAAATGTTCCTTGTGTAACTGTTTCTGGGTACTTCAAGCTTTTAAGTTCATTTGGCAATATTTCCTTGTAATTCTGAGGTGTCAGTGATATTTTTAAAGGTGAATTAATTTCTTGCAACAAAACATTTATTATATAAATAAATGTTATCAAGGAAGGCGGTTTAATGGTAGTTTCATTAACAATTTTAGCATCAAATTTGGCTGGATTCATTTTAATGTACTCCACAAATTTTATATAGGCTTGTTCATATGATTGTTTTTTCTTATTTATTGAATGTTCAATTCGTGACTTTGCTGCAGAAGAATAACACTAAAATAAACAATTTAATTAAACATAGATACTTTTTTAAAACAGTTTAAAAAATTATACAGGGTGGATCAAAAGTTTGGAATATTAAGTGTAACTTTTTAAATATCGAAAATATTAAAAAATGATTTTAATAAAAGTTGTTTGGTGGTTAATTTTAAATTTTACGGTGATATTGCCAACTTAAAAAAATAAATACGTAGCCCCCCAAGGAGGCCAACTTTAATTACAACCCCATTTTTATATCAGAATTTGAAAGAGGCTATTTTTCTGATTACAACGGTGTAATAATATTGAACCAATATAGGAATATCAGGTGGCTGAGCGTTAAACTTTAAATTTTTTTAAATTTGTATAATTGTATATTAAAGAACTAATGCCATAAGACGTCAGTTTGTCGCATGAGGACAATTTATAAAACGAGCGAAGAAGGAGAGTTTTGAAATGGACGAGTGCGACAAAAGGTCTTATGACATGAGTTCTTTATGCTATTTAATCTATTTTGCAAAAATTCTAGAAAAAAATTAATTTTATACCTTATATTTAATTTGGTCAAATTTTACTTTAGATAGTTGGTATCACAGTCATTGGTTTGAAGGGTTAATGTCAAAATCGATTCGCCATGGCGTCCTTAATTTACTTATTTACAATAAGCGGCTGCTAATGTTAAAGAAGAAAGAAAGGATTTTCTTTGATGTTAAACAAAATTTATTGCCAGAAAAGTCTGTCAAAGCCTGTCAAAAGATATGTGTGAGTTCAAAATTTTCGGAAATACTTTTAAAAAAAGAAACTTAATACTTTCCATTGTTTATACTGTAAAATACAAACATACATATTAGGGTGTTTCATTTAAAATGAAAAATTTTTTTTTCTTGATGACACATGAAAATTTTGTTTTTTAGGTTGAAATAAAAATTCCCTGAAAATTTGAGCCCATAATTTTGATTCTGAGTACTTCCTTTTTAATTTTGTAGTTTTTCCATATAAAAAGCATGTATTTTTAATCATTTTTACTTTAAATTTCTATATGTTGGCCGGGTTTTGAATTATAATTTTTATCACCATAATTTTCTGCATAGTATTCACGGTTTTTGAAAGGCCCTGCATCAATTTTGTTTTTGATTTATTTACGTTGATTGTAGTAGCTCCAAAAGTCGTTTTTTCACTTTATTTCACATATTTTTGAGAAAATCGAGCGAATGACTGGTTTTACCAAAAAAGTTCAAATAAAAAAGTTGTTTAATTTTTGACAAAAAAGGTTCTCACGTTTATATCACTTAAGTGCTTTGTTTAAGAGATATAAGCAATATATAGTTGTTGAATCAAATTACATACATGTATACATAAATTTCAATAAAACCTATTTTTTTCTTTCTTTTTGGTTATTGAATTGCTTATATCTCTTAAACAAAGCACTTTAGTGATATGAACGTAAGAACCTTTTTTGTCAAAAATTAAATTTCCTACAACTTTTTTATTTGAACTTTTTCGGTAAAACCAGTCATTCGCTCGATTTTCTCAAAAATATGTGAGAGAAAGTGAAAAAAACGACTTTTGGAGCTACTACAATCAACGTAAATAAATAAAAAACAAAATTGATGCATTGCCTTTCAAAAACCGTGAATACTATGCAGGAAATTATGGTGATAAAAATTATAATTCAAAACCCGGCCAAAATATAGAAATTTAAAGTAAAAATGATTAAAAATACATGCGTTTTATATGGAAAAACTACAAAATTAAAAAGGAAGTACTTAGAATAAAAGTTAAGGGCTCAAATTTTCAGGGAATTTTTTTTTCAACCTAAAAAACAAAATTTTCATGTGTCAGCAAGAAAAAAAAAATTTTTGTTTTAAATGAAACACCCTAATACATATACATAATACATATGTCACTTTTCTCTATGAATAGTAGCTACATTATAGACCAGGCAGAGAAAGCTCATGTTATGTTCAAACATTTAATACGATATTTGGAGTTGCTACCTCTCCGGGTTTAGCCCAAAGACTCCGGGTTTCGGGGACGATCTCCGGGTCTCCGAGTTTCACGTTCTCAATTTCTCCGGGCCGTATACAGTATTTTATTTTCCAATAAAACGCGAAAATGCAAGCCGCACATTTTGGTTTACATGGAAAAACGTATGACATTTGACAAACGCATACTTAAGTATGCGTTTATCAAATCTCAAAGTCTATGGTTAATTAACCACAAATTTTAAACACATGGCCATAACAAATTTTTCTACTCCTATTTCGGAATATGACCGTTCTAATACTTTTTTTTTTATTATAGCCCAATTTTAAAAGTAATCGATCCCAAACCTTACGGTAATAAAACATAACCGAATGGACGATTTTTTGAGGTACTAGACTTTTTTCAAAAGTTACCTACTGCTTTTCATTGCACAGGGGGTTCTTTTTCAAAACTTTAATTTTTGTGGGGCACTTGCAATGAAAATAATTTAAAAAAAACTACGGATTCGTTACGAGGATACGTGTATCTAAAAATCTAGGGTAGAACAAACTGGCTCATTAAAGCCGTTTGGGAAATAAAAAATGGGTTTTTTGAAAAAAGAACCCCCTGTACATTGAAAAGCAGTAACTTTTGAAAAAAGTCTGGTACCTCAAAAAATCGTCCATTCGGTTATGTTTCATTACCGTAAGGTTTGGGATCGATTACTTTTAAAATTGGGCCGGCCATAATTAAAAAAAACAAAAAAGTGATTTTAAAGCAACGCTCAACTTTGCACACTGCGCATAGCAAAAGGGCATATCATATAAGTGCGCAATGGGGTTTAACGAGTGCCTTATTTAGTACATAATCAAAGGTATTAGAGGTCAAATTCTGAAAAAATGCACAGTTAGCGAGTTATGAGCCAAAGAGCAAAAAACTTCCCTTTCAGGGAATGAAATTAGGGGACGCGGAAAGAAATTTTTGGGGAATATTCTTGATTCATTATCAGCACCCCTGACTCTACATAAAAAAAATAAAAACCGACTATCATCATCATTCCTTCTACAATCTTTGTTTCCTGGACTAGGTAATTATGTAACTTTTGAACTTTTAATATGAAATCTTTCTATATAGACTTATGAGTGTTATAATAAAACACTTCGTAATATTTTTTCACAAAAAAATATTTTTTTTTTAGATATTTTGGTTTATTTTTTTAAATCTCCTTGGACAACAAAATTTAAAAAAAATATTTTATAACAAATTATTTAGTGAAAGCAAAATAGGTAAGTTCATCTTCATTAGTTTTAGAGATATAAATTTTTTAATTCAAAAACGCTTTTTTGAAAATTCTCTTTTAAATGCAGAAAACATTATCAGGATAATGTATGATATTAAAAAAAGATATTTTTATGAAAAATCATTTTGTAAAACATAAATTTATCTTTATTGGCTATTTGGGGCAAAAAGCAACAAGATAAGGTATATAAAATTAAAAAGGACAATTTACTTAATTTTTCAGTAATCTTTACAAAACAGTTCTTTCTTAATTCTATAATTAATAATATAAAAGACTTACTGAACCTGGAGATTTTGAACTGGATCGTCCTCTATCTTGGGATGGAGGCCACAAAGACTACAAAAATAGTTTTATTGTATTGCTCAAACTTGTGCAAGGAATATTCAAAAATATATTTTTTAACTTATGATCAACTTACTGGAGTTCTACTTGAAGAACTTGCTCTTCCCCTATCTTGAACTGTGAGCCTTGAAGCCCGAACTGGAGTCCTACATGAAGAACTTGCTCTTCCTTGAATTGTACGACTTGATGTCTATAAAAATTATTGCATTAAAATTTGTATATAGGTAATGGATCAATCTGTTAATTAAATTAATATTCTTTATTAAAAATAAAAACAGAAAAAACGTTTATTTGAATGCAATGGTTAACCTTAAAAATATTTTCAAATCAAGAATATATATTAGCGAGTATATAAGATATATCTGAGGATAACAATGTCAGGATCATATAATAATTATAAATGTCTTTATTAAAATAAAAATAAACTATTTCAAATTAGAATCAAAACATTAAAAATGTAGCATTTCATTCTTACATTCAAATTGAAATTGAAATAAAAGTTAACTTAACTAGAAGTCTACAGTTGAATTAATACCGTCAAAATATGATAAAAGTTCCTATAGGAAATGTATAAACATGTAGATGATCTTGATGTTAAATTTTTGTAGAAAATAAATATATTGAATGATTCAATATATTTATTTTCTACAAAAATTTAACATCAAGATCATCTAGGTACATGTTTATACATTTCCTATGGGAACTTTTATCATATTTTGACGGTATTAATTCAACTGTAGACTTCTAGTTAAGTTAACTTTTATTTCAACTTTAATGTATAGAACTATGCTATAAAAAATGTACAAAGGTATGTGAGATACATAGTGAAGCAAATACATTTTGTATAACCTTTAACTTGACTTTAAGATCCTAGATTAGAAACGATATAAGAACTTTTTGCATCTCTGACCAGTTTTAAAATGTTAGGTATGGTACTTCTTTTTCTATCACCCTGGGTGTATACCAGGTATACCCAGGGTATACTATACCTACAAAGAAGAAAAATAACATACTGGATTTTGCCTAGATGGTGAGCTGCTCACTCTTTTATCTAGAGAAAGAGTTCTTGGTCTGATCATGCTTTCCCTAAAATTTTTGTTATCATTATATTGTTTTTTAAGGGAAAACCTTTAATTTTTACCTCTGGCTTATGGGAAGCCTGCTAACACTTGATGAACGCCGCATTTTCGTTTAAAGAACAGTTTTACTTACAAAAACTTATAAAAAACAACGAATAAAAAGTATAATTCTCAAACACATTTGACAGTTAAATATTTTGAAAGAAAAGGATGGCCAACCAAAATCCCAACCAAAATCCTAAGTGAATCTGTTAGGGTGCTTTTACACCTAAGGATAGTTTTTTATGTTCACTCTTTTAAAAACACTTCAGTCTGATTTATAGATTGCCTTCCTTCCTTCCTCCATTCCTCCCGTAAAAGATGAACAATACGAAAATCGTAGTGACGTTTAAAGATTCCCGTACAGGAATTTATAAACACTGTTTATTAAACAGCACAGGAAGGGAGGAAGGAAGGAAGGCAATCTATAATTCAGTCTTAAATGCGAAATAATATAAAAAAATAGTATATTTTGGCCTACTAATAGTAGGCTACTATGGAGAAAGGCAGTAACTACAACAAAAAAATCTAAATGCGTTTTCTTGTGCTATGATAAAGCTATGGACATTTTGTATCTTATTTCAACAAAGAAATGCAGTAAATTATCTTATAAGTTAAATAAATCAATTAAATATCTACTGCTTTTAATAAAAAATTAGTTTATGCCAATTTTCCAGAGATTTCTTGTTTAGCAGTTACTGCCTTTTTCCATAGTTGGGAAGTATTTTTTTTCTATGTATTAATTTAATACTATTAAATAACTAATGTCATAAGACGTCATTTTGTTATCTATGGAGGACAATTTATATATGTTGTTAGTCTCGGTGACAAAAACAATTTTAGCGACATTAGCGCTTCTGGTAAGCGTAGTCTAAACTTCTCAGCGGACAAGTTTTTGTACAGTTAAGATGCACAACCATGAGTCAACCTATAAAATCAAAATAAGTAAAGTACCTCATTACAGCACCGAAAGCGGTGTTACAAATTGTAATTGTAACTTACAATGAAGTCATTATGAATGCAAAATAGATAAAATAGTTTTAAACTTTTTTAATTGATATCCATTATGCACGAACTAAGTTATTATACATTACATACAGAGCTGTCAAAGATACTTTTAAAAAGTAGATACAAGATAAGTTACTTTTTGAAAAAGTATCCGAAGTTACTTTGGGTATCTAGTTACTCTTTAAAAAAAGGAACTTAAATACTTATCTTAAGTTACTTTTTAAGATACTTAATAAGATACTTTTTTAGTTACTTTGTATATTATGTAATAAGTTTCGTATAAACGGGGTTGAAACGCGGTTTATAATAAACCGCCCAACAAAAATTCGTTTCAACCCCACCCTGATTTTTCAAATAATTTTAAGCTTACTTTTTTAACAATTTTTTTCAATAAAATCTAGTTGATTAAAACCATTGAAGGGTCTAATGCAAAAAGTGTCTAACTTAGGCACTTTTAAAATATCTTAAAAATAAAAAGAGATAAAATCGTTAAATAAACACCACTTACTTACAAAAATAAAAAAATTATCTCACACTTTTCATTTAATCTTTCTTAACATTTTTTTAAAATTTAAAATGGAAAACATACATTGAACCTTATAGAATGTACGGTACAATGTAACAACCAATATCCTACATCAGTACATCATAAAGAAGCAAGTGCAAGTACTTACCTAACCTAACTTATTTCAGACCACTATAAATTCAAGTCGCAACGAACGGAAACACCCTTCTACAGAGCGGGTGGCGAAGTCACAGATTATAAAAGAAGTATAAGTGAATAAAAATTAAGTAGGTATAACAGTAGGCGCCAGTCGCTGAAGTCGCCAGTATACTTATTATAATAATTTCGAACCGTTTCGAACAACTTGACTAAAGGAACTTTTCTTGTGGTATCTTAGATACTTTTTGGTATCTAAGATACTTTTCGGTATCTAAGATACTTTTTTTAAGTTACAAGATACAGTTCCTTTTAAAAAGTATCTAAGATACTAGATACTTTTTGTTAAAAAAATAAAGGAACTAAGATACAGTAACTTAGATACTTTAAAGTAACTAAGTTACTCTAAAGTAACTAAGATACTTTTTTCTGACAGCTCTGATTACATATATATTATGTATATAGGTGTTTGTAAATGGATTTTAACTCTTGAAAGTATAAATACACCTTAACGCTAACTGTCACATAACCTAGGGAATTTCGTTGCGTTGGCACTCATCACTACAACGGTTTTTATTTGAAGTTTAAAATCTCATAAAAACATTGATACGAAAAAAAATTATAAAACCCACTGGAGGTTGTTTAAATAAGTGTGTATTAGTTTCAGTATCAACAAAAATGTCCCAAACCAAAATGTCCCAAAACCAAATTGCCAGAAGTATATTGGAAGATATAGCCAAAGGAGAGTTTACTAATGTTTTGAAATCCTTAATGGATAATAAAATTGTTATAGACACAAAATATGCTGTTAAAGTTATTATATGTTGTTGCACAGCATGTCATGCTAATGTTAATAGTCCACAAAAAATTGTGGATGAGGATATGTATAATATAATGGAGCATGTGTTGCCTTTTATTAAGGAACCTGATGAAACAAATATCCATCAATATTATCAAGCATTGTTTCATGTTGTAAAGATTTTCACTATTAAGGTAAGTAATATCATCAGCTTAATATGTAAAGTCAAATGATCGTAATTGAGATTGATAAATGTGAAATAAATTGTTTCCTCTTATAACTAAAGTTAACTTAATTTTTAAAGTAAAACCAAAGAATAAATATACTCTACTAAAAGTATATTTAATCTTTGTTATAACATTGGTTGTGTTTTTTTTGCAATTTAGCTAAAAGCGTTTTTATCCTAAGGCTCTTAGGTCAAAGTTTATAAAAATTTTAGAAAATTGTGTTCATTGTAAAAAGTTGTAAAGAAGGTAGGTATTATGTAAAATCAGAAATATTGGACTGAAGGCATTTTAAGAATTCACTAAATTAATCTAAATCATCTTTATTTGTCGGTTTAGTTTCTAGGCACCAGGTATATTAGGGTGTCTCTTATTTCCCAATTTGGCTTTTTCCAGTTGATCAATGTCCAAATCCATTGTTTAACTATAGGTAGTTTTAAAACAAAAAGTTGTTTCAAATGGTGTTTAAACGATGATATTTTTTCAAAATTTCCCAGGATAAAATTTTGTAGGAAATTTGCTCTATAAAAAGGTCCTTAGTTTTATTAGTTATTAGTTATCAGTCCTTAATTAATCCTTATGGCTTAGAAACATTAAGAGCGCCTAAGGTAATAATTAATATTTAAATAAATGTTATAAGGTAAATTTTGTATAGATCATTTTTTTATATTCCATATTAAATCAAAAATGTGTTAATAACATTCAAAATATTCTTTTGTGGGTAAAAAATACCATTAATATTATGCTTATAAGCTTAAGCTTAATTATTACAAGTATTATAAACATTTTTGCAATAGTAACTATTGTGATAGTAATTAATTTAAATATGGTAGCTTTTACTCACAATTTTTTATTATTACGGACGCTACAAAAATTGCTGAGTAACGTGGATCCTTTCAAAAGGCTGAAATCCATAATATATTTTGTTTTTAGGAAAATATACCACTGGTGTTGAAAAGTGAAAAATTATTTTTACCAGAATTTAAAAAAGATGAATTATCTATTCAGACCGCAGGTGTTTACAAAAATACAGTACGATTGATTTCTAATCTACTCTTGTCTCTTAGTAAAAGTGAGAAAGTCAGACCAGAAATAGTGGATATTGCTATGATTATTTCTAGACTGAATAGAAAAATCTTCCCTACAGCACAGTACCTTGAGGCAGTCTTATTTGGAATGATCTGTTTAAACTATGGAAAAATAGATTTAAATTTGTGTAAAAACTACATTTTACAATCAATGAGGTTGGCAAACTTTGATAATTATTCAAATAAAAGTTATGAAAACTTATTGAATCTTCTTGATTGTATATGGACCAAAGCCTTACAGACCAAACATTTTAAATTTTTAGAAAACCTAGGGGTTGATTTTGAGGATATTTTTAAAGATTGTCAAGTTATCCAATATACAGAATTATTACATGTATTTTTGTTTGTGGTGTACTTGTCCCCTCATACAGAGAAAGGGGAAATTTTAAGAGCAAAATTGGGATTGGATTACCTTCAGAAGCTTTTGGATCATAAATTGTTTGAAAGCACATGTTTTATGTTGGAAATGAAATGTTCTATTTTGGGTAATTATTACCTAACAAACAAGGAAGATTGGGCTAAAGTTGATCTCAAATTGCAATTGGAATTTTATGAAGTGATGTATAGTTTTTCTGGAATAATGCTAACATTTAAATGCTGCTGCAATTCAAGTTCAAATTATTACAAGTGGTTGATTGTTTTATACAATTTATATTCATTAATCACAATTTCTTTAAGAAAAAGCAATCCTATTACAGATACATTTAAAAAATCATGTAGGATGTATTTTCAGAAAATAACTGAAATACACTATAGGACACAAGCAGTTAAATGCGATAAATTTAAAAAGTACTGGTCAAACTATTGTAAAATAGTTATATTTAATTTGGTAGCATTATTTAATCAGCGTGATATAGAGATGTCCACTTATTTTGCAAAGATGTTTATTACAGATTCGCTAATATTCGAAAAATTTAATACCACCGACCACACATTTTTGCAGCAAACCATAGAAATGCTTTGCACAAACTTATTTTCTGATAACAAATTTAAGTTGTGCCTAACATTGACAGCTTTGTATAATTACTTGTTTAATAAAAAGAGCGAGCACATTTTTAACTACTGGATTAAAGCTAAGAATGCTTTGAAAGAGGTTGAGGATGTACAAAAAATGACTTATGTTGACGCTTTGGAAAAAATGCAGAGGTATTTTCCAGAATTTCAAGTGAAAATCCATTTGGATAACGCAACAAAGCAAAGGCTTTTGGAAACTGAGCTTGACTCATACACCCAGAAATGGAGAAGTAAATTGCCAATGATGATTGTCCTAAAGGAATTAGAGATAGTATCCAGTACAGATTCTATAGTTGATGTGGCTTTAAAAGCATTTGGAGATTGTGATTCGATGGCTCACAAAGATTTGCCCAAAATTATCCAAAGTATTATCGAAAAGTATGAGAAAAAAGTTAAAGATGAACCTTGCACTATATCAAACATAAAGCTGGCCCATTTGTACTTCCTACATTTTAGTTATGGGTTTAAAAATCAGATTATGGAAAATGCGAATGATATTGAAAAAGCTCTAAATGTACAAGATAAACTTGATGAACATAACAATGTTATTGATCCTCTGCTTAAATGCGATGTAGTGTCCATTTATGAACGCCTTCAATTGGATAAATATACTAAGATAATAAAATATCTCAACAATTCGCTTAAATTACTGGTAACAGCTATAAGTACAAACATTAATAAATCATGTGAATATACTGGTTTGTATCAGTTACTGTTGAAGTTAAATTTTGATTTTGGCTTGCACATGCTTAGTTCTGGCAGTGTGACAGCTTTGCATTATGCCTTAAAAGTTGCACAGAAACAAAAAAATATTGCTAATATAGTTGAAGCTACCAGTTTTATAATTGGAAATTTAGATCCAACAAAAAAATCCGTCATTAACCTCATTGAAAGAAGTGATAAATGCCTGGAAGAGCTCAAGAAAGACAAAAACATGGAAACCAAGAAAATAATTATCAACTACCTGCTAAGCAAGTGTAAATGTTTTATGTACCATGATCACAAATTGGCGTTTGATTTTTATAAGGAAGCTGATGGGATGATCAATAAATATCCAAAAGATCCATTACTGAAGATTGTTAATATTAAATTAATGTTAATGAAGCACAAATTCATCATGTTTTCGTGTGATATGGGAATAATGGATCATAAAAAGGAAATTATTTCTGTCCTGTCCAAGGCTGTTTACTTATTGAATGATGCCGACTTTAGTTCACAAGGTAATATTTTTTTCTTTTTATTTAAAATTTTGTAAAATATCTTTATTAGGGTGTTTACACAAAAAGAAATATTTGTAAACATGTAAAAGTATAAGCAGGCCCCATCGGCAACGCCTTACACTGACCTCCTAGAGTTATTTTTCCCCTTTCGGATCTACTATATGTAGAGATGCGACTTGAAAAAAAACGGTCCGTTTTTTTTTTGTATTTTTCAAATGGTTTTTGTCCATATTTTAGGTTTTATTTTCAAGATTGGTCCCATTTGCCTAATTTTTTATGTTTCCAGTCCAGTTTATGGACTAAAATTAACCACTAAATGACATTTACTAAATGTAAATACAGTCTCGCGCTTTGCACGCGCCAACCCCACTGAATCGACCAATAAGTGCCGCGCCTGTTTTGATTTGGTCCTAAAAAAAGTAACTACCTAGGTATAATATTTTTGATTCAGCGCTTGATTTTTCAAAAAGCTAACAAAAGCACTTTTTTCATGATTTTGAAATTATTTTTTTTCAAAAAAACAAGATCAAAATAAATTTCGAATTTTTTTATTACGGTATTCATTAGGATTGAGCGTTGCACGTTTTTCATCTAAAAATCTCAAAACTAGAAACTACGGCTCCAATACGAAAATTGTTATCCTTTAACTTTTTTTATTAGTGTAGAAGTTTTACATTGCTATGGGTTTCTTATGTGGAAACTACCAAATAATAAGAAATCAGATTTTTTAGTCTCTGTCAAAATTTTGAATAATAAAAAATGTAATATATTCTACATTTCACTTTATTATTAATATACATTTTACTCAAAATTTCATTTTGAAAAATTACTCATTTTTTTAAGATTTATGATATTTATTGACAGTTGTTTTTGTGGGAAATGTTGGAGACTAATTAATTTTTACCTGGTGAAGTTGTTATTACTTAATTTCGCATAATAATAATAATAAAATACTTTATTTTCATCCCAAGAAACATACAGTTTATATCTAATCATACAATTTAATATATATTTTTTAATTCTTAATACATTTTTTAAATCTAAATTAATTTTATTTTATTAATGCATTTTTAATTCTAAATAGGAATATATCATTATAATATATCACAGAAAAAAGAAAAAATATTACGATATATCATTGTTTATTCAATAAAATTCGCCACACAAGACGACATACAGCCCGTTCAGAATAAAACCGAATATATCTATTTATAATGGGGCGTGGCCTCGCCTCCCTCCAAGGCGCGTCACAGTAGCTTGTGTGATAAACGACTTTGTAATAGTCCCGTCCGTTACGCTTTAAATTATTAATTTTTAAGGAATTAAACACTCAATCACGATACCTAATTTTGCCAAATAAAAACCTTGTTAAACAGCTTTAGTTTAGAACTATTTTTAAAAATTTGACATTGGTAATATAATAGAACAATAATATTTTGTAAATAAAAACACGGCAACTGTCCTATCCGTTACGCGTGGAATGGCCCCTTAGAGGAATTCAAATCTGTCAAAATATTTTTGCTAGCTTTTAAAACTGTCGCCCGGGATAAGAAAATCGAGATACCCGTGGTTAGGTTTGAAAAACAGACACCCTGTGTAGGAGTCATTTTGTGCATTTAAATTAAAGAGCTAAAAATTAAAGTGTTTTGATAAATTTTGAACAATTTGTGTATATGTGCTTTTTTGTTTATTTAACTTTTATTAGAATTATTTTGTGTTCCCCTGTTTTTCTTTTTTTAAGTCAGTTAAATAAGGAAATTAGTGGAATTTCCTTGATTTTTTTTCTATCTAACCATATAAAATTTTAATATGGCGGCCATAGGAAATACAAAAGATGGTGGTGGTAACTCAAAATCTAGTATGCAAAACAAATCACAAATTGGATAAAAATGTAGATAAATGTGTTTTTACATGGACATTAGGGTAATTCAAAATTAAGATGCTCCGCATCGCACTTTTCGATTTTCCATAAGAATAACATAGGAAAAATTATTTTTGTTTCTTCTGATTTTTGTAACTAACGAACGATAGGTCATATTGTAAAAATTGTAACGCTCTACCAAAAAGGTTTCTTATGATTTTTTGATAAATTTGATCCTTCTAAAGTAATTTAAGGCCAAAGTCACAGATTATAAAAGTTCAAATGATACGAACTTTTTGGGTTTTTTAACTTTTTTGGCAAGTCTACCCGACTCATTAAAAAAATTTGGAATATTTTTGTAGAAAACGAAACGCTCAATTTTGTATAATTTGAAGTTTGACCTTAAATTACTTTAGAATGATCAACTTTATCAAAAAATTATAAGAAACCTTTTTTTGTAGAGCGTTCAATTATCTCTGTCAAGAACTTTACAGTACGACGTATCGTTTCTTAGTTATAAAAATTAGAAGAAACAAAAATATTTTTTCCCATGTTATTCTTATGGAAAATTGAAACGTGCGATGCGGAGCATCTTAATTTTGAAATTAAGAACTTATCTCTTCACAGGCTCATTTTTATATCTAAACTAAACTTTTAAGCTTGGTTTCGAGAAAAAAATAAACAAAAGGCTTTTTTTAATCACCCTTATGGACATAATTCGAAATTCCCAATAATAACGAAGTTAATATAATAACGGTTTTTGAATTTGGCAGGGTTTCAGTTTTTTTGAAATTATTCGAGAACCGCCTAAAAATTCCATTTTAATAGACTTTTATCTGATTTAACTAATTTATCTAATTTAACAAACCTCTTTATATAAAAAAGATATATATACATAGATACATACATAGAAGGATACTTGGTGCACCCTGTATATCCTTTTTTCTTACTCTTATACCTAAAAATTATTTCAGTCGGAAAAATCTTCGAAAAAGTCGACATTTTAATAAAAATCATCCCCCCATAATCGAAACTTTCGTGACGCCCCTGTATGCATCCTACAAAAACGTTTATTATTGGAAAAAATATTTATTTTATCACGCTAACAATTATCTTTCCAGGCTAACTACAATTTATCCCCATTTTCTTGGCTACGCCCTTGGGGTTATTTATCAATAAATTCAATATCTTATATTTGATTTTAGTTCCAGGAAAATCTCACGCTTTGATACAAAAGTTCGAAGTCTACGAAGAGTTGATAAAGTTGTACAACGAATTGGGAATGCCACGGCAGGTGCGATGTTACGGTAAATATCCTCTTCAACTTACGCAAGAAATGATCCTGCCACTAAGAAGCGTTGCTTTTTTGTCATATCTGTGTATTTCCGATATTGTCACGCATAATTATGACGATTGTCAAGTTAAAATCAACGGTATAGCTGATATTTTGTGCCTACCGAAAATGGCTGCCGTCAATTCTCCTATGAAGCCCAAAGTTCCTGTCCAGAATGACGGCATCGACGAGGTCACCTATCAAATGAGGGAAATAATGTTGGATGCACCAGTCAATGTACCTAACATTACTCTGACGTCGCCTAGTTTTATATCGGATAAATTTAAAGAGCCGTTTTTTACCAGGCATCAAAATTCCTGCGCTTGTTTCTATTGCACTACAACCGAATATCAAAAGTTTGTTTTTGTCAAAACCAACTTGGATATTCTCCTGAATATTTATAAGAACAATTTGAGTTTAACCAAAGATCACTTACAAGGTGCATTAAATTTATATGAGCTTTTTAAATTCCAATATACAGAACACGTGGAAAAGTCGCTGACATCGGAATGTAAAGATCTAGCCTCCACTTTCGATCACCACTATCTAGATACGTACATGGATGTTTTATTGAATTACAGTACATTTTTGGCGCTGATTAAAAATAAAAAAGAGGCCTTGAATGTTAATAAAAAGGTCTTAAGCACATTGTATCAAAAAAAAATTCAGTACACATGTTTATACGACAAAGCATTAAAACAAAGATTGGAATATATTTCTGTAAAACAACAAATTGAAGAAAAAGAAGAATTGTCCGATACTCAAGGCGAAACCGTGGAAAATTCCACAACTCCAAAATCAATTAAACCAGCATTCCTGATTGATTTAAATCACAAAGTTAAAATTAATAAAAGATTGATAGTCTCCCAACAAATTCCATTCAGTTTATCGCCCGACGGTGATCCTTTAGAAAGCCAATTAAATAACGGCATTGCGATTTATTACAGCCCGGGTAAACCGAAAATAAAGCTGAACAATGAATCTCTTGAGGAAGATGCGAATTTTAAGCCACAGTGTTCTAAAGCGGCTAAATCTAAAGTTAATTACAAATGCAAAGCTCTGCAAGCTAAAAAAAATTCAAAATGTGTAAGTAAATCAAGTAGTACTAAACCAACGGATAAAGATAAAGCAGGGGAAAATGTAGTTCATTTACGTACTAAAACGAAATTGCTTACTGAAAAGTTAAAATCTAAAACTAATCAAAAGAATACTGAAAATCTTGCAGATAAAGATAGCTTAAAAGAAAAAAAGGTTATTGCGTCAGCGGACACAGCGAGAAGATCAACACGGCTAAATAAATAAATGTAATTTTAAGTAATAATAATTTTTGTATAAATTTAATTTATTGTATATTTGTGAAGTTTAATTTACTTATAATGTTGAAATAAAATTATTTGAATGTTTATCTAATTTTATTCTACCCAAGCTTACAGAAAAACTGATAATAATGATTATATTGTTTTAGACACAGTTATGATTAAATTTAATCCCTTGCTTATGATTATAGATATTTTTAACTATAAAATGGAATTAAACCTTAAAATTTATAGTTTTGTTTGTTTATGTAAGGTAAGTAGGTACCTACTAATATTTTTTTGTACGAGTATTTTTTTAGTATTAAATATTACGAATTATTAAGATTTTAGTTTTTGCGAATTATATTACCTATACGTATATGAATAAATTTATATTCTACAGATTTCCATTAGTTTTCATAATAATGATTTCTTCTAAGTTTTCTTTGTATCAATAATGCGGGTGTAAAACAATGTTATTAAACTTCCAAAATTCATACATGTACGAAACCATAGCAGTATTTTTACGACTATACCTAAATAAACTGCGCACAACTCAATGTGTCGCGACCAAAAAGTTCGTCCTTTTTCAAAATGACATAACTTTTTTGTTTCTTGAACGATTTTATTTTGGTCTGTGATGTCTGCTAGATCTATCCTCTCGCAATTCATGCTATAGATATGAAGCTCACGGTTCTTTAAGTAAATTTCGTACAGGGTGATATGTAAAGGTCAAAAATTTCAATAACTTAATCCAAGCCCCGTTTGGAAAAAAAAATTTTTTTTCTAGTTTTTACTTTAAAATATTGAAGTATTATGTCTTACTTTGAAAAGGTTTTCAAATTTTTTGTATTGGAATCTTAGCAAAGAAAATTTGATTTTTTTTTCAAAAGAGTACATTTAAGGCTTTTTGGTAGGCAATACACTCAGTCCTTTTAAGAACAAGGAGATTAGATGGTGAAAGATTGTTCCTTGAATAATTCTGAACAAGCGACAAGCAACAAACTTCCATTATTTTCAGAGGGGCCTAAGCAAAGACCACTTTTTCAAAATGACATTTTGGTGAAAATTTGCGAAAACTAATCCTGAACCGATATTTACGTTCGTGACATGTTTTTTCTATAATTTTGACCTCCTGATTGTGATTCAGTTGTCAAATTTAAGTTTCAGATAAAACCAAAATCACTAAGAATCAAAATTCGAAAACAATTCCCGGCTGTTAAATAGCCTACAAAAAAGCCTTAAATGTACTCTTTTGTAAAAAAAAATCATATTTTCAAGATTCCAATTCAAAAAATTTGAAAAATGTTTCAAGGTATACCTTGAAACATTTTTCAAATTTTTGGAATTGGAATCTTGAAAATATGATTTTTTTTACAAAAGAGTACATTTAAGGCTTTTTTGTAGGCTATTTAACAGCCGGGAATTGTTTTCGAATTTTTTAAGACATAATACTTCATTATTTCAAAGTAAAAACGAGAAAAAAATTATTTTTTTACAAACGGGGCTTGGATGAAGTTATTCAAATTTTTCACCGTTTAACATATCACCCTGTAGGAAATTTACTTGAAGAACCGTGAGCTTCATATCTATAGCATGAATTGCGAGAGGATAGGTCTAGCAGACATCACAGACCAAAATAAAATCGTTTAAGAAACGAAAAAGTTATGTCGTTTTGAAAAAGAACGAACTTTTTGGTCGCGACACATTGAGTGGTGCGCAGTTTATATTTTTATACACAGGTTGGTCCAAAATTAATAATAAGTAGTTACCATTTATCCATTTATATATATCAAATAAGGATTTTAAAATAAAAGGGATATAAGTGCAGCTGCCCTGTTAAGCAAAATTTAAATGTGTTATAAGACATATCTACCCTGCTAAAAAATAACGTAAGGTTGTAGTATAATTTGTTATACACATAACGTACGTTAATTGAATGTATGATTTTAAGTAGGAAATACGTACATATAAAGGGTGGTGCGATTTTCATTTTCCACCATTGGCATATGGCATATTACATGAACCGAAGAGATACGAAGTTATTTAAATTACAATGATTGGAAATAAAATTCGCACCACCCTGTATTTATATAGGTAATATAGTTAAAACGTTAAATCGGAAACGTTGGACGATATTATTTATAACAAAATTTACAACCATACCTTCAATTGACTACTTTCAACTTTTTTAAGTGCCGACCGAAACATTTTAAATAAGGTTTTTTTTTTCTTTTATATAGGTAATTTAATAGTTATAAAATTAAAATCAAACTGCAATAGGTAAATTTTTGAAAGTCGTAAAAAATCCGGCCAAATACATAAAACCTACTTTCAAACTACGTTGCAATTAACGTTGTTATAACGTTTCCAATCATACATTCAAACTACTTTAAACTTTTTTAAGTTCCGACAAGTTTTTAATAATAAAAAAAATTAATTTTTATTTTACATGCATACATACTGCATTCTTATAAAAGTAAAATCAAATTCTTCAATACATTTTTGATAAATACGGTCAAAATACATAAAATTTACATACATAATACTTAAAATACGATACATTTTTGGCGAGGACATATTTTTTAATTATATTTATATTAGTATTAAAAAGTAAAATTAAACTCTGCAATACATTTTTAAAAGTAAAAAAATACGGCCAATATATAGAAAACCTAATTTCAAACTACGTTGGAAGTATTGCTAACAACGTTTATTGTCGGACCCACGGGGGAAATGCCCCAACAAATTTTTGGCCCATTTTTTATTACTAGAAACAATCGTTAAACAGTTGCTAATAACGTTGTTATAACGTTCAGGGGCGGACCCACGGTGGGCATGCCCCAACAAATTTTTGGCCGATTTTTTTTACCAGTAAAAAATCGTTAAACAGTGTTGAATAAACACTATTTAAATTTAAAAATCTTTAAAATGTATACAAATTTCATAAGATTTTCTCATTTCCAAATAAATTATAGGTATTTGGAAAATAACAAATAATAAAAAATTATAAAAAACATACAAATATTTTTTTTGTTTTTATAATACAGGGTGTCCTGGAAAAGGTCAATCCGTTAACCATATATTCTTTCATAATACCATTTTTCAGTTTCATGTTCGATATACAGGGCGACAAAGTTTGAAATTTAAAACTGAGTTTTTTTAATAATTCAAGTAATTGATAAGATATTAAGTTTAAATTCGGTACACTACTTCAACATAAATAGTTACATTTTTTGAGACCAACAAAACAAAAAACAATTCTCAAATAATCAAAATAGGGTGGTCCAGTACTCACTGACTCCCCCTATTTTTTAGTACGCGCGCCAATGACTTCCAAACGGTATTTTTTCAGGTAATCATTTATTGTTGAAAATTTTTTGTCTCTTATAAAATTTTGATAAAATGATTTGTTTTAGAGATAATTTGTAAAGTATGGGTCAATCCATAAAATTAGGGTCGTCGATATACAAAGCTTGAAAAAGTATTGTGTCAGTCACTTGGACAATTAACGACAATGTAGCAAAATCTGGTGTTTTCAAAGGTACTTCATGTAGGGTTATCTCTTCAAACGGTGCGGTAGCCGTTCTTGAAGCAAAGAAAGCCAAATCTCATTTTTGATAAATTTGATCTTTGCACCAAACCCTTCAATTCCTCTCCCCCTTCAAAACTTGTACCGCCATGCCGTTTCGAGAAATTACAACTTTGGCGCGAAAGAAATTTCCCTAAAAATGTTGCTCATTCAAAGAAAAATATTTTTTTAAACGTTTGCAATATTTTTTTATTTATTTAGTAGACTTGCAAGTCGCAAACAGTCAAAAAATTCGCCACAAAGAATGGGAACTTTAACAGCCCATAAAAAAGCGAGGTAATATCACTAAACCCTAGCGAGGACTTTCTTAGTCTAAAGACTATAGTCTTACACGCGTGTAGCATTATAGTGACGAAAACTGATATCACCACTTCAAATGAGTGGCAATAACGTTTAAATAACTAAATCTACCACGATACAGTTAAAATATCTCCATATTATATTAGCATAGTTGTAATCATGTGATTTGCACCAGCAGAATATACTTTATAGTTTTATAACTTTTTGGTGTATTAGTCTGGTATATGAAATGTTATGACCACTTTTGACACCACCTTAAAGTTGTCTAAACTTTAGAGTGGATTATGAATAGTAACTGTAACCAAATCACATCACTTAAGTATTACTTTGAAGTGGTAGTAGTAGTAAAGTGGGTATATCAGTTTTGGCAACGTTTTCGGAACTTTTCCCAAACCATGAATGTGGCAAAACTTGATTATATAATTTCGGTGATGATTGCCACGTTCTTGCTACATGCTTAAGTGATGTCCACGTTTCGTATAAAATTACCACTTTAAAATTCCCTTCTTTAAATGTGTAGTTTTAAACAAATAATTCTGGTTATTACCGAACCAAATTTAACACGTTAATACATATTTATTGGTTTCAGGTGACCAGAAATAATAAAAAAATTATTTTAGGCCTCTATAGATAAATAATTTTTATATCGGCTAAGTTTATAAATTTTTTTATTCTTTTTTATTATCACATATTTCAACACATTTATAAATAATATGCTGGAAATAGACGGGGATAGAAAGTAAAGATAAGTAAAGTTACGAGTAAGTTTTGGCCACTAAACCTCCACGTTTTAGTAACGTAATCACAACGTGGTATTAACGTAACTGTATACAATTCAAGAACGTTTTTGGAACGTAACTGAAACTAAAAAAGTGTTCCCCATTTTAGTCACTTCCATGGAAGTGGTAATAGAACCGTTTCCACCACGTGGCAGAGATTTTGGCAATATACTTTACAGTTTCAAGTATAAGTGGCCAACACGTTTTAACCACTATAAATGCTACTTGGGCGATCACTAGATTTTAGGTAAAATATGCAATAACCGGTTATTGCATATTTAACCTAAAATCTAGTGATGTATATTTTTGGTATATTAATAATTATTATCGTTTTTAATATTTTTTGTTTTTAAATATCTACAGAAAATTTTTTTTTATGATTTTATTATTAAGTAGGTAACTAAAAAGTAAAGAATTTACAAACTTTTGTTAATTTATGTTTTAATTTATAACCCATAGAATATAAAATATAATTACCTACTTAATTAAAATATTGATTATAATTATTTTTATTTTTATTTATTTACTTTTTTAATTTTTTAAGTAATTACCCACCTAAATTTAAAAAAGTACCTACCTACATATTTTAATTGTTATAAATTTTTAGCAAACAATGATTTACAAACATCTAATACTACTGCTAAGCAGTGGCGTGCTTTTGGCACCCGCCGATACAGCAAGCGAAACACCAAATTATAGACTTCCAAAAACACATTTACCAAACGAATATAACTTAACACTTAAATTAAACTCCGGTACCTTCAAAGGAAAATCAAAAACATTTACTGGTACGGTAATAATTAACATCACTGTTCTTGATAAATCCAGTAAAGAAATAAAATTGCATGCTGATAGCACCTACATAACAGTCAATAGTGTAAAACTTAATGGTGTTACTGAATTATCTCATACTATTGACGTGACAAGCATACTAACAATTGATCTAGGAACAGAAACAACTAAAGATAGTCTTAGTTTAACAATTAAATTTAAAGGTATTCATAGAGAAGATATGAATGGGTTTTACCTAAGTAACTATCAAGAAAAAAATACTGCGAAATATTTAGTAACCACTCAATTTCAACCGACGCATGCTAGATCAGCTTTTCCCTGTTTTGATGAGCCCGAGTTCAAAGCAACTTTTCAAGTTAAAATAGAACATCCTAAAAGTGTAACTGCTTTGTCTAATACTAAAGGAACAACAACAAAGTAAGTAGATTTATTAAAAAAATCGTATTTGGGATTTTGTTTAATACAAATTAAAGCAACATCTTATTCATGGAGCCTACACATGTGTAGAAGTCCGAATTTTATGTATACAAAAATCCTCCTAAGATAAGAGGGCGCTAGTGTTCCATTGATTGTTTTTTGTACCGAAACGCTACCAAAACAGCAGACCTCATGAGTACTGCAGTACGCATCAACAATCAGCGCTGCTGGTGGTGAAAAAACAAAACCTAATTTGTACAATTTAATGGGCTGGTTTTGTCAATTTCCCCTATTATCATTGGATTCCTTGTGTAGGCTCCATGATCTAATTGTTGAAAAACGTTTGGAAAGGTATACAGGCTAATTAGCCTGCTTATAAGTCTATAGACTCAGTTTCTCTCCAGAGTTTTTTATTTGCATTAAATTTTTTCTACTATGGGTACCATCACAATCTTTTGTTTTTCTAATGGCCGCCAAAACTTATGTAGTTAACCAACGATTGGGTTGTATTCCTTGATTTTTTTTATATATAAAAAAAATATATAGATATATCTAACCACATGGTACAATTTCAATATGGCGGCCATAGTAAAAACAAAAGATGGTGGTGGTAACTAAGAATCTAGTAGGCGAAAAAAACCTTAGAGTAACAATTGAATCTTAAGGTTCTAAGTGCAGTTGCCATGTTAATCGAAAATGCCTTATCTGCAATATTTAATATTGTAGACAAGCCCAATTAGTTCAGTAGTTTAAGTACAATAGATTCGAATATTGAAAATAATCGTTTTTTGAAATAAGCATCATATCTATTTTTACCTTTTCACCAAGAATAAATAAAAATCAACAAAATATTATATTTTTTTTAATTATCTACTTAGAGTTGTTAATATTAGTTATAACGTATACTATAGGGTAGTTATAACGTATAGTACGATAAAAATCTGTGGAAAATTATTATTTAAATTAAAGTTAAAGTTAAATGACAGTTTATGTACATGGTGTTTTCGTATAAATGGGACACACTTTTAAAATCTGAAGAGATATTAAATAATAAAAAAATCCAGCTTACATGGCTTTAAAAAGTAATTTTTTGACAAAAATTAAAAAACAAAAGAGCATCGGCGAAATTGATAAAATAGATATAACGTCATATTCCTGCCAAAAGTCACAACCTGACATTTTGTAAAAATGTTAACAAATTGTACCTAACTATACAAATTTACCATATCTTTAATATTTAAAAGCCACTATAGATGCCTAGAATATTAAAAAATGTTCGTTTTTGCATGGTTAACACGTTGGCTGCCGCAATGTTACAAAAAATTTTGGCCCAATGGCCAAACTCAGATAATGCTAAAAAATTGTATCCAAATTAAGAGCCATGTGAAGCCACAGGTGATACTCAATATAACAGGCCAATAACGATTTATGGTTCTTACAGCCATAAAATATCACTTCCATATGAAATACACGTCGCCGAGTAACAAACGTATACGTATACGCTATAGCTTCACACGGGCGAATATTCAGCCTTGACTGCAGTCTCATGAGATGCATAAGTTGCTTCTCGCGGCCCCAGGATAAAAATTGGTGAGAAGCCACATTGGCATCTCATGGCAGCCAACGTGTTAAAAATCAATATAGTTTATAAACTTTTATAATAGATATATATGTATATTAGGGTGTTTCAAAAAATCCGACTTTTTCTTTTTCTTCAAATGGTCGACAAATTCTTTCAGAGGATGTCAACACAAAGATCTCGTCAAAATTTGAGCCTCTGTTGACTTAACAACCGAGCATATAAGCTGAGGAAGTAATTTGTTTTGATTGTGTTCCACTACACCAAGTTGCCCGACACTGATGAGACCCAATAAAGGTCGAAACAGCTGTCTGTCGGTATTTGAAGTTGGTGGAACGCATTCAAAACAAAAAACTTTGGCGAGGTGTAGGTTCAATTTTTTCTTATATTCTTATGAATATTACCAGTGATGGGTCAAGAAAGTTTCTTAAAGAAACTAAGAAAATTGAATGTTTGAAGATTTAGAGGTCTCGGATCGCAATTTTCTATTTCCCATTTAAATAACATGGGAATTTTTATTTTTTAACTTTGAGATTTTATACGTCTGAATCGAATCAACTTATGTCAAGGATCATCTTGGAATCGAATTTTCGCGTTCTTTTAACATATATGGTACAATTATCATTATACGGGTGTCCCGAAATTAGGGGGCCAAGCTTAAACAGTGCATTATTCGAAAAAACGAGAAAATTCGATGGAAATCAAACTTTGGCCTCGAATAACTCTGGAAGAAGTCAATTTATAGAAAAATTATAAGAGACATTTTTTATAGAGCGTTAAATTTACTATAAAAATCTAAGATGTTCCTTGCCATAAGTTGATTCGATATAGACGTATAAAATTCCAAAGTTAAAAAAAAATTTCCTATGTTATTTAAATGGGAAATAGAAAATTGCGATCCGCGACCTTCAACTTAAAAGCTCAAATTTTAACGAGGTCTTTGTTTTGACATCCTCTAAAAGAATTTGCTGACCATTTGAAGAAAAAGAAAAAGTCGATTTTTTTGAAACACCCTAATATATATATATATATAGGTATTTGCTTATTCATTTTATCTTGAAGATCAATAATAAAATGTCAGTTAGTGACTTCTTAAAGGGATATAACGATAACATTGTTTTTTTTCAATGGAACATCCTGTAAATACCTTGTTTTTCGAAAATAATTCGAAAAGGGTCATAATTTAATGATTTTTATTCGTTCTTGGCGAAAAATTGAATGTCGTTGAATTTTATTTTTGACCACCAAAATACTCAACTGATTGGGCATTACCAGTACTGGTATATCACTTAATATTGGTCGGCAATTCGATTAGTATGTTTAGTATGACATCTTTTGCAACCAGATAATCCGGTCCAGATCGGCTGTTTTTAACTCGAGATACTTACCTATGACCCAAACTTTAAAGCTGCATTCGAAAAACAAATGAAAAAATGTTAGAAATTGATCTTTTTATATAATGGTTTCTAATGAAGTTTGAGCCAAGTATTATATATATATATATATATATATACAGCTCTTTCATAATAAAACCGAATATATCTATATATATATGGGGCGTGGCCTCGCCTCCCTCCAACGCGCGACACAGTAGCTAAGCAAATAGACTGCATCGCTAATGAGATTTTTTGCATTATTATCATTTAATTTTTTAAGTCCTTACCTGCTCGACCTTTCGTCTTGTCGTTTATTACACAAGCAACTGTGACGCGCCTTGGAGGGAGGCGAGGCCACGCCCCATATATATATATATATATATATATATATATATATATATATATATATATATATATATATATATATATATATATATATATATATATATATATATATATATATATATATATATATATATATATATATATATATATATATAGATATATTCGGTTTTATTCTAAACAGGCTGTATATATATTATATATTTTATAAAATGGCCTAATACTCTATGATCAATTTAACATTGTTAATACAACCATAAGCCAATTTTGATCCTTCTGGATAAACAGCGATTTGAATTGTAATTTAAAAAAAAACTTTTTGATCGATTTTCAAAAATGTTTCCAAGGAATTCCTTTTGAAAATCGATCAAAAATCATTTGCTATATTCAAGGGCGTCGATCATTTTTTGTTTGGGGGGGGGTAACATATAAGGAAGATAATTTTGCAAAACTGACCTTGTAAAACTATAAATTAAATTTATTGAAAAATACTATAACAAATGCTGAACCCCTGAATGACGGGTAGAAAAATCGTATTTAAAGTATAGTCAAACTAGAGAATTACGTGCTACTCCCTCAGAATCGACCAATAGGAAGCGTGCTATTTAGTATATCAGAGATGCGCACAAGATGCGAAATCACTATCTATCTTAACACCATATAGTGTTATAGTAATAAAATAGGGCTTTTATTATGCCAACTTTAAAAACTATTCATAGCGGGCGACTTGCATTCATAAATTATATTTGTAGTAATTTTTTTCTTTCTTGGGGGGGGGTAATTACCCCCCCCCTTATCGACGCCCTTGGCTGTATTTGTGTGTGAAAATATTTATTATTTTGTATTTTTATTTCTTTAGTGAATGGTTCTCTTCCACTACCACATTTGAAAAAACTCCCATAATGTCAACTTACCTTCTGGCTTTCATAGTATCTGAATTTACCTGTACCGAATCTAAAACTGATGCAATTTCTTTTCCACATTCTGTTTGCTCGAGAAATGAAACTATCGAAATGAGACAGTTGGCTTTAATGGACGGACCTTTAATTTTGGCAGAGTTAAATAATTACACTGGGATCCTATATGAAACTCACATGCACAAAATGCATCAACTTGCCATTCCTGATTTTTCTGCTGGAGCTATGGAAAACTGGGGACTTGTCACTTACAGGTATTTAAGTATAGAAAAATGTTTTTAATTTCAATTTTTATTATTTTATTTTATATTAATAAGTATTTATTATTAAAAATATGCCATAATTTTGCAATTAAAAATACAGTTTAAATCTGATGATAAATTAAGAAAGATTAACTTTGACAATGATTACATTTTAACATTAAATTCCCAAATTTAAATGATAGAAAAACTTACTTCAATATGAAGTTTGGGAGATTGTTAACTAAATATACGATAAAAATATCTTTAAAAATGGTATATTGTACGACTAGTAGGAGAAAGAGAAGATTCCTCGAGCGTAAAGTTAGGTAACACGCGAGTGGAATCTCCTCTTTCAGCATGACCACAAAGTTACATATTTCTTGCGGGTGTTAAATAGATTATATTTTAAGCGGTTTTTTAAACATAATAAAATGCTCATATCACGGTGCTGTTCTGAGAGGTGATTTTTGGACTTTCTGTGAAACCTAATTTTTTTATATTCTTGTTAATTAGGTCATAACTAAAATTTTAAGAGCAAAATAAAAAAAAATTGACGGTTAATTTTGTTTTAATTGGATGTTTATTAAAAATATGTATGCACACTTTCAATTCTCCAATTAAAACTTGCGATTTTATTTAAATATTATCATAACTTTTTAAATCAGATTAAAGATTAGTTAATTTCCTAAAAAAAGGTCTATACATTTTTTTATATCTTTTACTGTTTTGTTGTAATACACGTTTAAAGTTTTAATTTAAGGTTAAATGTATAGTATACATTTATTAAACAATAATTCTAAGGGTGTCAAATTTTATTTAGGGCCGATTTATTCATTTTTGATTTATTTGACGAATAATTTCTTTGGATACTAGATATTGCCAAGACATGAAAGTTATCGGCCCGATAAACTTTACTAAAGATGAATTCATGAATTGTAATTTTCAATATAGGTACGTATTCTATAATTTTTGTTTAGTTTTTTAAAGTGTTTATTAATAAACCGGTCCTTAGTTAAATTTCATGAATTTCTTCGTAACTTTTACTACAATTTTTCATTTTTGTTTATAAAAAACACTTTAAAAAACTAAACAAAAATTATAGAATACGTACCTATATTGAAAATTACAATTCAAACGTCAAATAAATTTTTAATAGATCTAAGTTTCATGGCAACCTTTAAGGATATATTAATTAAGGGAACATAAATGTATACGTCAAAGGTTAGATTAAAAGTTTGAACGTTTATTGCAACAAAACAGTAAAATATATAAAAAAAATTGTAAAAACCTTTTTTTTAGTTATGCAAATATTAAATATTTAAATTAAATCGCTAGTTTTAATTGGATAATTGAAAGAGTGCATAATATTTTTAATAAACAGCCAATTAAAACAATTCAACCGTCAAATTTTTTTTATTTTGCTCTTAAAATTTTAGTTATGACCTAATTAACAAGAATATAAAAAAATAGGTTTCACAGAAAGTCCAAAAATCACCTCTCAGAACAGCACCGTGATATATGCTGCATATTATATGCATATATCCCATACCAAATCGACCCCTTTCGATTTGGCTTAAACTTATTTATCTTTTTCTACCCTATCAAAAACATTTTTCAGAATGTTTTCTAATTTTTTTAACCAACCGAAAAAATGGAACTTTATTTTTAAAATCCATAAAACTAAATCTATACCTTTTTAAAAATTTACTTATGGGCTCGTTTTTTTTTATAAATTATTGTTTTTAAATGTAATTTGTAGGTAAGTGATTTTTTATATATATTTTTTCAAAACTACATTTTAAAACAAAAAAATTAAGAAAAAAAATGTTATTTGGTTCTTTTTTAGCCAAAAAAAAATATTGAAATTTTCTGCAAATTCTCTGAAACTTTTAGTGGCGTTTTTTCGTTTTCTATTTCACTCTCAATTTAATTTAATATTATTTTTAATTCCCAAATGGTAATATGACTAAAGTCAATTTTTAAAAAAGTTATATGTAATTAAAAAATAAAGAGCCATTTATTTGAAAAATTCATAACATTTTTTCGGTTGGGTAAAATTTAAAAAAATAACATGTTTTGATAGAAAAAGTTCATTGTTTCGTTATATTTATAGTAATTGATCTAAATCTAAATTATTTATATAAGTATATACAGTATTATATTTACTATAACTTTATGTTTTTGTTATGTAATCTATTGAGAATGTCCATAGACTCATTCGAGTATTTTAACTCATTTTTAGACTTGAGAAAGAAATAAATATATTCGAAACGTCGGCAATTTTTCTTAAAAAAAGGAAGTTGTTTTTATTTTACGTCCTAAACCTTCAAATAAAAATAAAAAAATAAAATATACCTAATATAATATATGGCAACATTAGGTAATAAATAAACTTAATAGAAATAACATGTTATTTATATATATATATATACAGGGTGTCCCAAAAGTCAACGATATCCTTTGAAGGACTGATAGACCAACTCATGACTAAGCAGAAAATAAAAATATGACCTTGTATAAAATCGTTATTTTTTGAGATTTGTAAAACTTGACACCTTAGATTAGTTTTTCGAGTGCCACAGCTACAAAATCTACTATTCATTTAATTTTGAATTGTAATTAATAGCAGTCCTATTCAGGGTTACGAAAAATAAACTATAATCTAAGAATATAGAATGTTGTAGTTGTGGCACTCGAAAAACTGATTTTATGTGTCAAGTTTCACAAAATTCATAAAAATGCCAATATCTTAAAAACTAATGATTTTTTACAAAGGTCATGTTTTGATATTCTGATAAGTCATGAGCTGACCTATTAGTCCTTTAAAGGATATAGTTAACTTTTGAGACACCCTGTATATATGGTTAGTTCAAACAAAAATTATTTTCTAAATCCGTAATTATCATATTTAAAGAAGAAAAATGAATATCACAATTAATACAAAGATCATTAAAATTGGTACACATTAAATAAATTGGAGACCTTACCATCACATTCGTTCGAGCTTGTGAAACGTAAAAAGTTGAGTTATGCCTGCTTAACAATCTAGGTAATAGTTTACTAAACTTAACAAAAAGGGAAAATCTATTTTATTATTAACTATTTTGTCTCTCTATTGTCATTTTTTTTCAAAAATTTTAGAAAACATTTTAGCCTCACGTATTGTAAAGTTTTTGTCGACTTAACCAAGGCTTTTGACTGCGTGGACCATGGTTTGTTATTAGAAAAAATGAAACGTTATGGACTGCGAGAAAAATGTAATCAAATTCTTAAAAGCTACCTCCTAAATAGAAAACAATTTGTTGTATATGGTGAAAAAACCTCGTCACAGGCTACAATACAAACCAGCGTGCCCCAAGGCAGTGTTCTTGGTCCGTTACTATTTTTGTTATATTTTAATGAAATCAATAGTGTTGTTAGTAGTAGTAGTTTTCACTGCTAGTATGCAGACGATTTAACAATTTTAGTCTCAGGAAAAAACTTAGAAACCATTAGAAAGGAGATAAAGGACAACTTGACAACCCTTTCTAACTACCTTGACAGTTCCCATTTGTGCTTGAATCAAAGTAAAACTTTTATTATGCAATTTTTTTCTTCTAAACCACAAAATTTAAGTAGTTTACTCATTCGACTTAATAGTAAATCCATTCAACAGGTTAATATTTTCAAGCTCCTAGTAGTTTACTCATTCGACTTAATAGTAAATCCATTCAACAGGTTAATATTTTCAAGCTCCTAGGTATTAACTTTGACTCAAACCTTAAGTGGGACTGTCATGTTTCGGAAGTTTGTAAAAAAGTATCTAAAAACTGCTTTGCACTTAAAAAACTTCGATTAATTAGTAATCTCTCAACTTGTAAGGCATATTACTATGCAAATTTTAAATCTTATATTAGATATGGAATTGTCTGTTGGGGTTATTCCACTAGTGCTCAACGAGTTTTTCTCATACAAAAAAGGGCTTTAAGATCAATGTTAGATTTAAGTTTTGGAGATAGTTGTAAGCCACATTTTGTTGCTAACAACATTTTAACTGTGACATGTTTGTATATTTTGGAAATTTTAAAGTTTGTGAAAAACAATATGTGTTATTTTAACTTTCAAAATGCCAATCATGGCTACAATCAGGCCCGTAGCCAAAAATTTGGTTTAGGGGGGGCCCAAAACGTAGTAATAATTTTTTGGGTGGAAGGGGGGGGGGGCGGAAATGGTTGATGGATAAATACCAGTAAAGCGTGAAGTTGTCATACAAAATATGGCTTGTAATCGTTAGACATATCTTTAAAACATGATTCACATATTTAGGAAAATTTTAGGGTTCACGGAATTTCGGGGGGGGGGGCGTGTCCGTCGGGCCCTACGGCTGGCTACAGGCCTGGCTACAATACAAGGTTTGGATTTAATTTACAATATGATGTATATGTACATAGGCTGCAACTGTACGTAAATAATCCCTATTATATTGGAGCTGTGCTTTATAATAAACTTCCCGAAGAAATAAAAAATTGTGTCTTTAATAAATTTGTAGCTAAAGTAAAAAACATTTTATCATTGCATGCTTTTTATTCAGTAAATGATTATTTGTTATTTGAATTTTAATTTGTATTTTAATTACTTGTCTATTTTTAACTTAACATTTTATTTATTTTATTTTTTTCCTTGTAATCTTTTGACTTGTTTTTGTAATCTTTTGGATGAATAAATATATTATTATTATTATTATTATTATTATGTTATGTACTAGAAATCGCTCAAAATTAATTAAAACTATTATGAACTTAAGAAAATATTAATGATATCATATCGGTAACTTTTCCATTGGATTTAGAACCCTGATACATGAAGTTGTATGAAAGTTGCTGCCATTTATAGGTTTTTGGACAAAAAAGCTCTTTTCTATAGAATATATAACACTGTATTATATTGTTTACATTTCTTATCTTATTAACTAATGATAATAATAATATTGAAAATGTATTTTTAATTTTTTAAGAGAAATTTATCTTCTTTGGAGTGAAAAGGAGTCAACAAATATAAACAAACAACAAATATCGACAGTGATTGCTCACGAATTAGCTCACCAATGGTTTGGAAATTTAGTTACCACGAGATGGTGGGACACGACGTTTTTAAACGAGGGATTTGCCACATATTTTGAATATTTTATAACACATAAGGTATGAGAAATTTGAATTTGGTTTAATTCTGGGTTTGCTTATCTTTTGAAAATGGTCTTATAACAATGTTTGTAGGTAGGAGACCCAGGAAATTGGTTATTATTGTTTAAAATATATGTATTTTTTTTTAATTAACTGATAACACTCTGGAAACAACCAAATATTCCAGAATTTTACCGGTGACGTCACATTTCACTAAAAAAACTGTGTTACACAAATTAATTTCAATAGTAAAACGGTTTTGGCACACATTAGCACTTTTTACAAATTAATATAATACGCCATTTAAGCATATATAATATATGTGCAGATAAACTAAACTTTCACCTAAAATACTTTGGTGAAATTTCACTAAAACCCATGTTTATAGTCTTAAACATGTATTATAATATATTATACCTAATACATGTTTATGACTATAAACAAGAACACTTTAGTGTTCTTGTTTATACTATAAACTTTAAACTATACTATAAACTTTAAATTTATAGTGTTAAGCTAAAGAAACTCAAAACTGTCATAGTGTTTATTGACAGAACTACACTGTTGTATTACAATTGTAAGTGAACTTTAAATCTGATAACAGTGTAGTTCTGTCAATAAAAACTATGACAGTTTTGAGTTTCTTTAGCTTAACACTATAAATTTAAAGTTTAAAGTATATACTATACTATATATATGAGTACATTAGATGCACAACTCTGTATTTGCAGGATAAGTGATTTTAAGAAAAACACGAAAAACCGCTCATAAGGTCATATTTGAAAAAAAATACAAAAATCGTATAGACGTGCTTTTGCATCATTTCTTATTCAAAAAAGTAAAAAAAAGTCCTTTAAAATTAAGTAGTTTAGTAAATAATTGAAATCAAAAGATTTAAAAACATAGTTTTGCATCTTCCTCGTTCAAAGACCAAGTTTTGCAAGTGAAAAGTGCAAATACCAAAAAAATAACAATTAATCAGGTGATTGTTATGCCGTCAGTTAATGCGTATACTAGCGACGTGATTGGTGATTGGTCAAATACCGAGTTTTGCATCCGATATATACCCAGTTTTGCAGCTGCGCCGCAAAATTTAATATTTGTAGAATAAAATACATTTATAAACTTACCGCAGCTGCTGCGGTAAGTTTATAAATGTATTTTATTCTACAAATATTAACTTATGCATCTGGTTTACTTAGTTATGCTGTGGGCAGTGCAGTTATGAACATAAATAAGATAAAATATATATTTTTTTTAAATGTGCAAAAACCGAGTTTTGCATCTAATGTACTCATATATACTATATGTATATATAGTATAGTTTAAAGTTTATAGTATACCTAAACAAGAACACTATAGTGTTCTTGTTTATGGTCATGAACATGTATTATAATATATTATAATACATGTTTATGACTATAAACACGTGTTTTAGTGAAATTTCACCAAAGTATTTTAGTGAAAGTATAGTAACTATAAACTGTTTATCTGCACAATTTAAATTGTTAATATAACTAAACATTTTCAAATTAAATTTCTATAGAAATATAAAATTGATTTAGTCACTCTGTATAATATGTAAATTAATTATTTTAATGTATAATGGATAAACATTTTACATTGCTCTAAACTTTAAATCAAAAATAAAGTCTAAATCTGAGAACGTACTGCGAAAGCAGAGATTTTCAAATTTAATTTTGACAAATTTTAATAAAAATTATTTTATTTGATATTTTCGATGGAAAGTTTAGGTTCTTAATTAAATAAGGACTTTACCTATACATTTAAATATAAATATTTTTTTATTTATTGGGAATATAATCCCTAATAATTCTTAATATGTAATAACAATGTCTAGATATATCTATACAATAATAAAAATAAGATTAAGGGAAGTGAATAATATATAAAATTTATAAGATTAATAATATTTGCACATAACTATGGTTATTTTACTAATCCTATAGGATTAGCGACTTAACTTTTGATTTATTACTTGATCGTTTGTTACAATGAGGTACCTAATACAAATAATAATATAAAATGTGGTTTCAAACAAAGATTATCTATTAGAAGTTTTTATCTAAATCCTTAGTTTATATCTTAATAAAATAATCGCGAGATTTCATGGTAAAACAAAAAAATAAGAATTATTTATAAAAGTTTGGTGATCGTAATCATCATTAAATGTCAATCATTAGCATTTGAATAAATCCCACTGTTAGCCAGCCAGAAGTTTCTACTGAAAACACGGAGCGTATACACTGTTCAAAAGTTCATGACCATTTTAACACAAAACTAACATCATACATTGTCTATATCGATACAAACCAAAATGGTGTTAAATATGGTTCTTTGGTCCAGTGTAAATTCAAATACTAATTGGGTCAAATTAAATTATACTACACAGAAAAAAGAAAAGAAAAAGGAAACAGTAAGTTCCTTGACGCATTATATAGTATATTACCAGTGGTATTATTCCAGAAAATAGAACCTTCAACTCGCTAGAGATTATGTTTTTAGTGCGTTCCACCAACTTAAAATACTTCAAGTATTGACAGCTGTTTCCACCTATTTAAGGTCTCTTTAGTATCGAACAACTTGTAATGTCACACCAAAGCAAAGGACTACCTGAGCTTATATACTCTTCATGTAAGTCAACAGAGGCGAGATTTAAGAACATCACGTGATCCACACCGCCTTTGCCGCGATTCTCAATTAATATAGTTAAATGAACTATTCCTTTTTTCTGTGTAGGTGCACTTCTCAAATATTTTTAGATAAACACCGTTTTGGTGTTTGCTGTATATAACATTTTCAACCATAATTCATGGTGTTTATATTAACACCACTTGGTATTGGATTTTGACACCATTTTAAGATTACTCTTTACACCACAGATATTTTAAACAGTGTTCTAGTTGAATATAAAGAGGGCGCACTTGTCATATTCGGCATAGTAATACTATGATAGTATGGACCACAATCCACACATGTGTGGATTGTGGTATAGACCTATTCTAGCTATTATAGTATGATACTGTACTGTTCATATATATGTATGTTGAACGCTTGTTTATTAAACCACTAATCGTTAAAGATACTTTAGAAATGAATAATAAACAAATAAACTGCGCACCACTCAATGTGTCGCGACCAAAAAGTTCGTCCTTTTTCAAAACGACATAACTTTTTTGTTTCTTGAACGATTTTATTTTGGTCTGTGATGTCTGCTAGCCCTATCCTCTGACAATTCATGCTATAGATATGAAGCTCACGGTTCTTCAAATAAATTTCGTACAGGGTGATATGTAAAACGGTCAAAAGTTTCAATAACTTCATCCAAGCCCCGTTTGTACAAAAATAATTTTTTTCTCGTTTTTACTTTGAAATATTGAAGTATTATATCTTACCTTAAAAAGAATTTCAAATTTTTTGTATTGGAATCTTAGCAAAAAAAATTTGATTTTTTTTTCAAAAGAGTACTTTTAAGTCTTTTTGGTAGGCAATACACTCAGTCCTTTTAAGAACAAGGAGATTAGATGGTGAAAGATTGTTCCTTGAATAATTCTGAACAAGCGACAAGCAACAAACTGCCATTATTTTCAGAGGGGCCTAAGCAAAGACCACTTTTTCAAAATGACATTTTGGTGAAAATTTGCGAAAACTAATCCTGAACCGATATTTACGTTCGTGACATGTTTTCTTTATAATTTTGACCTCCTGATTGTGATTCAGTTGTCAAATTTAAGTTTCAGATGAAACAAAAATCACTAAGAATCAAAATAAGAAAACAATTCCCGGCTGTTAAATTGCCTACAAAAAAGCCTTAAATGTACGCTTTTGTAAAACAAAATCATATTTTCGTTGCTAAAATTCCAATTCCAAAAATTTTAAAAATGTTTTAAGGTAAGACATAATACTTCATTATTTCAAAGTAAAAACGAGAAAAAAATTATTATTTTACAAACGGGGCTTGGATGAAGTTATTGAAATTTTTCACCGTTTAACATATCACCCTGTAGGAAATTTACTTGAAGAACCTTAAGCTTCATATATATATCATGAATTGCCAGAGGATGGGGCTAAGAGACATCACAGACCAAAATAAAATCGTTCAAGAAACGAAAAAGTTATGTTGTTTTGAAAAAGAACGAACTTTTTGGTCGCGACACATTGAGTGGTGCGCAGTTTAGTTGAAGTTGAGACTGTTTAAATAAATTAGTGTGTATAAAGCTCAACGCTTTAGCTTTATTTAGCATTAAAAGTGACATTTTAAGACAACGAAACAGTTTCGTCGAAACTATGAAGATATTATAAGTAGCTTTATCGATACGAAATTTAGGCGTAAACTAATTAGCCATTAAGATATTGTGACAAATGACAACTGACACTTTCTTTAATAATAATAATTAAAGTTAGATTGTTTGGAAAAGTTTTTTATTTTAATTAAATATTTTGTCACATAATTTATTTAGGTATGTTGCATGGGTTGACTTGCATTGCAAGAAAATATTTTTTTAAATTAATAATAGTCCGGTCAAATTAGACCAAAAAATAACAGTGAAGGTACATAAATTTACAACAAGCTGAAAATCAGTAAAATTGTTCAGAATATAATTATAAATAAAATTTTAAAGTTCCCCATCATTCCCCTGTATGGAAAAAAATTTATTCAAGGTCAAAGGTCAAAAAAATGAGTTTTTCGCGATTTTAAGTAAAACGGTAAGTTTTATCATAAAAATATCGTAAACAAAAATTGTAGATCATAAAATTATCTATAAAAAATGTAAAAATACTTTTTTCCTACGAGCCACCGTTTCTGAGATATAACGATTCGAAAAGTTGTAATCGTCATAATATGCATGAGTACGCCACGTATATACATCTCTAAAGTTGTAATATATGTTAAAATATTTTTCTATCGGTCATTTTAACTTACACTTAAAATATAAAGTATACCTACATAAGTTATAACTATAAGAATATCAAGTGAAATAAAATTAATTAATTTATACGCCATTGTAACCTCGAGACAACATCTGTGACAGATGACAGATGATCTGTCTCATGTTCAATTGTGTGACCTGCTATAGTTGGTGCTTGCTGCGGGTGGAAATCGCGCCGCGACCGCTCCACCTAAACTGGGTAGTAATTTTAAAGATGAATTTTATATTTCTCACGTCTTCTGTCACCTTATATGTGTTATCTGTCAATTGTAATCTGTCTACTGTCATTAGTCACCTGTCATCTGTCAAATTGACATCTGTCACCTGTCATCTGTCACCTGTCATCTGTCCCCTGTCATATGTCACCTGTCATATGCCACCTGTCATTTGCCACCTTATCGATTTGATTTCGGGGATTTTAATTGGTTAACTTTTTTAAATACCCAACAAAAATTAAACGGGCTTCTGGCCGATTAGTTTTTATTCGATGAAGCTTATCTTTTAGTAAGTCAAACTTTGTTGTTTTACCCGTCGATTCGTGTATTTAAAAAATAAAAAAAGAACGCTGTTCGAAAAGATTCCGGCGGATCCGGCCCGTTTGCAATATTTATTTTTTCCGTTGTCTGTTTATCCTTTTTTTTCTAAACGAGGCCGTTGAAGGTTGAAATTTGCAGCCTTTTTTTCTGCTTACGAGACCTATCCGCGGACCAAATTTTTCCAGTGTCGAAAAGGCCCAAGTCCACTTTTTTTCGATTTTTTCGTCAAATTTGGCACGTTCCGTTGTCTTCGCTTAACTTTCGAACGAGCGGAGATTTTTCGGCCAAACTCGAGGAAAAGGTGTTTCGGTACAAGAAGTTATCACCAACGGCATTCGATTTCTTCTTTCTATATATGGAGCTCCTAAAAAAACTACCTGCTTTGAAGTATCGATATGCATGTTTCGTTAAAAATTCTAAAAGTAAAAAACAAGTTCAATTAGCTTGTCTTCCTCCAACCTCAGTTGCTGCTCATCAACATCTTTTTCAGGTATATTACCAAGTTCAAGTGTGGCTTGGTTATCAGCTAGACCCTACAGACTGGGGTTGGAAGTTGGTCAACAACACATTAGAACCAGTTCAAACATTACTCCCACCTGCGCCGGAAAAACTGCTGAACACAATTTTTTGCAACTGCAAAAAGGGATGCAGTGCTAAATGCGATTGCAAAAAAGTCGGACTGTTTTATTCTCTGGCATGTACGAATTGTCAAGGCCGGTCGTGTTCTAATGTTGAATCACCAACAGTTGAGGATTCATTTAATTCCAACGAGGTGACATGCGATACATCGTACTTCAGTACTTTTTTTAAATTTACATCGCTATTATCTTTTCCAATCATGCTAATTTCCGTTATTTTGCAATAGTTTCAAATTAAACAGGATCACAACTGACCCGTGAAATAGGCCTACTGGGGAAACCACGTTAAAAAACGCGCTAAGTAAACTACCTCATAGGTGGCGTGGAAACGTGTGCATATTATGGCGATTATAACTTTTACAACTTTTCGAATCGTTATATCTCAGAAACGGTGGCTCGTAGAAAAAAAAGTATTGATACATTTTTTATAGATATTTTATGATCTACAATTTTTGTTTGGTGTATTTTTATGATAAAACTTACCGTTTTGCTGTAAATCGCGAAAAATATTTTTTTTGACCTTTGACCTTGAATAAAAATTTTTCCATACAGGGGAATGACGGGGAACTTTAAAATTTTATTTATAATTATATTCTGAACAATTTTACTGATTTTCAGCTTGTTGTAAATTTATGTACCTTCGAATGTCTAGATTGACCGGACTATAAATTGTTTTTCAATCATTTATGTTAATTTTATTTTAGTGCAAAAGCTAAAACCAAAATTTTAAAAATATAAAATTAAGTGACTATCGATAGTGCTATCGATTTATCGATATTTTTTCTTCGTAGACTATCGATAGTTTCATAGTGGGTTACATCGATAGTTTATCACCTCTAGGTTGAGTACATTTTGCTTGTTCATTAAGTACATTTCTTTTTGCAATCTTTCATTTTGCAATTTTTAACATGTTTTGAATTTTTTAACATGTTTACCTACTTAAAATGTTATTTTTAAAATCAGAATACTCATTTTTGCATAGGCATTTAGAAACATAGACTTGAATCTCAACTTTGTTCTTTTCTTAAATAACTTTATGTTAAGTTTACAACTGTAATCTGTAAACATTTTGTGGATTTATTAACCAAATTCTATGTCAATAATTCAACAATATTTCTTATAATTTTCAAAAAGGACCTTATTTTTACAAACCTTTTTGTAGGCCCAGTAACAAAAGTGTTTGTTGGAAATTGAGAACTGAAATGAAAAGAATTTTGATAAGAAATGTTGCTGTATAATAATAACCTACATACATAAATGAACACAAAAATAACAAAAATAACATATTCTGAAATTATCAAATTATAAAGAAATTTGGTACAATATAATATCAGTACTAATACAACACTTACTGATGAATGCTTACAAAGTTACATATTACCTTTACAAAACTTTCAGTAAAATATTTTCCTTTCTTAAAATAATTACAAACCCTTGTTTTCTAAAAAAAATATGTTAACAAACTAGAAACTCATGTTAACAAATCTGATTTTTTTAACAGTGTATTATTATAATTATTTTTGTTAGATTCACCCCGATTGGGAATTGGACAAACAATTTATAATTGATGAATACCATTCAGCTTTCGAAGCTGACTGTGTCATTTCTGCAGGTGCTCTTAAATCCAATGTATCAAGTCCCTCAGAAGTGAGCGCCATATTCAACACCATATCTTACTCAAAAGGTATGAATGAAAGTGTTTTAAAAGCATAAGCGAATTTTTAACAAAAAACGTTTAAGGTGGAAGTATATTAAGAATGGTAGAGCACATATTAGGAAGTAGCGTTTTTCAAAGTGGTCTGCAAGCTTACCTAAAAGAAAGGTTATGATTGTGGGTTAATTGTTCGATTTTATAAATAAATTTATTGATTTTAGGAGTTTAAATTACACTGAACCCAAATTTTTATGGGAAAGTTTGAATGCAGTATCTCAAAGTTTACTGAATGACTTGGATTTAAATACCGTGATGAAAAATTGGGTTGAAAATCCTGGTTATCCTTTAGTTACAGTGAATGTAACAGGAAATAAAGTTGAATTGACCCAAGTAAAGACACATAAATTTGAATTTTATTTATATTTTTATAATTTTAAATTACTTTTTAGAAACGCTTTTTGATTGGCAATGATCCCAATAAGACGAATTGGCATATTCCAATAAGTTATACACAATCCACTGATAAAAATAAATTTGCCAACACTTTTCCGCAAACGTGGTTAAAACCAAATGAATCTCTTAAGTTTGCAGTAAATGAAAGTTCAGAATGGATAATATTAAATAACCAACATGCAGGTAATATAGTTACAACAAGAATTTTATTAAAAATGTTATTAAAAACACAGTATCCATAAATGAATATGTTATTAGGTTGTCTAATGGGATTCGATTTCTTCCTAGAGTTGTTTAACCATATTAGAGCTTAAATAAGGTTTCAAACGAAAATCACCTGAAAATGCAAATTCATTAGTTGGAATTTTAAACATTCACGAACAAATAAAATTTTACAAAACCATCAAACATGACGATAACGAAACGAATTTCTCTTCAATTCTTTATTATTTACACTCCTGATTGAAAAATTTCAATACATAGGTATTTAAATATACATTAACCAAAATCCAAAAAACCATTTTTGCCCTTGACTTATTCATATGTGTATGTTTTTAACTTTTTATTAATTAGACGCCTTTCTGCAAAATGGGACCAACCCACACCATAATGAAACTGAGAACACAGCTATAAAATATTAGCTGCAGCTGTGTATTAAAATTTTAATAATTTTAAAATTACCTGTTAATTTTATGCCGATTTTGGACTTTCGGAGGTTTAAGGAATATAATTTAATAATTTATTTGGGTAAAATTTTTAATATTATCTGTAAGGCAAAACAAAAAATAGGCTTTTGTTGTTTGTTTCCTTTCTGCAATTTATCGTTAGTAGGTATACTATCTGAATATAAGTCCGATGTATGTATTTAAAGAAAAACGACAGTTATTTATTTTAAAATACAAAATATGGTTATACCTATCTAGTAATATCAGTTAATTTTGACTTTCTGCTTTTATTTGAAAGTCTGGAGTCCCCGTGGTAAGAAAAAATCAGAACACAACGTTGAACGTCGGTCTCGCTTATTTTAAAGTGGTTGACCCCTCGGAACTGGGTTTTCCAGTCTGCATCTTTGCAGAAAAGATCCAATGCACTTGGATCTATTTTACAGATTCTTATACACACTATTGTTGAATGTTGATTGGTTCCATGATTAATAGATTTCACTACACTTGCAATGCACGTCTTGCATTGTGGCTATTACCTATTTTGTAGATTTATTTTTCATACTTAATTAGTTTTATTATTTCATAGGCTAAATAAAGATCTATTAATATTAAGGAAAGGAAATGTTTTTTAACTATTTCGGTAATGGCTATTTTTTACGAGGCATGCCTATTTACAGAGTTATTAGAATTCAGACTCATCCCTATACTTCAAGATGGAGGCCACCCTTGCAAGTTTATCAAAGGGAAGACTTCTTGCACAGGGTCGCCATGGCATCCACTACTTTTCATTAAAGTATGAAACCGTTTGCATTTAATGTAGAGCAAAGTGTACCGTTTGACTATAAAAGTAAAATGGTATTTTTCGACTTTGCATATTATTTGGGATTTTCCGTATATAATGGTAGTTATAACCATTATAACTGTGTCCAGTGATTGGCCAATTTCAATATCCTTTTTGATTTAAATCAATCGGGTTTTAAACTGTCTAACATAAGTTATATTTTCTGATATCTACTAGAAGCGCCTATAATAATCTTAAAAATAGGGTAAAAGTGAGGTTATTATATATTATATTTTGTTATTTATGAAAATAACAATTGAAGTACGAAAAGCATAGCATATACGATGATTCGCATTATTTACACATTGCTTATTTTGAAAAAATATGTTCCAATAATAATAACAAAATTTGAACTGATTGGGTAATATAAGTTATTGATTAGAAATGCAAGTACGTTGAGGTACTGGTAGAAAACATTATTTCTCCCATAGGACCAAACAATTCAAACTTCGTTATTAAATTTTCTTTCTGTAGAGCTCCATCATAATATAAACCAAACATTTTTAAGGATATTTCAGAGTAAACTATGATGACGTATCCTGGGAAAAAATAAGATTGGCTTTGAAAAAAGATGACTTTGATGGCATTCATGAATTAAATAGAGCCCAAATAGCCAATGATGTTTTTGGTTTAGCCAAAACCGGATACATTAGCTACGGAAAGGCCTTTGCAATTTTAGAATTTTTGGAAACCGATGTGTCATATTATTCTTGGTCTTCGGCTGTGTCAGGGTTTAATTATTTATTGAAAAGGTTGGGAACTGGATCCACTCTGGGACAATCCATACAGGTATGATATTATTTGGTTTGTTTATTTTTTTTATCTTTGATTTTATAATTTTAGGCGCATAGTAGGAAACTAATAACCAAATTGTATGAATCCGTACCTTTTAGTAAATTGAACAATACAGACCACATTTACACTGCGAAACAAGTAATGGCGCTTTCTTATGCTTGTCAAATAGGAATAGAATCTTGTAAAACGGCTGCTTTGGGTGAATTTGACAAATATAAAACTACAAAAATAAGGTAAATAGACAAAAAATATGATTTTTTATTTTACCATTATTTTTTATTTTGCCATGAAAATTGATGCTTTCTTAAAAATAAAGATTAGAGTTAAATCTAGTTCTTTTTTTAATATTAAGATACTAAGTTAGTATTACTAACTAAAACTTTTGTCCATATACTTTTTTAGGCCAGATCCAAATCTAAGAAAAATTGCATATTGTAATGGACTTCGCTATAGCAAGGACAAGAGTAATTGGGAATACTTGTGGGATTCTTATAAATCAACTGATGATGCCTCTGAAAAAATGACAATATTGTCTGCACTTAGTTGCACTACAGACAAGGAACTACTTAATAAGTAAGTAAATTTAAAACTTATTAAACATTCTCTAAAAATTAATTAGTTTAACTGTAGTCCACAGCAATTGGTATCTTTAACATCCATCCGTCAAAAGTTATTAAAGTAGAGCAGATTTTGAGATATAGTCAATTCCATATTAGATGGAAAATTGACTATATCTTAAAAAATATTCCACTTTTATAACTTTTGACAACATTTTAGGATTATGCGGACAATTGTGAATAGTAATTGACGGCTAAAAGTCCGGGATACAAATTGCTCTTGACGAGAATTATTATTAGCTGCTTTTTTGCTATGACAATTAGTCATTTTTGACTAATTGAGTTTTAGAGAGTAGCGTGTCGGAAAATTAACACAGAAACGAATACTGCAAATTCTAAGGATGATTTTTGATCGATTTTACAAACATTTTTATTATTAATAAAAAAGTGATTTTGAAAGATATTATTTTTCAAATCGCTGTTAAAATAGACTAGACCAGGTTATTTCAAAACAAATCAAATTTATTCTAACATAATAACAGTAAATAATATAATAAAAGATGTGGTGAAATGGGGATAAAGTCTTCCTGTCAAAGATCTGCATGGTACGAGCAGTAACATTGCGTCACCCTGATGACCTCCTACTTACAAAGACCTTAATTTCTAAGATAGTTTTTTTTTGCTGAGTGATGGCCAGCTTGATCCAGATGAAGGCAGTAATCTAAAGCAAAACTATCAAGATAGTTAAGAGTTGTAGACGCAGGTAAAAGGGAAAAAATAAGTTAAATACCCCTTTTAGGTTAACCTTTATATGTACAGTCTTTTGATGTAAACTAGTAATTATATTTGACGCGTTTTTACAATTGAAGTTATAAAACAGTATAGGATGTCCCAAACTCGACGCCCCAATCTTATTGTGAAAAAATGGTGTTTAAGAAAAAATACTGTCATTTATTCCTAAATTAGGCGTTTTATAAAAGGAGATAGATTTTACAATTTTTTGAATTAAAATTTTATTAGATGGAGTTCCGCTTTTAAGAAGAAGAAATATATTTTGGCAAATGGATTGTGGTCCATGCCATAACACCAAAATTGTTTGTGGATTTATGGACTAAAACTTTCCCAATAAATGGATTGGTAGATCGGGCCCAGTAAGTTGGCCAGTTAAGTCGCCAGATTTAAGTACATGGACTTTTTCTTGTGGGGAACATTAAAAAATAATGTTTACCAAACTCCTACAAATAACATGGAACACCTTAACAAAAAATTAGAGATGCTTGCAGGTCATTAAAGTCAGAAGCAATTTTTAGAGTTACCAGCCGAGAAGTCAAACGACGGTATAAAAATGTTTGGAAGCATCTTATAATAAAACTATTTGATTTTTTAATAAATAATAATTTTAGATTTGTCTAGCTTCACATGTGAAGATATACTGGAGTATATTAAAATCAAAAATAAAATTGTAAAAACTTCTACCTAACTAAAACATATAGAAACATTTTTTTAAATGAACAACTCTTATAATTTAATTATCTCTTCAACGGTAGTAAAAAAAAGTATGTTCGTGGACAAAATACTTTCGTCAGCGTCGCAGCCCTGCGCGTCGCCATCATTTTATATTTTTTTGCAAAATTTACTCTTTAAAGCGGCTAAATTAGGAATAACTAACAGTATTTTTTCTTAATGTCACCATTTTTTCACGAGTTTGAGACACCCTGCACAGTTTCAGTATCTTCAACAGCAGTTCTGTGAAATCTCCCGAGTAAAATATTTTTGTCCAGATGGGGTGAATCACTGGGTATTGAGTAGGGGCCTGTCAAGTTGGGGGCCAGGTTCGATCTTGACCATTTAGCATATTTACCATCAACAAATTTGAGTACCAACCCAAAATATTTGGTTGCCTATCTAAGGTTTCGTATATTGCCAATAGAGTTTGCTTTTTCTCCAGGGATTTTCTTAGTAGAACTGAAATTTTGCCAAACTTTTAAATCTCAGAAGAATGTACACAAAACACTTCGAGGTTGTATTTTTTAAGAAGTGCCATTTCTATAATGGGGTGTGTATAGGGCCCGAAAAATTAATGAGTTTTGGGGCCTGAATGTGAGTGTGGGGGCCTGACCCCTTCAATTACCAAATTATTGCACACGGTTAACTTATCCAAATTGAACCCTTCTTGGTAAATATAGACTTGATTTATAGTAAAAAAACAAGGCCAGAAAGCTTTTTTGAATAAGGCGATTTTGGCCAAATCGGTTCAAAATCATCCTGATGTACCCCTAGAATTTCCGTTTTCTGGTGTAATATATATAATTTTTTTCTTGTTTTCTGCTGTATACAATTTTGTTTTAAACTAAAGCGATTTTTCAATATTTTTCATGACTTTCCGACTTTACTATGTAAGTATTTAGTAGGTATTTAATAATTATTATAATAAATATAATTATAATATTAAATAATTTAGTAGGTACCCAATAATTATAATTATTATTCTCATGACCGTTAAGACTTAGGAAAACTTAGTTTTCCTATGCTGTGATCTCAAGTTAGGATGCATGTGGTTAATGTTTGTTTCAAAAATTTAAAATTTAATTTTTTTTAAATTACCTTTCTCCTCTTCGAGAAATCTTTAGTTAAAATGCATGATCAAAATGACAAATCATTAATAGAGAAATCTCTAATTTATAATTTTTATAAACCAGTGATTTTTTAAGAGAAAAGAAATCAAAAATGATTTATAAAGGGAAGATTAATAGTATTAATTTAATACTTTTATTTACGAGTTTAAATAAAAATACCTTTAACTATTGAAAAAAATATAAATAAAAATACCTTTAACTATTGAAAAAAATGCGTTTTTTAACATTTGGGTTTGAATTTCACGTCTCTATTTTAAATATTTGTATTTAGTTCTTAATAGCATTTCTTAAATTGTGTTTCAGATACTTAGAATTTTCCATAGATTCCAGTTCGGGCATTCGTTCTCAAGACTCTCTATCAGTTTTTAGTGCTGTTTACAGTAATTTTGATGGTGTTGAAGTTGCCTTCAATTTTTTGAAAAATAATTATGTCCAAATTAAGACTAGGTAAATTCCTTATTGTAGATATTTATCTTAAAAAATAAAATATTTAATTTTAGCTACAAAAGTTTAAATGCTTTAGTAGCTGGATTGGCCGACACATTTACTACAAATGGGCAAATAAATGAGGTTAGTTCAAATTTTCGAATTTACTAATTATTTTTTTTCAAAATTTTTGTCAAATTGTAATTCAGTAATTTTTTATAAATAGCTTGTTAGCTAAAAGTTATATAAACACATTACGAATATTGAATTATTATTTTTAATAATTTTCATTATTTTTAGCTTAAAGAATTTATTAAATCTCTGGACACTCAGGAATACAGTGGATTCATCACTGCTGCAAAAGGAGCATTAAAATCAGCCGAATCCAACGTAGAATGGGTTGAAAAATATAAGAAAGAATTAAATGAATACTATGGAATTCCACAACCAGGCAGCTCATGTATTTTGATGATATCAGTTAATGTTTTTGTTATAAGCCTTATTGGATTATTGTTTTTAATATAATGTATGTATATATGTATAAATTAATATAAATGTTTGAATAAAACATACCTATATATCTATTTTTTGTTTTATTTTTATAAATTACCTAATTAATAAAAAGTACAATAAGTTATTTGTTAGCAGTGGCATATACATATATATATATATATATATATATATACGCGGTGTGTTCAGAAAATATCGGGAATTTTCGTTTTTTTAAACAAATATTTATTTATTCGACTAAATTAATGTTGTCGCCTTCAAAATAGTCCCCATTGGATATTATGCACATGTGCCAGCTCTTCTTCCAATACTTGAAACACTTCTAAAACTCAATCTTTGGGATAGCCTTTAGTTCTTTCAGCGATGCGCTTTTAATGTCATCTATGCTTGCAAAACGACGGCCCTTTAAGGTTCTTTTTATTTTTCGGAATAGGAAAAAGTCAGACAGAGGCATGTCTGGCGAATATGGAGGCTGGGGCATCATTACAGTATTATTTTTGGCCAAAAATTTTGTTCAAAATTTAACAATTTTAGATCAAATTTTGCTGCCACGCGTTTCTTACCCAAAACATTCGAAAAAATTTCATGGGTTGAGCCAATCGATATACCAACATCATCAGCGACTTCTCTGATGGTTTATATCCATTTATTCCACTTTTTCCATGTTTTTATCGGTTGTTAATGTGCTTGTGAGTTCGGGGCGTTCGTCATCTTCAACGTCTTCTCGGCCATCTTGGAAACTCTTATACCACTTGTAAACTCTTGTTTTACTTATAGCAGACTAACTATAGGCCTTTGTTAACATTTCACAGAATTTATTTCATTTTTTAAGCAAAATTGCATGCAAATTCTTTTATCCATTTTTTTAACGAAAGAAAAATCGCCGAGCTCATAAAACACGTCTAACCTTAGCGGCTGCCACAGACAAAGGAAATAATGAAAACAGCTAAAGTTTTTATCATACTTCGGGGGCATGTATACCAACATAATAAAGAAAATTTTATTACAACCGGACCCTCGGAACCCGCGAAATTTAACAATTCCCGTTATTTTCTGAACACACCTCGTAAGTGGCTGTATTTCACCAATAACTATTTAAGGCTTATTCGCATACACCTTTTCCTTCACTTAGCCCTAAAGAAAAAAGTCCATCGGCGCTAGATCGCACGACCTTGGTAGACAATGTTGATCACCAAATCGAGAAATATGTCCTCCAAATCAATTACATCCAATTGACCATATGCAAGGAATGCGGTCGATGTTGCCAATGGTAAATAAATAAAATTCCCTATTGGGAACATTCAATTATATTACGTTGGCTACACTGAAATTTTAAATTTCCCGCACAAACTGACACATTCTAGTAGTTCCCAGAGATAAAGAAGGTAGTTCCAATGTTGTATAATAAATTAGGGTGCGAATTTCAAATGTGGGAATTATTATTATTTATTATTATTAAAAAAAAGTTGGAATTTAATTTAGTTTGTGCGGGAAATTCAAATTTTCAATGTAGCCAACGTAATATAATTGAATGTTTCCAATGGGGAATTTTATTTTTTTACCATTGGCAACATCGACCGCATTCCTTGCATATGGTCAATTCGGGCCACAAAAACTCCGTTAACAATGTTAAATTTTTGACCACGATGCCGAATGGAAGTTCCTGGATTCTCCGCCACAGATTCGCTTACTGTGGCTATATTTTCGAGTGACCGACAAGCACGACAAGGACAATGGTCTTCTGATCCATCGGAGTAAATTTTGTCTCAAATTTTGTAATTGAACGCCTCACTGTCGATTCATTTGGCGCATAATTGCGACCGAAAACTTGACGGACTGTTTTCGCAAAACTTTCATCATTTTTGTAATGTGTTTTTACAATAATTAAACATTGTTCGTTTGAATATTTCTCCATGTTCTTAAATCGCGTAGTCTGTGCGTGACAACTGTGTCTACTTATTTAAATTTACTTAATTAAGTACTTAAGTACTATACAATTAAGCTCAATTTACACTACGATAGTTCATAGCTATCGGATTTTTACAAACATGTGTTTTTTATCATTTTAATTCAACTTTTTATTTCAGTATTTGAGGTGCAACGAAAGTTAATTTACAAATGAATTTTTAATGGAATAAGGGCCGGTTTATCAATGTCCAGTTAAAGTTGCAGTTAGTTATCTGTTAGATAATTTCCATGGATACCATTGTTCTCACAACGATCGATATGAAATTTAAAAGATAGACTAACAGGAACCTAACTAGAGATTGATAAACCGGCCCTAAGGTGAGTTTTAGAATATTATAAACTTTTCAGGGTATAGGGGTATACATGTTAAATGTACAGACACCACTAACTCATTTTTATTAAAAAGTGGATAAACCGAGTTTTGGAATGGACCTTTTATAAATAAACAAGAAAGCCCCAACAATAAAAACAAGGTGGGAAGAGCTCATAATTTGATCATATTATGTAGGTGCTGAACATATTTACATGTAGTTGGTAGATTTAAATAAAAATGTCGAGTTACTTCAATTTGCAAGCTGATTATGCCTCTAGAAGACCAGAAAAAAAATTCTTAGGCGCTTTTTATTGGAGGCAAAATACAAATTTTTATTCTTTAAAAAATTGAATAATCTTGAGTTAATGCAGCTGATAAAATATGAATTTTAATCAAAATATAATATTTCTATATTATATTCCCACCAAACTCAAGAATAAGGACTATTCTCATAAATATTAATAAAAAACATAGGTAATTTCATAGTATAATTTACAATTGAAGGGGCAAGTGGATAAAGAAGTTAAGTAACTATTTTGATAATTAAGGACAAAAAATTTTGTAATTGTAATTATAAATAATTTTGGTTTTGCAATTACAATATTTTTTATCTATTTTGCGTTCATAACGACTTTATTGTAATACCGCTTTAGGTGCTGTAATGAGGTACGTTACCCCACCCAAACTTTTGATTTTATAGGTTGGCTACTTTAAACTAGTGCTGTCAAAAGTTAAAATTTTTCCCGGTTAACCGGTCATGGAATATTAACCGGTTAAGTAAATAACCGGTTACTGAATATGTTGCATAACCGGTCATTAATCGATCATGGTCACGGTTAAATGGTCATTATTAACCAGTTGACCATGACCATTTAACCGTGGCCATGATCGATTAATATTTATAACCGAATTTAATTAATATAATTAATCGATCATGGTTTAAATAAAATAAAACACCACAAATACAAAAATCATCAAAAGATCATGAGAATTGGAGTAAAGCAATGGGGAACAACAATAAAACATTTAAAGAAGTAATAATAATTGTTTAATACATGCTCAAACGTTTATTTTAAATTATTGTGTTTTGTTTACTTCATCTTTAGTTTATTTAAGGTTCATACATAATTCATGTTATGCACCCATTGAACAAAAATATCACAAAAGATCGCTACTATCTGAAATGCGCTCGAATGATTCGTCTCTGTAAAAGTCTGCCGTCAGCGAAATCTCTGTTTACTCTACCGGGTGCAACACCATTTACATCTGGGACTTCTTCATAGACGAGGTCAGCGTACATGCCTAGGTCTAGGTCTTCTTCATCGTCGTCGTCATCGGGCTCCGGTACATTGAAGGTAGGGTTGCCAACTGTCCAGAATTTGGGTGGACGTCCACCTTTTCGGCTCATTTGTCCAGCGTCCAGTGAATACCTTTGGCTGGACGTAAAATGTTCATAATTTTCACGTTGGCACATTTTTCAATTTTTTCGAAGGATTTTTTCCACAATCCGACAACGTTGTACCAGTCATGCCTCGTGCCGCCAGAATTTAAATATTCGTGCCTGCCTCGTGCGCGCTCGACTTTTTCCGTAGGCGTTGCGTGAAAGGCTGAAACCATGCTTCTTTTCTTTCTCACTCACACTCCTTTCTTACACATAAGGCAGGAGCGAGAAAGACAGCACTTATCGAGAATAATCCAGTCCTGTCTTATAAGTAACTTACGACTGTTGTCTTAAGATAATTATCGATTTGTTTAATTAATCGTTTGATTGTGACAATTAACGTGCGGAATACTGCGGAACTGCTGCTGCTGACCTATTTAGTTTTCTTAAAAGGTAAGACTATTTTTTGTATAATTTATTAGAACGTTTTATATTAGTCGTTTGATATAATTTTAAAATAAAATAGGACAGTACCTACTTAGTTACTATGTCATTCACAACGTTGCAACGTGGATCATCCAACTATTCTCATCATAGAAAAAGGATATATTCTCATGCAACTGAAATTAAAACCGTAAGCATGTAGGACGGGGATTCACCCGAAACCGGTACAGAAGCGGGCAGAGAAAATCTTTACCTACCGATCGGTCGACCGATTAACCATATGACCAGATAATAACCATAACCGGTTAATCGGTTACCGATTAACTGGTAACCGGTAACCGATTGACCGATAACCGATTATGGTTATACCCTCATTTTCCGGTTATAATAAAATTATGACCGGTTAACCGGTTAATCGATAATCGTTGACAGCACTACTTTAAACAGCCTACTAGTAAAATAATATTTTTCATTTTGGTTATAATATTTTTATGATTTTTTAAATTTTGTTTAACGCCAAAGAAAATCCTTTTTTTCTTCTTTAACATTAACAGCCGCTTATTGTAAATTAAGGACGCCATGGCCAATCGATTTTGACATTAACCCTTCAAACCAATGACTGTGATACCAACTATCTAAAGTAAAATTCGACAAAATTAAATATAAGGTATAATAGTTATTTATGTATTAAGGGCATAATAAGGTTTTTATGGTCCGAGGCGCTATTTCGAGCCCGAGCGCGTTAGAGCGAGGGCTAGAAAAGCGTCGTAGGACCATAAAAACCAGTTATGCCAGCAATGCATACAAAACTTTATGCACGATTTATATATTTAAATTTTTAATATATTAATGTTTTTAAAGACGTTTACGTCAAAGATTTTTGTTATAATTGTCATATTATAATGTCAACTGACATCAGTCAGTTTTAAAGTTTAAAGATGAATGAAATTGAGGAAGCAGCTGAAAAGGCGAAAAATTGCGCCCTGCTGCCGGAAAAATCAAAATCTTTATACGAAAAAACTAACTTCGAATATATCAAATGGTGTAACATTGTTGTTTTTAATTTTTGACGTTTCATTATAGCCCGCTGGGTCATAATAACGCCCGCGGGCTATAAAAAGACGTTTACGTCAAAGAATTTTTGTTATAATTGTCATATTATAATGTCATCGTGCATAAAATTAATTTTTGCAATCATAAGACCTTTTATCGCACTCGTCCTTTACATAACTCGCTCCTTCGTCGCTCGTTTTATAAATTGTCCTCGTGCGGCAAAATGACGTCTAATGACATTAGTTCTATTGTTTAAAGCTGTCATGTTACATTAAAGTTGAAAAGAAACAAACAATATTGTGGTTGTAAATAAAAATAAATTTGGTATTGCAATTACAATATATTTTGTCTTTTAAATAAAATAAATTTGGTACTAGGCGCTTTTTTATTGGCGACAAAAATACAAATTTTGAAATTTTCATTGTTTAAAAAATTGATTTATCAGCTAATAAAATATGAATTTTAATCAAAATAGAATATTCATTTATAATAATAAATATTAAAAAAATACAAAAAAATAATTTAAAATTACGATTGAAATAAATATTTTTTTGGAAAAAAACACATTTAGTTTTACTTAGGACAGCCGTTCATAACCTTAATAATTTTTCTTTGGACAATAAATTGAATGTACATTCAATTTACTGTACAATGTACATTGTACAGTAAATTGTACATTGTACATAATTCAAATATGGTTTTAAGGTTATTTTATAACCCATAAATTAACCTTCAAATTGACATTTGACAGCCCTGATAAAATAAGGTTTATTTTTTACAAAAGATGAGTAAAATGATTGTTCTTGCCAGTTTGAGGTCTCTTTTAAGGCTTGCAAGTCTCTCTGTAAGAAACACAACGTTTAAAACGATTATTAATCTGTACAAACCCAAAGCACAAGAATTGTAAACATCAAAAATGGCCGCCATTAAATGATGTGCAGTGTTGCAGTGATTTTTAGTATTTTTAGTACGAGATCGAACAGACCTTGTTGTATGGATTTGTTTTGTCCCACCTCTAATTATTCAAACCCAAAGCACAAGAATTGTAAACATCAAAAATGGCCGCCATTAAATGATGTGCAGTGTTGCAGTGATTTTTAGTATTTTTAGTACGAGATCGAACAGACCTTGTTGTATGGATTTGTTTTGTCCCACCTCTAATTATTCTGCTAGTTTTCGCCTGTGGTTGGTTACTTTATTTTATTAATACCTAATTAATGGTTCGTCTGCAGACGATCATGATCAAAAAACGGCAAAGACTATTCGACTTAGAATCCCATCCTCTATCACCCTGTATACACGTGTACACGATAAGAAAAGTAGTCAGTCTTTTTTGCAGAGCAGTAACTGGGGAAAGAGACTCTGACACACATTGTTTGTTAATGCCCTGCTCTTTTTGAATTCAGAAAATCCACCATGCGTTGATGTAACCAACATTACCTCTATCGCTTCTGGATTTCTTTCGGAGCTTGGATAACTAGAAAAAGTTTGAGCAATCTAGGAAAATGGATCTCGGAAGCAGTACAGTCCATGCAGCCACGACCCTCCACCCAGCAATTTCAAATCCAATCAACATTAGGTACTTCGTTAAAGTTAGTTAATTTAGATTAATTCTTAAATTTTTGTATTGCGTTATTTGTGTTAAATTTTTCGTCTTTAAACTTTTAGGATTTTACTTTTTTTAATTTTTAGTAAGAAATTCGTAATTGTATATTTTAAAACTAATAATACAAGGAGATACTGATACTGATTTTTTTGTGCTTACCAACTTACATAAAAGTTAACTCATTAGTGGAGAAAACGGTTTGACCATGGTTAAATTATTATTTAACATAAATACCTAAAAAAACTAAATATTTGCTGTTTAATTAAATATAAAGATAAGATATAAAACCTTCTATAAAACAACTAAAACACAATAAAAGGTAGTATTATTTTAGCGCAGTTATTAATAGTATAATATAATTATCGGTAAGTAATACAGGCACTACAAGGCACTACATTTTAATTTTTTGTATTACATTTTTATAACGTTTTAATATAATCAGGGACCCGGACCCAAATGAAATAACGGTTCCTGTCCGGTTACGCTAATATTAATTTTCTTAATAAACCTAATAAACCTCAACAGTTTCAGAAATACAAAGTGTTGAAGTTGCAATGCTAATCTAAAAAACATATTTTATTGAAATTTGGTGAACATTGGTAATAATATCTCTTTTAAATGATCTAAAATTTTTTTAAATAGGCAGTTGCTTTACAAAACAAAAGTCTTTCTGAATTCTTTGGAGAGATTTTATTTTATCAAAAAAAACCAGCCGCTGCAAGGTACGACGCAAAGTGCGAGTGCAAAGCAATCTTAAGTTAAGAAAAGTAGTGTCACAGTAACCATTGTAAAGGGAATTGAAAAAATTGAAATTACAAAAATGTCTATGGTTTATGATCAAAAAACGAAACCAAGTAATTTTTACAGGCTTAATTTATATAAAACCAACTTTACCCTACTACCTAATAGAGTTGTGTAGAGACCTAAAGGAATGTGCAAGGTGCACTCAGAAAAATATCAAGTTATGAAAAGCATATGAAATTATATTAATTTAAATAATCGGGTAAATTTGATTCAAATAGAAAAATTTGTAGTTTTATATTCATTTACCAACAATTTTACAATGTTTTTAAACACTTTTAAAGCGTACCCTCTTTAAAATATATATACAAAAAGAAATCCATTTATTTCATTGCCTTTCTCAAAGTTGTTTCAAAAAGATATGTATTATACAATTGTTATGCACCTATTAATTTAATGGGACACACCAATGACGCCAAAACATATTTGAATCCCTTTGAATTATTATCGTTTTCAATGATTCTACAACATTTTTTCTCTCAGAGTGGATGCTTTAAAATTTCATAGTCAATCAAACTCAATTATTGAGATGAACTTTTTGGAAATTAGCCCACTGAATTTTCACTTGTAAACAGCAAACTTCTGCAAATGTTTTAAATTTGTTTATTGATAAATGCTTGTATTTTTTTTTAAATTAAGAGACGTCAACTTCAGCTTCGACACATATTGCTATAGATTGCACTTGCAAATCGCTTCATCCCTTGGCGCAGTGGCCACAACCCCTACAATTTGAATGGCATGATACCTCATTTAAAAGGGGTTGCTCCACTGAGTATCATGAAAAAATAGTAAAATTCTATTTATTGGTTTTTAAAATATTTAAAATTAAAGTTGCAACAGCGCACTTCGTTTTTTAGTTAAATAAAAAAGTATAGATAAGAAATTAATGCTTACTCCCTCAAAACTCCTCGGGTTGGTTTTAGTTGGGCCACCCTGTATATCGAATTTTTTCTCATATTTAAGATCTTTTCAATAAATAAACGAATGTTAACCCAATTTGACTTAAATTACCATAGAAGACTATTTCTGGTACCCAATAGCAGGGGTGGTGTTAAACATCTATTAAGGTGGAGGCAAAACTGGAAAAAGCTATAGCATTGCAGACGCGCGCAGAATTAAAAAAAGGGACGTAAGCCAAATTTGAACTGTTTTTTGTTAAAACAGTATATTTAGGGGAGGGCGATCGCCACTGCCCAATTATTATGATACAATAATAATTATTATCAACGAGTTAAACTTTTGTAAAAAGTTTTAGTTTTAATAAAAAAAATTTTTTTTAGCTAAAATCATGTTACTCGGTGGGTTAAATTTGTGCCTTATTTGTGCACTTATATGGGCTACCGATGCACAAAAAGAATACAGACTTCCACAGAATATTTACCCCGAGTCTTACTTCATTAATCTAACTATTGATGCTGATGCTTTTACCGCAAACAATGATGATTTTAAAGGAGAAGTTGGTATTGTTATAGTCGTAAAAGAAGCAACAAATAATATATCAATACACAAAAGTGACACATTAAGTATAACGAAAATATTATTTGATTCCGCAGAAATAAAAATTACAGAAACAACTTTCTACAACGAAACAACCCAAATATTGAATATAACCATTCCGGATAACTTAAACGTAAATGATAGACACATATTGAATATAACTTATGATGGAAAATTTACTTCTGACATGTTGGGGTTTTATAAGAGCAGCTATGAAGATCGCGGTAAAACTAAGTATTTGTTAACCACGCAATTTCAAGCTACATTTGCTAGAAGAGCGTTTCCATGCTTTGATGAACCTGAATTTAAGTCAGTTTTTAATTTAACTGTTACCCATCCAAATACGACAACTGTTTTAAGCAACACAGATGTTAATAAAACAATGTAAGTGCCTTTATCAGTGGCGTAGCTAGGGATTTAACATTTGGGGGGGGGGCTAAGCCCTATATTATGGTCGTGGGAAAAAAGCCCACTGCAGGCATACTATTTACACTTTACAAACATTATAAGTATATTTTAAAATTTATTTTATAATATATATTGTTTGTGTACATTGCAATGACTCTTATAATAAAAATTATTACCTAAATATAAAAAAATAAGTAGTGCATGTCATGGGGGGGTGGAGACCTAGCTACGCCACTAACCTTTATATTTGTACCTATTTATCTATTTTAAAATAAAAAAGACAACATTTTAAGCGTAATATTTTATGGGACACCCCTACAAAAACTTTAATTGTGAGGTAACGAAACACCCTGTTAATAAATTAGCCATTATAGCCGGATAAAAATGGTATTGTTTGTTTTTAGTATTTTTTCTCTGTACAACTTGTTTTTTAAATTAATTAATTAATCTTTGTGAATTTAATACCTTAATTTATGACAAGGATTAGTTAACCAATAAATATTATATTTTTTATGATAAACAATAAATTCAATAATGTTATTAAACAAAAGGATTAAATAATATATTGTTAATGCCAAAATAAACATTACCCACAAATATCTTATCTGGCTAGACAAGATATTTAAACATAGCCTTCTGAAAATGTACACAACCCTTATAAAAGTTTTGTTTTTAGATTTAATAAATTCTTTATTTACATTGTGTCCACAAAAATTGCGGGCTAAAGCTTAATTTTTATGTATCCGTTTGTCCGTTAGTCCGATCATCCGGGAGCGCTCTTATTGGCCCAATTATAATTCGAAAATTTGACATTTTATCGGTCCGTCAAGTTTTAACTTCGTACGTCTGACGGAGAAAGTTAATAGCTATTTACATACCATGGGAGGAAAATATTGCTTTTCCTCCCGCGAATAGTTTGATGCCCGATGGAAGCGAAGGGCATTAAATATTCAAGGGAGGAAACGCATTTTCCTCCTGAGGTATGTATATAGTTTTTTCTATTACCTTTTAACGGTTTTAAGACATTTTAAGCGTTCCGGTTAGTTTTACTAACCCGGTATGGGGCTATAAAATTATGACAAAATATTAAGTAGGTTTTGCGACGCCGACGTTATGTTGACAACGCTTTGTTGCTATGGTATTTTTGGTAATACCAACATAACAGTTTTTATAAGCTGTCAGAATGTTTATCTTAAGTTAATAGTTGCATTTAATTTCCTTCCTTAAAAATCGAAAATAGTGAATATGAATATAGTTTGTTAAAAGAATGTTAAAAGAATGGTTGGACAAGCGGGGAGTAAATCTTTTTCCTACAAAATCAAATAAGGCTAGACAAGGTACAAAAACTCTTGCCAATGTAAAATTGTTAAAAAAAAGATGGAGGAATTTTTTTTTCCTCCTGGGAGGAAAAGAGGCGTTATCCTCCCTCGCTCGGGGGTGGAAATAGCTATTTACATACCATGGGAGGAAAATAGTGCTTTTCCTCCCGCGAATAGTTTGATGCCCGACGCGAAGCGAAGGGCATTAAATATTCAAGGGAGGAAACGCATTTTCCTCCTGAGGTATGTATAGTTTTTTCTATTACCTTTTAACAGTTTTAAGACATTTTAAGCGTTCCGGTTCCTTTTAATAACCCGGTATAGGGCTATAAAATTATGACAAAATATTAAGTAGGTGTTGCGTCGCCGATGTTATGTTGACAACGCTTTGTTGCTAGGGTATTTTTGATAATAACAACATAACAGTTTTTATAAGCTGTCAGAATGTTTATCATAAATTTGATGTTCTTCCTACGTTTTAAAAATGAGTTCTAGCGAAGAAGACCTGCCGCAAGATCTTGCTAAACAGGCAAGAATAGTTGCAATTAATTTCCTTCCTTAAAAATCGAAAGAGCGATATGAAAATGAAAACCTTTAGTTTGTTAAAAAAAATGGTTGGACAAGCGCGGAGTAAATCTTTTTCCTACAAAATCAAATAGGACTAGGCAAGGTACAAAAACTCTTGATAATGTAAAATTGTTAAAAAAAAGAGGGAGGAAATTATTTTTCCTCCCGGGGAGAAAAAGTGGCATTTTCCTCCCTCGTTCGGGGGTGGAAAATTAAGTTTTCTAGTAAGGTAGTAGAAAAAATAAGTTTTCCAGTAAGGTAGTAGAAAATAGATATTTGTTTTACAAGTGTTGAAAAGCGACTTTTTCATGCGAGTTTTCAAGTTGCCCACGAGGCCGTTAGGCCGAGTGTGCATTAACACGAGCTTGAAGAAAGCTTTTCTCACAAGTATAACACAATGTTTTTTCTGCGACCCTTTTATTTTTTTATTATTTTTAAATACAAAACAAATTAACCTAAAAACTTTTTTGACAGCTGAATGTCAAACGATGCTTTCCGGTTCTTTTCACACAGACCTGTCACTTTTCACACAGAAATGTCACTTTACATTCGTGTTTTACCTTGCCAATAAAAAGATTCATTTTCTAAGCAACGATGCCATCATGAAAAGTGACTTTTACATAGTGGTCATAGAAAAAATAATTTTATCTCATCCGTCACTACACATCTGTTTTTGACACCTAACGTTATTTTAAGATAATTTATTTTCAAATCTTTTAATATTTTTATAATAAGATTGTAAAACGGAAATATTACGTTCGTAATATACGGATAACGGACAAACGCTATATTGAGGTTAATTTAAAGTAGACAAAATTGCTTTTAAAGTTATAAGGATAATAATTGTTTTTTATTTTTGTTTTAAAATGGTAGTAATTAACTGAAGTAGTAAGAAGCAAAAGGGACAACTGCAAAACAGAGAAGTGGATCTATTAGCTATAGTTTTTTCTAAATATATACAAAAATCTGGATACTTGTTTCAATGTTTGCATTAAACAACATACATAACTCGTACAATTTTCTTCATTTTTTAAGAGAAAATTTGAAAAACAAATTCGACTCAAACTATTCTGCACTAAACTTTTTAATGCCAAAATGCACTTGTACCCTTTTGCCTATTACCCCTTCAGTTAACTGACCATTTCAAAACATAAAAATAAAATACAATTATTATCCTTATAACTTTAAAAGCACATACTTCAATAACAATTTTAAAAATCGACTCTTTTATGCGAAGTAATGTTTTTCAGAAATTAAAGCCAATTTTATTTGACATTTTACCTGACATCTGACAACTGTCTAGCGGTTTCACCTTACTATACAGGTGTCCCACAATTAGTGCGACAAAATGAAGGTGTATTATCTAAAGACCCCCAGAAATTCCAGAAAATTGTTTAAAAAATTCTTTCTTCTTTATTTAATAAGATACAGGGGAGTCATATTTTCTTTATATGGCAACATTGCCTCATAACAAAGAAATAGTTAAATTCTTTATCATGATGACAACAAACAACAATGTTAGAAAATGCCAAATTTAAACGTCAAAATTTGTTATAGGTTATTTATTTTACGTCAGACAGGGACTCCCTGTATTTTTTTCAATCCAGCCTGACGTAAAATAAATAACCTATAACTTAAAGTAACAAATTTTGACATTTAAATTTGGCATTTCTAACATTGTTGTTTGTTGTTATGATGATTAAGAATTAAACTATTACTTTGTTTTGAGGCAATGTTGCCTTATAAAGAAAATATGACTCCCCTGTATCTTATTAAATAATGAAGAAAGAATTTTTTAAACAATTTTCTGGAATTCCTGGGGGTCTATAGATAATACACCTTCATTTTGTCGCACTAATTGTGGGACACCCTGTATTTACCAATCTGACGTAGCTTTCAATTTCTTTTCACACATATCTGTCACTTTTTACACAGAAAAAGTTTCTGAAAAGTCAATTTTTCTACGACCATGGTCGTGCACTATATGTAAAAGTCACATTTCGTAATCGCATCGTTGCTTAGAAAATGAATCTTTTGACATTTCTGTGTGAAAAGTGACAGGTCTGTGTGAAAAGTGCCAGTGTGTCAAACACTTTTTAGGTTATTTTTTGTTGTATTTGAAAATAATAAAAAATAAAAGGGTCGTAGAAAAAACATTGTGTTTCACTTGTGAGAAAAGCTTTCTTTAAGCTCGTGTTAATGCACAGCTAAAACACTCGCATGAAAAAGTCGCTTTTCAACACTTGTAAAACAAATACCTATTTTATTCAAATTTTCCCTTGCCAACGAAAAGATTCAATTTTTTTTAGCAACGACTTTTAATAACAATAATGTTTTTTCTTCATACCTTGTTTGAAAGTACTTACTTTCGTCCCTAATAAACAGTTTTTTGAAGAAAATGTAAAAAGAACTTGTAAAAACCAATACATTTTACAAAATTTTACTTTTACAGGGGTATTCTACAATTATTTATACATAACCAAATTTGTAAAAATAAAAATAAATAAAAAATAAGCAATGGATCGATTTTTTTGCACCGGAGTGTAATTTAAAATATTATGTCAATAAAAAGGATATTTTGTATAAATTTACCTTAATTACAAAACTGACAATGATACAATTGTAAATTTGACGTGTTTATAGACACGTGTCATTTTTGTAATTGGACGCCATTCTGCAGAAAGGAACCAACCCACAAAACCAAAAAAATCGAGATATTTAGAATATGAACTAATGAAGTATGTATAATTTATCTGCAAAATAGGTCATAGCCAAAATGCAAGTGTAGTGAAATCTATTTATCATTGAACCAACCAACATTCAATAATAGTGTGGATTACTAATCCAGAATTAGAATCTGTAAAATATCTAAGTGGGTTGGATCTTTTTTGTAAAAAAGCAGGCTGGTACCCACTACCAAAGTCTTTAAAGATTTCCTGCTTCTGCAAAATATAAAGTCTTGATGCATTTTTTTGGTAGCTTACAAGATGAGGTGGGGTTGGAAGATGATGTGGACGAATTTCAAACAGAATCAAAATTAATTCATATTACCATTATAATAGTAATATCAGTTGTATTTTGTTTGGAAATAAATAATTGTCGCTTTTCTTTAAATACATACATATATGTATACATCAGATAGTAGTTTTCATAAATTGCAGAAAGGAACCAACCAATAAAAGCCCATTTTTTTCGTCACCCTTACACATAACATCACAAAATCCACCTGATGAAATTATTAAATTATATCCCTTAAACCTCCGTAAGTCCAAAATCGGCATAAAATTAACAGGTAATTTTAAAATTATTAAAATCTTTGATAGCTTTTTTCTCAGTTTCATCATGGTGTGGGTTGGTCCCATTCTGCAGAAAGCCGTCCAATTAACTTAGACAAAATATCCCGTTTTTTAAGCGTTGTTTATTCAACGGCTAAAAAGTAGTACTTTCCGCACTAGTTAGGTAAATATCTAACGTCTTTGTTTTATCCTTATTCCCAAATTGTTTGTAAATCATTACTAAACACAAAAGCGCTCACTTCTAAAATACCCATACAAGCTGTCCCCAATTTACTTCATTATTTAGTAATCATTCAACAGTATACTGTTAATATATATAACGAAAATGTTGTCAAATTTTTTTAATTATTAAATAAAAAAAAATTCAATCCTGCTTAAGTATGCCTTATTACCATCAGGTACCATTGCATAAAGGTCAAATAATTTTTTTTTAATATTTTGTTTAAGTGCCAATGGATTTAAAAATACCACAACATTCAATTCTACTCCAAAAATGTCATCTTACTTAGTGGCATTTATAATATCGGAGTTCAGTTGTAATAAATATGCTGGCCTTCTTTACACAATGGTGCCTCAAAGAGTTTGTTCTCGTGACGGTGTAAATCATACTACTAGAGAATGGGCTTTAAATGAAGGCGTGTCAATATTAAATATGCTTAACCAATACACAAAAATATATTATACTGATTACAATAACAAAATGGACCAGGTAGCTATTCCGGATTTTACTGCTGGAGCTATGGAAAACTGGGGTCTAGTAACTTATAGGTAAGTAATTTTTAATGATAAAAAATACAAGATTACACAATTCGACAAAACAAACATTTTTCCTAAAAAAAATAATAAAAATATGTAAGCGTATTTATACGCTAAAGAAGTATCGCTAGTAGCGCCACCACTCGGCTGTTATCATCGTAACAAAAGTAGAACTTTTAATAATCAGCTGTCAAACGCTTAGGTTACAAACGAGCGTTTTTGAAAATAAAGCCGGAAAATGTTAAAAAGTATCGAAAAACAAACCGTGGATCGATTTTGTATGTTGTTGGGTGTATTTCGAGAGGAAATCCTGGGTTGAGTTTTTAACGGTTTTCCAATTAACAGTGTTAATCTGAATGAAGAAATAAATTGCATACATCTCTGTAAATATAAATTGTACCTATTAGATACAATAAATACACATTTTAGTAGTGATTAACGTGAAAAGTGTAAACATTTCAATTCACTAAAAATCGTCAAACAAGTCGTCTAAATTTAAACAGCATTTAGTATTATTAAAAGCGTTGATTAAGAAAGTCTCCACTCAACGGTAAAATACCATTATAATATTATTATGTATTATATATAATATTATGTTGCCATGAATTCGTTGGTATATTTTGTTGTTTAAAATGCAGTTGTCGGCGTTTTTTAGAGAACTCAAATATAATGATTGATTTTATGGTTATGTTTGTGCCAAAATTATTTTTTACTTATTTCTTAAAAATGTCCAAACTTAAATATAAATTATATTAGGTAATTTAAAAGTTATCATTAGTTAATTATGTACTTACCGAATCGGATCCTTTGGCAAAACATGAAAATGCAACGATTTAGTTCTTGAATTTTATTTACAATTAAAAACACAATAATTCACCAAGATCCCTTAAATAAAATGCACACACTAACGTATTTATCAATCGAAATCGAGTACCTACTAAAAGAGTTTTTTAATTTTTTCCTTGCAACATATAACACAAATAACGTGCGCGATTTAGCTGTGCAATTGAACAAAATTTGTCGAGTAAGACTTCTGCCCTTCTCTCTTTTGTGAAAAAACTACCTGTTTATTTAAAAATGATGTATAGTCTGTGCTTTAAATGTATTGTTGACAATTCTTAAATTCACGCAATGCTATCGAAGTCCACCAGATGGCGCGCGCGTTGCGAAAACCCGATACTTCTTTAGCGTATAGGAATATGGATAATTTTTCTAATGTCCAATTTGATGAAAATATGTAAGATGGGAATAAATCTCAGTGTTAAACTTTGGAGAAAATTGAGCTCTTTCTCCACGGTTACTGTCAATTGGACAGTGTCCAATAAGACGGTGATTATACGGTGGTTCAGTATTTTCTTAAAATTTAATTCTCACTGACATTTGTCATCGAATCTGTGGTTATGGTAATTGTACTAAACTCTTTAATAAAATTAGAAAAAGTATGTATAGTGTTTAACTCTTGACAAATGGCCAATTTCATAGGAATGAATTACTTCACTCGCCTTCGGCTCGTGTCGCAATATTTCATTCTCACGGAAATTGTCAACTTTCTATCAATCGTTGAACAATATGCTATTAATATACTGTTAAGCAAAACTGCCGTATCTACAATATTAAGTAATAAAGGACAAAAGATCATTTTAAATGTCGGCAGTCTTGCTTACCGTGCAGTATAATTAATAGTATGTATATTGTTAACAGTTGTGTTGATATAAATTTATATTATATAAATTTATATTTATATAAAGTTAATAAAAACAAAATATGAATATATTTGTGAGGAAGCATCATCATGCTTACCCCATTTCAGTTCTCCTACGTATCCCGCAACTGCACAGCATTATTTGTTTTTGCACAAAGTGTTGAAGTTGCATATATTAAAAAAAAAATTTCCCAACAAAAGAATATATTTGATTGAAATTTGGTATTGTTTTTTTATTAGATACCATAGTTAGGCATTACATTCGTTTTTATACTACAAGCACTACGGAAGTGATATTATCTTTTTTTAGAGGGAAAAAAGGTACCTACGCCAATGATCTAAAACAAAAAATTACACATTTTTAAAATAACCAGTCGGTTTACGAAGAAAAAATCCTTTAAGGGCCGGTTTTTCAATCGTTGGTTAAGTTTATCTTACGGTTAATTTCCTTAGATACTATTGTTAACCGGCCCTAAGAGTGTTTTCATAAAATGTTTGGTTTCATAGTAAAATTGCAATTCCAATTAACTGTAATTATAATTTATAAATTTGACCATATGCCGTTTCGTTTTTTTTTATCGAAGTTTGTGGTGAACATTTCGAGCAATTCCTCTAATTATTTAAATTTAGGTTTCTGTTCTAAAATCATTTTTTGTTGTTTTATTCTTAATTGTTTTTCTGTTAAATTTTTTAGTGGTATTTTTAATTTAGTTTATTTCAAAATAAACCTTTTTTATTTATCGCTATTAACGTTTTCTTAAATCAACTGTTGATTCCAGAAAAATCATTGAGATGACTTTTTTTCGTAAATCAACTGCATATTTTAAAAATGTAGAAATTTTTTTTAGATCGTTGGCGTACCTTTTTTTCTTTAAAAATAGATATTATCACCCCCGTAATATGAACATTGACTAAGGAATGGTATGACAATGAATTTAACTATGATTTCGCGAAAGAATCGAACGATCGATTTACAACACATCTCAGATTTTTTTTAAATTTTAATATTTTGTTTATACATCCAATTTAACACTAAATCTAAAATTTTTCTTTCATCTGACTTAAACTTTAGCTCCTAGAAACCATTTAATTTTGCCTTTCACAAAAAGGCCAAATTCCATTATTTTGGCATACATTTTTTATTAAAATACTGAATGATTTGAAATTTGGCCCATGTATGACCCCTATTAGTACTTACAATTCTGTCAAAAATAGTTTTAATTTATTACATACAGGTGGCGCTGCAATTTTTTTTTCTTCGAAAGTAGACGTTTTTTGAAGACAAAAAATTCTCTTAAGCAACAATGCTCAAAAAAACTAAATAGCGTACCAGATAATATAGATATTCCTTTATAATTCGACATATAAAAATTTACTTGCAAATGATGTTGCCGCCCGTAAAGCCAACTTAAAGTTTGGTCTACCGCATTAAAAAAAATTGAATTACACTTTCAACTCTATCCTTATTTATAAACTAAGGAACTTCAGGTGATGGCTTTTATTGGTAACTAAAACGCAACCAAAAAAAGTTTTATTTTTTTATACACAGGGGGCGCTGCAGCCTTTTTTTCAAAAATAGACGTTTATAAAGACCATAAAGTTACTTAAGCAACATTGCTTAAAAAACTAATGACATTATTTATAATGTATCAGATAATATAGATATTCTTTTATTGTTTGACATATAAAAATTTATTTGCAATAATTTATGCCTGTTGTAGGGACGATTAAAATTATAACTAGTGCACGTACCTGCATATTGTTATATAAACGCCTTTTTTCGCTTTTATTGTTGTATGCGGACAAAAGGTAACAAGTATTTCAGTGACTCTATAGTAATAGTAATAGTAATATGACCATTTGTTTAAATATATTTTAGTATATTTCAAGAGGCAAAGCATTCTTTATTACCGTACTTTAAAATTAAACTAAAGTCAAGCCTATAGGCTGGGAATCAAGTTACACCAATAGTTGACAGTTAATGTCAAACGGTAACCATAATAACATTTAAAATTTTGCCGTTATTACAAAAGTTGAAATTGGAGAGGGAAAATATCATGCTTTTAAAGGTACGCAAAGTTAATAAATTTTCTTTAAGTAAATCAAAATTCTAGGAATTGAATTTTCTTCTGGAGTAAACATGAAAGTTCCTTGGACATCATCAAGTCGACAAAAGGAAAATCTAAATAATTTAAAAGCAATTAAATATAGGTGCGACGAATTACTTTGCAGTAGGGTTTTTGAAAATGAAGATGATCTTCTAAACCACCTTAAATTTCAAAATCATAAATTTCCTGAAATTAGACAAACTATAGGTGATGTTGCTAGAATGGAATTTTTAAAACAAAAAGATGTTTTAACTGCAACCAGAACGTTCAACAATATCTACCGTTAATATATGCCCAAATGAAGAAGATAAAAATACGTTTTTTCGAGTTTATGCAAAAGTGTTCGAAAGGCGCAAAATTAAAAAATCACGTTTTAATGAAAAACAAAAAGATTTTGTTGGCAACCTCTTTGAAGAAGGTGAAAAAACTAAAATTAAATATACGCCTGAATATATAGCAACAGCTTTACAAAATTATAAAGTAAATAGCAAATTTTATTTTTCTTCAAACGAGTATATGCATCCTAATCAGATACGCGGCTTATTATCAAGATTATCGTCAGATAGAAGGTTAAGCAAAAATAGAAAAAGAAAATTAAAAAATTTGCCGGAAGAAATTGAAGAAATTAGCCCAGAAGCGAATGAAGTTTTTTTGAAGTTTTATCGTATATAATACCACTAGTGGTAAAATTTTACCGATAAAATTTTTGATTTTTATACGAATGTTTTTTTCTTGGAAATTTCGCAAGTGGCATTAATTTTTAAGACCACGAGCCGCTAGGCGAGTGGTTTGAAGTTAATGCCACGAGCGAAATTTCCAAGGAAAAATCTTGAGTAAATAAAAATCAAAAATTTTTTCAGGGAAAATTTTATCACGAGTGGTATTCGGCAAGACTATTTCACGAATATTTTTAACTGCTGATTCAATTTCTGTATGATTTTTTGGACCAAAACGCATATTTTTTAACATTTTAATTTTAAAATTAAAAACGTCAACAGTGACAATTATTTTTATCATAGCAACCAATTGGTTGTTATGCAACTCGTATAAACGAGTGGTTTTTTCACCCATAATATAACAAGTGGTATGATTATCATCGATGATATTTTCGAATTGAAACCGAGCTGCAGATTTCACGAGTCCGCAGGACGAGTGAAATATGCTGCTTCGGTTTCATTGAGTAAATATCATCGATAATTAATCATACCACGAGTTATATTTAGTGAGAAAATATAATGAATTTTAGGAATTAAAAAATTTGTCAGATTGACATTTAAAATTAAAATGTGCTTTAAAATATAAAAAGACTTTAATAAACCTTATTTATTCAAACTTACCTTAATTTCATTATCGTTTACACCAACCCATCGATCTTTTAGAGTTTATAATTCATTATTTTATTGATATATATCAAATACAGAATTTAAATGACAACAGATGTTAAATCAAAAAAAGTGTCAAAATTCTTAGTAACGTGTAAACAAGATGATAAAAATTATTGCCGCTGTGATAAAATACGTCACTATGGAATACTGGCATTTTATTGGTTCTAATATTAATGAATTGTATTGTCACCTGAATAGTAGTTTTATCGCTGCAAAACTGAAAAAACCACTCGTTTTCTGAAATCTGATTGGTCCAAAAAGTAATGAGTGGAATAGTCAGTTTTAAAGTAGTTGCTTTGCGGCCTAAGTAACTTTTAAGTTATAAATAACCCTGGTTAAAATCTCTAGACTGATTCTGAAAATCGCTCTAGAGATTTGAACCAGCCGGTATGATATAAACCAGGGTTATTTATAACTAAAAAGTTAGAAAATATACCCCTTAGAGCCCAACAAGTTTAAAATTTAATGTAAAGGTAATAATAATTATTAGGATATATCTTTATTATTTAATATATGCAAATCTTGCAGATAAATTGTTATATGTTAAATAATAAAGAAATAGTAATATCAATAATAATAATAATAAAGAAAAACATAATAAATAAAATAAAGAACAAACCTATTAAATAAATAAAGGAATACGTAACTCTTTATAATAAAGGAATACATAACTATATTATCTGAAATGCTATATAGTTTTTAAAGAAAAAAGGCTGCAGCGCCCCCTGGGTGTGAAAAAATAAAACTTTTTTTTGCTGTGTTATTGTTACCAATAAAAGTAATCTCCTGGAATTCCTTAGTTAATAAATAAGAATAAAGTTGTAAGTGTAATTCAATTTTTTTTAATGCGGTAAACAAAACTTAAAGTTGGCTTTACGGGCGGCAACATCATTTGCAAGTAAATTTTTATATATCAAATTATAAAGGAATATGTATATTATCTAGTATACTATTTAGTTTTTTTGAGCATTGCTGCTTAAGAGAGTTTTTGGTCTTCAAAAAACGTCTATTTTTGAAGAAGAAAAAATTGCAGCGCCACCTATATGTAAAAAAAATAATTTTTTTTTCGGTAGAATTGTAGGTACTAATAAGGGTCATTTATGGACCACATCTCAAAACATTCAGTATTTTAATAAAAAAATTATGCTAATATAATGAAATTATGGCTTTTTGCGAAAGGTAAAATTAAATGGTCTCTGGGAGCCAAAGTTTAGGTCAGATAAAAGAAAAATTTTAGATTTAGGGTGGAATTAGATGTATAAACACAATATTAAAATATAAAAAAAATCTGAGATGTATTATAAAAAAATACCCCAAAATCGTTCGATTCTTTCGCGAAATCATAGTTAATGCCTATGGTACCTAATAAAAAAAAAATACTCACCAAATTTCAATCAAATAAGTTTTTTTGTTTAGGAAAAAATGACGGTACACTAAATTAAATATAATAGATAATTGATATTTTAGAGAAAGATCGTTATTATGGAGCGACACAGATTCGTCAAATAGGTACAAGCAAACCATTTCAGCTATTGTAGCTCACGAATTTGCCCACATGTGGTTTGGAAATTTGGTTACTTCAAGATGGTGGAATACCATTTTTCTTAATGAAGGATTTGCTAGATATTTCCAATACATCCTTACCGGAATTCTACACAATGATTGGCAAATGGAAAACCAGTTTGTAGTGGAACAATTGCAACTTGCCATGGCTGCTGATGATATCCCAACTGCTCAAGCTCTTCAACAAGACGCATATACCCCGCCGGCTATAAGTGCGCGTTTTGGTACAATTTCGTACTCCAAAGGTAGGTATGAACACATTTTAAAATTTATATCCAAAAAATGTAGGTATAAATTTTTTTACTAATGATAAACTTATTTAAATTAAAACTAAAAAACAGTGTGTACTTATGTTAAGATGAAATAATACACATCTAATAGTAAACAAACAATTGAAGTAAGAGATGATATGAAGTTTACATAATTGTTGTTGTTTTTTGTACCTACCCATACCCGCTATTTTCGGGATACATTGTAGAAATATTTATATATTTTAGGAGCATCTGTTTTTAGAATGGTATCACATTTCTTGGGTGGTGAAATGTTTAAGAAGGGCCTACAATTTTACTTAAATGAAAGGTACGTTATTAAAAATTAGGATAGGGTGCCCAACAGTGGCGGCCCATCAGGGGAGGCAGGTGAGGCACCCTTATCATAGAGAATTAAAAAAATAAGTATAATTTAAATAATTTACTTTTTATAATAAACTATAAATTTTTAATATTTGGATTACATGAATTGGGAAATAGTCAATAAAATTGATTGATTTTATACGTGGAATACCCAGCAACATTTAAATTATTTTAATTTGAAACGACCGCAATTTAAACTAATATTTATAGCTAGATGATTGGCTCCGAAGCATGCCTGAACTAATTTAGACTCACGATTGGCGTTAGCCTTGTTGTCTCGTTCTATTACAATGTGATATCATAGTTGTCTCCTTCTCTCGTATTAGCATACGCGAGGCAGGCACGCCTACATCCAAGGAAATAAGCAGGTGTTGTGGCAACACTGTTGCGGAATTTTAGATAAATTATACTTCACACGTTTTTCAAAATTCAATAATAAATGGTATTATTTTTCTTATAAAAAATCGATTTAATCGAAATTATATTTCTATTCTAAAATAAACATATTTTAACACTATCGCCATCTTGTATCTATCACAGTAACCAATAAAATAAATACAGATTCCTTCTTTAGGTTTGTTTTGGTTAAAAAATTCTGAACTGTTTAAAGAACAAATCTGTGGTTATTTACGCAATATTTTGTTTATTCTTTTTCTATGAGTTTGTCTATTTTATGATTCTTTTGTAAGTGGTTTATTCTGTGGGTTTAGTTAATTGAACTTGGTGATTTATGTGAATTTAGTCATTATGGATATTACGGTGAGAAATTGTACCGATATTGTTGATTTTCTTTTGAACTTTATATATATAGAAATTTTTTTAAACCCAACTTAAAAAAACTGACGTCGCAGTTCACAACCTATACTTAAAACTATGTAAAAAACTTAGACTGTGGTGGGGAAGGAATCCTCTACTTTGTCAATGAAATATAAATATATATATATATATGTATATATATACCTATATATGGTATGTTTTGAAGCCCGGAGACGGATGGGTCGCTTCGGAGCCCTGCAGTTGCTAGTGGTTTAGGCGTGTATACTTATCTTCTATCTCATTTAAATCATTACAAACCTATAGAGGGGAAAGACGAGGGGTAAAGATTTCCCTATAGGATTGTCGGTAGAAACATTTTTGTTCTTGTAAAGCCCAAGCATATATTATTAATACGTTGAAAAGCCCACTAGTATAAAAATATATACTGATTAATCGCTGTAAAGCCCAGCGGTGTTGCCAATTCTACCCGTAACAAATCTATTTTTAGATTCAAGGTCAAGCTTTAAATATTCGTTAATACTCTGCATTTGTGGTTTCTTAAATTTACGGGCTTGTCATAGTAGTGTTCGTGTATAGTATTTGCTGGAATACTGAAATACTATAATAATTATAATTATCCCTAAAATTTTACAATTTAAAAAAATGTACTTTAGAATTATTAAAAAGTTCTTCAAGAAAACATAAAATCTCAGAATCTTAAGTTTATTATTGATAATTTATCCCAATAAACATGTAATAAATATAATAAACTAAGAATTATAGCTCTTATTATATTATTTAGAATAATTATATTATTAAGTATTATTACTGCAATATAAAAATAATAAATATAAAAAAATCTTCTTATTTATTTCTATACAAATTAATTTATATGAGTATAATTGGCTTCACCAGTATTTTTTAACTAGATATTTTTCCTTTTTTAAATCCAGGGTAAAATTATTAACTGTTTACTTATTATTTTTGTCAAAATTTACTTATATTAATATTGCTAATTAGCAAAACATAAATGTAAATATTTTTATTGAAGTTTTTATTATTTTAAATATCTTGAAATCCTATAGAACACTAAGAAAAAATTAATATTGACAGATTTAACGTTTGCAAAATAAATTTTAAGTATAAAATAAACAACGACATAAATTTTTTAAGGCATTTCTTGCAATATATTTTTTTTCTACCATTCGCTTTTAATCTATTCTTAATAAAACCCAAAACTTATGCATTTAACACTTTATTTGTAAAACCAGAACATTTTGTAAAAGTATACCAACTGTAAAATAACCATTACTAAACATTTTACCATTAATATTTCGTAGGTATTGATTGTTAAAACTTTTAACTTTTTAACTTAAAAGTAATGAATCTTATATATAATAATAATATTAATTATTGGCATTTTAGTCTCGAGCTGAAGTTAGCAACAGTGCCTTTTAAGTTAGCTATATTATAAATTTAGAAAATGTGAGGTTAAATCCGGGTGGCAGTTGACAGATGTCAAATTTTTAACAAATAAAATTCGCCTTAAATTTTGTTTTGTGTTCGTCGTAGATAGAGTATAGTATGTAACTCGTTTATAAACTTCTTTGGACACTAGTTTTTATTAAACACTCGCTCGCAAGCTTCGCTCTTGCTTAATTAAACTCGTAACTAAAATATCGTTTATAAAACTTGATACATAATATACTATTATAGTAATTACTATAAAATAAAATATTAATAATTAATATTTAACGTGTCATTATTAAGTTAATAATTTATTACTTTTTTAATTTAGAATACATTTCAATAATAGTTTTAAGTTATATTAAAATTTTTCACAATATATTAATAATTTAATATAATAATAATATAATAATTAATATACTAAAAGTGTGGAAGCAAATTCCCAATTAATTTTCTATGTAGTCGGCTACAGGTTCGGATTTAGAAATTTGGCGTGTCTATAATATAGAAATAAGACATGAGACAATCTGACTCTATAGCTAAGAGAGAGTGCGTTTAATCGTTCTTCAACAAATTTTTATCTTAAGCAGTTTTTCACTTCATCATCATCTTATTCTTAAACATTCTATATCTTGAAATTTTTTAATTGAAGACACTTGTCATGAAGTGTTTATTCAAACAATGCATGCAAAAATTCTTGGTTATTTTTTATCGAGAACTTTGTATGCTATACTAATTTAGAAAAAATTCTGCCCAAATTCATCCAAAGTATTTATATTGAAGTTTTCCCTTCATCTCTAGATTCATCCCATATGAGCTTTTAATATTATTTGTTTTCGAAAATTGCAAGTTGGATCGAGTGTTCCAATATTGACACTACTGTCTAGTTCCTCGCAGCTCGACACTACTGTCTAGTTACCCCTAATTTTTTCCGTTCTAGGCAGCTGCCTACGTTGTCTGTTCGGTAAATTCGGCCCTGTCGGCATCTTTTGCATTTTGTTGGTTATCGTTTAATTCGGTTAAATTAATTTTTATTATTTAATTGTGCAAATCTAATGGTAAATTCAAAATAGTAAACTACTATAATTATAGTATAGTTATAGTTATTAAACTTAAGTTTAGATCTTCCTTCATTTTGTAATTACTATTTTTCAGTAAAGGCATAGTTGCCAAACAACACTTATGCTAAATATATGAAAATTATTACTAAACACAAAAGCGCTCACTCCTAAAATATTAAAGCTGTCCCCAAATTACTAAATTTTTTAGTAACCATTCCCAAAACTGTTCTTTCCGTGCATATATGCATAAAATGATATGTAGAATCTATATTATATATAATCTATAGATATAATCAAGTTTACCCCTTAAGGGGTTAGGTGTTTTCTATAAATTTGAAAAATATATTTATTGGCCGGCAGTATTTTTTTTAAACTACAATCGAATATTTTTAAAAATGTTCTTGTTTAGAATAATAACCAACAGGGGTTTTGTGAGCGTATAGACTTTTAAAATATGTCACTCTGAAAAAAACAATGTTTAGTCTCTTTTCTTTATAACTGCTCCTTCACTCAACGCCTGTATATAAAAAATGTGTGTATGATATAAGTAAATATTATGGTGAAATATTAATATATTTTTAATTCCAAAAATCGCTTAGACTATGTAGGGCAATTTTTTACCTGCCATCTGCCAAAAGTAAACCAAGGGCTCTGAGCTTTATTTGACAATTTTTGGCCTATCAGAATAATTGTTTAGAAAATTGGACTAGTACAAATTGCAGCGAATATGACACTAGTGCTACCAGGTAAATATTTTTTAATTTATCAATTTTTTAATCATTTGTTCGATAAAATTGTCCTCCAATTACAACTCGCAATTAAAAATATATGTCGAATATTTTAAGGTGTGTGATAGCAAATATTATTTGTAGTTGCAAATAGTACTCGTGGTAATTAATTAGGGGGCATCCATTAATTACTTGAGGCCATTTTAATTTTTTAGTACTAATTACTAAACAGTTCTCTATACATGGTTATTAATTGCTATAAAAGTCAGCCACTTTTTTTGTAAAACCAGAACAACTTTTGTAATACTATACTTACTTTATAACAATCATTACTAACAGTTTGGGAATAATAGTATTAGTAATATATTATGTATATTTTTTATTTTATCCTCTTTTCCACCACTTTACCCCTAGGGGATTCATGCAAATATAAAAATCAGTTATAAATGGAACACTAAAAATTGTAATTCACGAATAAATAATTGTAATTACTTATTTTAGCTCCTCTGCCAACATCGCAAATTTATTAAAAATAAAATAAATTTATAATTGAATTCTGGAACAAAATAATTATACATATTTACAGGAAACCCAAAAAAATTTAAAAATGGTGTAGTTCCGCGGTTTTAAAAATTGTAAGTCGCTTTGGTCTGCAACAGCAATTTATAGATCAGTAAACTGCTACAATAAAATATTCTCTTACATATAGTGCATTTATGGTTAATTTCTAAAGCCGCCGTATATTTAAAAAAATATATTGTACGCGCGTTGTCGGGCCCAGCAGTGTTGCCAAGTTTAGGGGCTGATAGCGATACGTTAATATAAATGTATAAATATATACTCAGAAGCGCCCCCTACAGTGAAATTCTCCAAACTTTTTGTATAAATGAATGCATAAATGGTACTTTTTGAGGCCCATCAAAAATTTTAACAGGAGGGTGCAGAAAGAAAGGCGAATCGAATGGCTACTATATACTCGGGCTCCGTTGTAAAGCCCAAAGCCGGGTTTTATAACGTCGCTTTGGGCTTTAAAACGTACTAAAGTTATCTTGTACGGGCCTGTATAAGAGCGTTTATAAGTCTATATATATATATATATATATGTATTTCATTGACAAAGTAGAGTTAGTTAAGTTTTTTACTTAGTTTTAAGTATAGGTTGTGAACTGCGACGTCAGTTTTTTTAAGTTGGGTTTAAAAAAATTTCTTCGCATTTAAATGAGGGCGAAACCCTGCCTCTGCCTCACCAAAATGAAATGTCACGGGCCGCCACTGGTGCCCAAAAAGAAGCACGAGTAAAATTTACTTTACATACCTATTTAAAACAATGAAAAAGCGAAAAACATTTAAGACATTATTTTAGAAAATTAAATTATACTGAACCCGACATGCTTTGGAATTCCTTTAACATCACCAATGCCAATTTGCCAGATACAATGACAAATTTAATGAAAAATTGGGTGGAAAAAAATGGGTTTCCACTTATTAACGTAAACCGTTCCGAAAATACTTTAACTTTAACACAGGAGAAATTTTTACGTCAAGGAAAAAACGTTGAAAGTAAATGGTATGTTCCCATAAGTTACACTTTGGCTAACGACACCTTTAAGTTTGAAAGCACCTTGCCCAGAGCTTGGCTCACTCCAAATTTGGATGTAGTGGAAATTGATGTTGGAAATGTGGATTGGGTAATTCTTAATAATAAAGCAACAGGTAAATTATAAAAATATATATATTTTTATGTCTGCACATTTGATTTAGTTGCATTTATAATAATAAAAAAGTCCGTTTTTAATATTAATATTAATTACACAACTATATATAGTTCAGTGTCGTATACGATCCCGGTCCGATACGGATGGATGGTAAGGGACCGACAAACCCGGTTTTATTATTATTAAATAAACTTATAATTACAAATATATAGGGTGGCTCATCGAAAACGTACCGCAATGCATTACACTCTCTTAAAATGAATTAGTCAAAAATAACTAATTATAAGTCATTGACAAATTGTCATAGCGAAAAAGCAGTCACTAATAATTAGTCAAATTCTACTGAATGAAATAGTCAAATTAGTAGATTTAAATTTAAAATCCCCAGCCGGGGATTGAACTCAGGTCTGTCACTTGTCAAGCTTGTCAAGCTGTTGTTATAACCCATTCGGCTATCAGCCGCTCTTATAAAAATCAATTTTATTTGTCAATAAATATTGTTCATAATATTTTAAAGTTGAATATATTATTTGTGTTGCTGTTTTAAGCTAAACTTTTTGCATCTTTATTTGTTGTTATGGGTCATTTAACCATGGAGCTTAGGTATATGCATTTAATTCAAATAATACTTTGTTGTTGGCCGCAAACGATTAAAGAAATTAGTTACTTTTTAACTCTTAGAAATAGTCAAAGATGGTGACTAATCTAAAATTAGTCAAACTTTAACTATTTACGTAGTAAAAAATAACTATTTAAAAGTGAAAACGACTATTTTATTAGTTGTAAATTTTACCAGGAAATTTTCACCTGTTTTGTTTGACTATAAAATTGGTGACACTACTTTAGAAGTTGTCAGTAATATAAAGGATTTGGGCATTACTATTGATAATAAACTTACTTTTAGAGATCACATATCTTTATCGGCCAGCAGAGGGTTGCGCATGTTGGGGTTTGTAAAGAGACAATTGAGAGATTTCAATGATATTAATTGTTTTAAAAGTGTATTTGTTTCTTTAGTTAGGTCAATTTTAGAGTACAATACTATTGTGTGGTCTCCTTATTGTGATAGTCATATACATTGTATAGAACGGGTGCAGAATAAATTCTTGCATTTTTGTGGTTTCAAATTAGGGTTAAATGTTGATGAATTGAATTATTGTGATATTATACTACTTCATAGTCATGAATAGGAGCAAGATTAGTGTATGCTTACGTTAAAATTACCTTTTCTTTAACTTTTATACCAAATGTATACCTACTTTGTATTTAACTTGAGAGTACTTATGTTATAGGTGTAAATCTAAACTCGATTTAATATTAGCCTTAACTTTAATTTAAAACTATCTTATGGGTCTATTTAGAATTGGTTTTATTTAGATTAAATATAGTTTAAGTTCAAATTGAAAATAATTATTATTTATGTTAATATAGCTTGTCTTTTATCGGAGTAAAACTATTTTTTAATTGAGACATATGTAGTTTAAGGTTTAAATAAGAATATGCTGAGCAGCCCAATTTCAATATTAACATATAAGAATACAAGCCCAGCCTTGGCTTGTATTCTTATATGTTAATATTGAAATTAGGTCTTGCTTTAGGTTAAATTGAATTATACTTACTGTAAGTACTTGTCTTTTTTTTTAAACTTCTTTATTTTTAGATTACTATATTTATTTTTAAATAAAAACTAACAAAAAATAATATGGAACGATTTATTTTCTAAATAAAAATACAATATTTTCTAAATAAAAACACAAATTCTTAATACATTTATATAGGGTCTCTGGTAATAAGTAAAATTTTATACACTCTAAACTACCTACTGCAATATACATCAAAATAAGACTATACTTACATGTTTAGTACACAATGATAATACCTAATATGTAAACAAAATATTTCTATAGCCACCAAATGTCATTTATGCTTTGTTGTAAAGGGTTAAGCAATACAAATGGTCTGTGCAAATGACTTTATGATGTGAAAAAATATCAAATATTTTTTTGTACTATAGTACCATATATGGTACTTACGTAGAAATGAATTTATTACTTCGTCAGGATACCCCCATGTTCTAAGCAATTCCTCCATAATAGGTATTTCAGAAATACTATTTCTTTAAAAAATAACACAATCACCACCACAGAACAAACCACAGGCACAATAATTACACAAAACAGGTCCACGCGCATCGGAAGTTTACTTAATTATGCCAAAGAAGATTGATGCCGCCCTCTTTGTAGAACGTATTTTTGCGTGGTTCTTTTGTTATGCTCAATTTGAAGATAGAGTACGTTTTCATTATTAAAATAATGATAGTGTCCTTTTTTATTATTGGAATGATTACATGTAAGGATGTTTTAAGTATAAAGCAAGTGTTCACAGGGATGTTTTGTTATTATTATAGCTAAATTTAGTTATCTTTGATATACATAAAAATATATATTTTTATAATCAATTTAATGATTATATTTAACAATACATTATACTTGCTATGAATTAATTTTGGTAACAGAATAAACCTTATTTGTATTAACCTAAACCTAATTATTTGAAAATATGTTATTTGTTCAAATTAATATTAGATTTTTTTGTGTGTAGGTCTAGGATGAATTTACAATCGTTACAATTAAGAAGAAATGAAATAGATTTATGTTATTTATTCAAAATTTTAAACAATCATATTAACTGTATTGATATTGTTAGCAGTATAAGTTTTAATATACCCCTTAGAATGAATAGGCATGTTCCGCTATTCCATATAAGGCAACATTCTACTAATTATGGCTATTTTTCCCCATTTGATAGAATGTGCAGAAGTGCTAATAGCTTGGACATACATTTTTTTAACATACCACTTAGGACTTTTAAAAGGGAATTGAGATTAATGCTTATCCACTAATATTTGATTTTTGTACCTATTCTGCCGTGGTTAATGAAAACGCCGTAACCAACAATTGTGCGATTTTTGTTTTACGGCATTTTCTACTAGAAAAATTCATCCTGCGTCTATCCCCGGTACTGAAAAAACCGTATCTATATATATACGGTTTTTTGAGTACCGGGGATAGACGCAGGATGAATTGTTCTAGTAGAAAATGCCGTAAAACGAAAATCGCACAATTGTTGGTTACGGCGTTTTCATTAAGCACGGCAGTATTGTTGTGATATTTGTTTTGCCTTCTTGTTTTTTTTTATTAGAGTTTTTATGACTTTCATAATATTGTATTGTATTGTATTTATATTGTGGCAATTTGCTGTTAATAAACATTATTATTATTATTATTATTATTATTATTATAAAAAATGCTGGTACTAATTCAAATAGTAGAATTTTGACGGTTTCATTTTAGAGAGCAGGCTGGGAAAAAACTTTTCGGCAAAATCCAAAAACACGTCAAGTTGTTTGTCAGGGGGACAACTTTTGTCACAAAAAGCAAAGCAAAATCTTCAGCCCCCTTAGTGGGGGTGTCATCCTCCAATTTTTTATAAATAGGAATGGGGGTAAACTTACACCTCATTAAAAGGAGTTTTTGATTCCCTTTAAATTGCTGCTTATAACTATAGTTTTACAAAATCGATCGACTCGTTTAGAAATTATGGACCTTTGAAATAGGTACTAACAATACATTTGGAAAAAAAATGAAAAAATCGATTTAATTTTACTTAAAAACTGAATATATTATTAAAATAAATTCCTACAAAAGAATTCGCTGGTATTTTTTAGGCTCGTATTAGTGACTAAATAATTATAATTAACGGGGTTTTTGCTTCACTTTAAATAGGCCATGTGGTTGTATTAAAGTGTTTCAAACTTGTTATATTTGTTGTTCATTTTAAATTATTCAATTAGGTGCTTCATGCAATCATGCTTCTGGAAAAATTGTTGGCGAATATTAAAAAAATACAAGTTCCATCCTTATAAGATTCTGTTAGTGCAAGAACTAAATTAAGACGTCTTTGATCGCCGCTCTTAATTTGAAAAAACGATATATCGGCGATATTAGTATCGGATGCATCTCTTAATAATAATAATAATAATAATAATATCTTCATTTACAGTGCGTCTACAATATGTAAAATCAAAATCGAATCAAAACTCGAATCGAATTGAATGATTTCGTTCGTTAGGACGCACTTTTAAAGAAACCATAATATTTTTTCGAAGTTTTTTGACGCTCTAACTGCAAAATATTATTCTCCAGAAAACTTGTTGAGCCATCATCACGACGTGATTTAACAAAACACGTTTTTTTAGACTTTCTTGACTTTATGTCGGATTCCAATTTTTGAAAAGGTAAAGTTCAATTCGAACAATAGGAAGTTGGTTAAATTTTGTTATTATTGTGTTAGTTGTTTTGGTAGGTACTGTAATTAATAGATTAGTTGTGTTTGAGGTATTTACTATTATGAATAAATAAAAATGTGTCCTGATTTCTGTGAAAATGTCTACCTTTTTAATTATCCTAAAAAATCAATGTTCAACAGAAAACCCTAATTCTAAGTAAATTTTAGGTTACTATCGTGTAAACTATGACCCAGCTCTTTGGGATCAAATTACTTTAGCGCTCAATGCAAAAAATTTCTCTGGGATACCAGAAAATAATAGAGCTCAAATCGTAGATGATGTATTTAACTTGGCTAAGATTGGAAAGTTATCCTACTCAATCGCATTTAAATATTTATCTTTTTTGGAAAAAGACACATCATACTTTCCCTGGTATTCCGCTTTTAGTGGTTTTACTTATTTGGAAAAAAGGATTTCCAAGGAATCTAAACTGGGACAAGCAATTTCGGTTCTTTTTATTAATTTAATTATAAATAATTTTAGTTATCTTTATATTTTTTAGAAACATATTTCTACTTGGATGAGTGAAATTTATGGGACAATCGGCATACCGAATAGTAATAATCAAATCTATACACACAAATTAGTTTTGACTAATTCTTGGGCTTGTAAATTGGGAAATGAAGAATGTTTGGATGATATTTTAAGTCAATTTAAAGGTTTTAAAAATTTTAACGCAAGGTAGATACTATTCAGGGTGGCTCAAAAGTTTGGAATATTGAGTGTAACTTTTAAAATATCGAAAATTTAAAAAAAATGATTTTTAAAAGTTGTTTAATAGTTTATTTTAAATTTTACGGTGACATTACCAACTTTAAAAAATAAATACGTAGCCCCCCAACGCACAGTGTGTTATAGTATATTATGTATCAAGTTTGATAAACGCCATTTTATACACGAATTTAATTTAGGCACGAGCGAGCTTGCGAGCGAGTGCTTAAATTAATGAGTATAGAAAAGTTTATAATCGAGGTGCATATTATACTTTTTCTACGACAAATACTTAATATTATCTTAAAATGATTTAAATCAAAAATTTGTATAGAGCGCCATCTATGAAACAATAGGGGATTCTGTGTGTCACCGTCAAATGTCAATTTTTTTATTTTATAAACACAGATTATAAAGGTTATAAATCGAATTGTATTACTTGAAAATTGACAGTTTTTCACAGAGAAAGTAAAGAAAAGGTTTTATGAGCACTTTACAGTGAAGTCCGTGCCCGAATTTAAGTTATAGTTTACTGCCGGCGAAATTAAAAGGTCAGTACAACGTTCATATAAACTTTTTAAATATTGGCGTTGAGAAACTATTTAATACTTTTGTATTTTTGTATTGAGATAATAAAATAATTTTCACATTTAGTATTATTTTACAAGAAAGGCACTGTATTTTAACGATTGTATGACATTTGACAACTGTCAACTAACTTAAAACTAACTTCAGCCCTTGACTAAAAACCTGTTGCTAACTTCAGCCCGTGACTAAAGCGCAATAAAGCCACAACTTGTCAATGTCTATTTAAAAGGTCACTTAGTGTCATGGAAGCATGTACGATAAAGGGCGTTTTAAAGGTGGGAATAGAAAAAATTAATTATCTAGCTAGACAAAACCTAAATGACATACAAAATTATAAATTTTCTCTGTAAACAGGGTATTTGTTTGAAGGGAACCAGTTTTATTTTATTTGCAAGATTACTTAATTTAAGATCATTAAATTTTTTTGAGGTGAAATCAATTTATTTACAAATATAACGCGTTTTTTGAGGTTAGAAAGAACGAGCCAACCGGCTAAATCCGACAGCAGATTCGGATTCAGCGAGGGTCAATGCATATAGTCATAGTTTTGTGTGCCTGTGTTATTAATTAAAATCTGCGTTATCCAATTTTGAGTTAAAATGTCTCGATAACCTGATCTTATGGATCAAAAGTGACTATAAATTCAGCGCAATAAATTATAAAAATGAATTTCAAAACCTTGTAGACTAATACTTTTTAATTTTAGCAATTTAAATTTAATCGTTTTCAAGAAATTACGAGAAAAACGTTTTAATGTAGAATTGACCCTGCTTGTCAGAAAAATATTTACCTTAAAATGGCCATACTGTCTCTCTTTTTCGTTAAAAATGTCAGAAGACATTTTTGCAGGGACTCAAGATGAAGCTATAGCATACGTTTTTTTACTATAATATGTATTTTTATATCCAATTGATGCACAAAATATTAAAATTACTTTTTAACTTCTTCAATATCTTGTGTCCTCTACGAAAAATCGTTGAAGGAGTTTTGTAATGAAAAAAATTCCAAAATCATACATCATAATAAATTTTTCATAAAAACTCTTTAAAAGGAGATACAAGTTAATTTAAGTTTTATTTTGTTTATTTTATAGATTAGATCCAAACTTACAAGGGATCGTATTCTGCAATGCCCTGCGTTACACTAATGATACAGAAGACTGGCATTTCCTTTGGAATTTATACAAAACTACCGATGTTTCTACAGAGAAAGTTACATTGTTAGGTGCCCTTGGTTGTACTGAAAATAAAAATCTACTGAAAACGTAACACCATAACATAAATACTAATAAAAATTTATATTAATGAAATTTTAGATACTTGGAGCATTCAATCAATGAAAATTCTGGCATAAAACCCCAAGATGCTTTATCAGTGTTTAGTGCGGTACAAACCAGTCAAATAGGAGTAAATATTGCCTTACAATTTTTAAAAAATAATTATGCCTCTATTCAATCAAGGTAAATATTATTACTTTTTTTTATTCAAAATTAATGGTAATTTTCAGTTACAAAAGCTTAAACGCTCTATCAAACCTCATCGAACAACTGGCAGATAAGTTTACCACGAAAGAACAGCTAGAGGAGGTAATACAAACTCATAAAATCCTTACAACTTTTATAAAATAATATAATTTTAGTTGCAAAACTTTATCGACGAGCTTAAGAAAAAGCCGGGAGATTTTACTGATTTCATCAGTACAGCAGAAATTTCTTTGAAAGCAGCAGAGGCAAATATACAATGGGTTGAAAATTTGGGCGAATATTTATTTAATTATTATAATATAAATGATAATGATGATAATAATAATAATAATAACCCAGGCAGCTCCTCTACTATTCATATGTCATTTGTAGTTATTGTACCAGGTCTAGTTTTTTTATTGTTTAAATAGTTACCTAAAATTCAAATGTGCCAATTTACTATTTCTACCTAGTTATTTTTGAAAATAAGAATAAATAAATAATAAATTTTTTATTTTAAAACAAGTAAATAAAACATATTTATTCTGTAGAGTAGTCTGGAACCACCCTAAAAGTGGCCAAAGACCAATATTTCCCATTTAAAATCAGACGCAACAACAATAGATGACCAAAACCAAAAACGACTTAATCTAAGGCCTATATATCCAACCAACTAACCATAATTTTACTGATTTAGTAACAGATTTTTTGATTCGTTTTCTTTTTAACAAAATTTGAAGCTTTTATTATCTGTTTTTATATTTTGTTATGTTAGGTAGGACCGATAAAAAACAAACAACTTTTGGTATGATCCGCTCAACAACAAACATGTCAAATGTAATTTGGTGACCAAATTTTGGTCTTAAACAAACCTGTCCATTCTTAAAGGTCGATTTTTGAATAGTTTTTGATCACGATGGCTCAAGCGTGCTAAGGAGACCAAGAGGATGAAGAAACAATATTTTTAAAAGATTCCTTATATTGCAAGAATTTAATGAATAATTTGCTCTCCTGTCTGATTAAAGGGACAAATTTGGTTTGATTTCCTCAAATATTGCAAATTTGTTTGTACTTAATAGGTATTACTTAAAATTATTAAGGGAATCTGTCTAAACACAACTATTCCGAATAATTTAATAAATTTTTTTTAACGTTTCGGAGCTTGAAATGAGAATAACGAGAAAACTTTTTTAGTGCATTAAAATAAAGTAGGTACTTAAATTACATTTACATTTTTTGAAATGATTTTTCACCCTATAGGGATTATAATCTGTAGAAAAAATATAGGTATTTTGAAACAACCTAAGATGGTGTAAAATGTTTACCCTTATTATAATTTGTTGTGTTATATTTATTTAAGCTTCGTGACGTTTTACAAATGTAAAAAAATGATTAGATGCAGTGGCGTATATATATTATGGGCGTGGGGAAAAAAGCTCACCGAGGGCGAAATTTTTGTTTACACTAAGTGTAAAGTCTTTACAAACAATATATAGGTAGAGAGTGGGGTAATGCTGACCACCTAAGCTCAAACGACTATAAAACTTGCATGTTACAAAAAAAACTGAAATTAATGATTTACTGCTATCCCTAAGATGTTTTCTTTCAAAATATTCTGGTAAACAATGAAAAGTTTGTGAAATTTTCTAAATTTAAGCCTGAATTTAAAAATATGAGAAGTCGGTATTACCCTACCCATAAAGGGTAATTGCGACCAATGGTCACTTAATCCCGACCACCATTTCTAAGAGGAGAAACAGAATATTGATTGCTAATTAACTTTTTATTTATCACAATTTAAACATAAAAAACGTTAAGTGTAGTTGAAAAAATAAACTAAAATGCATAAACAATATCTATATGTCCCGTACACGCCATATGTGCCCACCCACCACAGGCTGGTCCACAGCCAGAGCATTGCTTCCACCATTCCTTATCTTTTCCTATGTCGATAGGCAGATTATGCAGAATTCTGACGCATCCCTATGATCTCATTGTTCTTCTTATTCTTCCACTTGCTTCTTTTTTTCTCTCCTTTGCCTTTTGTCACAATGGTCGCGATTACCCTCCAGTGACGTTAATTAAAAATTTGAATGAGAACATAACCTATTTTTACGATAAACAAAGATTAAGAATTACCATAATGAACGGCCTTTTTAATGATCTACTTTTTAGATATGTAAAATTTATATTTTAGTTGTACTTACTTATTATCATCCACAACTACAGCAAATGAACGAAAATTAACGACTCACGATTTGCTATGCGGCTAATTTTTGCTGTAACGAAACTAAAAGTATATGCCCTAGATTTTCTCTGGTAATTTTGCGGCACAATATTTGCATTTTAACTAAAATCTGCTGTTGTCGGGATTATCCAACGGTCGGCATTGCCCTATTCTCCCCATTTTAAAATTTATTTTATAATGTATTATATTGCTTGTGCACGTTGCAATGAAGAACTTAATTGTAATATGTGACAATTAACATTTCATTTATCATTAAAAAAGCTGACCGAAAGACACTTATGATAAAAAAAACAAGAAATACATGTCATTTGGGGGGGGGGGGGTCGATACCAAATTGGGGTGCTACAGCCCTCCCTAAAAATGCCTAGCTTCGCCACTGATTAGATACTTGATAATAGTTAAGCCAGCCGTAATCTGTAAATAAAACTTTAATTTTTGCACATTAAAACGTATTGATTTTACGGTTAACTTTAAAGAAATAAAAAGATACAAAACATAAACCACTTTAGAACGATTTTGCTTTAATAATTTTAAATATTTAAATATAACGAACCGCCTATGACTCTTTTATATTAAGTAAAGTAGGGATACCAAGAAAATTCCAAGGAAGATTAACCCTTATTAGATTAGTAAAGAATATTAATCAATTAATTAAAGGTATAAAAAGACATTTTATTAAAAAATAAATTAGTGACAGTCCAAGCTTCTTGATTCGATGTAATGGTTTTATTTATAGTGTTATTTTAATTTATTAAAATTAAAAACCGAAAATAAGGTAAGGTAATATTACCTTATTAACTATTTAGTTTTTATCAAGGTACCCTAACATTGATATATGTTTTTAATAAACGAATTTTATTAATTAAATTGGGCTAAGAAAACCAAGATATTTTAAGAAAATAACAATAAAAAATGATAATTAAAATTATTTAAATAATAAAATTGATGTATATTTACCACTCCCAAACCTACCCAAGTAACATTTTTAGTTTTATTATGGTCTTCAAAGTTTTATTATGATCTTCAAGAACGCTTTAAAACAAAATTTTATTTTAAAGCGTTCTTGAAGACCATAATAAAACTAAAAATGTTACTTGGGTAGGCAGGCATTAACATATTTGCATGTAGGTACTAGAATACCTAAACTAAAATACTCTAAAAAACGTTTTATTTTAGATTTTTGAGTCAAGCCACGTCAAGTGGGACCAAAAAATTTCACGAAATCACCGATTTTGAAAATAATCACATTATTGTGTAGTAGGCATGACTCATATGTCACAGTAAAAAAATTGTTTTAAAATTCGGTTTTTTGGTAATGTTATTAAGGTTGACAATTTTGTCAAACTTTAGAGCACGGTAAAATTGAAAAAGTAGAATCTCTGGGACCACTCTGTATAATTGAATTAAATTTTACACACTATTGTAGAAATGTTTAGACTATATAGTGATCATTTAATTAAGGTTAATTTGTTTAAATAAAAGAATTTTGCATAGTTTTATTATAAACTAGCTAGCAACGAAGCGCGCCGCGTACTGATCAAGCGCACAGCGGGACAAAACAATTAATAGGGGAAGGTGGGGGAATTCTGCGCATCTAAGCAAAATCTCTAGTATCTTTGTTAAGTTTAAATGTGAAATTTTGCAATTAATACCAGCGATAGTCTACTATGCTTACTATGTGTATATAATGCGCAATTTATAAAAAAAAAGTTTGGTATGCAAAAACTACATTTTTTTAAATAATGCTTTTGCGCAAAATTACCCACCTATCAGGGTAATTTTGCGCATCATAGTGGGAAAATTTGCGCTGTATAGAGAAAGATTTGTAGGTATCTAAATAAACCGTCTATTTCTATAATATTATTATAATAAAACATAAAAATAAAACAAAACTATTTTCTCTATGAAAAAAACAAAACAAACAGAATAAAAAATAAAATTTTTCTTCTTAGAAATAAGAGGGTCTACATGCAGCATTTGTCACATATGTAGTTTTAGGTTTTTTTTTCGCTACACTCCGCGTGTGCCCAAATGGAACTGTTTATGCTGAACAATCTAGGCTCCTGTATACCAAAGCTCCCATATTGACCAAATTTTGCAGCGCAAAATTACCCCAATTTTTCAGCGTAAAATTACCCCCATTGCAAGAAAAATATTGTGATACTAAAAAACTTTCCAAAAGTTAACCTGAACAATTTAAACATACACCAGATTACGAGGAAAGATCATATAAAGTTGTGTTATAAACATTTAAGCGATTGGACAGAAATTTAAACTTAACTCCTAGCGGAAACGACATGGATTTCTTAGATCAAAGTACATGTATCACAGTTAGCTAGTGACCATGGTAACTAGCTAAAAGCTACAAGCTTAATTGCGGTACACTTTAGTCCCCGTATACCCAAAGCAACGTTTCCAAGTTTGCAACATTCAAAAAATGTATTATTTACTTCATATCTGGAAGAATTGTTTATGCGTAAAATTACCCACCGCGCAAAATTCCCCCAACTTCCCCTATCTCCGGAATGACATATGAAAGACAAATTTTTGAGTACATCTTACGCTAATATTATTTTTGTTTATATATGTGACAGAATTTTGGTAGCTGAAAAAATTTAAATATCCACTTCAAAAGACGCGCAGTGTAAATTAAAATTAAAATTTGGTAAAATTACTAACAATTCTCACAACAAAAAACCCGGGCCACAGCGGTGCTAAAAAGACACATATTTAGTATGAAACTTTATCTATCGAGAGCGAAAAGTACACCCCTTTCTACACCGCACTTTTCGCTCTCGATAAATAAAGTTTAATGTAGCTGCCGCTAAGGATGTTTAGGCGTTAGCCCACCTAGCAAAGCGGAAACGCTGTCAACGTAGACTTTTGCGCCATTATTTGAAAGGTTAGTTCCGCACTGCTGAATCCAGCATTTGCAAACGTACGGACTCTCGTGGCTATTGCCAGACAACAAGTTTTCGAAATATCTGTCAAATTATTTTCAAATTATTTTCACTATCTTGTTATTATTATTACTGTGGACAATATTAGTTTTAATTTCTTTATTTAATTTTGTACATTTTAATTACATAGTTGCTTTCTTCTGCCACCTCCAAACTGGACTTGGAATGGAATTAATTTAATATCTGTCTGATAAGTAAACTGCGCACCACTCAATGTGTCCCGACCAAAAAGTTCGTCCTTTTTCAAAACGGCATAACTTCTTTGTTTCTTGAACGATATTATTTTGGTCTGTGATGTCTGCTAACCCCATCCTCTGGCAATTTATGCTATAGATATTAAGCCCAAAGTTCTTTAAGTAAATTTCCTACAGGGTGATATGTAAAACGGTAAAAAATTTCAATAACTTCATTCAAGCCCCGTTTGAAAAAAGAAATATTTTTTCTCGTTTTTATTTTGAAATAATGAAGAATCATGTCTTACCTTGAAAATGTTTTCAAATTTTTCGAATTGGAATCTTAGCAACGAAAATCTGATTTTTTTTACAAAAGAGTACATTTAAGGCTTTTGGTAGGCAATACACTCAGTCTTTTTAAGAACAAGAAAATAAGATGGTGAAAGATTTTTCCTTGAATAATTCTGAACAAGCGACAAGCAACAAACTTCCATTATTTTCAAAGGGGCCTAAGTAAAGACCACTTTTTCAAAATGACATTTTGGTAAAAATTTGCGAAAACTAAACCTGAAGCGATATTAACGTTCGTGAAATGTTTTCTTTATAATTTTGACATCCTGATTGTGATTTTGTTGTCAAATTTAAGTTTTAGATAAAACCAAAATCACCAAGAATAAAAATTCGAAAACAATTCCCGGCTAAGATTTCAATTCGAAAAACTTTAAAAACGTTTCAAGGTAACACATAATACTTCATTATTTCAAAATAAAAACGAGAAAAAAATTATTTTTTTACAAACGGGGCTTGGATGAAGTTTTCACCGTTTAACATATCACCCTGTAGGAAATTTACTTAAAGAACCTTGGGCTTAATATTTATAGCATGAATTGCCAGAGGATGGGGTTAGCAGACATCACAGACCAAAATAAAATCGTTCAAGAAACAAAAAAGTTATGCCGTTTTGAAAAAGAACGAACTATTTGGTCGCGACACATTAAGTGGTGCGCAGTTTATATAAAATATTTAGACACTCTTTTATTTACCATTTTTTCATTTAATACTTTCAATATTAAGTAATTTAAAAGCAAATACTCCTAAACAATTTGAAGTGAATTTTCTTCCTTTAAATGGCAACAATCTTCTATTAATGTGGCTAAATATGACATGGCACGATGATTGATCATTACATCGGACAATTTTGTGCATAATTTGTATACAGCATGACTTTTAAATAGATTCATTTTAAAAATAAAAAAAGTTGTTCGTTTTGACTGCAAAATATTTTGTTTACTGCAAAACACGAATTTTTGCTGACGTTTTTTACTGTCAAAATATAATAAACAACTGCTTCCTTCTATTACGATGAACACAGCCCCTATGATGTTCGCTGCCGCTGGTTATTGACGACATATAAAAAATTAAATAAAAACAAAAAAAGCATTATTCAAAATAAAAATATAATCTTAAAATGATTTTATTTTAAACACAATTTGGTGTGGAATTTTCTTACCGAATACCGCGCGAGGTTAAATTAAATCCTGAAATTTCGAATTTGAAACTCTTTAACTTTTAAAATTTTGTTTTCATGTTGGTGGAAAGGATTAAAAAATGTGAGGATAACCCTTTTCCCCTAGAAGAAATCCAGCATAAAAATTAAAAAGATCAGTTTATTGACAGTGTTCACAGCAAAAAAATAAGTTTTTTAGAATTATTTATGTAAGGTGTTATTAATTGTTTCGACCTTTACTTGATGAAACTCCACATTAACTATGTAAATATAAAAACAACTACTCTTAAATGATTTAGTCAAAAATAACTAAATTAATAGTTATTAGTGGCTGCTTTTTCACTTGTACCATGGTTAACCATGGAATACCATGGTATCCCAAAAATTGTCCCCTGAATCCGAAAATGTCGTCAAAAGATAAAAAAGCAGTTTTTGAGATATAGTCAATTTTAAATTTAATATAGAATTGACTATATCTCAAAAACTGCTCCACTTTCAAAATTTTTGACGGTATTTTTGGATTCAGGGGACAATTTTACATAATAATAATAATAATAATAATAATTTATTCATGTTACTATAGATACAGATCTACTTACACACGTCATAAAAACATAGAACAAAGACAGTCAATAGAAGATAGTTATGGTGGTGCTTCGCAGTTTAGGTACTCCTCATACCCGTAAAAAGTATGCCAGAGAAGAAAGTTTTTTATTTTTGTTTTAAAATTATTTAGAGGCAACCTTCGTGTTTCCAATGATAGTTTGTTGTAAAAAGAATATGATAAAAAATTTGGTCCATTTTGGGATTTTTTTAATCTGAAAAAATCTTGTCGAATATTTTCTTTAAGGCGAGTGTCATGGCAATGCACATCTTTTTGTAATTTAATGGCTTTATTTTTATGTACATGTATAAGGAATTCCAGAATAAAGATGGAGGGCAACGTCAGTATGCCCAATTTTCTGAATGCATCCCTACAATCCTCCCTATATTTGAGTCTAGCTATTATTCTTATTGTTTTGCGTTGCAGTCGAAAAATTTTTATGTGATGTGAGCTATGTCCCCATGCGAGGATGCAGTATCTTATTAAAGATTCACAGATCCCAAAATAGGCCATTTTTAGAACTTCTTGAGAAACATTGTACGAGAGAGATCGAATAACAAAGACATTCCGACTGAGTCGAAGTGAGACTTCGTTTGCATGACATTCCCATGTTAGTTTTGGGTCCAAATAGCTGCCCAAAAATTTTACACTATTTAAATTATTAACACCATTTGTGTTTTTAAGTGAAAAAATCATTTGTTGAGTTTTATCCAAGTTAAGACTTAATTTATTACAGCAGAACCATTCCGAGGCCCTCGAGAAGAATGGTTAACCATGCTACAAGTGAAAAAGCAGCCACTAATAACTATTAAATTAGTCATTTTTGACTAATTCATTTTTAGAGAGTATGTTTTGAAAGTTTCACGTAATTTATTAAATGTTGACAATTGTTTCGCTACACAGTAGCTTCTTCAGAATGTATAATAATAATAATAATAATAATAGTGCAAAATTTATATAACAAAAATATTGGTTTTATAGGTAATAATTTTCATGCTACCTGTGTTACATAATATTAAAAAAAGCATTCAGAAATTCCTTATGGGAAATACCATAGTGTTTTGTGGGAAATACCTAATCTATTTATTGTTAACAATTTTATTTAAGGGGCAATATTTTAAATGTGTGATTGTTTTATATGATGCTATTGTTGTATCTTAATTAAAATAGGTTTAACAGTGGTGAATTATTTGTTTCGATTTGATCATTGAGAATAATATCAGTATTTTTAAGTTTGTTAATTTCTAAAGACTTCAAGAGATTTAATTTTGTGCCTTTATTTTCTAAATGTAATATTTTGAAGTTGTTAGTAAATGTATGGTTTTCTGTAATTAGATGTGTCACGTAAGCTGAATTAAGTTTTTGATTTATAAATGATCTACGATGTTCTTTAATTCTGCTATTAAAATTACGGCCAGTTTGTCCTATAAAGTTTTTGGACAATCTGTATAAGTTAATTGGTATACGCCTGATTTCGTATGCTTATTAGACTTATCTTTGTTGTTTTTTATGAAAATACTTAGATTTTAGTTAGTTTTAAAAGAGATATTAAAAAAAACGTGAAAACATGTCTGATATTGGAACCTAAATATGTCTTTTATTTTTCAGAATATCAGTAATTAATTGTGTATCCATTGTTCACTGCTATTTGTATTTAATTTTTTGTTAAAATTTTATCTGATAAAGGTACGTTTAAGAGACTATGGATCATTGAGTAAAAAGCTGCTGTTTTTTGATACCAGGGATGCATGGATGAATTATGTGGCTAGGTTTGAAGGTGTGGAAGCCTTTACTTTTTTGAATAGTAAGATCTAAGAAATTTATTTGTTTATTTTGTTCTTCTTTTATTATAAATTTTATATTAGGATAAATATTATTCATAAACTTGAAAACTAATCAATTTTCTATCTGTACCTGTAAAGCAAGTGACAATGTTATCTACTTATCGAAACCAATATAAGAAATTTTTAAAATATATGATTTCCTGGATGATTGATTCTATATGGTTAACGAAAATGTCTGCAAGTAATGGACTAAGAGGGTTACCCATAATTAAACCGTTTCTCTATTTTGGGAATAAAACTTCTTATGATGTTAACTGCATGCTTTAAATGCATTGTTGACAACTCCTAAATTCACACAATGCTATCGAACACCACCAGGTGACGCGCGAGTTAAATATTTTTGATGAAAACACAAGTTTTTATGAACACCAAATATTTATTGAAGAAGAAGTTAAAAAGTTAATGATTTGACGATTCAATCAACACTGGTCAAAAATAAATTTTATAAAAAGGGAAAAAGCACAAAATGATTATTTTGCAGAATAATTCTTAAAAACCCGTGTAATTTACTTTTCGCAATTATTGCAAAAAGTAAATTACACGGGTTTTTTTACGGATGTAGCTTGATTTTGTTTAATATTATATGATATTTCCTTTAACTTTAACCTATAGGTCGCTGTACCGGCTGCAGGGTCGGCGTCCGTAACACGCGCGTTGCGAAAACCCAATGCTTCTTTAGCGTATATCATATACGCTAAAGAAGCATTGGGTTTTCGCAACGCGCGTGTATATGGTATAAGTCTTAGTTTAAGGTAACCTTTGGATAATTCAGGGATTATTTTTCACGGCGGATTATGTCTATTTTTCAAAATATAATTTAATACAAAAAAAAATGTAATAAGTGGTCATCCCTTGGAGGGATAATAGTTCAAGCCGAAGTAAGCAAGTTTTTTCACTTTTACTTTTGCTGTTTTTGAAAAAAAATTATAAATTTTTTTGTAATTTTAAGGCATTTCTTTGGCATGACACTGGATTAGTTTAAACCATGATCATAGGATAGTTGTTTAATTGTGATTCTTATCGGTACTGCTGTCGATGATTTTAACTTTGAGCGTCAACAGCTGTTTTTGTCGCAGAGAAAAAACTTGCTTACTTTGGCGTAAAATATCATCTCCCAAGGGATGACACCGTGTATTTAAAATTAATATTACAATTAATTTTTATAAATTTTAGGATACTTTAACCATGTCGGTAGTGGGACAACCGAGCTTTGCCGCGTGGTCGGGAGCCCAGTCTTCGGGTTTTGGCGGTAATAACCTTTCAGTTGTGGATAAAGTAACCCCGGACATGATTCATCTCGTTGATCCGTATTGGTACCAGTTTCCTCCTATGAACCCTCTATGGCACGCTTTACTTGGCATTTCGATAGGAGTTTTGGGCGTCATCTCACTAATTGGCAATGGAATGGTTATGTATATTTTTGCTACAACAAAAGCATTAAAAACTCCTTCAAATCTTTTAGTCGTGAACTTGGCATTTTCGGATTTTTCTATGATGTTTACTAATTCTTTTCCAATGGTTGTAAACAACTACTATGAAACCTGGATATGGGGTAAGTATTTACCCACATTACTTAAAAATATTCATATTGGCTTTTATTATTTTTTTAAAGGACCACTTAATTGTGCATTGTATGGAATGTTTGGTTCTATTTTTGGATGTGTTTCAATTTGGTCAATGGCGTTTATTGCACTTGACCGTTATAACGTTATTGTCAAGGGCTTGAATGCTAAACCGTTTACCAAAAAAACTGCTTCATTATGGATTCTTCTTATATGGACCATGGCTATTGGTTGGTCACTTGCCCCTCTTTTTGGATGGAACAGGTATAATTAATTTTTAAGTTATTTTAAGCCTTTTTAAAGTAATTTAAATAAATGAGAGTTTTGAAAGGATATACAGGGTGTTAACATAACACCCTGTATATGAGGAATTCCACGTGAATTCGACACGAAAAAATCCCTCCCATTTAGAAATTCCTCGGCAGTTTTTCCATGGGTACCCTGACTCAAAATAAAAATTCAATTTTAATTTTAGCAAGGTTTATAAATTGTTTTTGGAGATATGATTTTTTAAATTTTCATGAGTATAACGATTTTGCCAATTTATCATCGATCATAATTTTGGTTCTAATTGAGCGACTCCGACGAAGGAGCACACTGATTTTTTTTTTTCGGAAACTAAAAATCCATTTTCTACACTGTTTGTATTTATATATTTTTTTTTATTTTAATATCTAAGCGATTACAAGTTTTTTATTTATCTATATTAGATCGTGGCTATCGAAAAATTAATATTTTTTCAGAATTTTAAATATTAATAATTTTGATTTTTCAACTTTCGGACATTTTGTAATATCAAAAATGATTTTTTTTATTTAGCCCTTTTAACTATAAAAAAATATTAAATAGTAGTGCCTATGTATAGTAAAATGATTGATTAATTGATTTTCAATAATTATTAATAATAATAATTCTTTTTAAACAATTTTAATAGTTAAAAGGGCTAAATATAAAAAATCAATTTAGATATTACAATGTCCGAAAGTGGAAAAAATCAAAATTTATAAAATTAAAAATTCCAAACTCCACGACCTAATATAGATAAAAAAACTTGTATACGCATCTTGACTTTTTCGGTGAAAATCTGGGAGATGTCAGCGAAGAACATGAAAAAAGGACATGGAAAAGTGATAACAAGGAAGGTGGAATGCGACAATGATGGGTGACTATGTTTGGAATCTACTTCGGGAAGAAAATGTATCATATAAAAGAAAAAGTCGTATTAAAATTCATTTTTTAGCCAAGATTTAAAATCTATGTTAAGATAATATTTTTTTTAGATTTTATGTTTTGTTAAAATAAAAATTCTGAGTTGAATTTCTTGCCATTTCTTGTCAATATTTTTTTTTATTTTTGATAAAGCTGGATTTAATTATATTATATAAATACCCCTTAAAAAAAATAAAAACTTATCACTCATTTTTTAAATTAAGTTAGAATAGTTTTTTGGCACACAAATATTGATAATTTAACAAAAAAATCCAATAAACAAAACAAAAATCAAATTTTGTTACATAGTGTACAACTTGGCAAATGTAGCTTGACACTTCAAATGTTTACGCCCATCGATGCGCAGTGACCAGCTCTTAAAATATTCATTTGCATTGAAGTTGTCGTATCGTAAAGAACGTTGCGCACAGTGGATTAAAATTAAAGTAAATCAAGTATATTATATTATCTATTAATACTATTGTTTACTCTTAAATATCTTTAATAATGTTGTTACACGGCCCGTAGTTGTCATTAAAATCTTTATTAGTTACATCCATTAAACTTTAATAATTTTTTAGCTCTTACCACAGCATATGCTGTGTTCTAACTATTTTTTAACTTAATAATTTAAAATTTTACAAATACCACGTAAAACCGCTTTTTGGGGATTTTAGTCCTCTGTGTGGCCGATCTCGGCCGTATCATGGATCTCTTTTCTTCCGAATGCGTTCTCTTTTTAAAATTTGCGGTTCATATCAAAAGTCTCTTTCTACATTTGCCGAGTTGTAATGGACGTTTTAAAGGTGGAAGTAGAAAAAAATATTTTTTACTGAAAAATTTAAAAAGCCCATTTTAGGCTCATAAAAATGTCCTTTTAGGACAATAAATCAAAATTTCGCCATTTTAGGCTTTTAGGCAAAAACAAAGGGATGTCAAACGCTTTATTTTTTTATATATTAGGATTAATTTCAAGGTCACATACAAATGCCTAAAATAGAAACAAAAAGGCATTTTGCCTAAAATCCGGTCTTTGCTTATAACCCTTACTTACAAATTGTAAGTTACAATGCCGATAAATATCCTAAACTAAAACTAAACACTGCTCTGTCATTTGTTTGAAGTTCCGACATTGGCGACTCGTCTAACTGTTAGACTCTAACATCATAATATTATACTAATAAACTAGTTGTTCTTTATTTCGTTCAATTAAAATTTAATAAATAAACACTAAATAATCCGTGCGATTATAATTAATATAATTAATACATCGTGATTGTTTGTATAAAATGCTAAATTAATTTTATTATTTGATATCTATTGAGTCACCTATGGATTTACTTCTATCCCTAGGATTTTTTGAGTTTTTTGTCAACTATCTCTATACATGCATATAAGGTTACAACCATGGCCGCTTAAAAAAAACAATATTAATTGAGAAAAGTTTATATAAACCTTGGTAATTTGACCTAACATTATAAAGTAGTCTTAATTAAAATATTCTGTTAATGATATTGGAAAAAAGTTACAACTTGTTTAGATAAGCTATTTGGTTTCAAAATTAAATTCTACATTTTATATTTGAATTTAAAACTGCGAATACCTTAAAACCTTTGGTATATGAGAAATTGTTTAAATGAGGCTTATTTGTTGTTAATAAAAAGTTATTAATAATGTAACGATTTTATTGGTTCGACAGTGTGAATAAAATACGCACTATTTTAATAATGAATCTTTAATAATGATTTATTTTTATAACTTATTTTCAATGAAAACACTAAGAATCTTTGAAACTAAGAATCTTTGAAACTAACTAATTACTTAACTACTAATTATTTATGAATCACTATTTTACAAAAGTCTATCACCAAACTCGGTATTAAAGTTATTTTAAATATTAAACAAAAGAAGATATATACAAAAATTCTCTTTTAATTCCACCCTATTTTTTAAGTACATACCTACGTACAGGGTGATCCCCTATAATGTCGCCCCCCTTTAACTTTTTATTTTAAGTGTCCCAAAAAATTGAAAAGTGTTGTTATGTAGGTACTAAAAATGCTTTTTTTCTACGTATTAAAAAAAATTAAAAGTTGATCAATATACAGGGAAAAACAAAAAGTTTATTTTTTTTCAATGGATCACCCTATATATGAATTTATTTTTCGATTCCTTGTAAAATTCTGAGCATAATTCATATAACAAACCATATCCTAAATTCAACTGTTTCTGAAATATTCGCATTCGCATTTTTAAACTGTTAAAAATCAAGAAGCATCAGTATACCAAAATTTTTATTGAAAATAAATTATTATATTGACATTATGTCACTATGTCTTGTTAAATAAGTAAAAATGGCCTACTCAGACACATAAAGACAATTGTCAACTATTATTATTATTAACTTATTATCTAAAAAATAATTTAAATATTTCAGAAACGGTTGAATTTAGGTATATGGTATATGGTATTAGGATTTTACAAGGAATTGAAATATAAATACATATATAGGGTGATCCATTGAAAAAAATAAACTTTTTGTTTTTCCCGGAATACTGATCAATTTTCCAATTTTCACACTAAAATGAAAAAGTTAAAGGGGGGCGACATTTTAAAATTATTCTAATTTTTTTTAGGTTTGTTCCAGAAGGAAATTTGTCTTCATGTGGAACCGATTTTGTAACCAAAGAGCTGTTCCATAAAAGTTTTATTTTAGTGTATGCTTCTTTTGTATACTTTACACCTTTATCTCTTATTATTTACTGTTATTTTTTTATTGTCCAGGTAAGTTATAAAGTGGGTTTTTAAAAATTTTAGTTTATTATTTATTTAATAGTGTTAATAATAATTATCAGGGCCTAAACTTTCCTTCGCTAACGCACCTCTAAACTTAAATATTTTATCTACTTGTTTAAAAATTTGTATAATAAAAATGTACAAATTTAAAATTTTAACATTAATAGTTATTTATGTCATTAGGTTAAGAAGTAAGGCTTTTTGTGCTAAGCTCAAAGTTTGAAGGCCGACGCGTAGCGGAGGCCTACAATTGAGCGAAGCACAAAAAGACACTTCTTGGCCGAATGGCATACAAGATTTTATCTTCAAAGAACTTTATATAGGTAAATTTAATTCAACATGAAAGCGGCCTAACCTCACTTTTTTAGAATCTCATTTATTTATTAGCTTAAGATTACATTAAATGTACAATAATTATTATTCCTTTTAGAAGCAGTAATAGTTTGACAATACCTAGCTACATGATTTAAGTAGAAATACATTGAATTCAATTAATTGTTTAATAAATATATTTATTACACCCAAATGGTGTAATTACACCGCAATTGGCAACACTGTTGAAATTAGATACCTATAGGTATCTAATTTCAACAGTGTTGCCAATTGCGGTGTAATTACACCATTTGGGTGTAATTTACTGACTGTGGTGTAATTTTCTAACATTTTTGAATGCGGTGTAATTTGGGTGTAATTTTGGACGGATCATTTAAAACGTACCTATTTTTATTTAAGGAAAGTTTTGTTTATATTTTCACGCAGAAGAAATGCAATCTATGAAAACAAGCATTTTTTTAATTAAAAATTAATAATAATAATAATAAATAATAGTTTGGACACCCCTGAATAACGTATTATTTTTGCAAATAAATATGGGTTTCGAGCATATGACATTTTCAATGTTATAAATCAGGCTTAATTTTTGTTGGGGTGTAATGTGGTGTAATTCTGGAGAGTTTGGGTGTAATTTTGCCAAAAGCAACACTGAATTTCAATTTGTTTGCATTTTTATTAAAAAAATATGTAGTTTGGAATGTTTACGCTGTGTTTAACATTTAATTTCACTGAAACGTTAAACCAAATTAAAACTTAAAGATAATTTAAATCGTAGAAAAAGAAAACACAACTGTGAAATCCACAGTAACGTCAAATTGCAATATCCTAACCTCACTTTTTGTTTTATTATTTATATTTAATTTTACAATAATTTAATGAAAAAAAATAAACATTAACAGTAAAACAAACAAATTAGTGCTTATTATAAATAAATTAAACCAGTTTAGTACGTTAATTTCTTAGAAAAGGATTAATTTGTCAAAACAATACCTAGCGAGAAAAAATCGAACTAATTACTTGCCATAACAAGTTATTTCTTTATCGAATGTTGACAACAATAAAGTTTAAATTATAGACCGCGTGGAGATAAAATATCTAGAGGTGCAGGAAAGTCCCTGGCCGGGGCCCCGCTAGGCTCCCGTCCCTGATTATATTAAGATTTTATAATAATGCCCCACCAAAAAAAGTTGGATGTTCGACGGTCCAGAGGTGGTCCATCCTATGGATTTCGGGTCGATAAATCTGAATCTGTGGTCAGAATTACCCCGTCACACCCAGGTTTTTTCTAACCTGCATTGTAAAATATTAATTAAAAAAAACGCGTATTTTTTTGTTCGGGTTCAGCTGCAAAAATAAGTACATAAAAATGGTCTCTTTTGGTCCCCTGGGCCCCATATTTGCAACACTGTAAAACATGGCCAAAAAAGTGTTTGTTTCGGCAAACCAGATCTGGTAGTCAATTTCAAAGGATTTTGTGTCGCTAAATCCGAATATGAGCTCATAAACTTTTAATTGACTTCCGTTTCATCCTAACCTTAAAAAAAAAACATGTTTTAATGTTGATTTTTCGTAATTACATATTTTACAATGCGAAAATTGCCGAATAAACAATATTTTTTGGGGTTATAAATCATTGTAAGTTTTTCTTGATAGTAATTTGACAGAAGAAACGTATTTGGAATAACAAGAAGATATAGTTCATCCCTTACTGGTCGATATATATATATATATATATATATATATTAGGCTGTTTAAAAAAAAATTAAAATTATTTTTTTTTCAATGGTGTTGAAAAATTAATAGTACATTAAAAAACAAAAATTTTGGCGCATATTTGAGCCCTTAATATTAATATTAAGGTTTGCCTCAATTCATTTGTTGTTTTTCCATTTCAATAACACGGGAATTTTTATTTTTTAAATTTTGAATTCTTATATCTTTGGAATGGTTTGTTTTTGCATCACCCAAGCGAGAGAAGTTATAGACAATTTCACGCTCTACAAAAAAGATCTGAAGGTCAAAGTTCTTCAGGCCAACCGTTTTAAAGATATCAGCGATCAAAAATAACACTAATAAAAAATTTCAAATATTTTCAAATAAAATACAATGTATATATATTTCGTCACCTGAGTATTGGTTTGTGCTATCTCCATTTTTTACCATTTTGAGATTTATGCATTTTCGGAAAGTTGAAGTTGGTTTGTTCCATCTCCATAATAGTATTTTGATATAATTTTGTCAGTTTTTATTTTAGGTTAGTCTAAATCCGAGTTTTGTATAAAAGATTTAAAATTGGTTTACTCTATCTCCAATATTTCGCTTACAGGCTTTCTTTTGCTCTATGTGTTTGTACAAATCTGAAAATAATTAGTATTTGTTTGTGCTATATCCATATGGAAAAAATATTTTATTACTGTTTTGTGCTATCTCCAAGTAAAGCTTCCTTATAAGTATAAAATTGTTTTGTTCTATGTCCTAAAACTTTGTTATATGTCCAACATTTTGTTTCTAAAATCCAAAAATAGCACTTTTTGTTTTATCTCCAAAACGTTTTTTCCAATATTGAGGCATAAATCCAAATTTGAGATAAGAGTTGCTCAATAGAACTAATTAAAGGCTAACCAAGAATATTGTTATTAATGTTTAATTCAGTTTTCATTAAAAAACAAATTAGATATTTAATGTAAAAGCTTTAAACCCGTTTATCTCGATTATAACATATTGGACATAGAACAAATCAATACTCAGGTGACGATTTGTATTATAATTAGGGATGGGATTTTAGTTATTTTACCTTTTTTCATCCGATGTAACTATTTGAAAACCAATATTGCCAAAATTTTGATGTTGACCCTCATGGTTTAATTTTATTTTAGGCTGTTGCGGTCCATGAAAAATCCATGCGAGAACAAGCTAAAAAAATGAATGTCGCTTCTTTAAGAAGTGCTGAATCTCAACAAACCAGTGCGGAATGTAAATTAGCTAAAATCGCTTTGATGACCATTGCTCTATGGTTCTTTGCGTGGACACCATACCTGGTTATAAATTTTTGCGGCATTTTCGAAAGCCAAAAGATTTCCCCGTTGTCTACTATTTGGAGTTCATTATTCGCTAAGGCCAATGCTTGTTACAATCCTATTGTATATGGTATTAGGTAAGAATTGTAAATTCGTGTTGTATATTGTTATATTAAAATTATTTTTAGTCATCCAAAATATCGGCAAGCTTTAGAGAAAAGATTCCCTAGTCTGGTTTGTGGGAAATCCGTTCCAAGGGATGATGCAGTTTCAAACACTTCTGGAGTAACACAAGTTGCAGATGGAGATAAAACATCTGCATGAACTAAAAAAATAAAATACACTTTATTGTATGATTGATTTGTAAATTACAAACCAAAAAGCTTAGTATATAGGTACGAACATATTAAAAAATCAATAAAAATAACGAGCATTACAAATTTTTGTTATAATCATGTAGTACCTATTTTTAGTCTACGAGCAAATATTTGAGTTGTATATAATAAATTTAGTTTTTTGCCTGAGAATACATAATTTTGCTTTTAAGTAGGTATATTTTTAGTTTGTTTATGACAGGATAAGAGCAAGACAGGTGAAATGTTGAAATTCATCGGGGCAATCTGGCGATAACTGTGACACAGAGGTAGAGAAAGTTTTCAGCGAGCAAAAAGAAGGGCAGATTTTGACGAGCCGTGGCCAACTTAATACGTGTTTTTACTTTTAACCTTTTAACTATTTTTTATTATTGTGTAAAATCATAGTCACTTGTAAATAAAACCGATTTACCATCATTGCTGATTATTTTCCTACAAGTTTAGGGGGCTCGCCGGGATACAGCAATGGTTATTCGCGAGTGGCAAGTGATAAGTGAGAAGAACAGTGCAAAATTAAAGTTAAACAACATGGCAGAATTTTTCACGAACGAAACTCCCAAGGACTATTTTTAATTATTGTGTAAAATCTTAGTCACTTGTAAATAAAACCGATTTACCATAATTGCTGATTATTTCCCTACAATCATTTGTTAACAAAGATTTCATAAAGAACCAAAAGATATGAAGTGCATAGCAAAAAAATATATTAAAATTCTAAGAAAGTTAGGGTAGGTTAATTTTCTTTAAACAAATGTTTCTTAATGCTACAACACATTGGAATATCAAAAATACCAAATTTTTTATGTTAAAAAATTCGAAATTCGATTTAATATTATGAATTTACCAGCATTTATTTTTACTAAAAAATAATTACACAATTTTAATACTACTTAAAAAAATTCGAAATTCGATTTAATATTATGAATTTACCAGCATTTATTTTTACTAAAAAATAATTACCCAATTTTAATACTACTTAAAAAAAATTGTATTAGGTATAATTGAACCAGGCCAGGATCCGCAACTGATAAAACTGAATAATGAGTATGAGTATGAGTATGGAGACGTATGGCAGGCCCCATCGGCATTTCCTTACACTGATCTCCCTGGGACTATTTTTACCCCCTTTCCGTTTTCCTACGTATCCCGCAACTGCACAGCATTACCTGTGTTTGTTGGATCCGAATTTTTACGTCGGCTAGTAGATCTCCCCTGGGAGGACGTGGATGACGATGTCGATGGTTAGTTAAGGCCATTCCCGGAATTTTGTCGCCGGGCCGACCATACGCCCAGTTTAGTAGAGTGCGGGACAAGGAGGGAGAATAGGTTGGTTTTTGGAGGACATTGAACTGACCAAAAATTAAGTACAATCCGGAATTCTCCTCAACCTGGGCTTTAGTAATAACCCCATTCACTTGGGATTCATGAATGGATCGGACGTGAAATACGTCCGATGCTGCTATTATTGTTTCCAATCCCACCCAGAATAAGTTTTGTGAGTGGTCCTTTAAATATGCCTCTGTTTTACGTTCTAAGTCTGTAAGGTGGGCGTAACGGTGGGGTTGGTCAAGGATCGCATCTTGAACGTATGGTCTGAATTAGGGTTTTAAAATTTCCGGAAAAATTGAGCCGCCGCGGCGGAAAAAAACCCGTTTTTTTCCGGAAAAAAATGCAAAAGTCAGTTATTTCGAAAACTTCAAAATTTTTACGGATAGTATCCGGTCACTGATATAGAGAAAAAGTGAATTTCCGACGCTGATTATAATCATATTATATTATGATTATAATAATTATTCCTTTTATTTTAATTCGGTACAAATATTCTACCGGACCGCAAAAAAATTATATTCGGTGCTGTATTATCATAACTTTTATTTAACACTTTATAAATCATTCATTATTTTTTAGTTAGATATTTTTAATGGACCCCTTTTTACAACAACAAAACCCAACAGACAGTACTTATATTTCACGTTTACGTTTATTTTCTTAAATTTAATTTAATGTTTAGTTTAATTTTTTTGTAATAAAGGATTTTTTTTATTTAAAATATTGTTAAGTTGTTGATTGCTACTTTTTTCAAATGTTTATATTAAAAAAAAAGACAATTTTTCCAAGGCCTGGGAAAAAAACAGGTTTTCTCAATTTTTCCGGTTTTTTTCCAGAGGAAAAGGATGCAATTACTTACTTTTTCATTGTTTTAGCTATTTATCACAGGACCGAGATTTCAACGTTTGGCCTGTGTGGTGTATCACCAACTCGGGCAGATATACCCCTATTGACGACATGCACTAAACAGCAAGCCTGCCTTATCTAAAATAGTATGTCATGGATCAGGCAAACAAATTTTACACCAAGAAACTACACCGTCACCCGTTAACAGGCCATATAACCAGGTGCAGACAACACCACAATGCGCGATATAAACATGGCTTGATCTATGAAAGACTGCCGATATTTCGCGACCCCCCGGTGCATCACTGACACCGCGATGGCTTAACCTTCGGAACAATACACGACGTATCCGCTGATTGAGGGCTCTAGGGTTCTCGACCTCTAGGATTATCTCCAACCAAACTTTTAACATCCCCTTCAAATCCAACCGTAGTACTTAACCCATGGTGCTGCAGGTCTTTCTTTTCACTCTATCTTTATCTTTTGTTTGTTGTTACCATTTTTCAAAAATTCTTTTTTGAATTATTTTTCCCCCGAAACATTCTTTTAAACTCCTCACTCTTCAATATTTCTCTTCCTTCCTTTTTTCAAGACTTTTCTTTCGACCCGGATCAAGCTGGCCTCACATTCGCTCTGCGAGAAAAGGCCAGAAACGCTCCATGACTATCAAAAAGAGCCCTCTGTACAAAGGACTAAGACCGTCGGAAGACTGCGCTGCTACCACCCCTCCACCGCAGGAAGGCATAAGAGGTGGAACCCCACTACCACGAACCTCTTTACATCCAACCACATGTGGCCATATTGTAAATTATTTAATTGGAAAATATATTGATTTTGATTTTGACACTGTAGCGACTATAACGACTTTAGGAATGTTTACTTTTTTTAAATTTCTAAAAATTTATTAAAAATTAGCACCACAGGACAAAAAAGTATAAGCTAAAGAAGTATCCCTAGTAGCGCCCCCACAAACGAGTGTTTTTGAAAAAAGGCCCAAGCGGCAAAGTTGGGGGCTACTAGGGCCTTCCTCTAGGGGGGCCCAGGCTGCAACAGCGCATTTGCCGCCCGTTAAATCCGCCACTGTATAATAAAAAATCAAATAAACAAAACAAAAATCAAATTTTGTTATGGTGAATTTATGCAGAACAAATTAACATTAAGTTAAGATTAGCATTAAAAAGTTAAAATTAATGTAATTCTATGAAAGCATTTATGCAACACATTAAAATTAAGCCCATTATACCCTCCTATTGGTTAAATTAATCTTAATGTTAATGTTAATTTGTTCTGCATAAATCCACCATTACATAGTGTTATTTTTTACGCTGTGTCTAGTCTCACGCTAGCGTGAACGCAATTTAATTGTTATTCTCACGCTAAAGTCAAAATAATTTTAATTTTATTCTCACGCATTATTTTATTTAATTTTACTTTTTAGGTGTCGTGTCATTTGATTTGATTATTATTTGATTATGTCATTTGATTTGATTATGCAAATGTAATAAAATTTACTAATAATAAAATCGAGACTCTTTTACTGCAGCCAAACCAACCCAAACTCAACAACACAACCCAACCGACCCCGCCCCATTGAGCAAAAAACCCAACTAAAATGGGCAAATTTATGTTACGATAAAAATAAAACACTTTAACAAAGGAACAACAAATTTATGAAATAAAAAAAGTTCTATTCAGAAAGTAGATGGTTGTTCATTATTTTATATTATTTATTTAAAAAAATTAACATGGATAGTGACGAGGAACGCTTTTTTTTTTCTCGTGTGCGGTTGGCTGTTGGTACGTGATTTAGAAAAAAAAAGAAAACACTGCACTGCCTTATTATTATTCTTAATAATTAACACTATATACTTATTCTTTTTTGATAAATAACCTTGCCGCGATTGTCAACATGACAAAAACACAGCTCGCCGCAACTCAAGTTGATAACAGACGTTTACACCAAGCCGACTGAGTTGCAAAAAACGCAGCAACTCTTTGAAGTTACCGACATCGATCGGGAAACGAAATACACAACAGCAACTGTTGAGTTGCCGAAAAATCTTCAAAAAATCTGCAAAAAGTTTTTTTCAACTCGAATTGCTGTTTTGTCGGTTTGGTGTAAAACCGGCATTAAAAGGATTACCTTATGTTTTGCAAATAGCTGCGTTAGCTCCTGGACCTTGCGCCTAATTTTAGGTATCAGCGAACGTGTTAACGCTAATAGGTTTGATTCTTGAGTATAAAAGCCATATCTAATACATGCACATTTAATATAAATCATCGCAAATTCCCTGTGTTACATGGTGTGATGGGCACGGGGTGGGGGTACCTCATACTCATGCAAACGGCAGTAACCCAAAGCGATTTAAAGAATCACGCGAACTAAATTTAAATATTGAGAGAGCAAGCAGTGTTGTCAAGTTTGGCCAAAAGAAGTGATCGTCAAGAAAATAGAAAAACATACCCTACGTTGTGTTATTTTAGTTCGCTTCTAGATAGGTGGAGTAGCCAATGAGAGAAGACCCGATTAAGTAATAAAACACAATAAGTATGGTTGTATGTTTTCTCTATACATTGTTTCGTTACAATGGAGTTTTTACAAAGGTTTGGTTGACGGTATTTAGCGTTTTATGTATTGCAGTGTTTGTTGAATATTGGTTGTTTAGTTAGCGTTTGTTATTTAGACTTTGTCATCCCAAGCGGTAATAAAGCAGATTTATAAAATGTTACAAGTACAATTTACCCCTTCCAACAATCCCACATGTTAAAAATAAAATTATTGGATGCAAACCGTGTTGTCTAGTGTATTGAAACCTTTTATAGCTATCTAAACATATTCCGCTACAGTGTACATAATAAATGCATGCTCCGCTAGGATAGTTTCCATATTACGTCTCACAGTATGACCCCTTTGTCGGTAAAAAACTATTGTCGAGCCCTAGTCTTGTGAAGACTAGCGGTATATGGATTTTGTTGGGTTTGTGTTACCCCGTATTTTATATTACATTATTTAATAATAATAATACCTCATATACCCCTCTTCCCTATCGCGAGCAGGCACAATACACCAGACAAGCATTTTTCACGCCCGTCCGCCATCTTACGGAGCAAAGAGACGCGTAACGTACTCTCTGCTAAATATCCCCAAAACACAACAAATCTACATTATTAAACTTGGTTAAAAGATACAACCACCTTAGTTAGTTAATTTAAACAAGGTAAAGGATCATTTGAGCTTACCTACAAGGTTTATTTCACAACACGAAAACCCCGACTCACTCGGACGATCCTTTTCCTTCACCTGTTGCTTCCCTTCTGCCGCTCGGCCAGTTCTCGATCCCACCCAGGGTGGAAGAAGAAGGTGATATAGCTCCTATCTCTACAGAACAGAAGCAAGCGTCCAGATAAGTCAGTATTTCGTTCTTTGTTCGTTAGATGGTGAGCCAACTAAGAACCTAAGGTTTTACCATTTTACCATTTTACCATTTTAATCCATATATTCTATAACAACTTAACTTTTAACAACAAATTATAAGATAACGAAAACCCAAGAAGAGTCTTTCCAACCCAACCCTTCTTAACGAAAATTACATCTTTTCTAACAGCATTATTATAATAATTTGCAAAACGATTGGCAATACTGTAGTATTGTCAACTGCTCTGCCAAAATGCAGTCGCCATAAACGCACAAAAGTGACGTTGAAATGGTTTTAATTGAATTTTAATTAAGCTTAGTGGTCTATTCTTTGAAGTTAATCAATGTACCTAATTTTACTAAAAATGGAAAAAGTTTGTTGTGCACCGGGATTTAAAAAAATAAATAGGTTCTTATTTTTGGCGCCATCTATTTTGATTTTTAACAAATACTGACTTATCTGGCCACCTTTAACGACGGAGTTGAATCACCTCCTTCTTCCACCCTGATCCCACCCAACCTACCGCGACAGAGCCGGCTTTAGCGCGCTCGGTTAAACAGGACCCCATTTGAAATATTCATAAAATACCAAACCGTACAACCCAAGTAATTAACCGTTATATAATTCAAGTATTTTTTAAGAAAGGGTAACGCTGCATTATTTTAAAAACTTAATATTAATTTAAATGTCTAATTTAGAATAGGTAGGATGCTTTACGTGTAGATGTATTCTTGGTTGCGTTTTTCTCGTTTGACGGAGGGCGGGTCAACACAATGGGTTTGGCTTGTTTATTTTTTAAAATCTTCAATGTGCACATATAATATTATATTATATTATAATAATATAATAATATATTATAATAAATAACCGCTGACACCCTGTGTTTAAATGGGTTTTAATTTTATACTTTAAAAGCAATATATTGGGGATTAAAAATATATTGAAATTAAATTTTTTTTAAAGGCCCCTCAGGTCCGCCACTGTAGGTAATCCTTACCTGTAAAACATTGTGTCTCATTTCAAAAAACAATTTTTTATTTATGGTTTATGTATTTTGGTTTAAAAATTATTATTTTTATGGTTTGTAACCGCAAAAATCGTTTTGTACCAACTCACGCCTGACACAGTAATGCTTTATTATAAGTTATTATAACTTATAACCACGCATATCAGTTGCAACTAAAAATAATAAATTATAATAATAATTATTCAACGTTAACGAAGTTTTTATGTTTTCAAAAATGTTGGAGTAATTCAAAAAATATGCAAGGACGCCGATAAGACAAAAATATTAAGAATATATGGAAAACTAAGGTAATAGATACAAAAATAATAAGGTAAGCTGTCGATTTTTATTTATTCTAATCTAAGCGTACCTACCTATATGAATTATAAATCTGAACTACTTATAGAGTGAAATTGTAGAAAGTGTTACCATTTGTTTGTGTTTAATTATATTAAAATACATGTAAGTAGGTACTAACATATATTTGTATCTTTTTATCAAAACTAATATAGGTAGGCACATTTTATAAATTACTGTTCAAACTACAAATCAAGGTAAAAACACCCATGGACCTTAGACCTGGAGTTTATTAATAATTATTTAAAATAAGACATTACAATTTTATGGTTAAATCACATGACTTAATATTGTTACAATTAGTTAATTGTTTTATACTTTAATACCTTGAAATTGTAACTATAATATAATAAATTATACACTGTGTTCTGATTATCTGATTATCATTGATAATGTTAATGATTTCTAAAATATTCACAGAAATAACTTTTTTTTAATGTATTTATATTTGTTTACATATACATATGTTTTAAATATATGTATTTTGAAAGATACCGTATATATATATATATATATATATATATACCTACTACAGGGTGACTTCTAGGGATAATTTTAAATTGATTTTTAATCTTTTATAATGCATTTTTGTAAAGAATTTGGTAAAAATCAATCAAATCGATTTTCGTATTTGTTAGTGGGTTTATTTAATACCCTGTATATATTACAAAATTAGGTAACTTTTAAAATTATTAGCATTTATAATCATTTAAATACTTTTAAACATTAAAAAATTACATAAATATAAATAAATTTTGTACCTTAATTTATTTACAAACAAAAACATTTTGTTGTTAAACTTTTAAAGTAGGTAAATCTTTATTTAAGTTATTTAAGAATTTATGGTTCCATAAATTTTTTTTAGTAATTATAATTATTAAAAAAATGCCTTTTTTCAATTATATGCAAGGTGTCCCTAAACTTAGTGGCATAAATTTAGGAGCAGATTAAGCAAGTCAAAATAAAAAAGCTAACCTCAAAGTTTTTATGGAACAATAAGCTTAAGCAACCCCTGTTTCTACGACACTGTCTTCACTCGAACAATTGTAATTATGTGCGAACATGTGTTTTGGTAGTAAGTTACTGTTCGCAAAATATCACATTTCCAAGTCTACCATAGTGGAAGTTATATTAAAAAAACTGATATGATAAGTAACACTTTATCACCCTGTATCTTGGAAACAAGTAATTAGGAAAAATATTTATTTGGGTTTTCGTCTTATTTAGACTTGCTCAATCTTTTCTAAATGTATGCCAATAAGTTTAGGGATACCTTGTATAGAAAAAAGGCATCAAATTTCAAAATTATCATTGTCATTATTATTGTTTTTTTATTGATTATACTGTTAATTTTATAAACTTTAAAAGGAGACCGTTAAATATTATTTAAAATATTGATATACAGGGTGCCCCGAAAATGGCCCCCTTAAGGTATGTTTTTTTTTAAATATAAAAACAATACAAAAATTACCGACCAGTAGTTTTTAAGTTATAAGGGTGTAAACATATTTTTTTTTATTTTAATGTTTTAAGGTTAGACCGCCTTTTTTGGGACTCCTTGTATTTAGAACTAGATCTAATTTCGGACTTTAGCCACCAAACATTAGGAATTTGTTTAATTTTATAACATTCACAAGTTTACGGTAAAATGATTTTTAGCTCTAATATTAAAAAAAAACCCATATAGAGATTATAATTACTTATTTTATTTATTGGTATCTCGTAATTATAATTATCATTAATTATATTTACGTTTATTATAGAAAAATGAATCGACTATTCATTGGTACGCTTTGTGTACTATTAGGTATATCAGCCAAAGAATCCTACAGGTTGTCAAATAACCTCGACATTATACACTACGATATATTTTTATCCGATTTTGACTTGAACTCGAATAATTTTACGGGAATCGTAAAGATCGACTTAAATCTTAGAAATGGCACCATACAAATACATACCGATAAATCCATAAAAATCAACGAGGAAACGTTAGAATTTAAAGACACCCCATGTAAAATACAAAAATTTAACGAAACAACACAAATAGTTACGTTAGATTGTGAAAAGTCGTCCGGAAAAGGAACTTTGTACATTGAATATAACGCTACAATCGTGGATACAGAAATGAGTGGGCTTTATAAAAGTACATATGAAGGAAATGGGACTTTAATAGCAACTCAATTCGAACCCACTAATGCCAGAAAGGCTTTTCCTTGTTTTGACGAACCAAGTTTAAAGGCTACATTCCAGATCACAGTGGGTCTACTAAAAGGTTCGCAGTATAAACCTTTGTCCAACACACCATTAGCAGAGACGTAAGTTAATATTTTTATTATTTTTTCTACTCCCACCTTTAAAACGCCCATTATCGGGGGTAATTACACAAGTGCCTAAAAATTATCGATAATTTTGCTTGAAAGCATATTGCCTAAAAAATGCATGAGTTCATTTTCATATTTTGGAAAGAGCCTGACACCGAAGGTGGAGGGCTCTTTCCTCAAAATATGAAAATGACCGAATGAATTTTTTAAAAGGCAATATGCTTGAATGCAAAATTATCTGATTATTTTTATGCACGAGTGTAATTTGTTTAGATAATTACACGAATAAACTAATTAAATCAAAGAATAACATTTTCAAATATTTTTTGTTTGCAGTATTTTTTGGTACACTATTTTTCACATTTTTATTAATTGATTCAAATGATTCTTTACCAAAACGTGACATTTTAAATAACTGTCTCATTAAAATAAAAACTGACGTTATTTTTATTAATTGCTATGGATACGTAGATACAATGGAATTATCGATTCCTAGTAGACAATTATCGCTGTAATCAAGCGATAATTGTCTTGTAGGCATATATATAAGAGGTTAATTATCGTATGTTTCCGTGACACTAAGTGACTTTTTAAATATACATTGAAGTTGTGGCTTTATGGCGTTTTTGTCACGGGCTGAAGTTAGTTAACAGTTGTAAAAAACAATCATGAAAATAAGGTGCCTTTCTTGTAAAATATTAAATGTAAAAATTATTTTATAATCTCAATACAAAAATACAAAAGTATTAAATAGTTTCTCAACGCCAATATTTTAAATTTTATATTCAGTTGTACTGACCTTTTGATTTCGCCGGCATTAAACTAGATTTAACCGGTTTTGGGTGGAGATTTCACTGTGGAGTGCCTATTAAACATTTTCTTTACTTTCACTGTAAAAACTGCTTCTATATCGGAGTTAGTTAGTCCACTTTCAAAGGATAAATCTCGATGTACACGTAAAAATTTGATATTAACTATAATACAGATTCCCACATTGAACACAAGTTAAAATGCTTACTATATTGTTTTATAGATTTATGTTTATACAAATATTTAATTTAAATCATTTTTAGATAAAAAGTATTGTTAGTAAAAAAAATATAGTATGCAATGCTTTATAAACTTTTTTGGACACTCATTAAGTTAAGCACTCCCTCGCACACTGAGAAAAATGGTCGTTAACTGTTAAAGTAACTGGTTAATTTCTAACGAGCTACAACTTAGAATAGGGCGCACATAATGTGAGTTTGATTCTAAAATATGGTTCGTTGGAGAAATTCTAATTCATCATGTATTATTTTTAAACAACTTATGTATTAGTGTGTAGTTTTAATGAGTTAAATGTTAACTAATAACTTGGTAATAGAAATCTAGCGGCGCTTAGTAACAACTTATGAATTAGTGTGTAGTTTTATTGAGTTAAATGTTAACTAATAACTTGGTAATAGAAATCTTATAAATCTTTACGTTACTTACTTTCTATTAATATTAGATTCTTAAATCTATGGTAGTTCTGGTGTTGACTTTATTATAAACTAATGCAATTTTAATATTAACTTATCAAATGTTGGCAATAAAACAGTTAATGTAAATAATATTGATTTATTTAAATATTTTATAAAAATATAAAAAAAACATTGCACATTCTGTAACTTCATAAAAACGAAATAATATTCTAAAAGGCGAACGAACTCGTTCGGGTAATGTGTACGTATGATCATATAGGATATTTGGTTAATAAGGATACATATCTCTCCTAATTTTGGAACTAGCTCCTTCAAATTCTCCGGTGTTCGTGTGCACAACACTTTCATTGAAATGGCTTCCTCTGCATCTAAAAGACAAATTGTTTAGTACAAATTAGTTTATGATAAAGAATTTATTAAAGTTTTAATGCTTTTCCATAAAACACAGATGTTTGTTACAAAATAGTAAATTTAAAACTGAAGAAATATACTTTTCTGGCTTGCTCCCTATTAAGGGTTTAGTTTATATTTAACTTACGTCATTTAAATTTACACTCGTTTGCCCGATTCGTTAAATATTAAATCACAGTCAATTCGAACTTACGAAGGCAAGAAATGGCTGCTAATATTCTGTTAAGGCATTGCCTTCTCAAATTATTAAAGAAGGCAATGTTAAAGCCGATATTGCTTTATTATTATTATAGAAACTACAACAGATTTATTAATTTGCCTGGTTACCAGTGGAAAGGGGGAAAAATATATATTAATATTACGTACCTTCGAATTTGGCGGCAAGATGACCTAAGCCACAACATTCCAGAAATTTTGTGCAGTCCTCTTCTTCGGTCATTATAAGTAAAGCTTATAATATAATACAATATTATAATATGTATTATTTAAGTACACGTTTTAAAATCACATATTCACTTATTAGGTAACTTTTAACCAAAAACTATCGATGCATCCATCAGCATGTACCTATCACAGGCAAACGCACAGTGGAGTTAGTTTGGGAAGAGGGGGGATGCGCGCGCCATAATAAACAATAAATAAGTATTTACACTGCGAAAGTTAATTATTAACTCACGACTTAACACTTAAATATAGAATTTAACTATTAGAAAATGATTATTTTGTTATAATTCTTTCCATTGCTTCCTAATTAACTAACACCCCGGTGACTGGAAAAATACCTTTCGCTAACAATTATGAGTATGTTACAGATTAGATAAAATACAATAAAGTAATTTAATAATGAAAGCAGTTTGTTTATATTAAAATAAAATCTTCAAACATAGGGTCATTTAATTTTAAAATTGTTCATTATTTTCTCCGAAATTAGCATCTATGAATATTAATACCTATGCTTGTAAACAAAAAATCGTGAGCTAAATATCAGTAAATTACCCAAAACTAATCAAGAGTTAACTATTAACAGCCTTTTTCTTTCAGTGCAAGCTTGCTCATGACTAAAATGCGTTTAACAAATTTGATATTAAATAATATTAGGAATATAGAATTTTTTATTCACTTATAAGTTTATACTTTGTGTCCAAAATTATCTGCTCACTGTTGCTACCATTCTAACTCCGTTATTATTGGAGCTAAAAAGTCGGTTAAAATAACTTTTTTTAAATGGGATAAACTGTATATTTATACATATTTTAAAAGACAATTTAATTTGGAACAACAAATTATTTTTGTACCCTACCCTAAACTTAAAAATAAAGAATAAATAAGCACTTAAACGTTATGATGATGGTTGTTAAAATAACCAACAGTAAAATACAGGTTCTTTCATTTAAAAAATGTTATTTTTGTGAATATTTCGAAAACTCCACTTTAAATTGATTTTCTGTTTTCAATATTTTGATCAGAAGAAAGAATTTTACCAACTTTACAGATAGAATAATAACGAAATTAGCAATGGCTAGCAGATTTGTATATATACAAATTTATCTGCTGAATATTACGGATGATTGCGAATATAAATTCTTCGTCGAAACTGGATAAAAGCAGATGATTGCGGATATATTCTTCGTCGAAGCCGGATAAAAGTAAATAAAAGCGGGTGAAAATATCATCTGATAACATCTGCTTATATCCCTATCGCTATATCCGCGAACACCCGGTTGGTTGTGTTTTATGTCCGGTTAGTGCACCCCCGGGGCCCCGCAAGCATCTGTAATCAACTGTTTTCATTCGTTTATATCTGCATTTGTCCGGGATCATCTGCAAACGTCTGCTTACGTCTGGTTTTATCCGCGATTACCTGCTCTATTTTTATTGGGTTTTATCTGCAAACGTCTGGTTTTATCTGCGAGAATCTGCTTTTACCCGCAATTATCTGCCTAGACTTATTTCACCCGCAAACAACTGCTTTTATCCGAAAACATCTTCAATCACCCACGAACACCTGCTTTCATCCGCGAACATCTGCATTCACTCGCGAACATCTGCTTTTATCTGCAAACGCCTGATTTCACCCTGTTAGTGCACTTCCGCAATCATCCGTTATTATCTCCTTTTGACTTTCTCTACTGCATTTCTTTTATATCTGCATTTGTCCGGGATCATCTGCAAACGTCTGCTTACGTCTGGTTTTATCCGCGATTACCATTTTTTTCGTCTATTTTTGTCGGGTTTCATCTGAAAACGTCTGGTTTTATCTGCGAGGATCTGCTTTTACCCGCAAATGCCTGCCTAGTCTAATTTCCCCCGCAAACATCTGATTTTATCCGCGAACATCTGCTTTTTTTCGCAAACATCTGCTTTTATCTGCAAATGTCTGCTTTCACCAAAAAACATCTACTTTTATCCGCGAGCATATGCTTTTATCCGCAAATATATTCTTTTATCCGCGAACATCTGCAATCACCCGCGAATATCTGCTTTCATCCGAAAACATCTGCCTTCACTCGCGAACATCTGTTTTCATCAGCAAACGTCTGATTTCATCCGGTTTTACCAACAAAAATCTGCTTTTATCTTCGAACATATGCTTTTACCTGCGAACGTCTGCTTTCATACGGTTTCACCCGCAAACATATGAATTTATCTACGAACGACTGATTTTATCACATGTGTAATTAAAAATTTATAATTAATAATTGTATGCCTAAATATAAGTTTTTTTTATTTAAGATAATGTTTTCCATAGAAACATTTTAAGCGAGTTTATAAAAATTCATGTTTTTCTTGCGATTTTTCTTACAAGGGCATGTTTAAAAAAAGATTCGTTAAAATAAATAAAGATGCGAGATCAAAATCAAAATGTCAAAAATGTTTTCTAAAGGAGTTTTTGAAAAATGCCCATTTTTTATTATAATTTTAGCCATTGGGCTCATATTTACTGACACTTTTACTTTTACCCTGTAGTAAGGGTGGGCAGTCGGTATTGGCGTTTTTGACGCAGGTCATTAAAAACGATTTAATAAACATTCTTGAAATCTAGAACAGGTAGGTCTACCGAATGAAGCCACTCCACCGCCCAACATTTTTGGAATACAGAGGTTGTTCGGAAATGCTACTTATCACACAAATTTTATTGGTGCTGAGAAATCTTTTAATAGAATTTTATGAATAATTTAAATTTTATATGCTATATCATCGGTGATGGCCCCTTGCGCAAAAGCTGCGTTATTTCACAGGCTAGGGATCCAAAACTATTAAACTTAATAAAATAATGAATAATTCAAGACATTTTCCGTAAAAACCATTGCGGCACCTTGTTTTATTTAAGAATGTCTTTTATTAAAACCAACAGATTTTTTAAAATGATGCATTTTTTATATATAAGACGATTTTGTTAAACTTAACCTAGAATTATTTAAATTTTCTTTATTTTTCAGTCTAGACGATGGAGATTTCACTTCCTACGTTTTTACACGCACCCCTCGCATGTCTACATACCTTGTAGCGTTAGTCATTTCAAAATTTTCAAGTAAATCCCCCACAGATTCCGGAAAATACGACTTTCAAGTTTACGCTCGCCCAGAAGCTTTAAAATACACCAAAACAGCTGTAACCTACGGAAGAAAACTGATAGACGCGATGGGCGAATACACAGGCTACCCCTACGAAACCCTTGGCATAGCCAAGCTGGATCAAGTTGGTATTCCGGATTTTGCTGCGGGGGCCATGGAAAATTGGGGATTGCTCACGTACAGGGAAACGGCTTTATTGGACGAAGGTGATCGCACCTCAGTCTTGGCTAAACAAAAAGTTATAACTGTTACTGCCCATGAAATTGCCCATCAATGGTTTGGCGATTATGTCACTATGAATTGGTGGTCGGAAACTTGGTTGAACGAAGGTTTTGCAACGTATTTCGAATATCATATTGCCAACCTCATAGGCGTAAGTTTATATAAAAGTGTTATAGCACTGGCTTACAAGATTACTGTTTTATTAGGAAAATATGGAACTTGATAAACAATTCTTACTGCAGTTTGTTCAATATGCAATGATATATGATTCAACACCATCAGTTCAAGCTATGTTTACTGATGAGTCTAAAGTAAACACATTGGCTGAAATAAATGATAAATTTACAGACATATCATACTCTAAAGGTAAATCAGATACAAGGTATAGGTATAACAAGTTTCAAAGCATAAGCATACAATCTAACTACACTATCTAATAATTCGGTATCATTAAAACATCAACAGCAAAACTGTGAAAAATATAACTTTTATTTTGCAAACTATTTATCCCAGTTTTATCGTCTTAAAAATCGTTTTTAACGCGATTCAATATTATTATTTTTGTGAGAAGATATTAACTATTATTTAATGACAGTTTAATGGCACAAATTAGTTTTAAATCCCAAAAAATCGTTTTTAGGAAAAATATAGATGGTATTAACTTTTTTAAAAAATGTAAGGTTTTACATACAAAAATTAGTTTTATTGTTAAAATGTGTATTATATTCCTAAAAATCGTTTTTAACATGAATCTGTTAATAAAAATTACTTTTATAGTTAAACAATGCCTTTTTGTGAAAAAATATTAATTTCAATTTACAAAATAAGTAGTAGAGTAACATTTTTTCATTCTAAAAGAATAAATAAGCTTTAGTGAGCTTTACCGCCGTGGTTTACTCGACAGCAAAAACTACAAAAAATGTAAAGAGCAAATTTTGACATTTTAAAATATTTAATTTTAACATGCATGTCATCTACAAAACAGACAGCCCGCAGCGTTATCTACACATATATGTATTATATTTAACTATAGTTAAATATAATTTTCTACAAAAATCTATAATTATATTATATACACTGAAAGAAATGTGTTGCTAAAAGTAAATACAAATTTATACTAAAAATTTTATACTAGTGCTTTACACATTTATACTACTGTTTATTATGAATGTATGTTAAATTTTGTAATACATTTATTGTAAAGAAGATATGTTAGATCTAAATAAAAATAAACTTACCCTTACTATAAAATGTAAACTATAAGTGAATTACAGCAAAAAAATATTGCTAGAAACACCATTTATATTGCTAGGGCAGCAATAGGCTGCTAACCAAACGAATATATTTGTTTTAGCAATGTATGTGGTAGTCCATATATAAAACATAAAATATATTTGCCCTAATTATTTTTTTATTTAACTTTAGTATATATTTCTTTCAGTGTAAGTATTGTAATTTATAATTTGCTAATATAAGATTTTTATCAGGCCGGTTATTTAATAAAATAAATACAGCTTTTTTTGAATTAAAAAATTTAATAACAATCGGAAAAATCTTATTTATTTAAATTTTAATTTAACATAAGTATATGCATATTGCTTCGCCTTCTACTAGAAAAAGTCAAAAATTTGTATAAAATTGTAATAATTTTTTGTAATTGTCTCGCCCCTATGGAAATTTAACTTTACCATTGTGTAAAAAGAAAATTATATTTCATAAAATGTGTAATCACTAAAATAGTAAAATGGTTTTAGTGAAAAATATTAACTTTTACAAAATATTGTGTATTTTTAATTAAAAAGTTAGCTTTATCTCTTTTTACTTTGTTTTACTTTTGAATGAATACTGAATGCTTTTTTCTTAATTTTAGGAGGAAGTGTTCTAAGAATGATAAGATTTACAATTGGAGAAGATGCTTTTAAAAAGTCTCTTAATTCCTATCTTACAAGTCGGTATGTTTAAAAATATAAAACAAAAGTTTAATTTATTCCCTTTTTAATTTTTTTATAGAAAACACAAAAATACCAATCACACGCAATTTTTAAACCATTTAGGAGACACCAAAGATCATTGGTTATCCTGGATAGAACAGCCAGGATTTCCTCTTATAACTGTGTCTTTAAAGAATAAAACAGGAAAAATTGAAATTTCACAAGTATTTTCAAATATGCAAAATTTAGCTTTGAGTTATTATTGTTTTAAATTTTAGTCAAGATTTACCACAATTCCTTCAAAAGACGATGAAAAACTCATATGGGATATTCCCATTACGTATACCACATCATTAAAAGCACAATTTGAAGTAAAGCCAAATGAAGTACAATGGTTGACCAAAAAATCGGATACTTTTAATTTTGATTTAAAGAATGATACTTGGGTAATAGTGAATCTTCAAGAAAGTGGTAAGTATGTTATTATACGAGGACGTCTGTAAAGTAAGGTAGCTAACATGAAGATGGTTAACTTTTTTTTAACTTACTTTCCTTGTTGCTCGATATACTTGTTGTTGTAAAGATATTCAGTCGCTATTTCCCCCAGTATAATCAAATGCATCAAAATAATCCTTTTTAATTTTATAAAAATCTTTCAACATTAATTTTGCATGCTCGGAAACAAGGTAAATCTGGATTAAGGAAAAATAAGTGCATTATCTTGATGATGCATATGAGTAATAAGAACTTCAATAAATTATTGTGTTCAAAAAATTAAATGAATAGCTTCTGTGGTTTTAGGTTTAGGCTATTGGAGTGTAGGACAAGGAGGGACAGCAGTTGGTTTTTGAAGGCCTTGAACTGAGAACTAAGTACTATCCGGACTCCCCCTCAACCAGGGTATTAGTAATGACAATTGGGGTTCATGAATGAGACTATAGTTGAGTTCATTCGGGTCTCTGTCCAGGTGTGCTGGAATTCAGAATCTGCTACACGCAGATGTTTGCCCCACTGAGGTGTTGTTTTTACTTTCCCCACACTCTTAGAATTACTCAAAATGACTCGTTATATGTTATTGAGTCATTGTCAATACAACAGTCATTAGTGGATTGGTTTAAAGTTTTTTAGAATAGCATCGCTGGAGGCTTATTATAATTACCTTATTTAAATAATAAGTAGTAGAATAGCTATTTATTGAAAACGACTATTCGTTGTTTTCTTGTTGTGGTAGAATTTGTATTTACGTTTTCTTTTCTTATTTAACAATTAAGAAATTGAATTTATATTTATTTTTACTGCTTCTACCATTTGTTTTTTTATACTCGAGAAGGTCCCGCATTTGTTTATTTAAAGCAAAGATTAGAAAATGGTTTGCTTACTTACATAATATTTGTGTGTTTATTAAGTACTACTAAGTTCAACTAGGTCGAACTGCCTGTGCATTCGGTATCTTTGGTCTATTTAATGTAGGGTTTGTTAACGCTGTTCAGCTCTTTTATTCTTTTTTGTTGATTTATACGGATTTTTCACCTGGTAAGGTATATACACACCCGTTGGCTTGGTGATTTTTTATTTACGCAAATAGCAACGTGCAAATATTAAAAAAACCTCTCAGAATATCGCAGGCTCCTTGTCCACTTGTAATTGAACTCTTCCAGGTTCATGTCGCGATGAACCACCTGTCCAGGTGGGTGGTTCCGTGACAGGTGGGGTAGCAATTCACTTCGCACTTTTAAACTTTTAGGTATTTGGGTTTTAAATGCACTGATTATGCTGATGATTATACTTGTTTATAGTTCAGAGCGGAGAAACTAGTACGTCTCGCCTGAATGAGCGATGGATTTGTACTGAATAGCTTCTGTGGTTTTTTAGATATTAAAAAAATTAACATTAACATTTTTTAACATATTATGTAGATTAGGACTTTTCGAGATCTTCACGTTTTCTCTCTACTCTCGATGTTTTTTACACTAGTTATAGATCACCATGTATCAGGGACGTGCGCAGGATTTTCTCATGGGAGGGATTTTATCATTAAATTGTTAAACATATATACATTTAAAATATTATTTGAGTATATTAAATTAATAATAATATTAAAAGTACAAGACAGTGGCGGGTTATTAGACATGGGACCCACACCAAATTTATAATAGTTTATAATGACATTAAATAAACAAGTTCGGCGTAAACAGAATTTAAATTGAAGTTTGCGAAAACAAGTTAGTTTTTCCTGTCGCCTCACCCGCCTCCTGGCCCCCCTATTTGAGATAATTTAAATTAAAGTTGTGCAATTTATAATCTACTATAATTTATAAACAAATTTTAAATTTTATTTAAAAAATCCAAATATCACAGGTTTTAAACCATTTTAAATATTTTTTTATTTTAATAAAATAAATAATAAAAATTTAAAAACGAATAAAATCTGTATTATTTGGATTTTTTAAATAAAATTTTAAATTTTTCAATAAATTATAGTAGATAATAAATTGCACCACTTTAATTTGAATTATCCTGGAGGCTGGTGAGGCGACAGGAAAAACTAACTTTTTTTCGCAAACTTCAATTTAAACTCTGTTTGCGCCGAACTTGTCTATTTAATGTAATTATAAAGTATTATAAATTTGGTGTGGGTCCCATGTCTAATAACTGAAATATTGGTTTACGCAAAATCCAGCAGCCGCCACTGGTATAAAAACGTATAGCCCATCGGCAACGCCTTTCTCTTTCAGGGTTATTTTACCCCCTTTCGTTTTTCCTACGTATACCTCCACTGTACAGTGTTACCTGTGTTTGGTGGTTCCGAATTTTCACCCCGGCAGGTAAATCTTCCCTAGGACAGTGACACTCCCGGAATTTTGTCGCCGGGTCGGACCATACGCCCGATTTATGCTAGTGGCTAGGACAAGGAGGGACAATTTTGTTTTTTGGGGACCTTGTACTGACCCAAAACTATGTATAATCCGGACCAGGGTTTTAGTAATAACTCCATTCATTGGGTGATATGCTGGTAGGATCTATCCTTGCTTGTTTAGAACTACTTCCTGTTCTTTTGCTTAGTGTTTATCAGAACTTAAGTGATTAATGGCTTCATAGGTGTGCCCTTGTGTTTATAGTTTTTGTCTATGATGCTTTTTTTTAAACTGATTGCGACTAATTAATTTTACAAAGTGGATTCTTTGTTAGTTAAAGATTGCGGACTTCGTATTAAAATTTAGTATTATTATTATTTGGGAATTATATGGTCAGGCAATTTTGGTACATTATACTTATCTGATTTATGCAGACTTGGACTTTGGGTTAATTGCAAAGCAGGTGTGATGAAATTGTTCCAGGAATATATTTGTTGAAACTGATCTACTCACTCACACCTTTATCCACAGGTAAAACACTTGGAGACTTAATCCAGGGGGAGTACCACACGCAATTTGCACTTTTTTCACTTGGATCTGGTATATCACGTGTAGAATTGTTATTAATTTTTTGATTTTTGAACAACTTTAGCGGTGATGGCACTATGGAATTACGAGCGCGTTAAGCGAGATCTTACCCAAGCGACCATTCGCCTCAAGGTGCGGAGCGTCACTCTACATTTAAAATATTATTTGAGTATGAGTATAAGAGATGTATAACCTGCCCCATTGCCTCGCATAGTCCTCTGTTTCCTTGCGCCGATTTTCTTTCGCCACCAGGGCTCGAGAGCGAAATGCCAATAGTTTTAGTAGCCATTCCCGGGTTCGCCGAGCCGATGCTATACGCCCAGAAGGTAGGACTTGAGGGATAGGCAGTTTGGTGTTTGGGGGACAATTACGCCGACTCAAATCTAAGTACGACGCGGGATCCCCCTAGACCGGGAAGTTAGTATTATTCCAAACATTTGGGATTACTGTTTGGAGTTGGGGAGTTGTTAGTTCGCTGCAGGGGCCTAGTTTACTGGCCGTGGTCAACGTCTTGACCGTTATTGTCTCTGTTCGTGTCGGGTTGTTCCTGTACTTGTTATTATCTTGTCTTAGCTCTTTTCTTTCGCGTTGCAATCCTATCTTTAGATTAAAAAGTTTGTGTGCAATTTGTACGATTTGACACTTACCGGTGGGAGGTATTTTTGACTTCCACTGTATACTAATGTAATTACCAATTCCATTAGAATTCGGTATATATATTTTGTGTTTATGTTTCCTTAATTTAATGTTCGTTTGGATTTAAAATGTTTATTGGTATCGTTTAGTTTAACGTTTTTTGTTGGGCCGTTTTCTTTAATTTATGGGTTTAGTCTTTGTCGTTGGTTATTGATAGATTTATTGCCCTAGTCAGCTTTCCTGTGTCCGAGTTTCATTTCGTTTTGTTTTATTTGTTGTGGTTTTGTTACTTTTGTCTTAATATTACTGGTGCACTTTGTTTATTTTATTTATTTTTTATTTTTTTGGATAGTTTTTCACATGTTTAAGTGAAAAGTGCCTCATTTAGGGTTTTCCAAGGTACCTGTCATGGTAGCAAATACACCTCAACTTCAACACTTTCCTGACCTAAGGGTGGTCTACACACACTAGTTTCCACATTACAGACTATTTGCACTTTATAGCAAGCTTTGCTGTTTGTAAGTTTCAAGAGCGCGACACAGCCAGATGCGACTTAGACGAGTACTCGAACATTTAAAATATTATTTATAACAAAAATTGCAACAGAGCTGGGATATTTTTTTTCGTGTTCAGGGCCCCCGAAAAATGCAAAAAATGGGAGGACAGCCGAATAATTTTCTTGTTATAGCCAATTTTCTGTTTTCTTGAAGAATAAAATATTGCGAAAAAATTATATCTCCAAGGCTCATTCATTTAAAAAATATGTTAGAAAAGGCCAGGAAGCAAATCCAACGAAAACCTCATTTTCGTCATCTTTGTCTTTAACGTCGAATATCAATAGAACCGTAACGATAACAGATAACCCCACCTCCGCTTTTTTCGCATTTTTCGAAGTTTTTTGGTGCCCTGAACACAAAAAAAATTACCCATCTCTGCAAAATCCTTGTAAGATAGTGCAATATTGTTGCATGCAAAATTAAAGTGTCCTAAATGATAGTGCATAATATTTTTTTAGGATATTACAGAGTAAACTATGATGAAGTACTTTGGAATCGCATAATAGCAGCGTTAAAGAAAAATCCTGAAGTTATCAACGAATTAAATAGAGCCCAAATAATTGATGATATTTTTAATTTAGCCAGAAATGGATTTGTTTCATATAACAAAGCATTTGAAATGATTGATTATCTGGTCAAAGAAACTTCTTATTATCCATTAAATGCAGCAAGCGAAGTGATTGGATATTTGATTACAAAAGTGGGAAATGAAGGTGTAATAAAAGGAATAAAGGTAAAAATAAAGTACATTATTTCCATTTCAATTAGTGTGTCGCATATTTTTAGAGTCGTATGTTAACATTACTAAAACCACATATTGAAATACCGACTGATGTAGCACCAAATAGAAAAAATCTTACACATGTTCAAGTTATAAAAGAAATATTGTTACTTCAATTAGCTTGTATCTACGGGGATAACAAATGTCTGGACTATTCTCAGAAATACTTTAAAGCGTATATTAAAGACCGCAAAAGGTTAAACAAGAACAGTTTTATTTTTATATCAAATCTTATCCTTAATAATTTTAGTGTCGATACAAACTTCCGAAAAAACGCCCTATGTCACGGTATACGCTATTCTACTGAGAGTTCAGATTGGAATAGCTTATGGTCTATGTATGGTTCTGCTGAGACCTCACATGAAAAAGAAAGTATTCTATCTGCTTTGGGTTGCACTAAGAGTGCACGAGTTTTAGAAAAGTAAATATATAGAAAACTTTTAGTTTATAAGTTTGCTAATGTTTGTTTATTACTTCAGATTCCTTATTAAAAGTATAATGCCAAATTCGGGAATAAGAAAACAAGACGCTTCTTCAGTGTTTCAATCTGTATTGGGAGATGGTTCAGTTGGGTTATCTGTGGCAATGAAATTTTTGGAGAATAATATGAATGACATTAAAAAATAGTAAGTAAATTAAAGTAAATAGTAATTAATTTAAATTTAAATTTAAAAAATAAAATTAATTAAAAATTACATTAAATCACGATTAAACCACTCGAACCTGACATTCGTAAATCCTATTCTTGTTTAAAACGTCTTTGGAACGAAGTCCTGGTGGTCATTTAAAAACAATGTTAAAAATGGTTTGCCGTTTAAAAATTTGCGTCCTGTCTAAGGCGTTCGTCGAGGCGTTCACGAAAGGCTCTATGTTTGCTCTCTTAAAATGAATAAGTCAAAAATAACTAATTAGTCATATTTGACTAATTGTCATAGCGAAAAAGCAGTCACTAATAATTATTATTAGTCAAATTAGTCAAATTCTACTGAATGAAATAGTCAAATTAGTGGTTAAATTTTAAAAAAGTTTTTCCCAGCTGGGGATTGAACTTGTCAAGCTTATCAAGCTGTTGTCATAACCCATTTGGCCATCAGCCGCTCTTATAAAAATCAATTTAATTTGTCAATAAATATTGTTCATAATATTTTAAAGTTGAATATATTATTTGTGTTGCTGTTTTGAGCTAAACTTTTTGCATCTTTATTTGTTTTTATGGGTCATTTAACCATGGAGCCTAGGTATATGCATTTAATTCAAATAATACTTTGTTGTTGGCCGGAAACGATTTAAGAAATTAGTTACTTTTAACTCTCAGAAATAGTCAAATATGAAGACTAATCTTTAATTAGTCAAACTTTAACTATTTACGTAGTAAAAAATAAGTACTTAAAAGTGAAAACGACTATTTTATTAGTAAAAAATACTGGTACTAATTCAAATAGTAGAATTTTGACTATTTCATTTTTAGAGAGTGCACATGCAAATTTTTTAAATGCATTTAAGAAATTTGCTGTGTTAAAAAGAAACGTTGTGAGTTAAAAGCTTTAGCATATTTGACGTAACTTAAAAAAATATTCCTCAAGCAAATAATTCTTGTAAGTAGCAAAATTGATAAAATGATTAAAATGGTTAAAAAACATAAAAACATAATTTCAATTTATTTAAAAATTTTGCAGTTTGTTAATTTCATCCTTCTGTGCGAATTTGTCATAACATTTTTTTAATGTATGCCAATCTGCGAATTCGTCCTACTTTAATATCGACACTTAAAATACTACAACCGTTTAAGTTAAAATTCTTAAGACAGTTATTTTAAAATAAATTAAAATTCTAAAGACAGTTATAAAAGGCTTAAATCAATATAACTCCATTTGGTTTACGATTTAAAATTTAAGTTGATATTCATAAGATATTTTTTCTACTCCCACCTTTAAAACGCCCTTTATCGTACATGTTTCCATGAAACTAAGTGACCTTTTAAATAGGTACTCATTGACAAGTTGTGGCTTTATGGCGCAACAGGTTGTAGTCACGGGCTGAAGTTAGTTTTAAGTTAGTTGACAGTTGTCAAATGTCATACAATCGTTAAAATAAAGTGCCTTTCTTGTAAAATAATACTAAATGTTAAAATTATTTTATTATCTCAATACAAAAGTATTAAATAACTATTTAATACTTTCTCAACGCCAATATTTGAAAAGTTTATATGAACATTGTACTAACCTTTTAATTTCGCCGGCAGTAAACTATAACTTAAATTCGGGCACGGACTCCACTGTAAAGTGCTCAGAAAACATTTTCTTTACTTTCACTGTGAAAAACTGTCAATTTTTAAGAAATACATTTCGATTTATAACCTTTATAATCTGTGTTTATAAAATATAAAAATGTGACATTTGACGGTGATACACAGATTCCCCTATTGTTTCATAGATGGCGCTCTATACAAATTTTTGATTTAATCATTTTAAGATAATAATAAGTATTTGTCGTGGAAAAAGTATAGTATGCACCTCGTTTATAAACTTTTCTATACACTCAATAATTTAAGCACTCGCTCGCAAGCTCGCTCGTGCCTAAATTAAATTCGTGTATAAAATGACGTTTATCAAACTTGATACATAATCAGGGCCGGCCCGACGTTTTTTGCCGCCCCGGGCGAAGATATTTTTGCCGCCCCCTTGTTATTCGGCAGAAATAGTGGAAAAAGTAGTTTAACGTAATTATTTTTTAGAATTACCAATAGGTAAGGCAATATACTGGCTTACGTCGCAAAAAAGAAAAAAAAACTATGATTTTAATATAGAAATTTAAATATTATTTAAATAACGAAATGTGCGATAAATTTGTAATAAATCCCATTTATTTCTTTAAAACACTGATTTTCCTGTAATATAAACTAAATAGAATCGCTTATTTGACAGGTTTTGACCAACAAATTATTAATGTTAATTTTATCGAACGCGAAAATATTTTTTAAAAAAGGTTAGTCACCCGCGGGGTTCAAAGCCACCCGTGTTTACGGTATGCAATATTATTAAATTATAGTATATTTATTATACCTTCACACGATGGTTTTTTTTGCAAGAATTTGGAAAATGTTGCTGCTAGAACTCGATTTTCCGCCTCACGCGCCCTTTTTTGGTGTCTATAAAAAGCTCCTGTATCTTTTTTGCGTTTTTCAGACATTTTAAACTTCTAATTATAATTAGATAATTATCAAACTACCTTAGTAATTCACTGATTTTACAATGCACGATAGTGAGATATTTTTTAATTAACACAGTAAAGAAAACTACAGGATATGATTGAAGAAACAAATAAAAGAGGGCGCCAGCGTCGTCTTCCGAGAGCGCCTCTATTAAATCATTTGTAACAAAGATATTTCTAGAGCTTAATACTGGAAAAAATCGCCAATCGAAATTTTTATATTTTGTTCATTAAAATTTATTATCATTAAGACATCGTAAAAATGCCGCCCGAGGGGTCAACCACAACTAGGAATACCTGGACATTTTAGAGGGGGAATAGCATAGGAATACAATGGGAATACATGGGTATACATGGGAATCCCTGGACGTTTTTCCTTTGGGTGGTTGACCCCTCGATGCCCCCCCCCCCATTGTGCCGCTCCGGGCGGTTGCCCGGTTCGCCCGTACCTCGGGCCGGCCCTGTACATAATATACTATTATAGTTATTATCCTGCATTTTTTTAACATCTGTATATATAAATTTGTTAAACCGTGCAAGACTTGACAATTAAAATAAGAAATCTTTAACAAACACTATTTTAACCAAAAATTTGTGTAATTATAATAAAAATAATATTAATAATTCTTATTTAAGCTATAAAGATATGAGTGCATTGGGAGATATGATAACCAGTGTAGCTTACAAAATAACAACTAAGGCAAATGTTGACAGGGTAAGTTTGGAGTACCAATCGGTAACCATTTAAAAGGAGTTTATGTACGCATCATTTTTGCAAATAAAAACATTAATTATTTTAGCTCGCAAAAATAATAAACGACAACATAAAAGTTGATGAGATTAAAGTGGTAAGTAAGCAAGCTTTGGAAATAGCAAATGCAAATGTGAAATGGACTAATGAACATTTGGGACAACTATTGGAAATTTTTCCATCGACAACTGATGCTTCCAACAAAATTTTGGTTTCTTGGAATTTATTAATTATATCTGTTATAGTTTTAGTTTTTAAGTTTTAAAATTATTTAACCATGAATATTTATTATTGTTGTTATTATCCATTTTAACAGTGATATTTGTAAAAACATTATTTTTAAAAATATTTTAGTTTTTTTACTTTTAGTATGATTTATTACATACATTTTAAAATATTTGCAGACTAAAGTAAAAATATACAATATATGGGTCATTTTCAAGAAACACCGGCTTTCAGGAAAATGAGGATCTAAATTTTTTTTTGCTTAAATTGACTTGGTTGGATTTTTATAAATGTTTGGAGTTTTGTTTAATAACATTTAAGACAGGCAGTGCACTATTTAATTTTTTTTACGATTTTACCAGAAAAATGTGTTTAGCTAGCTTTATATATCTCCACTATGTTACCAATTTGAAATCCAAAATTTAATTCAATAAAAAAAGTTGTTATAAAAATAATTTGAAATAAGTTCACAAACTTTTGACTCCAATTTTTTATTTTATTTTTTATTAAAAATTGTATGCTTTTTTTAAATATGTATGTTCGTTAAGTTACTTTTTAAAAGAAACCATTCCGATTCTTTGTTAAAAAAACAATACCATTGTTTTTAGTCACTCTATTAGTGAGTTAAACTCTAATTTATAAACACGTATTACCAAGTGATAATGTATAAAAATCGTGGAATTTTCCCTTGGATGTAATTTATATCAAGAGTTGTAATTACAAATAATTTTAAATTGGTTTATCATTAAATACTTTTAATAAAAGTGACGGTAAATATCCACTTTGTTGTCGAAAAATTCTATTGCGTTACCCTAAATTCCATTGCGTTACCATAAGGTAACATCATTGAGTAAAGAATGGTAACATAATGGACTCAGTAACGCAGTGGAAAAAGTTTTGTGAAACCATATTTAAAAAATAATAATAAGACATTTCAGTCAATAATTACTCTCAATGAGCTTTAGTGTCCTAAAATAATCATAAACATGAAAAATAGTATTTTTTCTTACCTTATTTTTATTATTTTTTTGAGTAACTTAGCGGACAAACAATTATTACATTCGCGTTACCCGCACCTGTTTCAACCGATATCTTCTTCCTAATTGAATAAATAAATTCAGCTGGGTAATGTGTACGCCCGAAAACATCATTTGTTGATCACTTGAGTGCCAAAAAAGTTGCCATATATGTTTTTTTAATATTCTATCGGTAACGCGACGGAATAAATGTCTGGGACATGAGTCAAATTTAAAAAAAGTAGATTAAAATTAATTATTTTATATATAAATTGTTTACTGTATTAACTAAGGATGTAATGGATTACTATAAAGCAACAGAAAGTTCTGGTTATTCAATATTTAAAAAAAAAATGTATGTAAGTTTTATAAAACGCTAATGGGACATGCGAAAATGTGTGTTTCACAAGTTTCAAAATTAAACAAAAAATTATTCTGAAATAACTTAACAAACATTTTCTGAATGAGTTTACTAAGGGTTTGTTAGGCTTTTACTTGGTTGTTAAATCAATAAGATCCGATAATTTTTAACAAAGTTATTGGAATTCAAACTTACGGACAGCGGAAGGCGGGTGTTTTTTTAAAACGACCCATATATAATATATAATACTTAAATATTGATATAGCTTTTAATTAAAGGTTTAATTGAGGTTTAGGTAAAAAACACATGGTCTAACGAATATCTTATACTTATAGGATTACATATCTTAAATTTAAATAAATTAGGTACATTAAGTCTTATTTATATTCTAGTAGAAGTAAAATTAGGAATTTTAAAAATAAATATTAAGTATCTACATTTGGAATCAGACTTTCAATACAATGCGGTTTTGTCGAACCAGTTCAAAACTATTTTAAAATATTTGTCCATCCATTTTACATTAGCCTCCACTTCTTCGATGGCTTGATGGGCCGTTCTATTCGCAATGCCAAACTCTTCGTATTTTAGTTTAAAGAAAGCCTTAAACTGAATAAAATAAAAATAATAACATTAAGAACTGTTTATTTTATTTACAACTTACATCATCAACTTCCATTTGAGTGTTAAAGTGAGATACAGATGTGGCGACTATGCTACTAAGAAACATCGATGAGTGTCCAAAACTAAAAAATATAATTTTAATAAATCAATTAACTACTAAGAAATAAAATTTGTGTTGCTCTTTTAAATATTTAAATTAATTTTTCTATTTGCGTTTCACAATGGGCACATTATGAAACATTTTCTTGCATTCGTCAATTACAAAACTCGTTCGTTTCGTAAACTTGACATTTGTTCTATTTTGTTAATTTTTTGGGCTAAATCAAAATTAAAAAATAATCATTTTGGATTTTTATTTAATAGTTAAGAGGAAAACGAAAAAGGAAAAGTATTACCAACATTCTATTGACTTCTTGGTTTAAAAGACAAAAATTCTATATGCTAGCATTATTATTTAAAAATGTCTTACTAATTTCTGATACTATCCCAGTTAGTCTTAAAAAATCTATATGCCAAATCTGAACCAATGGGATTCATAGCAACGGTAGCAAACACCAATGAAGTGTCATGTTTTCTAATGCCACTATTTTCCGTGATGCCCCATTCCAGATAACGATTTAGTAGCCAGACTTCCTTGGTGCAACCGAGAGCTCTTAGAAGAATTTCTTTTTCGTTTCCAACGTTTGTTTTTAAATATCTTTGCCACGTAAAGTCCCACTCTTCTTGTCCCCCATCGGCTATTGCAGTGCAGTATACAATCAAGCGTAAGTCTATTGGTATGCTATAAATAAAAATGTTATGAGTTTAGTTGTACCTTGGATTAAAGAGTATATGATGGGATCCATCATCTAACTCTTTAGTCCTTAGTACTGCCCTTACTCATTTTCATTATCTGGATTAGCAGAGTTCTTCCAGTTTTGGAACATTTGAACTGCTTGTATAATACAGTCTCGTAGACCTAATAAACAAGCCAAATCAACAAGTTCCAGTTGAGTCATCATCACCAAAGGATCTTTTTGTTCTTTAAAGCCAACTTCTCGGTAGAAATGTTCGATTAATTGTAGCATATAACTCTGAAAGTTGAAAAACATATAGTTTAGCTAATCTGAAACTATACGAGTAGACTAAAATGTTGATATATTAAAAATGTAAATTAAAGGGTGTCGAACTTTGAAAACCAATAAGCGCTTAAGGAAAACATTGCAAATTGATAAGCATATTTTATGAAGTTTATGATAAACATTCAATTTTCTTAGTTTCTTTAAGAAACTTTCTTGACCTATTACTGGTAATATTCATAAGAAAAAATTGAATCTACACCTCACCAAAGTTTTTTGCTTTGAGTGCGTTCCACCAACTTCAAATAACGACAGACAGCTGTTTCGACCTATATTCAAAACAAAAAAACATTGGCGAGGTGTAGGTTCAATTTTTTCTTATAAAGTTTATGATTTAAATATTTAAATTAAAATTAAAAAACAAACCTTGTATTTAGCAAAATGTGCCGATCTTTCGAACCTAGAATGCAAAAACTGTAGATTCTTCCGAGCAGCTTTCCAAGGAATGTAATCCTTTTCCTGCGGCAAATATAACGTAGCATTTAAAGCTACATCGTAGCTTACATATCCAGAGAAAGCTAGATTAAGTAAATCATCTATTATTTGAGCTCTATTTTTCGAATCAAACACCAAATGCCCATTTGGTTTCCTCAACTGATCAATGATCAGTTTCCAATTGTGTTCATCGTAGTTAACCCTGTAAAAACCTGTTTGGTTAACGTTTACGAGTAACCAGTCGTCGGTAGTTGTTTCGATGTTATCTACGAATCTTTCAGGTTGTTTTTCGATCCAAGTTTTTTTTAGTATTCCAGTTTTATCAGTGTATGTTATGGGAACCCACCATAAAACATCATCTTTGGTGTTATTATCCAAGAAAAAGCGTTGCTGTTTAAATGTTACACTATTTCCTTCGTAGCTCCTGTTTACGAACACCATAGGATATCCGGTTTGTAGCGTCCACGTATCCATAATTTCCTTTACAGTTATATTTTTATCAAGCGCATTTTCTTCATGGCCTTGCTTCGTCAAAGTTTCCCAGAGATCATCTTGTTCTGCTGCTTTGAAAGATTTACTAATTAAGTATTTGTTTAAGCCTCTATGAAACACCTCCTCAGTCAAAAACCTCTGCATCATTCTTATAATTGCAGCGCCTTTGGAATAAGAAATAGCATCAAAAATTTCGTTTACTTCATTAGGATTTGTGATTTCTATCGATATTGGATGAGATGATTTTAAAGCGTCCAGAATAAGAGATGCCTGAAGTTCGGAAACAACGAATAGGTCTTCATTCCTCCATTCAGGTTGTACCTAAATATAATCGGGTTATTATGTGAATAATACAGTAATAATAAAATGCCAGTGAAAAAAAATAAGTGTTTTAAGTTAGGAAAAGTATAAAAAGCAAAGACAACTATATAATCAGAATTATGCCTTGCTTAAAACAATATAAGGGTGATTCTACAAAAGTTGGACAACTTGATGTCATCAGTCAATAGAGTAGGTATTTTAATATTTTTTGTAAATATTTTAGTATATTACAAAAGAACCAGGTTTTTTTAACTTGTCCACCCAATTTTAATGTATTTTTTCAAAAGCACGTTTGTAGAAAAACATAATAAATATTCAAAACATCAGTACCTTGGCGTGTCACAACTCCTGAATCAAATATTTGAGTAATTTTATTTTAAAATATATTCAATTTATCTTACATTTTTCAATTTCACTACAAACAATAAAACATAAAATAATGTATTTTTTATATTTTATCATATATTCGAATAATAGCAATTTTTAAAAATTGATAATCTTTGTACTCACTTTTACCCGTCAATTCTGTGTCCAATGTTAAAATTCAAAATTCCTGCGAAATATTGAAGTTTAAACGTCCTCGTTTTAACTCAAGTGTTGATAAAAAATTACCTACAGAGCCCGCACTTTGTACGACAGTCATCTTCAAAACAATGCAAGCGGCGAAGTTGTGGTGAATGCACGTATAGTTCCAGTCAAAATTTCAGTACTGTGGTGAGTAGTTATTTTCTTACGTATATATATTTCATTGTAATTTATATAAGGCTATATGTGATTTGTTGATAAGTAGCATCGACTAATAAAAAATATCAGTAAAATACTTAATTCCGAATTATAATCTCAAATTTGTATCCCATTCATCAGTACCGTGTCGTCAGTTCCATGTTCGATGTTTCGGTTATCTTTTTTTTGCTAACTTCAATTTAAATTCTGCTTGCGCAGAACTTGTTTATTTAATGTCATTATAAACTCATATAAATTTGGTATGGGTCCCATATCTAATAATTGAGATATCGGTATACCCAAAATCCACCAGCCGCCACTGATGTGTGGTATTATTTGATTTTAAGATATTTAATGTATAATATGCTCAGTTGCAATAAATCTTATATTTTTCAATAAATTATGTATATAATTAGTACCCTGGTATACTCGTCACTTCCCTTGCATTCAAATTTAGAAAATACAGATATTTCAGAAACAGTTTAAAAAGGTGACTGGCCAGGCCTGGAACAGTATATTTATTATATTATCTATGTTCTCATAACAAAATACTGTTTAATTTTCTCCGAAAACTATATAAACAAAATTGGGTCAAAAGTTGCCCAACTTTTGTAGAATCACCCATAAGTCTTTTGCTAGTACAAGTTGTTCTATTTTAAAGTATTGGAATAAACCAAAATTCCCGGGTTATGACCAAACAAATTATAATAAAGTCAAATAAAATAAAACGTTAAATTAAAGCGAATGATGATGCTCATAAAACTAAAAAAAACCTTGTAGCATAGGTATTGAATATTTTTAATTTTCCTCGCTCTTTACATTCCAGTTTTTACTTTCTAGTTCCTAGATAGAATAAGGGTTACATCTTTCACAAGAAAGTGGTTAGTTTTTACCGAGAGAAACTAACTAGAAGAAGAAAAAATCTGTCTAGTTACTGAGGATTATTGGCTCAAAATTTCTACAGGGTGAGTGCTATTATGGCATTCCATTTCTTACTGCCTATGTATAATGGATTTAACTTACAGCATCAGCTCCTAGATATTCAGCAAATGTAGCAAAACCTTCGTTTAACCACAAGTCAGTCCACCATATAGGCGTTACCAGGTTACCAAACCATTGGTGTGCAATTTCATGAGCTACTATAATACCTATTCTTTGTTGACTGTACCTTGTTGAAACCCCTTCTTCGTATAGCAAAACAGCTTCCCTGAAATAAAATATTATTAAAAAAACATTTTAAATTAATTGTAAATATTATACCTGTATGTAATTAGTCCCCAATTTTCCATTGCACCGGCCGCAAAATCTGGAATGGCAGCCATATCAAGTTTGGGCAAAACAAATTTGGTACCAAAAAAGTCTTCGTAAAACTTTAGTATTTGCGGACCAATACTTAAGCTGTATTTAGCTTGGGAAATGGCCCCAGCTCTTGCCCATATCGAGAAAGTACCATTGCTTATACTTTTAAAGTCTGTTACCATAAAAGCCACTAAGTATGTCGACATTGGTAATGATTCCTCATAATGGTCCCATTCGTAATCAGGGAGATTTTCACTAAAAAGAAAATAGTTATTTGTTTTACAAGTGTTGAAAAGCGACTTTTTCATGCGAGTGTTTAAGTTGCCCACGAGGCCGTTAGGCCGAGTGTGCATTAACACGAGCTTGAAGAAAGCTTTTTTCACAAGTGAAATACAATGTTTTTTCTCCGACCCTTTTATTTTTTATTATATTCAAATACAAAACCAAATCACCTAAAAACGTGTTTGACAGCTGTTAAAATTCTTTCATCTTATTCTTTTAATTTTTAAGGTATAAGTTACTTAAAATCGGTAAACTTACCTTCCCAATTTAAATAAAGGCACTAAAAACTAGAATTTATTATACAACAATTACATGTGTTCTAAATGATATTTAGACATACATACATATAGGTACAAATACAATACAAAATTTGAAGCGAATATCAAACGATGCTGTCAATTTCTTTTCACACAGACCTGTCACTTTTCAAAAAAAAGTTACATTTCGTATTGGCATCGTTGCTTAGAAAATAAATCCTTTCATTGGCAAGGCAAAACACGAATGTAAAATGACATTTCTGTATGAAAATTGAAAGGTCTGTGTGAAAAGAAATTGACAGCATCGTTTGGCATTCGTTTTAAAATTTGTATTGCATTTGTATAAGTATGTATGAATATTATTTAGAACACAATTAATTGTGTTTGTATAATAAATTCCAATTTTAGTGCCTTTATTTAAATTGAGAAGGTAAGTTTATTGATTTTAAGTAACTTATACCTAAAAAATAAAAGAATAACATAAAAGTAATTTTAACAGCTGTCAAACACGTTTTTAGGTTATTTTTTTCTATTTTAATATAATAATAAATAAAAGGTTCGTAGAAAAAACCTTGTGTTTCAGTTGTGAGAAAAGCTTTCTTTAAGCTCGTGTTGATGCACAATCGGCCTAACGGCCTCGTGAGCAACTTAAACACTCGCATGAAAAAGTCGCTTTTCAACACTTGTAAAACAAATAACTATTACATAGCGTTACAATGATAAAATATAAAAATTTAAAATACTTTTTTAATAACACAGATACATGAAAAAAAAATTCCCACTATAAAAATGAGACTATACCTTTCGGAATGTTTTTGATGACCTGAATTTAAGTCCGCCTTCACAATTGGTTTATCACATCAGATTTTTGAAAAGTTCCAACTTAAAAGTAAAAACAAAAGCAAAATAATTTAACTCGATGTATAAAACTCCTAATTGTTCTTTAAAATCCTTTTTAAAATTTTTTAATATTTTTCTCCTTTGCAAGAAATTTTAGATCGAAACAATAAATCAAATTTGTTCCCAAATTTTTCCACTTTAGGGTAAGAATTTCTCGAAAACCGGATGTGATTCAGAGGTAGAATTTGGATTCAGGAAGTAAAAAACCTTACAAGATATAGTATGGTTTCAGTTTAAAAATATCTGTGTAATAAATTAATTATTATTATTCCCTTCATTAGGGTGTATAGTTATTTGTCATTTTTTTAACAACTTAATTAAATAGCATTATCTAAATAATATAAAATATTTCATAAAAGTTTTTTGTATAAGGTTGGAAATCCTAATTTTTGTTACTAAAAACAATTTAAACATATTCTCGTTTTAGGTTTTATAAGGGGTACTTAAAAAATTAGGCCTTAAGGTTACATAAGGTAATCAAAAAGCATTTTATAAATAAAAACCAAAAAAATGATTATTCTTACACTTCTTTTGTAACTTGGATTAGTCTCATATTGGAAACGGAGGTCATGTTTTTCAGTCTCGCGATATTAATTTGAAACTTTGCCTTCAAAGCCGGCTCATCAAAACAAGGAAAAGCTCTTCTCGCATCGGTGGGCTGAAATTGGGTAGATGCGATCCACCTGAAATAAGAAAACGTAAAGAGAGTCAAGGTCATTGTACAATGTACAGGGTTTCCCACGTGAGATGAAAAAAAATACATTTTTAGAATTAGGTACAAAATATCTTCTAGGGTGAACAAGTCTTTACCTATATGACTTCAAAGTTTAAAATATTCGTAAAAATACAAAAACTATTTATAAACTTATTTTTAATATGGCGTATGATACAAACCATATAGATATTATAATAGTGGACAGGTTACGCCTACTGTTTGTATTTTAAAGTGAAGTGTAAAAAAACTTAACCGAAATTTCATTATCATATATGCATAACCTCGAACGACAAGTTAGTTTTGTGTGTTTTTGTTAAAAAATAGAATGGTTCTGAGTTGGGTTGTAAAAGTTTGATATGTTTTAATGACGAGAATATAGAGCCTAGAATAACTGTTACCGCTAATATTTTATAATTTAATTTCTGGAAACATTTAAAATTGAGTAGGTAAATTTCCAAAGAAATTCAATCTGGTCAAAATATTCAGTGAAAAACTAGGTTTAAACATTTTAAAACTTAACTTAAGGCATTGATTAAATAACCATTTTCAAAATTATAAATCTATGTGCCGATTTGTAAAAAATGCAATCTTCGCCACTAAGTATCCTAACAAGCATTAACAAATAAAGCAATTGTTTCGATTTTAGTGTTTAAAAGTTATTTAACAAAGAATTAACTTCCTGTACCTAACTTAAAAACCAAAACCCTTGGAGCAAAATTGTATAGGAAAAAACTATTATTTTTTACTAAGGCAGTGGCGTAACTACCACCGGTCCTACCGGTTTCAGAGACCCCCAAAAGTGGCAAGAGAATTTTTTTTATCTAAATATATGAAAAAAGTTCAATATAAAAAATTTGGTTTTTTTTGTAGTAATAAATATTCTTTGCCTGCTTGTAATTATATTTCTATTGTGTTTTACAAATTTTCGCGCTATCTCAGGTGAGCATGGTTTGATTAAAAACAAATTCAAAATCTAGAACTCAAAATTTGGAATTAAATATTTTGAAATAAACCTATAGGTTAATTGAAATTTTAAATTACAAATCTAGAATCATAAACTCAAAATCGAATCTGAAATTTTAGGATATATACGATCTTAGTCAAAAATAGAAATTCAGAGATGAAAATAATAAATAAAAATTAAAAATTTGCAATTTAAAATAAGAAATTTTCGATTTCACATTTACGATTTTTTCAAAATTAAAAATCATTAAAACTTATCTTTGAAGTACCATGGGCCAGGAGCAATTTAGTAATTTGAGTATTCTTTACAAATTATTCATAAGTTTGCTGATTTGAAAGTAAGGCTTATTAAATTCTGAATATGAATATTCCAACTTCGAGAACTCAAAAATTCTCCATTTTCTTCACTGATTTTTATTTAAGTATTATACCATAAAAATAAAATGTTTTACGTGAATAACACTTGATCCTTTTTTTTTAACATCATTTGTATGATATACATCCCTTCGAAATCATGAGAAATGAATATTATTGTGTAAGGCAGGGGGGTGGAGTGGGAAAAGTTGTATATAATATATAAGTGTTACAAAGTGTATTTAACAAAATTTCCTGGTAAGGGCCCCCTAGTGAGAATCCGACTGGGGCCCCCATTTCTATAGTTACGCCACTGTACCAAGGAATCCTCCATTTTATTTTTCATATAATTGAGTTAAATCAACTTTTTGTTTAAAAATTCTAATGTGATTTACCCTACTTAAAAACAATACAACAACCCTAAACATACAACCTTGCACCTTTTAGCCTTATTAAATAATTAAAAAAGTAATCTCACCTTTTCCGGTTATTTTCTACGTAGAAGCTCCTATAAAAACCGCGCATCATATCGTTTAAGAGCCCATCAAAAATGATACGGATGTAATATTGCCGTCCGGATATTATGTTTTCAGCTAAAGAAATTACCAGGAATTGCACCTTTTTATCTTCCTCTATGCTTCTAATACCGACGCTGTTATTTTCGTGATCAAAAACATCGACCGAAAGTATGTTCAAGTCGATTGAGTGTAATGTTATGTTGTTGCATGTTTTTGTCACGTTTATTTCGATTAAAATGTCACCATTAAAGGTAAAATTGCCTTCCTCGAGGTAAGGAACAAGGTCCAACTTATAGAAATTTGGTACAATGGACTTCGGAAGTCGTAAGTTTAAATGCTCAGCTACAGCTTTTTGTGTCGTAGTTGTTGGAAACGTAAGATATGTTGTAAAAAGCGTTGTGGATTCTTGAGTTGTGCTTTCTACATTTTTATTTCCAAAATTTTGATCGAACACCATTAATTTTGATTCTTCTTTCTGCAAATAATTTTCACATGATGATAAAGTGTACACTAACAGTCCCGTTGCCACCAAACACGTCACAAAAACTACTGGTATCAGAATGGCCAAACTTTTCGAGATGGTGAGCGATCCCTGCTTGGAAAATTTGGTGACGGTATCCATGACTTCGAATTTTTCTACCATTTATCGCATCACATTTGGCAAAACTAGAAGAAAAACAAAATCTAAAAATAAGTTAAAATTATTAAAAACATCGTTTCTTTAATCAATTTAATATTAAACATGTGCGAAACAAACTAAAAATATTTCGTTTGATTTATTTTCTGACCCAATATTCTAGAGAAATGCTAATTTTACTGCGGTCTTTTTAATATTAAAGCAAGTGGGTGCTCTGACTTAGTTTATAATTAAAATGTAAGATATCGTTGGGACACTTGATAACATCAACTTGATACTCATTTATTAATTAATAATGGCAAAACATCTGCCATTTTAAGTAATTAATGTTAGTACTGATGACCTACCACTAAGAAGGCTTTTTCATTAAATTTTATACTGGACAATATTATTTTATTACTTTAACCGAGCAATTTTTATATTTGTCACGCCGAATTTAGGTAATTGAAAATTTCATGTAACAGGCAAAATTTTGCCTAATTTGTGAAATCGCCAATGGACCGATTTCCCGTAACAGGTACTGCGTTTCACGCCGCAGAACAAACAGTTACATGAAATAGAAAATTACGTAAATTCAGCGTGAGCCAATTCCACAAGGTTTTCTTGTGAAGTAGGTATAATGAAATTTCCTTTGAGGTTTTAAAAAAATCATCCTACACTGAAAAAAAAATCACACTTTTATTTTACTTTTGTAGTAGTAAAGTGACTTTGACTAACTACAACAGGGACAATGTTATTAGGATTAATATTAAATGAGAAATACATACCACTACGAAATGGTATATTCTGTAAATTAAATTTACCACTTCTGTAAGTGGCACGGATCCAGCGGCGTAGCGTGGGTATCGCCGGGGCGGAAGACAATTTTGCCGCCCTTTTATTTAGGTATTTCAATTTAATGTACACTGAAAAAAATAATTTGTTTAAGCAACTAAAAAAAAGTTGCGCCAACTAATTTTATTTGTAGCTATAGCCTCAACTAAAATCTTTGTTACAACAACAATTTTTTTTTGTTGAGACATAATATGTTACTGTAACTAATATTTTTTGTTGACAAAACTATGGCGTCTTGTTTAAAGTAACTAATATTATTGATATCTCATACAATAATATTTTGTTGTTAAAACAGTTTACATTTGTTTTAGGTAATAATTTATTTGTTTCTATAACTTTTTGCATTTGTTTTCATTATAAATCTATTTGTTTTTAAAACAAAATAATTTGTTGGAAAAGCTATGGTAATGAGTAACTACAACATTGTTGCTTTGTTGTTATAACATTTGGTAGTTCTTTTAATCACCAAAAAATAATTTTTGTTAAAAGAACTTAAACAATATTAACCTATGCCTACACAATATTGTTAAAGCAACTCTTTCATGTAATACTAATTAATAAAAAGAGTTGCATTAACAATATTGTGTAGGCATAGGTTAATATTGTTTGATTTTTTTTAACAAAAATTATTTTGGTACCTTTAAAAGTATTTTCTAATGAAGAAAATCCCCACTCGGTTAATATTTGGTTTACTCCTTCATCCATAACGTCCAATGCACAAAAATTAATTAACGCGAACCTGCTTCCTCTAGCATTTGCACAAAAATTTTTTGACAGTGACAAATTATTTTTTTATTATTCAATATCAATAGATTTTATCATGATGCATATTCTCGGATTTCATCAAATTTATATACACTCAATGTCAAATAATCACAAAAATATCCAAAAACTTATCGTTTTAATTTTTCCTGTGGAATGATAATCGTTAGGATTTTTTCTCAATTTGTATACAGGGTGTAATATAAAAAAAATTGGAAAAAATTAATTCAGTTGATTTCTTATTAGAAAATATGTTTTCTACACCCACCTTTAAAACGCCCATTATCGTACATTTTTCTATGACACTAAGTGACATTATAAAATACACATTGACAAGTTGTGGCTGTATGGCCTTTTAGTCATGGGCTGAAGTTAGCAAGAGGTTTTTAGTCACGAGCTGTAGTGTAGTAAGTTAGTTGACAGTAGTCAAAATTTAATGTCATACAATCGTTAAAATAAAGTGCCCTTGTAAAATAATACCAAAATGTAAAAATTATTATAACAACCATTCGTGTCAAAATTTATATTTATAGTCATTTTCGCTTTTGGCGTTTGTATGACTCCTTTTTTATTTCGTTAAAAATAGGATTTTTCATGGGAGTTACTGTATGAATGTGTATAATTATTGTTTTTGGTTTAATTAGGACTTACAAACTATTTAGTTTCGAGATATTATAAAAAACCGTTCGTTTACCTATTATTTTAATTAAATATCAAGGATCATTGTTAATATAGCTGTAAGTCCTAATTAAACCAAAAACAATAATTATACACCAGCAATTTTTTTTACGGTAATTTGGTTGCGCTAATTTCAAAAATGACCATCATATTACCTTCAGTTTAACTTTAAAGTTAAACTGAAGGTAATATTCATATCATATCATTTTTGAAATTAGCGCAACCAAATTACCGTAAAAAAATTGCTGGTCACCCAAAGGCAGACAAAAAGTTAAATTTTGTCGACCAGTGTTATTAATTAATAATGATTTTTTACTTTCCTCACTGCTTTTTTCTTATTTTTTTCAAAACGGTGGCTTGGCAAAATATAAACCTCGCCACACTTTTGTGTAGGTATATACATATTATGTAGGTACGTGCAATAAATAGATGCATGTGCTCCCATTAACGTTAAGTAAACAATTTGTTTACGCATCTCCGTAGATACTTTACACTTGAACCTACGAACGTACTGGTTTTACCAACTGATTATTATCATTTCCTCTGCTTCTTTGTGGTTAAGACAAACGGATGATGATTAATAGGTGTACAATTTCATCTTGGTCTTTTCGACAATAAGTAATTTAATATCATTTTTATGAGGGCGGTACCACCCGCATTCAATGTTTTTAAAGATTTAAATAGGGTTTAACTACAATGTTATTGTTTGGTGATAAAATAATTATATGGCACATACATGATTGATCATCGTTCTTACTATGGGCTAAGATTTATTTTTTCCTCTTTAGATCTTTTTAATTTTTTTTTCAAGCGTATAACAATTTTTATATTATAACACTCATAAGCCGTACAATAATGAAAATACAATGAAATTGGATAGGAAGAGTGGGTTCCATCTATCGCGTTTAGCTTAAAATCAGCAAAGAAAATGTAAACTTACAGGTCACTGTAGAATACATTCAAGTACATGACATATGTATAAAATAACATATGTCAAACGTCAAACCTGACAAAATATCTCAAACCCGATAATTTCAATGTGTGTAAGTACATAATTATTAAATGCATAAAAAATAGTAAACATATACCTAGAAAGCATATTAACTGCCTCGCTCAGATCTGCAGCCTCGGTTAAGGCTTTGGGAGCGAACACTGAGCTTGGATTTAAATAAGCGCTTTCTCCGCCTGTTAGATAATGTACTATTTTTGCAAACAAAATTATTATAGTTGTTATAATAGTCGCTTTGGTAAAGAGTTTTTCTTAATGATGAAATAGTTTAATTTGCAAATAGGTACCTGTTTATTAAAGAGCTTTAAATTTTACAAAATAAACAATTCAAAACTAATTATGTACTTCTAGACAATTTATATTAAGATATGCTGTTTATGTATTCATTATTTAGGGTTAAATTAATTTATGGCATATTTAAACCAAACCAATCCAAACGAGCTTGTGCATCATAAAAAAACATATTAATTTATGTATCATAATATGCGGGTAATGAACTTTGAATAAACAAAAATAAACGGTTTTTTTAAGCATACAATAATTTTCATATTAAGTATGAGACATATAAACATTTATGTAGAAAGACTTCATATTAATACTAGTTACCAAAAGTTAAATTATTAATAATAATTACAGAAATAAAGCTAAAATGTCATCATATCATTTGAACCTTACCTGAAAATCATGTAACCGAATCTTAAGAAATTATTAAATTAAATGCTTGCAAAAAAAAATCGCCTCGGCAGTGAAATGTATGCTCGGCGATAATATGTGCTTTATCCACCTGGTCTCTAATATGTTGGTGATTTTTAGTGATTTAAATTGGATTGACAAAAAGTTTTTAAATTGCATAGCCCTTAGAAAATTAAAGGGAGTGGACCAAATGCACAACAAGCCACCATTGTATTTTACTATTGAAACTAGAGATGCGACTTGAAAAAAAACGGTCCGTTTTTTTGTTTTTTTTTTCAGGTTGTTTTTTTTCAAATGTTTTTTTTCACATTTTAGGTTTTTTTCCAATATTAGTCCCATTTGCCTAATTTATTGTTTCCAGTCCAGTTCATGGACTAAAATTAGTCATTAAATGACAATTAGTAAATGTAAATACAGTCTCGCGCTATGCACGTGCCACCACCACCGAATTGGGCCGCACTTGATTTTTCAAAAAGCTACCAAAAGCACTTTTTTCATGATTTTCCAAATTCATGTAGAGTATGGATTTTTTTTTAAACAATAGAAAATTCTTGTAGAACATGTATTCATTGGTGGTTAAGTCAGAACATTCCGTGGACTAGAAAGCCAAAAAAAATTCGATTTTTTTATTACGGTATTCGTTAGGATTAAGCGTTGCACGTTTTTCATCTAAAAATCTCAAAACTAGAAACTTCAAGCTTCATATTGCTTTTTTTACGACCATTTTTAACAAAGATCTCAAGAATCGCAAAACATTTTTTTATCCTTTAATTTTTTGTATTAGTATATTAGAAGTTTTACATTGCTATTGGTTTCTAATGTGGAAACTACCAAATAATAAGAAATCAGATTTTTTAGTCTCGGTCAAAATTTTCAATAATGAAAAATGTAATATATTCTACAATTCACATTATTATTAATATACATTTTACTTAAAATTTTATTTTGAAAAAAAAACAAAAAAAAACCGTTTTTTTTTCTAGGTTTTTTTTCATGTTTTTTTTCACATCTGAAAAAAAAACCGTTTTTTACATCTCTAATTGAAACCGACGT